GATTACGCTTTTGCTTTGCAATTTTACTCGAACGATGATGGCTTGGTTTGTGGAATCATTATGTGTTACACTGGCTTCGAGAACAACAGCTCCGTGCCCGAAACGCCGAACACATTCCCTGCTTTCAAGCTCTGTGGACCGATTCGACGCCTGGCTACTTCTGCCGTCATACTCGGACGAGCATTGGTTGGTCCGCCAAGATCGTCGTGGCTTGAGCTGTACACGTCGAACTGCAACTCTGGCCATTGACAATTGAGATGATTTGATCTGGCTCTCGCGCGAGCAGACACGGACAGTCTTTGGAGCATCGCCTGACTGCTGCACCCAGCCAGCCTGATTTCCTCACCGCTCATAGACGCAGTCCACGGGAAACTAATACGACGACTGCAGCTCTTAACCGATCGATTTTTAAATATGCCTCCGTACAGGGCTGCAAGGCAAGTTCTAGGATAAAATTGAACCCAACCTGCTGAGTACTACGTACAAGAAACGGAATTAGCGCGGTACTGAATGAAATTCGGCATAGGCGCCTAATTGGGCATGCTCGTGGACTGGACACATAGTCATGTATCTTTCTACTTCTCATGACGAGTTCATCAACTATAGTCGTTTGCTATTATTAGAGGGAGACTAGTCGTCAGAAACACCCATATGGGCCCGTGATTTAACGATGCAACACCAGCTCAGTACGTATTCCTTACCACGGCGTTTCTTCGCTATTCCCGCCAGTCTCTCATTCGTTGTGTAGTACTCATTTCTACACCTGAAGTACATCAATCTGATTTGCTCCGTCGTACAGAGTTGAAATGTAGCACGGCGAACCCCATCTTCAGCTCTATGCAGGACTTTAGCTGCGCAACAGCCCCATACATGGCTCCAGCAACCAGAGACTCGGATCGACCACCAAGCAGAGGCCGGTAACTACTTCGCACCCGGGAGCCAGCGGAGGCGGATGAGGCACCACAGATTCTGATATGATATATTTACTTGTCTATCCCGAGGCGATCCTTTTTACGCGAACATGCTACAAGGCACAGAGGCATGTTACGCGATGTATAAAGACATTATAACGCCTGAGTTGTCTCATGGTGTGCTTGTATACGCCGACTTTGATCCAATCGAGACCAGATTCTTATAAGGCCCTCATCAACTAGTCCATGCTTTGTGGCTATTGCTCATTGAAATGACATCACCCCCGCCCCCTCCCTCGTGAGATTGTCTCTGAGATGCTGCAGCCCGCGCTGACCACAATGGCCTGCAGGTGTATGGCTGATACAGGCAGGGCGTGACCTCATTACCCAGGCAGACTTGGTCGTTCATAACCGTTGTACGGAGCACAAGCGTGCGCGAGCTACCTGTGCTCCTTTTTTTGACATGAACTGCATTACTAGGCCGCTTAGGTACATGGAGTGAATCAGACTGAATACTGTTTTTCAGCGGGAAGTTTCGTCTCGGAATTCAAATGCCTGATCTGTTACATTTGGCAGGACAATATGATATCTGACATGAGGATCTGTACCACCAGTACACCACAAGCTCCGATTGGTCTATCTGCTGACTTTGAACTGGAGCAGTAATTGTTTCATGCACTAGAAGATGCTGTCAACGCCATATTAGTGATGACTTGTGACGCTATCCGCCACACCGGAGTCATTTTCGAGGCAGAAGACGTCGAATTCGAGATTTCGCACCATGCACTTGAGCCAGACCTCCTGCATCTTTTGATGATGGCCTGCGTAACTCTAACGTTTGACAAAACGATCCAGTACTCTGCATATTCATGGACGCCATGGCAAGGATCGGTTGTCTGAAAGGTCCCTACACATGCCCCATAACACCAACGTCAGGCATTAAAAAGAAACATTGAAGCCATGAATAAACCGACCTCAGTGGCGTGCGTGCCAAGCTTCCGCCAACCTCTGGATTTTCACTTTTCAATCCTTTTTTTTTTTGGCTGGCTGGCTGGCTGGCCTACGCAAGTCTTTGGGGGAGCCTATCTCTGTGTACTCCGTAAGCACCGGCGGCAATGAAACCTGGCCATGTGCTTGCTGGGTGGACACCCCAATGAGACACAAAATGTCAAATCACCCCGGTGAGACATTGGTAGTAGGTAGCTCTCTTTTATACCTACTGCACTCCGTACATACAACTTACTCATGTATGTAGATAGGCATCTAGGTCCCTAGGTAGGCGGTGATGATGCTGAGTCCCTTGTCTCTCTGTTCAGTTGGGCAGGTGAGCGATATTGTGAGACTGCAAGCCACACCCACAACAGCAATGACAAGAGAGAAACGAAGCAAAGGGCCATTGGACGATGAAGAAAGAGGTGTTTGTTTCACACCAGGGCAATGGCCATGACGACTAATCGAGTACGTACTAAATGCTTGTGTGAGACTTTTGGGCACATGGCTAGATAATATTGCGAGCTTGGAGATGTGCCGCACGAAATGACCACTATGATGTGCAGCACAACGGTTAAAAACGACCAGTCATGACTCACTGCTATGAGAACTGGTTTGAATGGATCACAAATGAGATCTATACACCGGGATATTAAAATGCCCCCGCTCTGTGCTTGTCTGATTTAATTGTTTGATCTCACTTTGATTTTGTCGGTAGTACGTACTTGCACAAAGTTAGGAAGAGAAGAAGAAGGCAGAGGAGGCGAGAAGACGACGGCAGCGTACATCCGTGTACTTTCGTAGTACTTGGATACCTGAACATAAGGAATGCCGTGCCGCACGCCAGGAAATTAGAACACCGTCACTGTTATGACGGCCAGTTGTGGCGGTGGGCAGTCCGGAGCTGATCACAAAAAATGATATTCAAGTTGCTTACAAATTGGAATATAGTGCGGCTTGCAACAAATGAAAGAAGTTTGCTCCCGCCGAGAAGAAATGCCCCGAAACTCGGGAAACTCGGCATGACGTCGACCAAGTTGCACAAAAGGAGCACACGGGACCGCCTTTGTGACGGTGACGGACGAGGATGTATGCACAAGAAGATGCTGAAGGACTTGGGTACTATGTGGTTCGCCATGGAGCCGGCAGCATTTGAAGCGCAAGCTGCGCTAGACGGATAGGCAGATGGAGGCCAGTTGTTGCGACAGGCTCGAATAGGAGCCTTTTTCTCGATCTCATGGGCGCGGAGAACCCATGGTAACCAATGAGCCTCCCCAAACGAACTTGACGCTGGAAAGCGTATGCAGATGTCTGCAGACTGTCTGCATATAGCTGGGCAAGTCAGCTGCCATGCCAGACCGGGTGCCGTTCTGGGCTACGGCGGTTATGGCCATAATGAAGCAGCAAATGATTGTGCCAGGAGGTCTCGGCCACGCATATGCGCCCCTTCCGCCGTGGTCATCTGACAGTCATGCCATCCACGCGGCGGTATAAGAGTCTGGTATCAGTGACCGCGTAGGCGGCATGTGGTGAGTACCGGCCGGGCTTCTGGCATCGCTTCTGGGCTTGTCGAGGCCGGTGAGGCCGGTGAGGCCGGTGAGGGAAGAGAGGAAAGGAGAGGAGAGGAGAGGGACGTAGACTCGAGGAGGCGGCGAGAAGGGGGGGTTGATTGAAACCAGTTGACGGCTGGCCTTGTCATGCATGGTGAAGAGCCCAAACGGGCGTGCTCGTGTGCGTCTCCTCCATCTAAGTACTCAGTCCAGAGTCGGCAATAAGTGCGAGTTGCCTTGTACGTTGTGCGTTCCGCGCTTTGCGTTGTGCGGTCTGCCTGGTGCAAATGCAACCGGACGGAACAAATGTTTGCAAAGCTGCTGGCGAACAACGCACAAAGCCACAACGCAATCACGCACCGGCCGACCACAGCCGAGCACGCCAGCGGTACGTGCACGACAGGTCCCTGGAAGCTCAAACGCCCAAGTTGGTCTGGCATCATCGGCGAGATACGGCAGAGTACAGTACATACATACATGTACATATATGCAGCAGGCCCTGTGCAGGGGGACAGCAGGTGGACAACACGTCGACAGCCGAGCCCTCGACGGTCCGATGTCCTCAGGTGCTTGGGCCGATATGCCTCTGGTCAAGCGGCAGGTGGGTGCCAGGCTTTGACACTTGGAGGTTCATGTCGCCTGGCTTCAGCCATGACGACATCCAGTGCCTGCCCTTCTTGGATGCTCATGTAGGAGCTGGGAGGTGCTGCCTCGAGGCTTCCATGTTTCGAAGCTGGAGTTGGCCATATGTGGCTAGCAGCCCTACTTGGCTCTGGCTAGCTCTGACTGGCCCGAGGCTGCAGCGCGGTTCAATCAATATCAACCCAGCGCCAGCACTGACGTTGCCGCATCCGCCGCGCCCCTCCAGCGCCCGCAGCCACTCCCGTCACGGCAGCTTTCGAGCGTTGAAGCTGAAACCAGACGGAGCCTGCCAGTGTCAAAACCAGATGCGCCAACCCCCGTCCGGCGTTGGGCTGTGGGGTGCAGCATGGCGCCACCGTTGACGCTGGAGCATCCAGCCATTGACCCTGACCGACCACGCGGCACATGCCAGCAAAGACCAGTTGACAACATTGAACATTGAACCGACATGGAGCCCCAGAGTGCCGGTGTCCGGCGTCTGAACCGCTGGCACCACCACTGCTACACTGCTACCAGGCGCCAGCCGGCAGTGCGGGCTCTGGGCCCTGCTCGCCGCCCTGCACATGTGCTGTCAACCAGACCCAGGCTTAAGTCGTGGCCGGGGCCACTCAGGTCGGGTCTGGTGCTGTCTAATATGCCAGCCAGCTGTTCACTGGTCTGCCCTGCTCACTCCATGTCCGCTGTGGCTGGCCAATCCGTGAACCGACAACCACCAGTTGACCAGACATCCCCCGAAAACATTTGACTGCATTGCAACCACGCTGAGCCGGTATCACAACAATCGGCCGACGCAACCACCCGACGCATCCTCTATCAGAAAACCGCGCACACCTGGAGCGGTCTGACCTGCACCGACTTCGCTGTCACCCGAGCTTCTTCCGAGCATTGCCGAGCCATTGTTGTCGTCATGGCTGGCAAGAAGGGCGAGAACTCCAAGAAGGTTGCCGGCAACGCTCGCAAGGCCGAGGCTGCGGCGCAAAAGGCCGCAGCTGCCGATGCCAGATTGGAGGCTGAAGAATCCGAAAACTGGCAGAAGGGGAGTAAGAGCAACGCCAAGAAGTAAGTGTGGCAAAACATGATGCGTCTGTAGCATCTCGCGCACGAATACTGATGGAAGCATCGTCTCCGGTCACCAGGGAAGCCGAGGCCGCCAAAAAGGCTGAACAGGCTGCAAAGAAGGCCGAGAAGGATGCTCTTCTCAAGGAGGAGGAAGCTAGCCTGGGCGGACGAGCCGAACCCAAGAAATCAAAGGCTCCTGCTAAGAAGTCTCGCGGCTTGGACCTCTCCCAACTTGACGGCGGTGCGCCCTCAACACTGAACGCGTCCGGTATCGATAATGCGCTCGATGCCTTGTCGCTGGCGACCGGGTCCGACGATGCCAAGATTGACAAGCATCCTGAGAAGAGATTTGCTGCTGCGTATGCCAAGTATGAGGAGCGAAGACTCACCGAGATGAAGGCAGATGGCAGCGGCGTTGGCTTGCGCTTGGAGCAACGCAAGCAGAGGATCAGGAAGGAATTCGACAAGAGCCCTGAGAATCCCTTCAACCAGGTTACTATTGCTTACAATGCCACACGTGACGACCTGGACCAAGTCAAGGCTCATGAAAAGTCCAAGATCGAGAAGCGCCTGGGTCAGTGATCCACCAACACTGAGAATTTCATGTAACTTGGGTAGCAAGGAAAAATCGAACATCAGGAGCTTTGGTTAGCACTGTGGACGGTATTGATTCGACGAGTTTTACATTATTTTATATAGAGAAAATTTCCCCTCTCGACTCAATAAAAAAACAGAGGGAGCGAATGCCTGGCTTTTAATTACACGATTATCTAGGTTACGCTACCCGATGCAGCCCTCATCCTGCCAATTTATGCCCCGCGATGATGTCGCGCGACAGTTCCCACCGGCAGAATTCCTCACCGCTTCACACACCGCCCAATTCAGACAGCTTCCCAAGGCGTCGTCCCCGTTCGGCAACCGACCACATCCCATTCTGCTACCCGGCAGTGTTGACGGGTGTGATAGATGCAGTGAGGATGGCTCGCTCAGGTGACCTTCCATCATTACGAATACAACACCTAATATCCGAATTGTTGGTCAAGACCAGTTCGTGCGACATTTCAAATGACTAACCGGGCGTGTCCAGTACCGGCTTGAAGCAAGCATGTCCCGAAGGTGTTTTCCTTAGTCTAGCCCCTGGAGATCCTACACTCTGGTCAGCAGTTCTGTTTGTTCGCGATGGTTAGAATCACCACCGACCGAGACTGTCAAGTGCCTGTCTTACTAGAAGAATTAATCAAATGGATACAGGACCGTACGCGGCGGCCGTTCTACGGTTCCAGATTTCCTTCCCAGACACATACCCGAAGCTTCCGCCCCTGATTCTCTTCTCGACTGACATATTCCATCCACTTATCACCCCCCTTACGACATATATGTACGCAAAGGATGTTCAAGATAAGGGCACTAGCAGTGCTACCGATCAAGAACGACTACCGCCTGGTGCATTCAGCCTGAGGCATGGTTTCCCACAGTGGTTTGGCCGTGGGCAAAGTGCCGAGCCCGGGAGCAGACTGGCTAGCGGCGAAAGACTTGACAGTTCAGGGTCTGACGGGACTGGCGCGCCACCTGAGGGTGTTGTCATGTCGCCGGAGCCATCTCATGCGAGCTCTCCAGACTATAGCCAGACCTGCAAACCAGGCATGTCTGTTTACACTATTTTGAAGTATATCCGCAGCACCTTTGATACCCCAGAAGTTCTTGACATGGTTCCTCTAGAAGCCTCGGGAAATCCTGGAGCATGGCATGCGTGGCGCGCGCACAGGCGGAAACATGGCAAACTCGCAGACCAGAAACCCAGCAGTGGCGATGATTCCGATTCTGATGGTGTCCGAAATAGCTATTCTGGGAAGGCAGAGGAGCCAAGTCTATCGCCCACTACAGCGACTCGGCAGCCTGGTCAGTGGAATTGGGACGGGGTGTGGGAGGACAGAGTGCAAAAGGGAGTTGCGGCTAGTCTTTCTGAACCCGTCTTGTACGGAGGATCAGGCGTGCCTGATGAAATGGTAAGCAAACCACGCCAATACTGACCGAGGGCAGGCTTACAAAACGCATGTAGATTCACTTCCTCGCAATGGAAGAAACGGATTTGGAGTCTGTGAAGGATGATATTCGTCGTACACTCGGCAGTGCGGCCTAATTATCCGACGCTCCTTTGAGCTCAGGATGTGTCCGCCCTTCGCTTTCATCGAGCTGAGGATGCACTTGCGGTGGATTACTGCCGTCCACAGTCTTTCTCGATATCGGTTCCTCCTTACCACTGAACCACTCCTACTCTCCTAAGTGCTTGATAGAAAGCCTAGTCCTAGCGATTCTCGTTGATACCCAACTTAGACCAGCCTCTTAAATTTCATCACTTGGGTGCCTGGCTTGTCGTATTTTATCTTCATTGTATTGCAGACTGCATCTTCGTGCCGTGGGCCCATGATTTACGGTGCCTAGGAAACCTCGCATTTCGGTTTCGACGCGTTTGCGGCTTCCCAAGTTGCTCTTGCCACGGTCGCCATAATCACTTTCATTACGTCTGGTGTAACGGACGAATCTTTCTCTGAGGATTTTTGTCTTGACCTTCAGCAACGCATCTTCACTTGGCAAATGCCTTATCCACTTCTTCCACTAGTTGCAGAAAATCTTAGCCCGGTTACAGCACATAACTAGAATGGCATCTTACCATGAGCGGTCTATGGAAGGGCGCCAGAAAGCTAAGCAGGATAGGCCAAGTCCTTTGCGTATTGTTAAGCGATGTCGAGGCAATAGCTCCGATGCCGATTTGAGAGCCAATAAAAAGTTAGCAATAGACGACAGTGACAGCGATGTATCGAGTATAACCGATAGGACAAAACGATTGCAGGTGTGCAAAAGACGTGTACAGCATCAGAGCCCGACAGGACGAGCTGTTTGGGCCAGTTCAGTGGATTTGAGACACCCTCGGACTCGATCATGGGAGGATGCGATTGCCAGATGCCGAGGTCTATTGAGGAAGTCGACTCCAAACATGAGAAACTACAAGCGATACCTACCTGTTGGTCGTTCCAGTTCGTCACAAACAGAGTCAAGCGGGCGACTATCGTCAACGTGTTCCTCCCAGCCACGGACGCGAACTGACGGCGATCGACTATCATCAACGTCGTCGTACGAAATGGAGCCTAAGACTACCGATGACAATAATCTTGAGCAGTATTGCCATTCCAATGGGGTCTTCCAGTCCCAGGCGCCCGGGACCGCCTCTAGCAGGCTAAGTCCGCGGCAGATGTCCCAAAATACGAGAACGTACATATTGTCGCCTCGTGTCGTTGCAATCCCGCAACAAACGGAGTTGGATGGGTCCGAAATTAGTGTTTGGGTTGCAGTAGAAATATCCGGGAAGCTTTCTCAGATATCGCCGAGCAAGATATTGGCACCTAATGAGACTCAAAATGACATAGTGGCTGGAATATATGTCAACCACAAGCTGGGTACGGTTTACAGCCTGCTGGTGTTGGTTCTTCCTTTTAGAATAATCTGCTGATATTGTTGACAGATCGATTCTTTGACTTTGGGTGTCTGTATGATTTAACCGTAGAGGTGTCGGCAGTACCGGGGACTGCTGTTTTGGAAGTTGTGCATGAACAATCATGGCCCACGTTCGTCTCCCGGCCGGAGTTGTCTTTTCTGTGTATATGACTAACAAGAAAGATACAGGACTATTTATGCTGGGACTAGTGTACTGATTGTGGTTCATGTTCAGCTGCATAGTGCGACAAGAAGACCCGAGATGGGACACACTCGGTCCAGGTCTAATGAACTAATGGAAGAACTAGAACGTCAATTGGGGAATGTTCAAACGCAACTTATGAACATTCGAGTATCATACCATCATTCGGCTTTCCCAGAAATCACAAATGCAAAATTGCCGCAAAGTGGCCTTTGCCACCTCCAAAGTCGAATGGAAACGACAGCCACGATAGCTATTACACAGAAATCTGGAGGCTCTCTTTGGTCCCCCCGAAGCAAGGCACCGCAGAATAGCCTGTTTCCTCTGATGGTGCAACATTGGGGAGACAAAAAAGCAATCAGTACGCAGAGGCGCATCACGGATTCTCAGGTCACACGAGTGAAGGACGTTGGGCGCGATGTTGCCTCAGTTACAACCCCCAATGTTACAGAATCTGCTTGCATGACATTCGACTTTGACATGGATTCTCTTTACAGATCGCCTGGTCTCCAACGCTACCTTCTCGATGGTACTTCTATGAACTGGCCACGTGCAAATTGCCTCTCGAAAAGTCGACGGCCACAGTCCGTGGATAAACTACAGGAAGCAGGACGGAGCTCGAGAAGTCCAGTTCGCGATATGTACTATTTCGGGGAAAGGGCAATACGAGCATTGGCGCCGACTACAACTTCGGAAAATAATGTGGTTCGAATGCACCCAGCCATAAGCCAAGGGTCAGATATGGGGCTAAAGCACAAGGACTCTAAATTCTGGGATTGGGGATCGTGGTTTTAGACATCATTTGCACCAGTAGATTTAGAGGCAAGCCTAGAAGTCAAGACTGAGACATTTGGACCGCTTTTTTTTTTCAATTCATCCCCTCCCCAGGAAACGGGTCTATTGCAGCTCGTCTTTCCAGGGAATAGATATTTGAGCACCTTTTCTTGATACTGTAATGGCTGATGCTCTGTTCGCCGCCTTGACAGCAGCGTCGATGTCGAGCTCGCCCTCACCAGCATTTACTATAGATAGCGCATACGACCCAACGAATGTATCGCCAGCAGCTGTGGTATCGACGACATTCGCCTTGAGCGCAGGCACCAGCCCCTTGTTGCCACTCTGAGTGGCATAGTACACACCGCGTCCGCCCAGTGTAATCACCACATTACTTACCCTACGCTCGAGGAAAATGTTGGCAACGCCGTCAAGCCCAGCCTCGTCCTCCAGCTCCGACTCGGGCCGTCCGGAGAGAATAGAAGCCTCGGTCTCGTTCACAATCAAGTGCGCCAACCCGTCGTAGGCACTGGCGGGGAGAGTTTGGGCCGGGGCAGGGTTCAACAAGACGGGGATCCCCTCGGCCTTGGCGGCCCTCAAAGCCTGCATGACGGTATCGAAGGGCACCTCGAGCTGCATGATGAGCAGGTCTGGCTTCGGGGCGGGCAGCTCCTCGAAATGGCGCGGCAGGAGGGTGTGGTTCGACTCGGGCGACAGGATGATGCGGTTCTGGCCCGAGGGCTCGTCGACGACGATGATGGCGATGCCCGTCTTGGCGGCCTTGCGGACCGCGACGCCCGACGTGTCGACGCCGTACTCGGCGAGGCTGTCGAGCAGCGTGGTGCCGTACTGGTCGGCGCCGACGGCGCCCAGCATGGCCACGTCCGCCGACGGCGAGGACAGGTCGCTCGCGCGGGAGAGCTTGGCGCACGCCACGGCTTGGTTGGCGCCCTTGCCGCCGGGCGAGGTGTCGAAGTGCGTCGACGTCAGGGTCTCGCCTGGCAGAGGGTGATGGGGCACGTAGCTGACGAGGTCGATGTTGAGGGAGCCTAGGATGGTGATGCGCGGCCGGTGGGGGGGTGCCATGGCGGGCGAGGGCGGTGCTGCTCTTTCGTGCTTGTTGAGATTTACATGCGAAGAGGGAGGGAGGGTGAGGACTATTGAAAGGGGTGATGGATGGCTTTAGAAGGGGCTGGTGAACCCCCGTCCGACGTGGGAACACTGGTGAGTTTTCTACGGTTTGCGATTGACGTCGTCGTTGCTTCTGCGGAAACTGGTCTGGTGGGTTCGGGTTCAGATGTCGGCGGTTAAGTAGCCTGATTAAGTAGGTTTTCCAGCATCGCTTGCTGGCCATGGGTCGGTTGGAGCCGCCACGGTGGGGCAGCGGCGGTTGGCTTGCCTGTTGGGTCGGTAGAGTACCTGGGTACCTCGACCTATGTAGTAGCAGCTATAGGAACCTTTGTCTGTGCCTACATGTTTTTCTTCTTCGGTGCTTTCTCCCTCTTTTCTTGTTTTTGTACGACTATATCCAGGTTCTTCGCGATTGTGAGGCATGGTGCGCTGCAAACTCACACTGTCTCATCGGATATGTTCAAGGCTCTTGCGTCTTGCGTCTTGCGTCTTTTTGGTTTCGTGGAGAGCCAACCCAGCCCTACCCAATTTGGCGAATGGCATGACCCAACCGAATTCACCATACAACGCTTCAGATCAAATCGTGTTGCAAGTCAGCAGATGGCTTATTAAGACGAATGGCCCAAGTCTGCATGTCTGTTCCGTTGATACTGGAGCTCGCCCTCTAGATAACCACCTCGGCCCGCGCCTCCACTCAAGCAAGTTGTGCATCCAGCATCTATCTCGCTAGCTTCCTTCTGGAACACTTCCGCGCGTCTACTTAAGTAGTTTGGCCCCCGCTTCCCGCGAAACCTTCAATCACAGCATATTCACAATTGATGCATGAGTGAACATTCATATTCATTACTTGCATCCTTTCAAACCCCATTTTCACTCCGAGCCCGGCCACCTGGTGTGCGGTCGCTTGTCGCCCCGTGCCAGCAACACGGAAGTTGGAACTAAGCCTTCCCCGAGGCGGCGCTCGCCGACGACCGCTACACATTGGGATGTTTCACTACTGCGGAATATGTCGGGTGTTGCGATTGGTAGTTTTGTAGTTTCGTAGTTTTGTTGTGTTCGACACGGCCATCTACAAAGACCTTCTGCTAGATGTATACTGTTCGACGTGTCGTCACCGGATACGACCATCTAGGGATCAATGGCTTTCCCCATCAGATGGCTAGGCGCAGACAATCATTGAGGAGCTAGTGTCCCGCAAAGGACTACATCTTCTCCAAACGGGTGCCATGATACGTTAGACAGTCTAGCCGCAGCTTGCGGTGTTCCCTCGGCATCGCAGACTCTGTCTGGTGAGACGACGACGCCTCCTTTTCCAAGCCAGGTTGGCGCAATAGTCACAATGACCGAATCGATCAGATTGTGATTTGTTGGACTCAGCAACGAGTTGATGATCTGCCCTCCGCCCTCGACCATTACGCTCGTGAGACCTTCAGACAAGAGAGTTTGGAAGACGTCGTTCCACTCAAAGCGTACTCTATCCTTGCTGGATGTAGCTGGTGCGATGCGAATGTATTTCCCTCCGTGCTGCTGTAAGAGCTCGACAGACTCCCTTGGTATCTGGGCCTCGAGTAGCCCAGTGAGAATGAATGGTGCAAGGCCAGCGCCGGAACGGCAGATCTGAAATACTTGATCCGATGAGCGCGGTGTCCACCTCATATGGGGGTCAATGATTATCGGGCGCGGCTGGGATGCCGAGCCTTCAATGCGGCAGCTTAGACGTGGATTGTCGGCGAGCACGGTTGAGACGCCGACGAGGATGGCGGCGTGTCGGGACCTGAGGTAGTGCGTCATGGCCTTGGAACCCGGCCCGGAGAGGTGTGTGCGAACGCCTGGCGCGAGAGAGAGTGATGAATCGAGAGACGTTGCGAATGTTAGCGTTACGAAGGGCCGGTTGGACGTTTGTGTATCTGGTCGTGGGAGATGACACTCGAGGGCTGCCGCTGCGGGCGCGGGGAAGGTCAGCTTTTCTGACATGGCGGTACTTGGCATCTCCAGTATTCCGGCCTAGGCCATGGGAAGGCTCGAGTTTCTGAAAGGGGACCGGGCGGCGAAAAGTGATGAGGAAGAAGATTGTTCAAGAGTACACTGTTAAAATTGTCATGAGACAGCGAAGGTTGAGGAGAGAGTGAAGTGCAAAGGGAGACCCACTTTACTCATCTTTGTTGCGAGCGGGCAATGGTTTGGGATCAATCGTATAATTTTTTTTGCTCGGCTGCCTAATAAGAAGAGGTTGCTCGTATCGTCTACATACCACAAGTAGCGATGTAAGTGATCTCGCCTTGGCTTGAAACTTTCACTTGGGAAGGCATCATCATCATCCTTGTCTCATTCTCCCTATTTTAGCAAGCACAAACAGACAGACCAAAGCAGAGTGCATTTGACATAATCATTGGACATAATCATTGTTCATAAATACATAGTTGGCTAATTCCAGATTCTCATAATGCATCAGGAGGAAAAAAAAGACGTCCTTCGTATAGTCGACGTGACCCACCACTTTATCGTTCAGAATACTTCACCGCATTCCCACTTACAACCGGATTCCCATCATCATCAAACTCCGCCCACTGGAAAAACGAACATCCTTCTTTCCCAGGGACATTTCCCGCATGACACATCCAAAAGTATTTTCCAAAATTCTCCTTCTTCTTCTGCACTACCCTCAGCACACAGGGCACCTTGCATACACACCTCGGCGTATACTTGGGATGCATCCTCTGTCGATAATCCCTATATGTGATGTTGATCCGTTTATTCCCTGCAGTCGGATGCGGGTCGATAGATAGCGCCGGCGTCACACAGTGTTTCCACTCCTCTTGCATCTCGGCATGCATCACCAGAAGCGAGTTATGTGGAAGGTGTATGGATATCTGGCCCCCTGCGTCAGACTCGTCAGTTGATTTTGTATCACCGTCCTTCGGCAGCACTCTCCGAACACGAAACTCGCGTGCAACCCCGAGCGAAATGGATCCAATGACGGCCCGTGGGCCAAGATAGGTGAGCTGATCGCTGTGCCAGCCGACACTTTGTTGTGCCCCGTTGTAGCAATTTACAAAGGCAGAGTTAGGGATCCATGGATTGGGAGACTGGTGTTGGAGTTTCTTGCCGTCGGGATACCGGGTTTTGATCCGGTGCTGGATTTCTTGATTCACGGCGGCTTGTACGATGGGTTTCACTTTGGTGAGCTCTGGTGTAATGCGGCGGACGTCCTGCAAACCGTGTTAGAGTGGTGCTACATATGGTTTCGTTTGTTTGTATTATCATATATTGTTTCCTGTCGCTTACCGTCAGTTGGGACCCATTGTAGTAATACTCCGACCTCTGCGCCATCATCTCTTCGTAGCTCTCTACGAAGAAACCTGACGTATGTGGACTTGAGACAACATTATCGAATAATTTAAATGTAATTTTCTCAAAAGAATCGGCTTCTTTCAAGAGTTCTTTGAGGAGAGAATTCGCATCCTCGGGGGGCAGAAAGTTGTGGATTATGGTGCACGGCGTATGCTCCGCGACGTCTTCAGGGTCGTATAAATGCAACGTGCTGCCCTTTTTCGATTTAGGCTTCTTCTTCGTCGGTGATGTGGAATCCCCCATGGTGTATTGCCTCAATGATTGTTGATGGCCTATTATGCCACTCTTTCGAGCACCTTGCTGGTATTTGTTGGATTTGAGAGCTTGAGACGCTTGGCTGACTGAACCATCATGAGCGAGGAGAAGATCGAGCAAGGTCTCTTGGTCTACCTCGGGATGTACGGAGGAGAGGAGGACAAGCTTGACCTCTGTCGGTTCATCGTCATCTGTGACGGGTTTCGGCTCTGGGCTTAGCTTTCGCTTCGGCCGTGTGAGAAATGACTTCATGGCACCAATCTGCTTGCTACAAGATTGCACAGGGGACGGATGTTGGAGAGACTCTGTCCCAGTGGTATGCGAAAGTGAAAAATTAACCGATATTTAGGAAGGCATTTCTCTAGCCGCATTTCTATCTCGGCTTGTTTAGTAATTGCCGTTGTTGCCTTTGATGTACAGATAATAGATCTGCGACGTGATTCTGTGGTCTTTGACGTGTTTAGCGCGCAGGCTAGTGACGCGACATCATGTGACTAGCTGCAATCAATTTATTGGGTGTTTCAAGCAACCCTAACCCTTGGCGTTATTTTCCACTTCGATCACAAACCCTTGCCTGGATCAGACATGTGTTTGCTGATGAGCGTACTCTAACAAGTATAAATAAAACTGAATGTGGCATTTTTTCGAAAGTAATTCTGACTTTCTTTTTCCTTTATTGTTACACTATCGCTATTTCGAAGACCCTTCTGTTCTGCGCCCTCGTTTGCTCCACTTTGGATTCACGACCTCGTCTTTCCAACGGGCCGGTAACTAGTGAGATGAGCATCTGCTTTGCTAGACGGATATTGTGCTCCCCGTTCTTTGTTCCAGCGGTGCACATGGACTTAGTAACGGCTGACTGGTGACATCAATAGCCTCTGAATCGACAGCCCAGTCCCTCACAGACTCCTTGATATGGCTTGACCTTGCAAGAAAATCGACGGCGTATCTGGAAGGGTCCTCAACGAGCACTGTGGCATTGAAAGCGATTCCTTGAGATTTAAGTTTGTCGAGAACCAAGTCTTTGAATGGCTCCACCTTCATCAACGCTCCGGATAGCGCAAGGATGCTTCTGCTTGGGTCGGAAACGCGAGCCTTGATCAGTCGTTTCAGCAAGTCCACTAGACATTCAACAGCGTCTTGAAGAATATTGAGTGCATCTTGATCGGGATCAACAGGCCTTAGACCCAGCACTGTTACCACGCGAGCAAGGCTTCCGATTAGTAGCCTTGATGTCTGCTTGCCGGCGTTGGTGCACAATATGGTGGAAAGAAGATCTGTTCCATCGCAGTTCAGGTGTTGCAAGACGGCGGTCTGCAAGGGACTGAGTGGCTGGGAAGAGGAGAGCTCACCTTGGCTCTCCTCCAGGCTCGCTAGAACAGTTTTTATTGCTCGCCGGCCGATGTAAAATGCACTCCCGGCGTCTCCAAAGAGATGACCCCATCCACCAGCTCTTCCGACTTGGGAAATGGCATCATTAGGTCCCCGTCTGAACGCTGTAGCAACAGCACCCGTGCCAGCAATAAGAGCAACGCAGCCGTTAATGGAGCGATCAGTGCTCATACACGACGACAAAAGCGAAGTGTCACAGGTCAAAGACAGACTTCCATCCTGGTGCGAGACCCCTAGCAGGCGTTCGAGGCGGCATGTCAGGGTTTTTGCTTGGCGGCTGTGATGCAAACCAGCGATTCCCACCCAGGCCTTTTGAAATCTCGGCCACGTTCCTTGTGAGTGACCATTGAGGGAACCTACGGCTCTGCCAATCGCAGACCTTATCTGATCGACAGCTTCCTCCAGGCTCACCGAGTTCAAATTGCAACCTCCAGCAACACCTTGAGCCACAACATCCCTGCGGGAGGCAATGGAAGCAGCACACTTTGTCCCGCCGCCATCCACACAGAGAAAATAGTCTTCTTGTTGACCGACATCAGCCGACTCAACTGGAGCTTGGGCTTCAAGGGTACAGATAAAGCCGTGCAGGTCTCCTTGGACGGTAGTCAATATTTGCTTTGCTGTATCTGGCTCTAACCCGGAAAGCCCAACTGCGCAGGCTAGCTTGATACTGCCATGGCACTTCTGAATGAGGGCATCAATGGTCGTGTCAAGATCATCGATGCCGTCGTTCTCGGTGGTGCCTTGCACGGCAACATGCGGCCTAATGTTCTGTAGCAATGGTCGCCCTTCGCACACCTGGCTCACGATTCGCCTTCCCCTCGCCTTGAGCTTGTCATTAACAGCCCGCACATCGACCATGAGCCCACGGTAAGTCTTACCCAGCTTGATCATGGCACAAGTGCTAATCATGTTGAGGATCTGCTTGGCGCAGCTACCAGCCTTAAGCCGAGTGCTCCCTGTGACAAACTCGGGACCGACCAGGACGGCGATGGGATGAGTGACACCGAGTTTCTCAATGGCAGACGGCCGGCAATTGGTGATAGCCGCTGTAACGGCATTGCATTCCATAGCTATTTTGAGCGCTCCAAGGACGAACGGTGTCCTGCCAGAAGCTGCTATGCCAATGACTGTGTCTAGTGGACTCAACTGCAATTCATGCATCTTGTCCGCGCCATCGTCGTGCAAGTCCTCCGCGCCTTCGACCGCCTCCACTACGGCCCGGCTTCCGCCAGCAACGACGGCGAGGAACTGCGCCGGGTCTGCGGAAAATGTCGCCGGGAGCTCTGTGCAGTCCATGTAGGCAACTCTTCCGCTGTTGCCAGCACCGATGTAAATAAGCCGTCCGCCGGAGCGGAGGCGTGGAACGAGATCATCGACCAGGGCAGCAATGGCTGGTAGACTGGATGTTATTGAAGATGCCACATGAGCCTCTTCTCGATTGAACGCGACACACAGTTCAAATGTGTCCAAGGACTCCATAGTGCCAGCTAGAGGGCTGATTGCCTCCGTCTGAAGGGCACCAAGAGCCTCGTGTTGAGGAGGGTCCGTCGATGGCGCCATGGCAAGCAGTATTGTCGAATGTGCAGGGGGATGATGGCCAAAAGTGGCGTTGATGCAGTCTTTGTTTGGCCATCATTTCAATCTATGCAGATTGGCTCCCTTTTATTGAATGGTATAATTTCCAGTCGCCCCCGAAATATTGGTGCCGAGCTTCGGTCTACATTCGAGTCAACGGATCTCGGCACCGTGATCCGCCAATATTTCGCACCACCATGGTTTGACCCTGCAACTCGTCTTTATCTTTGAACTACGCATGATGCATTACAACCATTTAAAAATGCGGCAAGTTCCAGGCAAAATGTGAGGAATGCTTGGCTACCTTTCAATCTTGGACATCTCTTCTATGAATCATCATTTGGACTTGGACCTTGCTCATGACACCAACCGCAATGGATGAAGCACATGTTCAACATGGCTCTGTGCCAAAGCAGTCGAGGGTTCAAAGGCTTCTCCATGAGCCGTGGGCTCAGCTCATCTTGATCTCAATCATATCATTCTGCAACCCAGGCATGTATAATGCCCTCACCGGCATGGGTGGTTCGGGCCAAGTCGACGGCACCGTCGCCGCCAACTCCAACGTCGCTACCCATGCTGCCACCGCCGGTGCTGCTTTACTCTTAGTTGGTGCGTTTTACAAATATCTAGGGCCTCGGGCCTCGCTCCTCCTGGGAGGCTGGACATATGCTCTCTACGCCGGCTCGCTCCTCAACTTCAACCGAACTCAGAACGGAGCCTTTGTCATTGCCGCAGGCGCTTTGCTTGGTCTTGGAGCCGCATTCTTCTGGGTCGCTCAAGGCACCGTCATGGTGACTTATGCCAATGACGGGACTCGTGGGAGGGCGATTGGCGTGTTCTGGGTCATATTCAACCTCGGCGGCGCCATTGGCTCGCTCATCAGTTTCGCGCTCAACTTCCACTCCAAGTCCGGCACCGTCACCGACTCAACGTATGTCGCCTACATTGTTGTCATGCTCTTTGGGTGGTCGCTCTCTGTACTCGTCTGCTCGACCGAGGCACTGTCATCCAAGTATGCCGGCACTCGCATCGCCCGCGAATCCAAGGCCGTCACCTGGGCCAACCTGAAGCAGTCTATGCTCCAAACCGCCAGAATCGTGCTGAACTGGAGAATCATGTGCCTGTACCCCATGTTCTTCAATGCGAATGTTTTCTATTCGTACCAGCAGAATAACGTTAATGGACAGACCTTCAATCTGCGAACCCGATCACTCAATGGCGCTCTTTACTGGATTGCCCAGATGTTTGGCGGACTTCTAATGGGCCTTATTCTCGACATGCGCAGATTTAATCGCAAATCCAGCGCCCTTACAGGCTGGGCCGTCCTCTTCACCACCGGTATGGCCATCTGGGGTGGCGGGTATAAATTCCAGCTCTGGAACGATGAACGGTTACGTCACGGGCACAAGCAGGATATTGATTATACGGATGGAAGTAGGTTCCTTGGACCCATGTTTTTGTACTTCTTTTACGGCATGTACGATTCTTTCTGGCAGTCTTACTGCTACTGGATCATTGGCGCGCAGTCACATAACCCTGTGGTGAATGCGGTTATTGTTGGCACCTATTCGGCGTTGAAACCAGCTGGAGGTTCAATGGCGTGGAGGGTAAATGCTGAGGGATACTCTGCTATGACGCAGTTTGCAATGAACTGGGGTTTGAGCATTGGCAGCTTGGTAGTGGCAGTTCCGGCTGTGCTAGCTGTTGGGAGGGAGTTATTGGTTGAAGAAGAGAGTAGCAATGAGGAACAGGTAAATGAAAAGATGACTGGTCTTGCGTAGATGGTCTAGCGTTTGGTATTGGATAGCAACGCAGACAGTACAATGGTCTACAACAATCATAGCATCCTTGGCCTTTATACAAATAGCTCATATTATTATACGGTCACGGAGGAGCCAACAGAGGGCCTCTTTTCAATAATTGGCAGTGTGATCTGTGTCCATTAGTCTTTGCCCGTCGCCCTTGTGTTCCCATAGACCATCACGCGCCAGCAGGTTTACAACATCACCAAGAAGAGCCAACAACTAGGGGAGCATATTGTATCGGTGGAACAAATATCTTTTTTGAGTTCCGACAAAAATCTAGCCCTAGTCTCTATCTTACAAATAGATAAACTAAAGAGCTAGAGAATTGATCCTGGGAATTGAGAGTAAATCTCCCATAACACATCACACCCCAGTGAACAGTTGACCTCCCTGCTTCTGCGACGCGCCGCCATAAATACCATACAAATCCTTCAAATACGTACGAGTCGCCTCCAACCAGGGATTTTTGCCCGCGCTCGCCTGGCATGCATCGCCGCAGACCTGGTGATTCTTGCCACCCCAGATTACAAAGCCATTTATATCCTGATTCCCGGTCAACACATCCAACTGACTCTTCCACAAACCAACAGGGTAAAAGGCATAAGGAGAACCATGGTACTGTGGCCACGTGTAGGGATACACAGGGAGGGAGGCATCTATAGCCTTGATCTTGGCAAGAACACTGTTGAGAGAGGCATTCCAAGTAGTGAGGCTGCTCGAGAATGTGTAAGCTGAAGGGAAGAAGGCGTGGGCGCTATGGTTGGCAATAAGGCTCCGGTAGTGTCCGTACAATGACGCAGCCGTGTTTCCCGAGAGGCCGTACCACCCAATGATTTGATCACTTGGGAGAACTTGGGCGGCCCAGGTCTGCAGCGTCTTCATGACTTCCAGGTTGTGGTCCGCGGTGGATGGCGAGGTGAGGTAGATGTTCTCGCAGTCCAGTACGAGGGGATAACCGGGGTAGATGTTCCATTCCAGCACGATGGATTGCCATGTCTCTGCGGAGGGAATGGCGTTGTTGGCGACGAGTGGGCTGCAGACGTAATTGGGGATCCAATTGATGTTGGATGTGCCGTAGCCGATGGACGTGTTGGTGTAGGCCGTGCTATCAAAGACACGGAAGTTATTGGCACTTATGGCGGAACCTACGAAAGAGGATAATGTCAAGATTTTGGCGAGCATTGTGCTTTAGGTTGGGAAGGCGGTTTAAAAGCGTGTAAGTGGCAATAATAAGATGTTTATTGTTTTTCATTTGAACTAGGGGGTTTAATGGGAATACCGGCTGCTTAAATAAGAATACGTAAATAAGAATACGCCAAGTCTGTTGCATGTCTGGCATGTTCAGGGCTTCCAGCCTTCATTCCTTTCGCCCGTCTACTCCCCATTGGGGCTTTGCATTGAGGCATCGACGGCAGACTCCGCTGCCCTGCTCCGTACAAATCCCAGCCAGAACAGCACCATGGAGCCACTCGCTAGTGGGAAAGAACTCAATGGCAACATCCGACCTGTTGAAGGCGTATCCGGGGCCCCCGCAATTGTGGAAGAGATAACGTACCTGGGGAAGTGACAGGGTCCTGAGCCTCCATCGTCTGCATCCTCCACGTGCATGAGTTAGTTGCCTTTGACATTTCACTTCGCCTCATCGACCCGGGATCCATCAGGAAGAATGACATGATACGAAATGGAGCCCAAGAGCTGTGTCGTTTGTCGCAAACGCAAGGTTTGTTTTCCTCACTCATATTCTAGGCACTTTACTGAGACTCGACAGGTGAAATGCGACCGCACACCGGGATCATGTCGTAAATGCATCAAATTCGGCACAGAATGTATCTACACTACAAAGGGGGATGCCATGAAACCGGCCAAGGGTTATGGTCATCTAGAAGGTACTAATGAAATCACACAAGCTGGTCTGAGACGGCGACGTATTCGCAGGTCATGCGTGGAATGTCAACGGTCCAAAGCCAAGTGCTCTGGGGACACTCTGTGCAAACGATGCAATAGAAAGGGCCTGCATTGTCTTTATCCGATTCAAGATCATGAGAGGTGCGGCTCGAGATCCAGCCTTATTAGTCTAGGAGACGATCGCAATGGCCGCTCATCACACGCGCTGGTTGACACCGATATGCCAACTTGGTTGACCTCGCGGAGCTTACCTCCCGCACATCGCGTGCGTGAACTGCTAGACATATACTTGTCACAGGTCCACACCGTCCGATGCTTTGGTTTCCTGCATATTCCTACGTTTATGGCGCGATTCCAAGACGATGACGCCTTTAATGATGATCGATCCGGGCTCATATATATTCTTTGCGCACTTGCTGCACCCTTTTATTACGCTCGGGCCGTGGTTGCATCTTCAGACCAGGGACCTTTACCAATCACACAGTTTCATCATGCTGGACGAGGATGGGCAGCCAGTGCCATGCAGTGTGTGTGCACCAGCTTCGGCAACTTGGGAGTTGAATGTCTGATGGTTGCTGTTCTGCTGCATGAGCACTTTCTTCGAGTAGGAGATCACGCCAAAGCCTTTCTCATGTCAGGCATGGTAGCACGGCACGTCCAGATCTTACAGCTCAACATGGAGCACGACGCAGATATATTGTGTGAACAAGAGGAATCTATTCCGTGGGTCGTCAAGGAGAGTCGTCGCAGATTGTTCTGGGCGTGCTACCTGCAAGACGCTTTTATTGAATGTGGTATTGATCAGCTGAAGTTCATATCGACCGACGATGTGCAGATACAGTTGCCCAGTTTAGAGGATAACTTTATTCGAAACAAGCCCTGTTTGACGGAGATGCTACGGCAAGGCACCATCCTCCCCTTTGTACAGGGAATCGATGTGCCGAATAGAAAGCCACAAGCGACAGACGACCTGGACCTACGAGCGCTGTACATTCGCGCAATGGCGATTCGATCCCGGGTTCTCAAATACGTCAAACATTTGGGTGATGATATTCCCTGGAATACCAGCCAGGAGTCGGGTTCTGCTTCGCACTTTCAGCGCCTGGGGCAAGAACTCATCGTCCTGGAGTCCTCGATACCGGACGCGATGAGAATGGCACCAGAGAACACCTATTTGTACAAGTCCTCTGGGCGCCTCAACCTCTATTTCAGTCTTCATATTCTCCTTGCACAAACATTCAATGATTTGTATCGCGTTGGTGTAGCTGGACTCGTTTATCCCGTCTCGGCAACAAAATGGATACGAGATAACGCACCCGGTGACTTCCTCAGACGCTGTCATCAGATGTGTGCCACCAAGGCAGCCTACATAGCTACGCTGTTAGACGATCTATATAAGTGTCACAAAGAGAGCATGGTAGACATGCCATTTGCCGTGCACGCGCAGGTTTGCAGCGGAGTGCTAGTAACGACTCTTGCGTCGTGGATGGAGTTAGGCGAATCCGCAACTTCTTCCTTACTGCCAGAGGCTGGACTCCAGCAGTTTCGGCAGATGTTGGAGAGCAATGTACGTGTCCTACAACACCTACGAGCATATATGCAAGTAGACCTGTTTCTGGAATCGGCAGCCCAGGCCATGAAGCGTTTCGACAAGATCACGGAGCAAAGCCGGACGAATGAGCATGCAGAGACAGAGCCGACAGAAGATCAAAACCCGCGACAATTTTCACTGGACTACATTCTTAATCCTCTAGGCGTGTATCCAATCGCACGGACGCAAGCCAGCGACGGACATAAACCAGAGCAATTTGCTTCGTCGGCGGCGGCAAAAGTAGCTGTGGGTAGCACGACTTCTTCGAAGGAATGGGAGTCGTGCGCAGACGACGTAATGAGTCTTGATGGTCACGACGGTCATGATGCCTTTCAGTACCAGAGTAGCGGCCTTTGGGACTGGGAGTTGCAGACCCCAATGCTGGAGTTGACGGGGTATCCGACGTTTTTAGACGATGCGTTTCTAGGTCAGGAGATTGCGGGTGTGAGAGTTTGAGGGCGGACAGACAAATCGTCATAATGTGCCACGTTTGAGGATAGAAAGACATAGCCAGCGTTGACCGAGTAGAAAGCTGGGGTTTCCTGCTTACACGCACGTTATATATCCGTCACGTGGCATTGGCCAACTGCGATGCCAAGTGAGGACGGGTGAAGGACGGGTGAAGAAAAGAAAGAACAACAAGTGACAAGCTCAAGCCACCCCCGTCGATCTTCTCCGCCTCAAAGGGCCAGTTGACGGCCATCTCCCCACATTACGTCGGCGCCGCCCATTACCTAATACCGAGGCACATGCCAATCTGGCAACCTCAATTCCTCCATCGCCAGCCCAGGAACTCGACGAGTATTTACAGCAAATCCGCCTTCCGTAGCTCCCATTCTACCCTACGGCCTCTTTTCCTCTCGTCCCCTCAGCTGACCGCGTCAACCCACCATCAATGTGCCCGGACGCAGGCGCCGTCCCGAGTCACAATGGCGGCCATGCTTGAGTTCCGCACCCAAGGGTACAATCCCTACGCAGTCAAGTACTCGCCCTACTACGATTCGCGCATAGCCGTCGCAACCTCGGCCAACTTTGGCATTGTCGGAAACGGAAGGGTATTCGCCCTGGGGCTCACGGCGCAAGGAGTCCAGGTGGAAAAGACGTATGTTTGCGCCCCAGCTGCCACCCTGGGGCGAGACGGGCTAAACGTATAGCGAAATAGGTTCGACACAAACGACGCATTATACGACCTGGCTTGGTCGGAAATCAACGAGAACCAACTAATTGTAGCCGGTGGCGACGGGTCGCTGAAGCTCTTCGACCTGGGCGTAAACGAGTTCCCCATCATGAACTTCCACGAACACAAGCGCGAAACATTCTCCGTCTGTTGGAACCCCGTCACAAAGGACACATTTATCTCAAGTTCATGGGACGGGACCGTCAAAATCGTCAGCAGAAACTCTCCCAAAATTGCAAAGAGAAAAAAAAAACAGTCAAGCTCCCATATACTAACCGCCCGGTCCCTAGTGGTCACCAACGCGCCCGCATTCTCTCAAGACCCTCCCCATCGGAAACTGCACCTACAGCACATCCTTTTGCCCGTCCAACCCGGCCCTGATATCAGCCGTCTCGTCCGACTCGCACCTCCGCGTCTTCGACCTACGCACCCCGACCTCGGCCAAGTACCACCTCGTGTCCACGATCCCCGTCCACGCCGCCGGCGCCCAGCCCGGCGTCAACCCGGGCCTCGCGGCCGGCAGCCCGCCCGCAGAAGTCCTCACGCACGACTGGAACAAGTACAACGACACCGTCGTGGCCACGGGCGGCGTGGACCGCGTCATTCGCACCTTTGACATTCGCAACCCCACAGCCGGTCCGCTGGGCCTGATGCACGGGCATGAGTACGCCATTCGGCGACTGGCGTGGAGCCCGCATGCGAGCGACGTCCTCATCAGCGGGAGCTACGACATGACGGTGCGGCTGTGGAACGACGGGTCTGCTCAGCCTTCGGGCCCCTTGGCCGGGGCCAAGCCGGGTCACCAGCTGGGTGTCATGAATAGACACACCGAGTTTGTAACAGGTGTTGACTGGTGTTTGTTCGGGGCGGGCGGCTGGGTCGCGTCCGTTGGTTGGGATGAGAGGGTGTTGCTGTGGGATTCAAATATGTTGATGGGCCCGGGTCCAAGATGAAGCTTCAAGAAGCTCCGACAGATAAAGGACAAGCATCATTCATGGTTTCACACTACCGTTTGTGAATGGCGGGTGCATGGAGGCTATACAGCACGGTCACAGAGGTAAGGGAAGAGGCGTTCTGGCTGCAGATACATGGTCTGGCATCATTTCAAAAGAAAAAACAAAGATATATAGGTACATGGGACCCGTACGAGGTTCATTCTATTTAGGTTTCAAACAACCTGTGTGAAGCGAAAGAGAAATTAGTATTCATCATTGGGGAGACTTGGACTTCCTGAACGCCGCGTTTGGTGTGTTGTAACCCTTGACCCTGTGTTATGCCCGTAGTTGTACATGGTGTCTATTCTAGTTTACATTCACCCCTGCCATAACTGGCGCATCTCGAAATATTAGTACAATGTTTTTCCCTAGAATGGAGAATGCCCCCAGACCGGAAAACGTCTCGGATTGGCAACTTGTGTCTTCAAGTCATCCTAGAAAGAGGATTCCCTAGACTCTCTGGACTCTCTGGACCCCCGGAAGCCTCTTGATCCCCTATGAGAGTTACCGCGGTTACTGCGACCGAATCCCTTGTCATCTCGCCGGACACGACGTCCCATGTCAGCGAAAGGGTCAGCTGATGCATGATCATCGAAGCGACGAGGCCCCCTGCCTTCCCTGCGTCCAGATCGGTCATCTTGGCGCGTAGCCCTATCCTGGATGTTCAATTCAGAATGAAGGAGGCCTTGGTTACGAGCCCATGCATGTGAAACGGGTGGCGGCTCGCTCCAGCCCCATCCAACGGTAGTCCACAGATTCAGATCTTCAACCAGCTCTTCCCGTTGTTGAGTTGAATTCCCAAAGATTGAGGTATAAGCGGAACTGAGCATCTTTCGTGGGAGAGACTGAGTGAGATCTTGAGCCTCCTGGTGGTACTTGGGTAGTTTCTCGGCACCTTCCTCCGCATCAAAGGTGAAACTCTCTAGAGTTTTGTTCGGCTGCAGAGGGAGACCGCGCAGGAGCTTCCTTGCGCTACCCATCGATGTTGGTGGGAGAAGAAGCCAGCCTTCGCCGCCCTTATTTTGTCGAGCTGTACGACCTAGTCGATGGATATACGACTCACGATCGCGAGGAGTGTCAACTTGGATAACATGTGTTACGTTGGGGAAGTCCATTCCACGAGCAGTGACATCAGATGAAAATAAAACACCACTTCTCGCATGTCGGAACATATCAGCAGCCTTTGTCCGCTGGTTTTGGGTGAGTTGAGATTGTATAGAGAAAGTGGGAGTTTTCATAAGTCCATTTCGTCTTCGTTGAAAGCCAAGCTCGGCACCCATTTCAACGAGGGAGGTGGTATTGAAATAAACAATGGCCTTGAATGGGGGCAGGCTGCGATCCTCAGCCGCCTTGGCAGATTCTCGGTCGATTAGTTCAAACAAGCTGGGGAAAACATTGTTCCATGAAGCCAGTGGCACGACATGCTGTGGTACTCGGTCGTGGGTAAGCGACTCGTTCTCTGAGATGGTCTGGACAAACTCGAAATCATCGGCTCGAACCATTGTACGGGCAAGTCTAATGACATCGTCCGGTATGGTAGCCGAAACCAACATGGTTTGGCGAGTTTTTTCGTTCCGACTTGGGAGGCAGCTTGTGATCTCCCCAAGTTCTTTTTCGAAGCCAACATCGAGCATGCGGTCCGCTTCATCCAGAACAAGAGCCGCCAAATTTGGTGCCTCAATACCACTTTGAGGATCCTGCAGCAAATCATTCAGGCGGCCTGGCGTAGCGACCAACAAATGGCATCCTTGGCGCTGCGTCTGGCGCAGCATAGAACCCTTGTGAGTGCCTCCAACTGCCGACTGGACGACAAGGCCAGTGTACTTTGTCAAACGACGAGCTTCGGCTGCAATTTGCTCGGCGAGCTCTCGGGTCGGCGATAAAACAATGCCGCGAATATCATCCGATCGGGCATTTCTCGAGGCACGTCTAGTAGCCAGAGTTGGGTCTTCTTCGATCATACGCTGGAGCAACGGCAGAAGGAAAGCCAAGGTCTTTCCAGTTCCTGTCTTGGCCTGGGCAACACTGCGTCGGATTAGTACAGAGGAGCGAGCAACAGTCCCGACAGCTAGCTTATGTACTTACATATCTGTTCCCTTTAGTGCCGGATTAATAGTTTTGGACTGAACGGGTGTCATAGCCTCATATCGCATATCCTTCGTAATAGCGTCTAGGAGATTTCTATGAACTCCAGCCTGCGACAGGTCGGCAAAGTTGACAACGTCGCTCGGGACAGTCCCCTCGATGGGCTTGGTTTCAACAGCTGCAGCTTCTGCGCTGTAGAATCTCGAAGAGTATGCGATGCTCTTGAAGGTAGCAGGAGTCCGCGCCAAAGACACGACACCTCTCGGTGCAATGGGGATGGCCGTCCGGCTGTGAAAGAACGCGGACCGTGTAACGGCGCTGGTGAGGCCAGCACAGTGGCGAAAGCCTTGCCTCAGCATACTGACAGCCTTCTTCGCAGAACGAAACAGATTTTATTGATGCGAAGGACACTTGGCTTTCACGATTGGGAAGGTTTGGAAGGGCAGCAAGTGATGGAGAACCTCAAAACGGGATCCGCGACTCTGGAGAATTTCACCAGGGAGTCGCGGCTCCAGAACTTTTTTTCCTCTTTCCCAAGGTGGATGGGTGGCAACTGCCTTTTCCCCACAATATGTCAGCAACTTGACCAATCAGGTTGATATAATTTCCCTACCCCTGCCCATTCTTGAAGCGAGTCTAAAAACACCATGAATTGAATAGCTTCATGGCTACAGTTAATGTAAAGCAAAAAAGAGATAGAGGAAGGCAAGGGGGAAATAAGTTAGCAAGATATAGAACCAAAAGACACCCCAGTTGTCCGTTCTTCAAAGGTCAACAAACGCCACCACAAACGCGACAAATGTTTGCCACTGCGTGAACCACAATCTCGAAGCAGTTTAATCGATATAATCCCGTATAGATAAAAGAAACATCATTTAATAATATTACTTTCAGAAAATATCATGTCTCCGGTGGCATTGGTGTTGCTGACGTCTCGGGACCCCCTGGTTTATTCTCCCCATATGTACGCTTCGCAACGGCTCCGGGGACGGCTGTGCATCATGGCTTATAACAAGGGAGCTAATAGGTCATTCGGGTTCGAGATGCATAGGGTTTAACAGCGCCAACTGACTTCATATCTTGTTTAGTCGCCCTCCGAATGTTGCCGAGGCGTCTACAACTCGAGACAGTACTTTGACCGAAGCACAAGAGTTAACGCAGCATCTAATGCTTTATTAACAAGAAGAGAAAATGCCGTGAGTATCAATATCAAACGCCAGCCTGGCAGACTTGATCATTCTTCACCTCATGTCATTGATCATTCCAACCCAATGCTATATGCAATCAACAATCCATAAAACGCCGAACACTGTCCTCTCTCTCATGAACTATGCCTTCTCCTTGACCTTCTAAATGCCATCTTCCTCCAAAGCACGCAATTTTACTCTCAACTTAAAGCATGTCTTTGCTCATCTCATAAGACCAGCCACCATCCCGCCTGAGCTTGTCTCGGGCTGCCATATCCTTTCTAATGTCATCTTCTGTTAGTCGATCGGCCCCAGTCCAGTTAGCACTCGACGTTCTGGCCCGGAATTTGTGCCACCTATCTTTGCTCTTGCTGAACACTTCTTCCATGTTGAGCGGTCGCGGCGGTCCAAAAATCAGTGAAGGATCCATAGTCTCCTGATTAACCAGGGCTTTTCTAAGATCTGGCGAGTCCGCCCAAGGCGCCACTACAACACCATTTGCCTCATCATCCTCACTATCGTCATCTGTTTGAATTTCAGGCAGTTCAATCGCTTCACCATTCTGGAAACGGGGAGAAGACCTCGTCACAGACTTGGCAGCGGACTTGGCAGTATTGGCAGGGCCAGGTCGGGCGGGAGTCTTATAAGCTGGGCCTGCGGCGTTCGGGTTAGGGGCAAACGGAATAGCACCCTTGGAGATTTGAGCCATTTCTAGTGGGTGGGACGCCTTCATCTGGTTGGCATGCTGGGCGGTTATGGTGGCCTTGAAGAGATCGCGGGTAGCACCATGTGGTGCATTTGTGTAACCGCTCTGAAAAACAGTCTTGGACGGTAGCTCCTGTTCGATGTTAGTCAAAATTGCTGTAATTGTTTCAAAGGGGCTGCGTACCTTCTTGAATCCAGCTGATGGTCGAACAGGGGGTCCCATAATGTTCTTTTGGCCAGATGCATCAGCTTCATCATCAAAGGCGTCACTGGTTCGTCGTCGCTTAGCATCGTTGGTTTGATATGATGGGCCCCCGCGGGATTGAGGGCGTTTTTCATGGCCATCATCACCTTTCTCCTGGACGAAGTTTCTTTTCGAACCGGCTTTGCCCGTGTTGGATAAGACTGCATTGACTGGCCTACCAAGCTCATCTTGACCCCAGTTTGCAGTGGATGTCATCCGAGACTGGGGGCGCGCAGGTTGACTATCCTGGCCCATCGCAGAGTCCGGTGGACCGTTGGGCTGGGAACGCACAGCAGGGGGTGGCGCCCTGGTCTGCTTCGCCTTTTCTATAGCAGCTTTTCTCTGAGCATTGCCTTTGGTCTGGGATTGGGATTGCAATGAGGCCTGTTCTTGTTGTTGTTGCTTTCTTTGGCGTTCAGCCTCCTGACGTTTCAGCTGTTCTTGCCTTCGTTGCTCTTCCTGAGCTGCGGCTTTCTTTCGTTCCATCTCAGCCTTGGCGTCGCGTCTCTTCTGGGTTTCCTTTTCTTCTTGTTCCTTCTTCCTGGCAGCCACTTCTTGCGCCTTGGCTCGGCTGGAAGGAGCCGCGCCTCTCAAACTTTGTGTTGATTGTTTTAGTTGCAGTGATGCCTTGCTAGCTTTGCTTGTAAGTTGTTGTTGCGTTTGGCTCGCAGAGAGACTTGATACATCAGGCTGTGCAGTAGACAATCGATACTGTGAATGTTGAGATCCTGTGTTAACTCGAATCACAGTGGGGGCCTGTTTTGGCCGAGTTTGTGTTTCTCTTGTAAATGGTCGCTTGATTTCCCTGTTGCGTGTAGCGTGAGTTGGACCAACAGAGCGAGGCGCAGACGGTGGTGGCATCGAAGGGGCATCCTCCATGTCAACGTCTCTGTTCAGAGACGTTGTTTCTTCCCCAGAATTTTTTGCATTACGATGTCCAGTCCTTGCAGACTTGGGTGTTTCCTTAACTGCTGACCGTTCATCTTCCTTCTTGGACGCAATTTGCATCTCCATGGCAGCAACTTTCTCCTGTTCCTTGCTAAACACACGGGCTTTCTCGCGTTCCTTTTGCCTGGCCTTCTCAAGTTTCTCATTTTGCTCCTCCATTCTTTTGGCTTCCTTTTCACGTCTCTTCTCTTCTTTCTCCTTCTCAACAGACGCTCGCGTACGCCGTGTCAACCGCGTGGGGCTTGCATCTTGGTTGGCTGGCGCACTCTGGGATGCCTGGGAACCAGTTCCTTGCTGGGAGACAACGGATTCTGATGACATAAAAGAATGAAGACCGAGACGGGTTGAAGTAGGAGACATTAACGATTTCCCTTCGGCGCTGATAGCTGCACTACTGGCGAGCAGTCCTCTGGAACTTTTGAGAATAGACGAGAGCTTATTCTTAACCTGCTTCAAAGGGCTCTCTCGCAGTGCTCGTGAAGGTGACTTGAATGTGCCCAAAGAACCAGCTTCGGCCACAGTCAGAAGACTCGGATTGGAGACAGACACAACTTTCTTCAGATAGTGAGTATCCTCCATTGCGGGGCGCATGTTCGGTACAACTGGAACGGAGGCAGACTTCCCATGCCCATATGTATGCTTGGCACCATTGCCTTTGCCCGGACGGGCAAATTGCTTGTCGACCTCGGCATTGTCGTCATCTGACATGACAAAATCTGTTTCGCCAATAGTCTTTTTGCCCTGAATGCCCTCCATAACGTCTGCTGAATGGCTTTTTGGCAGGCTTGGCCGTTCTTCATTTGCCGCTGCTAGAGTTGCTGGTGGCTCGATCCAATCATCGTCGTCATCTTCTGGGAAAGCCCCTGGTGTGGATTGTAGCGTGTTCAAGGGAATCGGAGAAACGGCTTTAAGGGCAGGGGCCTTGCTCTGGGGCTGTGTTTGGACATTCTTCGCTTGAGATTGGCCAAGCATGTTGATCTGGTCTTGAAGCCGTTGGGTGTAAGTTTTGTTGTCCTGATTTGTAATAGGATGCGAAGGGAGTTCATCATCCACCTCCATTTCATTTTCCTGGTTCTCATCTCGGTCCGGCTTCGTTAAGTTCCCTCCAAGACTCTTCCCTCCTGTCGTTCGATTGTAGTAGCTAGTCCTGATGTGGTCGAGATGGCTGGTTCGGGAGGCCCGCGCGCCATTGCTCTTACCAGCTGCGAGAGGCTCCCGGGCTGGCAACGATGCAAAATTTAAACTGCTCTTACGAACTATAGGCCGAATAGGACTAGAGCCATCCGATGCTGATCGGGCATCATCATCAGGGTAATGTGCACCCTGTTTTGCTTCCAAACTCAACTGTCGTTCAGGTGACACATCATCTTCGTATTCTGATTCGCGATGGAGATTGAGTTGTGCTTTAGGGATGCTCTTTTTTGATGTATCTGCAGAAACTCGTGCTGTCTGGTCCTCTCTAGCAGTTTGGAATGTCTTCTCAGGCGAAGGTTGAGTGGAAGCATTTGCCGGGCTATTCTTCAGTGGAATTGTCGTGGTCTGCACAGCGCCTTGTTGTAGCGAGTCTTGTCCATCATAAGAGTCTGAGTCCATATGAATATTCACTGGGACAACATCTTGGCTTCCAAAGTAGCCAGAGTCCTGGGTCCCTTGCATGGCTGACTTCTGTGAGAAAACTGGGACACGAGTCGGGGATGGTCTGAGGGGACTTGGGGAGCCTCTGGCTGCATCATCGTGTACTCCGGGAGATTGCAGACGACTTATGGGACTCGAGGCTCCGTTTGGAGTTGCAGAGAAGACCTCAGAAAGAGGCTATGCCTTGTTAGCTTTCGTGTGTTGTTTGAGTGCGGTTCAACATACTACGCGTGTCTCTAGAGGGTTTGCTTTTCTAGCTGTTCTCGGCGTCTTTCCGCGAAGTTTTGCCGGTGTTTTAAATGTTTCTGCAAAGTTTCTGAGAGACCATCAGCCATCAAATGTCCAACGTCCGTTATCGATAGAAAGTGCATACATTTCATTTTCATTAAAGATGTTTGCCATGTGCTCGTTGAGCCAGTCGAGTTCATTTCGGGCGGAGTACGAGAACTCATCAACCTCCGATTGAGTGATCTGTAGAGCTGCATTTCGTTCCTCGGTAATCCATCCTGCAGAGCCAACTTGCAAGCGCGGTCCTCGCATTGCCGCCATGATATCTCGCGTTGCCGACCAAGGCAGGAGTATCGTAGAGGTTGTTGGCGTTCGATATAGTTGAAACGATCGATATCATGAAGACATCTGGCGGTATGTGATATAAAACGACTTCGACTAATGAGGCTGAAGGGAGAGTCTGAGTTACAGGTGGCCAAGGTAGGTCGATGTTGATGGTGGAGAGCTCTGACGCTGGATTGCCCATTCCAAGCCGTAATGTTTTGATTGATCCCGGATCGGGTTAGCGCCTTATGGACAGCCCTCCTTCCACACAGTCGCGTCCGGCCCGGCACTAGCTGAGGGCATTATGAGGGCTGCGGCTGCGGCTGAAACGGTCAAGAAAAATGGATTTCGTCACGTGGTGATAGGCTGCTTATCAGATACTAAACACGCTTTGTTTACTTTCACCGCGTCGTCGCCAAGGTGGGATGTTTGGTGGCCGACAGCAGCCTCAACTTGACTCGCATGCAGTCAATCCATATTTACCTTCACAGAAGGCAACTGCGCAAATATGAGGGTAATAGAAGTAATTATTGACGTAGGTCAGCTCGTTTTTTGGCCACCAAACACAGCCGACTAATATTCTTGCATAGGGTTTCAAGTCGTACGCCGTACGAACGGTAATATCGGGATGGTAAACACCAGAGTAAGCCATGGGAATACGTTAACAGCATCGCTAATGTAAGTGATAGGGACGAGAGTTTCAATTCGATTACCGGCCTTAATGGCAGTGGTAAATCAAATATTTTAGATGCCATTTGTTTCGTCCTGGGCATCACCAACATGTCTACAGTCAGAGCACAAAATCTCCAGGTATGAGCCGCCTACACCTTCAGATTTTGAATCATGATATTAACGTGTGACTAGGATCTCATCTACAAGCGCGGACAAGCTGGAGTCACGAAAGCCAGCGTAACAATTGTATTTGACAACCGAGATAAAAAAAAGTCACCGATCGGTTTCGATGAATATGCCAGCATTAGCGTGACACGTCAGATTGTGCTAGGCGGCACTTCAAAATACCTCATCAATGGGCACCGAGCACAACAGCAGACTGTTCAAAATCTGTTCCAGTCAGTACAGCTCAATATCAACAATCCTAATTTTCTCATTATGCAAGGGCGCATCACCAAAGTCTTGAATATGAAAGCGGTTGAGATCCTTGCTATGATAGAGGAAGCTGCTGGAACCAGAATGTTCGAGGACCGTCGAGACAAAGCACTCAAAACTATGGGCAAAAAGGAGCTAAAACTTCAAGAGCTGAGAGAGCTATTAAAAGACGAAATCGAACCAAAGCTAGAAAAACTTCGAACAGAGAAGCGAGCGTTTCTCGATTTTCAGCAAACACAAAATGACCTTGAGCGCCTAACAAGAGTCGTTGTTGCCTACGATTATATCAAATGCCAGGAGAAGTTAAAGCAATCTGCAGCAGATTTGGAGGACAAGAAAAAACGTCACAGGATGTTGGAAGAATCCGCGACTCGTCTAAGGAGTGAAATATCACACTTGGAGGAGGACGTGAAGAAGGTCCGAGCTCAACGGGAAAAAGAAGTAAAGAAGGGGGGGAAAGCCGGGGCCCTGGAGGAAACCGTCAAAAAGCATGCAAATGAGTTGGTACGACTTGCCACGGTCATGGACTTAAAAAATACCAGTTTAGCGGAGGAAAAGGAGAAAAAGCAAATGGTCGAGAAGACTGTCTTAGAGATGGAAACAGCTTTGAAAGACAAGACGGCTGCCTTTGACGATGCCAAGACATCATACGATAAGGCAAGAGACGATCTTGCCAAGCAAACTCAAGAAGTTGAAAGCAAAGAAGAGCTTTTGCAAACACTTCAAACAGGCGTCGCTTCCAAGGATGGGCAAGAGAGTGGCTATCAAGGCCAGCTACAGGACGCAAGGAATCGAGCCACAGCAGCCGCGACCGAACAAGAACAGGCCAAAATCAAAATTGCACATCTGGAAAGCCGACTGAAGGAGGAAGAGCCACGCGCTGAAAAGGCAAAAGAACAGAACGCCGGCCTTCTTCGCGACCTCGACGGACTAAAGGGCCAAGTGAACCAACTTGAAAAAGAGCTTGGGAAGTTGGGTTTTGAACCTGGTCAAGAAGAGGAAATGTACAAGCAAGAGTCACACTTGCAACAGACTATCCGGGGCCTTCGCCAGGACTCAGACAAACTCAAGCGCCAAGTTGCCAACATCGACTTCAACTACGCTGATCCCGTTCCGGGTTTTGACCGATCTAAGGTGAAAGGCTTGGTCGCGCAACTTTTTACTCTTGACAAGGAACATACTAGGGCCGGCACAGCGCTTGAAATCTGCGCAGGTGGCCGACTTTACAATGTAGTCGTGGATTCAGAGGTCACGGGTACTCAGCTGCTTCAAAAAGGGAAATTACGAAAGAGAGTCACCATAATTCCCCTGAACAAGATTACCGCTTTTAAAGCGTCGGCCGAAACTATTGCGACTGCACAAAACATCGCTCCTGGGAAGGTTGATCTTGCGCTTTCTCTAGTGGGATATGACGAAGAAGTGTCTGCAGCAATGGAGTATGTGTTCGGAAATACTCTGGTTTGTGCCGATGCAGAGACTGCCAAGCGTGTTACTTTCGACCCCAGTGTCAGGATGCGAAGTATCACTCTAGAGGGTGATGCTTATGATCCTTCCGGTACACTATCAGGAGGTAGTTCGCCTAATTCTAGCGGTGTCTTGGTGACGCTGCAGAAATTAAACAACATCACTCGACAGCTCAAGGAAACCGAGCAGGCGTTAAAAGAATTACAAAACAAGATTAGCAAAGAAAAATCAAAGTTGGATCAGGCTCGTCGTATCAAGCAAGAACTCGATCTAAAGAACCACGAGGTCAAACTCGCAGGAGACCAGATTAGCGGCAACTCTTCATCTTCAATTATTCAGGAAGTTGAGAACATGAAGACCAGTATCCCTGAGATTCAAAACAGCATTACTGAGGCTAAGTCTCGTCAGGCCGAAGCCAATGCGGATATCAAGAGAATTGAGAAAGACATGAAAGACTTCGACACAAACAAGGATGCAAAGCTTATTGAACTCCAAAAATCTTTGGATAAGCTGCGGGCTAATCTTGAGAAGAACTCTGCAGCAGTCAAAAGCCTGCAAAAGGTGCATCAAAGTGCTCAACTTGATCTGGAACAAGTGGGAGCGGATCTGTCCGCCGCCCGAGAGCAACTTCAGGAAGCCGAGGTTGGGATCAAAGCAGCGCAACAGGATGTTGAAAATCTTTCAAGACAGCGGGCTGCATTGAAAGAAACACACGACACTGTCCAAGCTCAACTAGATGATGAGAGAGCCAAGCTAAATTTGTTTGACGACGAACTTCGTTTGTCAGAGGAAGCCATGCGATCGAAAAACGCTCGTATTACTGAGGAAGGTCTAGAAATGCAAAAGCTTGGCCATCAAATCGAACGATTCCATAAAGAGCGGCAAGCTGCCGCAGATAACGTTGCTCATCTGGAATCAGAGTACGAATGGATCCAAGACGAAAAAGACAAGTTTGGCCGGAGCGGCACGCCTTATCATTTTCAGGACCAAAATATTGGTGAATGCAAAGCCACACTGCGAAACCTTACAGAACGTTCGCAGGGCATGAAGAAGAAGATCAACCCCAAGGTTATGAATATGATTGACAGTGTCGAGAAGAAGGAAGTCACTTTAAAGCACATGATTAAGACAGTCATTCGCGATAAACGGAAGATTGAAGAAACCATCGTCAGCCTAGACGATTATAAGAAGAAGGCCTTACATGAGACTTGGGAGAAGGTGAATGGCGACTTTGGCCAAATTTTCTCAGAGCTGCTTCCTGGGGGCAGTTTCGCCAAACTCGACCCCCCTGAGGGCAAGACTATTAGCGACGGTCTTGAAGTCAAAGTGTGCCTGGGTAAGGTGTGGAAGCAGAGCTTAACAGAGTTGAGCGGTGGCCAGAGGTATGGAATTCAACGCATGGAAGACCAGAAAATTCTTGGACAAATACATAGAAACTGACCGGATTACAGATCTCTTGTTGCCCTCTCGCTCATTATGGCACTTCTTCAATTCAAGCCTGCGCCGATGTATATTCTCGACGAAGTTGACGCTGCTTTGGATCTTTCCCATACGCAAAATATTGGCCGTCTCATCAAGACAAGGTTCAAGGGTTCGCAGTTCATTGTCGTCAGTCTGAAGGATGGCATGTTCCAAAATGCCAACCGAATATTCAGGACACGCTTCAGTGAAGGCACGAGCATGGTTCAAGCCTTGACTCCTGCCGATATGAAGTAATCAATGTAGACATGTTTAGAGTCATCATGAGATACGAAAGTGACATGAAGAAGTATTGTACATAGATCATTGGACGGGATATTGACGAAGAGCGTTTATTTCTTTATTTTAGCTTCATGTGCCTGCAGATATTTGGTATCATTATATATTGGCCCCTTACGGGGTATACTTATGGAGTGGTTTATCTAAGTTTTCTAATCTAAGTATTCGGACCTCTTTGTAGCCTTGACCTTGGGATCACATTGCCCATCACCGCGCGCTTTGTTTGACGTATAAATGAGATCCACGTTCGAGAACGTCAACCTCCATACCGACTTCCAGCACAGACTCCAATCGTTCTAGATTGCTGCTTGTTGGAAATGTAGGCAAGAGTTGCATGCCAAGACAGCCCATCTTAGGAGCACCGGCATCAATATCCCGATACTTGCGGAGGGCACGATCTGGTTCCACAATGTGCCGAATACCCGTGGCAGGGTCGACATTCGGTAGCTTGCATCTTCATCCCACATGTTAGTGTTCCTGGCATCATTCTCCCATCTGGACGAATGTCACTTTACCTCACAGTTCTACATGAGACATCAAACCTGCTCATTGTTTCGCTTCTGCCGGGATGTTTGAACTTGACCGATTTCCAGTCATCTTCATCATATTCCTTTAAGCCAGAAACTAGGTTCGTTATTTGTGAGTCAGTATGAGGCAGTTGATCTGGAGCAAGGGGCCTGTATTGGTCAAGTACCGATTATATTGCCCCGGAACCGTCGAACGTCAATGCGATCAATGAATCTGTCCTTCTGAATCTTTGACTCTAGCGCTCGAATACTTGTCAGATTGAGCAGATGTACCGGGAACTATGATGTCAGTTTACTGCTAGTTTGGGGGCGAGGCAGGGGTGGTAGTAGGGGACGTTGTAATTTACTGCATCGTGAAAATCTATCTCCGCTTCATGACCTGACATCTCGTTTCGCGGAGCAGTTCGGAATACTTTTCTGCGAGCAGATGGGTCGGATCGGAAGATACCCAGCGAGTGCTTGACCCCAAGATACGTGGCAAGTTCGGCCGGCAGCTCGTTGGACATGTCAAGTGCATAGGGAGCGTCCACCCACACCTTGATATTTGCAAACTTATAGCCTCTTGCATCAATTTCCTGCTTGGATGGGAATTCCAATGGCAGTATGAATTCCTTCTCCGGAACCGCGCTCCAACCCCGACTAAGCTTGGCAACAAGAAGTTGTACCAAGCCCAGGAAGCCCCTTTCCTGCCAGGGAAAACGGACAGCAACAAACCCGCCTTGCAGGCTGCCCAGAAGTCTGCTCTTCTTGCCCGCATCCGGTAGCCATATATCAACTTTGACGTTGGCCAAGAGCGGCAGCTGCCTCAGTGTCAAGAATTCCCACGCGCTGCTCGAGTCCGTCTGTGCACCTGGTTCTGTAACGGCGGGTGTAGACTTGGGCTTCAACTGAGCAAACGTGTAGAGGCGGTCGTGCTCCAGGCCGGTGGGTAAGACCTTGGCCCTGTCCAACTCTATTCCTCTACACGATTTGATGGGGTAAATGTACAGACTCTCGATTTTCGGTGTCTTTCCCGCCTGCGGCTTATGTCTGGCATCATATTGCGAACGCAAGTGGCTCTCACGCTGCGGGCGGCCAAGTTTGCTGTGTGTCTGCCGTAACGCATCACTATGGTCGACAGGCACCGGCGGGAATAGGATAAGAATTGGAACCAGGAAGACGATGATGGTGACAACCATGAGGAAAATGGCGCCGTAGTCGAATAGACTCGTTATCCTGGAAAGGTAGAGCATCTTGCCGGGCGATGTTATGAAGCCCCGCGGTCAGCCCTTCAGCCAAGTGACTTGTTCGAGTGGTCAGGGCGCAATAGCTTGATTTTGTTCAGGGGTGGCGATTCGAGGAATGTGATTAGATTTATGAGATAATTCAGATGCATGGACGGAAGTTGATGTTCAAGGCCCCTGAATACAAAGGCCTGAAACCGTCAAGGCGAAGCTCCACCTGAGTCGAGGTTCGACTTTGGTTATCCACGTCACAGGAATGAGACCGTCACTGCGTAAACGCTGACCATTAGAGACGAGCCTCGGCGCTGGGCTTTTGGTCGTTATTTCTGACTGGGACGTGTTGCTTTGACGTTGTTGAATCGCTGCCGGACTCTAGGGTAGTGGAAATGCTGGGGTTTTGAGTTCGGCCTGGTGAGAATTTTCACGGCCATACGGAGCGCTGGCTATGAAATAAACGACGGCATAAAGTACTGAGCTTGAGCAGAAATGAAGCCGCTCAGGTGCTCAAGGGAGTGTTGAGTATTGAAAATTGCATTCTTGTTCTCCATCTACTGTTCTTCTCACACTGCCTCTATTTTCTCTATCTGCTACGCCCAGGACTGGGCATATGCGTCACACATTGCAAGGCCATTCCCCTTTGGGTTGCAGTTTGCGCCGCAGGGTAGGTGCGATCATGACCAAAGTGCTTGCCTGGCAACCTGGGTAACTCCTCCGTACTCCGTAGATGGTGGTAGCAATGGACTCCCTTTACAGCAACAACACCCAACCCTGTTGTGACGGCTGATGGCGGGATATCTTGTTATTCCCGCCTCCAGCAATTAACGTTGCTTGTCCGAAGTGCCATGCACGGTCGACCTCTCGCACATCATCAAGCCGTCAGGTTACACGAACGTAGCACCCCCGCCGCGCTTGTTGTGTCTGGTCGTCCAGTCGGAGACTCTGGCTGGAATCAACATCCTGGCAACCCACACCAGCACAATGTGATTGCCCGTCACAATGCCTCCAAAACGATGACTTACATGGCCTCGGACTGTTGCTTCGTCCTCAGCCAAGGACTCAAGTGCAACAGCATCTCTTTGCCAGACGAGCCTGAGTGAAGGCTGGATCTGACAGCTCCCTTTTCAACCAACAATCATGCACAGCTGTGGGCCCAAATCCAGCTCTTCCCTTGCCATCACCACGAAAGCACCACAGAGTCCATCCATGACATGAATTCAACGCAAACCATGAGCGGATTGCTCCGCCCGGCCAAGTCCGTCGACATCACACAACTACAGTGCTCTGTTGTTTGGAGCTAATTGACCCCTTTCTTCAAATTGAAATCACCCTGTATGACCCATACTGTCATATTCTACCGGGCAAGCATCACATGAATCGAAGTGATTTTTTTCTGCACACCAGCCGCTGTCCCGAGGCATGGACCCTCGACGCTCCTGGATGATCAATCCCTGGACCTGTAGGATCTGGCCGATCACTCGTACACCATGCCTGCCTGTCCGTGCCACTTTCCGCGGCAGAAACCACATTTCTCTCACTCTGGGCCTTTAGGAGGTGGAGGTACACAGCATGTACGGTGGTGTATGTCGGCGTGATTCCGCCCCGTGTTTAGCGCCCAGAGTCAGCGCCACAGCTGCTGAATATCGATCCATATCATGGGCCTGCCTGCAGAGGATGCATTGAACTTGTCAGGGCCCGAGATAACAACGAACAGGAAGACGACGCCAGGGGACTAGAGACAGTGCCTCCCCGGGGCGGAGACTTGGCTTGATATTAAAGGCGAGGAAAAAGGAAAAGCGAACGGATGAGGCAGGTTGATGAAAAGGCATGAAGGTCGCAAGACCCGAGGGCGGTCTTCTTCGACCGAAGATGTTTCCGAGATGGACATCAAACAAAGTTTCATATCAGCAGCATGCTCCGAATTATTACAAGAGGTGCAAACGAAACATTGGAGACAAATCAGGCAACCATAGCGTATGGAGCGAGGCCACTTGTCATGAATTCAATCTTCCATGTCATATCATCCACTTCAGGCCCGAACCGGCACGCCACGCAGCTTGTTGTGAATGCCATCAGTACTACGAATCCCTGGTGATAACATCTGTCTGTTAAGTGACCAAACTCTGCGCGGTCGGGGACCCTTCAGAGCATCGCCCCTGTCTGCTTTGATCACTTCGCCGATTGAGTGGGTGGAGCCTTGTACGGTTGCACTGTTTTGGACATCAACATCTTTGTCGCGCCTTCAGTCAATTTGGTGTATTGTACAAGACGGAGTCTTATATGCCCGGGACTTCACAGCAGCTCCCGTCGGAAGCATTGAAAAAATTCCGGGCCCGAACTTAACTTAGCGGATGATGGAGTAGTACTATGTAAATGTCATCTGTCCATCTCTTGCCTGCCGCTGGACGAAACTATCCCCGTCTTCGACATGGCAATGCCAAACCTTAAGTTGCAGGCGTATTACATACATGCATATCTTGACACATTTCTATTCACTTATATATAGTATTGAGGGTGACTCAGACACATACGACAGGCGGATAAGTTCAGGTAATAATCCGGGCGAGTGCGGTTTCTGACACAATTTTTTAGTTATCGTGACAAAGATCGTGGCAACCAGCATGGCAAGTTTCCTTGCCAACAGACTCAACACAAAGCGGTAATCTATTGAACCCTGCTGGGCAGAGGAACTTCATTCGGACGCGACCAGTCTGCCAATTCCAGCGTCTGTATTCAGGCGGAGGATATCTATGCAGCATGCCTCCAGTGGTGAGTTGCAGATGACCACCGGTATTTGCCAGCTACGCGCAAACAGAGTCATTAACCAGCCTAGGTCTGATTGTAGTACGAATGTTTTCTAGAATGGCCGGATCATTACAGAACCCCTGTCGGAGAGAACTCTACCTGCTTCATCATACTAGTACTCCGTACTCCATAAAGAGGGCTGGATAGCCGCCGCAACAACGTAAGATACTGCGGATACTACTCATCAAATCCTTGTCCTTGCCCAAAGTATAGTGTTATTCTGGTTGCCTGGCTGTAATTACAGGACCAGCTAGCTCTCTCCCCTCTGCCCAGGCGCCAGGGTGTTATCTCTTTGTATGTATGTATGTCTGTTCGTACACTTGATACTACTGCTAGTCTCTACATGCTAATACTGGCTACTAATGCGGCTAAGTTTGACATCACGGCGCCACGATGACATTGGCACGAAAAACTGCAGTCTCGGCCCTTGTTCTGGAGTTGTCTTGCAAAGGAAGCAGGTGCTTGACATTTCTTTGCGTCTACCCCTGTTGGTAACTAGTATCTCAGCATGGCCGCACTTACATACAAAGTACCTGGGTAGTTTAAGCCAAGCCGCCGATCGACTTGATGCGTACGTAATTCACGGGAGTTACCCTGTGGGGGGGGATAACTTCAAGTAAGTGGGCAACCGTCGTTCCTGTTAAGCATACTCCGTAGAGTAGGTACCAGGTGTTAACACTTGACGGCTGATTTTCGGATAGAGGACTGGTGGACATTGTTGCGGAGCATGGTGCATACGAACAGGCCAGTCCTGTGTTGCGTCTGTCATGCCGAATCAAAAGAGAACCGCAGCAGGGTCCAGGACTACTACCTGGCAGTTAGCTAGACCAAACCCGAGCGAGAGGCAGTTGAGTGACAGGTGCTTCTGTGGATGAGTGGGCACGGGGACGTTCTTTCAACCAAGTCATCGGGGCAGCCGCGGGTTCCTGTCAATCTTCCAGCATGCCAATGCCAGGCTTCTGACTCGCACCATTTCTGCACCTTTCGTACCGCCGTGCACTGACGCCATGCCGTTCTGACCGCGCAAAGAATATGAAAAGAGTCTGTCCACCTGGCAGCCACACCGTAGAGCCAAGACTGGGGGCCTGGGGATACGGAGTGCCGGTGGCGGGAGAAATGAAGTGACCCGTCCACTGCGGTTGCATGTTCCTGGACACACTTGAGCTTTCGAAGGAACTTTCGCAGATTAGCACTGGCAGGTGAACAAGCATAACGGCGACTGGATGATATGAACCCCAGCAACCAGCACCTCCTGCAAACCTGAGAAAACGAACGAGTATGCTGATGGATGGCCGAAGAGGTGGACGGAAGCAGCCTCGCAATCCAACCTCGACTTGGCAGATCCTCCACAATACGTCGAGAACTTGAAAGTACGAATAGTGGAAAGCACCGTAAAGTCCTAGCACTGGTCCCGCTGCTATGACATGGTGGTTGGATCGCAATCCAGGTCGAGACCTCCTTGCTACAGAGAGTCTACTGAACAACAACATCTTCACGACGCATCATCTGAGATGGCAGCACCATCACAACCAGCCCAAAATCAGTCACCAAAGACACCAGATTTCCACGTTGCGGCAGCGGGAGATATGTATTTGCAGTGGCTCACGCAGGACGTCAAAGTGCAAGTATGGAGTATCTGCACCAAGTATTACGAAAGACTTCATATGGATACACATGTACTATGTATGTATGTATGTGGAAGCCCTGTCTGTTTGATGTCAGAGGCGCCACGATGAAATCATCCTGCCCGCCTTACTAACCGGGCTAGTCTGCACATGGCATGGATCACGGTGAATTAAGCATTTGAGAGATCATCCAACCACACCTACGCGGAGTATGGAAGCACATGGGAATCGCGGCTTATTGCAAACAAATCCCTACAAGGAGACCCTAGTAAACCCAGACGGGATGGTCCGTTTTGACTCTGCAGCATGTACGTCCTTTCTACGCGCTGTACGTATTCGTCCACCTCAGGAGTTGGAGTTCCATCTGGAGCAAGTACGTCAACAAGTATATATATCAAAGAACAGTGTCCGGTAGCGGCAGCCATTGTGCTTGGCTGAGCTTATGCATGACTGCGGACGACCAATTGTTGTGGGATGAATCAACCCTTGACGTTGCGGATGGCTTTGCAATTACATACATACGCAGAGTTTCTAGAGTTGGCTTTCAAGATCGACTCAAATTAGTCTCAGCCGCCCCAGGACAGGCGCTCCACCAGGGTTAGCATGGAGGAGATGGTGGAGTACCATCACGTCGTATTGTCTGGAGGAGCACGTAGGCTATCCTTGCCATGTTCATTTGCAAGGCTTCCTGTCCATGAACCCCCCACAGGCCGGCATTCCGACTGGAGCAGATGGACTGGCAGTCGAATGTACTGGAGATCACTTGCTTTTTCCGGGAACTGACATTCCGCCTTTCATCCCGACACTGGACTGAGTCTGCCGAAAAGCAAGCCTCTCTCTGCATACACCCAAGGGCTCTTGACCGGTTTTGAACCTTTGATAGTAGTGAACGAACCACCCGTGGGTTCCTGTGGCCGAGCAACCCAATTATCACAACTGACATTTCACAACTTTGGCCTGCATACTCGGGACAGCCTACCGAAGCCGTTCACAATACATACATACTGTGATAATATCCGGTTCAAGCCCGTTGGCCAGCCCGTTCGCCCGCCCCTTCGGATACTATAATACGCCCTTGTATTGTATCTATGAGAAATGGAGTCGAGGCTTGCTTTGACTCGTCTTATTATCTGCCCGGCATTTATCTAGCGGATGGATCCATATCATTTGCCATGCTCAATCAGCTAACAATCCACTGTGTTTGCCCGTGTGTTTTGGAATCAAGTTGGGATCTGTCCTTGGCAAAACTGTAGTCCAGCTTGAGAAGGGAGAGGGTTGCGAGCGAGGGTGAGTACTACATATTCCGTACCTGGCTCTAAAATATCCGTCTTTATTATGATGCCTAACGTCAGCTGCCCAAGGGGTAGAGCTTTCGATTCCAACACCCATTGCCTCTGTTGGGTACCTAACCAACTTGCCCGGCCGCTGCGACCATTCAGGTGCCCGAGTAGTGTCGCAAGCGTTCTGACTGAGAATATCTATCTAGGCCAATGCTTCTTACTTCTCCCTCTACGACCTGTGGCCGTAACTAACTGAGAATCCGCCTACTACCTTGGAGCGAAGAGCTCCGTCTCCACGCCACACCACATCATATTATACCCGCAAAAGACCACCGTTACAAGACATCCTCAATCGCGTGAGGGTCCTCCGGCTTGTGTATGACGCGTCCGGCTCAAGGCTTGGGCTCTTTTATTTATTTATTCCTTTTCTGCGTGTGTTACTCTCTTCTTTTCGAATCCAGGATCTGGTGTGAACCTGTCACGAGCAACGAAGATATTGTGCCTCATCCCTTGCCGCCGTTGGCAGCTGCAGTTACAGATACCCATCGTCCTTGTCAACGACGACGTTCACAAGAGTCAAACTGACTCCTGAAGGTCATTTCTGGTTCTCAATATCGGGTCATACCTGCAAGCAACGCACCACTTTAATTACCTTGACCTTCGGAGTGTGGCGGACCGGTGGTTGTGCGGACCAACCCGGGCATCTGCCGTTGACAAGCTGTGTTCTGGCACTTTTGGACAAGGCTACCAGGGGTAACTGCAACTCCCTGTCATGTGCCCCATCTAACACAACCACTGCTTCCGTCACTATACAGGGGGTTGATGCTATTCGAAGGAAGGTGTTTCCCCCCCTCAGACGCCCGTCTGGAGGACAGCACCCACTTTTGATGTACGAGCTGGCCCCTACGACGTCTCCGTAAACTGGAAAACGTTCGGAAATGGTTTCCTTGCCTGGTTTCCTTGCTTAAAGATACATCTCTCAGACACACCTGCAAGATCTAACAAATTCCCGCCGCGCCTCCGGACTGATTGTCGTCACATTCTTACAACAAGGAACAAGCCACCTCCATTTCGCTTCTTTACCAAACATCGTCGCTGGGCTTTGCGGCCGATTCGTGGCATCAGAACCGGCAATCTTTGAACTCACGCTTGATAACGTCTAATGCCATCGGATCCCGTGACCATCTTTTCAGGGCTAGCACGCCTGGTTACATTCTTTGCCTTGAGCACGGCAAACAAAATCAAGGCAGACCCACGGCGGTGCCAAAACAGTCAGTCCCCGAAGCCGTCCTCGTCAAAAAAGGGTGTTGCCGCTGACTCTGCTTACCCTAGCGGGAGTTGATACATCCTCTGTTCCATGACACGGCTGGATAACTGTGGGATCTCCCCCAGACTTTACGCGACTGCTGCGGTATAGCTCCGCTTGGTGGCAATCTAAGCCCACACCTCTGCAGCGAAACACATTGTTTGCCCTATTGAGTATGGTATATACACCCCGGTGCTGGAAAAGGCTGCATCCGTCGACATATATACCGGCATCACTTAACATCATCCCCAAGAAGTCGTCATGGATGAGTATTATCACCATTTCCTGACATCAATGTCGGGAGTGGGAGGTTATTTCCCTAGCAATCCCGAAGAGTTGAGCATGTCCACCATGCCAGGATATCACGTTCCAATATCAGGCCCGATGATGCAAAACCCATATCATAATTTGGGACATTTGGGAACGTATCCTGACCAATCCCATCTTCATGCGTCAAAGACTGGGAAAGGTAGGAAAAAGTCTATCACGGGCCCGACATTTGGAACTGATCATGTCAAACATCGACGGACACGGTCAGGGTGCTTCATGTGCCGGAGCAGGCGCGTAAAGGTAGTACCTCCATGCTCCAAACAGTATTGCCAAGTCAGAGAATCATGCTAACCACGGCTTCGAGTATCTGTAGTGTGATGAGACCCGTCCGATATGTGAACGTGAGTAGATGCAACTCTCAAGCCGAGGGTATTCTTCTACGGTGCCATCTACTTCCCAAACCCAACTCCTGTCGCAGTGCTAATAACCATCAGGTTGTAAAAAGGGCAACCGTGATTGCGTCTATCCTGACCCGCCAGCTTCAAAAAGCTCCAAGTCCAAAGACAATAATGCATCTCAGAAGACGAGCCCAAAATCATCGAATGAGGGGGACGACGCTGATATGGACCGGGTCACAAACTCCCTTCAGACGATCCTCGACGAGGACGAACCTGAAGAATTGTCTTCTGAAGAGAGGTCCGATTCTCAACTATCAGGAAGCAAAGCCACAGGTTCCTCAAATCGCAACGTCACCACGAGGCAAAGCACTGAAAGCTTATCACCGGACGGAATCAAAGATTCTTCTCCTTCAGTATCGACTGGCGGCAGCAGTGTGACTGTGGCCCCGTCCATTGACCTAAACATACCTACGGATGGCCGTGCCGATTGGTCGCATCTTCCTTTGGACTACCAACACTACCTGAATTATTTTGTGGAAAATATCACCAGCTTTCACTATAGCATCATGCACGATGCTGATGACTTCTTTGGTACTATTCTGCCTTCTCTAGCTGTTCAACACGAACCTCTTCTTAATGCTGTTGTTGGCTTTGCAACATATCACGCCACCCTGCAGAATCCCGCTGGCAAACTCCAGGACTTCTTGAAATACTACAATAAAAGTGTCACACTTCTCCTGGAATCTATAAATCGAAAGGAGATGAACAATATCCTGAACCTGATAACCATTCTGCAGCTATTGACCATAGAAGTAAGCTCTTCTTGCAGCCTGACACGGCAAGGAGAGACATGCTGACTATTACTACAGGAATATTTTGGTGATTGGATTAATCTCATGGGACATCAAAAAGCGGCCTTCCAAGTTGTTCGAAAAATATTCACCCCTGATACGGTTATGCACACGCCAGTTGGACGAGCCTGCATCGATTGGTACACCCGCTACGACTGTTACGTCGCCATTATGGGTGGGTTCCCGACTGATCTGCCACGGGAGTGGTTCAACCGAATGAACGAGTACAACGAGTCGCAACTTGGCGCCAGCCCCGACGAGTTTCGCTGGAAAATTAGTTCTCGATCTACTCAACTTCGCTCCATATCGTACGATATGTCTATGCTCTACGCACGTGGCAGTCGCGGGCAAATAGGACCCGAAGACTTCACCAAGGAGCACAAGAGAATAACCAACGAACTTCTCGAGTGGAAATCGACCTGGGATGCCGCCCTTTCGGTGCCGGAATATTTGGTCACGGACTTTTCTTACCAACGCGACGTGGTTCCTGGTGACATCGTGAATCCGTACATGCTAGGTCTTCTTTACGAGCAGCCACTCTTCACAAATACCTTGATAACCACAGAATGGACCTCCATCATGATTATGCACCTATCGCAATCGTCGGACATCCCTGCGGAACAGGTTTTTATAGAGATGGCCAAACATGCCTACACCATATGCCAGTATTTCGAGACTGTAGAATTTTGGCCATTGAAACCCAAGGGAGCCCTAATACCACTGCAGCCTTGTATTTCCATTGCTGCTCTCTTCCTGCCGCGAGACTCTCGTCACCAGATGTGGGTTCGCAGGAAGTTTGCTCTACTGGACACAATGGGGTGAGTATAGCCCGTCTCCTAACCAGAACCGGCGGCGCAATGCCTTAGTTGCCTTGAAACAAGACTGCAGAGTCACTGTCTAACACCATGTTCAAGATTTATACACCCTACTACACGACGAATCAAAATGGCGCACCTGTTCCGTGACCCGTCCTGTGCCCATTGGTGGCTACCAAACGACGAAGGGTTGACTCCAATATTGCAAGCAATTCGCACTTTTGCAGACGAGCGAAACACAGCAGCTGTGAACGCCCAACAGGAAAATATTCGGGAAGTCCGCCATTTATTTGCTAAGATGGAGGCCGCCGAATTAGCCCTAACAACGGGCAACGATGTGACAGGCATGTCTTGATTTGGATATTGGCGTTGTGCGTGTGAAAAAAATTTGGAGAAACAAAAGAGCAACAGGACCTAATATTACGGATGGAAGGAGGACTTCTATCTACCTTTATACTGGTAGGGTATTTCTTGTATATTGTAAACAGCAAAATGTGGCGTTCCCTAGGAAGCATGGCGATGCTTGAAGATTATTCCCCTGATAGATGCCAGGATACAATACCTAGCGTGTTGAACATAATAAAAGTGTTTTCCACTAGACAGCTTATTACGTGTCAAACATCATATAAATGCGGTGGTTCGCGTCGTTTTTCTTTTAGAGCTGTTTTCAAATTCGCGACAAAATATCCCATGCAAGTCACAAGGTCTTCCAGGTTGGAGGCCTAGGAAACACGATTGCTGTTCGAATTTGGTGAATTATACAATATGCTCTCATTCGTAAGAAGAGGAATCCCGAATTTTGAGAAAGGTGTGTGTGCGAGGACTGCAACGCTACAACTACCATTATCCTACTTGGAAACATCCCACCACTCCCCGGGGGTAATGTACCATGCACCAGGTCATTCATTCTCGTGTCATGCTGTTTACTCTGGATCAGGGACGTGTCCAGATTCTCCAGCCATGTCCTCTGACTTGGTCTCCTTGGCTGGTTCCTTTTCCTCCTCAGTTGACTCTGATGGGTCGGGGGCGGTTTCGTCTGTCGGTTGTTTTGATTCCTCATCGTCAGTTTTTGTCTCTGAACAGGATTCCTCGACATGAGGTTCGGACGGTCTGGTATCGGTTTCAGCGGATGGAAGGGCAATGTTGGACTCTGTATTTTGGTCTTCGTCTTGATTGCTAGCAAGCTCAGGCTCTACGATTGTCTGATTTGCCTCTTCTGCCTCTGCCTCTGCTTCTGCCTCTGCTTCTGTCTCTGCTTCTGTTGGTGCCGGCGGCTCCACCGGCTCTGGAGGGTGTTGTTCCTCTGATTTGGAAGCCCCTTCTATGACGGAGCGTTCAACAATGACAGGTACTTCTGCGCTTTCTGGCTCCTGGCCAGTTGGGCGAGTGTCAGAAATGTGCAGACTTTCCATCTTGTTGGAAACATTGTCTGTGTCTTCTTCGTCCGCTTCTATTACGGTTGTCACGGCACTGCCTGTCGAAGGACTACTCCTAATGTGTCTTCGAGTGTTGGTGCGGCCACCGGAGTGCAGACCGTCATCTTCTGTTCCAGCAGGCCGCTGCTGTGATGCCGGCTTGAGAATAGCTGGCGGAGGCTTGTCGGCCTCGGGCTCGATCGGGGGCGCTTCGAGACCCTCGGCTTCCGGTGGGAGCTTGTAGTTCTCAGCCGGGAGCAGATCGTACTGGTCGCACACCGTCTTGAAGAAGACGTACAGGCCGGTCTGGCTTTCCACGGACCAGAATACGCTGCGGTGCTGGAACCACGCGTGGGCGAAAATGCGGTGTAGTCTTCTGAATACATTTACTAGATTTTTCACTCCGGCATTCTTGCTGTGAGCATCGCTGAGGACTGCGAACCGACTGGGGAAGAGCTTTTGGTCGGACACGACGTTGGCTGCCCAGTCGAGCGTGTGGCAGCAGTAGTCGATGGCGCAGCAGCTCTTGGGTTGCTCGTGGACCGCGCATAGAAACTGCCACTCGGAAGCTCGCATCTCGGGACACGTTTGCGCACTGCAAGGAGGGGTGTCGAAGAGGAACCCTACGACGAGTTGGTTGCATTTGGAGATGAGGAATCGACAAAGCTCGTAGAGCCAGATGGTGCGATCGATGCCCACGGGAGGTTGGGTGAGCTGGTGAGCTGTCTCGCGCGTTATCGCTTGCGTTCCAGAGGCTGTGCGGTCGTAATGCAGGGCAGCAAGATGCTCCTGCAACTGAAAGGCCGAATCAAGCTGGCGAGAGGCTGCTCGTCAGTGATGGATTGCAACATATTTGTGTGAATAGAGCCACGATGCTTCTCACCTCGCTCAGAGGCACCAAAGGTGGCCCGGCAGCCATATCAGCAGCCTTTGTCCCCGGATGTATGCGACGCCTGGAATTGGCGTCCAAGACGGATTGCTCCATTTGTGTAGCATGAGGACTTGCTGGTGCTCCTCCTGATGGCGAGTTTGGGCTGATTTGGATTTCGGCAGGCGGAGGAGGGCTCGGCAGACGAGGCGAGCTGGGAGCCAGCGCCATTGTCGGTACTGTTGTGTGATTGCTGGACCTCCTAGGAATATGGCCAACAATTGTTGTCGTTGTGTTGCTGGTGAACTTGTGTACAAGCTGCAGATGCCCGCCCAGAGGCAATGACAGGCTCGGCGCTTGTTCGCTTGATCGTGCGCGTGCTTGTCTTTGATAGGTGCATCTGGCACCGAGGGCTCTGTAAATGCATGGAACCTGCGCTAAGTGGATACAAGCGGCTTAGCGGGGCATGCTTAGAGGCGACGCGAAGAACGCCAGCCAGACTTGCCATGAAGCTCGATCCTCCACGTGAACGAATTGGCGCACGCGGCTTGCACTTGGGGAGCGAATTACCTTTGTCCCTCGTATTTTTTTTTTTTTTACTGAAGTCTCGTCTTGATCTTCTGATTGATCCTCTTTCGTCGCGTATATAGGGAACATCGCCGGCCGTAATGGATTTCGATGACGATGCCCCTCCAGAGTTGGTTGAAACTGCGGGGCAGATTGAACAAAATGGTGAAGAAATTACTGTCAAAGTCCCTATTACAATTGTGACTGGTCTGTGCTCTCAGTCTTAAAGGGAGAATCGAATAGTACGCGTGTTGTTGATGCAAAATTAGGTTACTTGGGAGCTGGAAAGACTACACTGTTGAATTACATCTTGACGGCTCAACATGGCAAGAAGATTGCCGTTATTATGAATGGTTTGTGTCTTGAATTCACCTTCAGCGGAACTGGGCTAATCCTCGTTTCTTGCCTCGCAGAATTTGGAGATTGTGGGCAAACGAAGCAGTGATCCATCCCACCATAAATGAATTCTAACACCTCAGCAGCACTGGACATTGAAAAGTCTCTTACCGTCAACCAGGGAGACGATAGGGTGGAAGAATGGCTAGACGTGGGAAACGGCTGCATTTGCTGTTCAGTCAAGTAGGTGGTGGTATGGGGTTGACAAACGGTCGATTCTAACCTTCGCAGGGATACGGGCGTAAATGCCATAGAGTCTCTTATGGAAAAGAGAGGCGCATTCGATTATATCCTCTTAGAAACCACAGGCCTCGCAGACCCAGGCAACATCGCGCCGTTGTTTTGGGTAGATGATGGGTTGGGAAGCACGATATATTTAGATGGAATCGTTACCCTGGTCGACGCCAAAAATATTCTGCGCAGCTTGGATGACCCGACTGGGAAAGTTGAGGGGCATCAAGACCATGATGACCACGGGCCGCTGATGACGACCGCGCATGTGCAAATATCTCATGCAGATGTCATCGTTATTAATAAGTCAGACCTTGCTACAGAGGACGAGTTACAGCTTGTTAAGGCGCGAATCCAATCCATCAATGGCCTAGCAAAGTTGCATGTTACAGAAAAGAGCGTCGTGCCCCAATTGGAAGGACTATTACTTGACCTGCATGCATACGACCAATTCAACGAAGCGAATGAACGGCTCAAAGGCCACAGTCATCTCGATCCCGTAAGTCAGCGAATAGAGCATTGCCTTTACTAGAGAATGAGTCATGTTGGCTAAGCAGACCAGACCATATCAACAATGTCAATTCCAGTGCCCTGCCTCTTGCCAGGTAAGGTGGCCGAGGTGGACAAGTGGTTACGCTCTGTGCTGTGGGACAACAAACTGCCGGGAAGCGAGAATGAAGGGACGTTCGAGATTCATCGATCCAAGGGGCGCATAGTCTTGCGAGATGGGACGGCCAGGATGTTGCAGGGTGTGAGGGAGGTGTTTGAGCTGACCGACGCCCCAGAAACTGCGCAGGTGCAACCAGAGCAAGGCAAAATTATATTTATAGGGCGAAAGCTTGTAGAGGAAGATTTTGTACGGAGCTTTAACAATGCCATCAATTGAGCAGCCATGAAGAGCAAGCGAAGTTAATCAAATCCCTAACGAGACTGATGATATATTGGATGAAGAAATGGCGGTAAATTACGTCGACGTCGTCATGTCCTACTGGGATCTTGCTTCCAGTTGCCGTCAGCCTTGGCACAAGCGTGTGAGTGTGATTGGCCCCGGAGCCGCCTTCGGCACGGACCCACTTGAATCCGGCCAACGACTTCGTGGGTTAGTTAGCCTTGTTAGCCTCTCCGAAGATCGATTCCATCACAAGATCGGGGACCAAGCAATCTTCAACCTTTAAACTGCGAAAGCAACGCACACGTTACATACCAGACGAACAACACCCTTCAAATAAAATACCGAATTCTCTGCGACGCGAATTATAATATTGGTTCCACGCGATTCCAAAGACATTATGAATCGGCCAGGTAGGACGTGCCCAAGTCTCCTTCCGCATGATCTTCAATCCTCCCACCTCGTTACGTCGCCCGGCCCCGTCTTTGGTCAGAGTGCTATGCTAGTTGGTGCATGACGGGGAAGACTTTTGTCCGCAGATTTGGAAAGGAGTTGCTATATCTCTTGCCTGGCTACTTGCCCTGCAAGGAGCGAAGATTGGGCCATCTATGAAGATCAAGCGATTGACGATCATATCGTATTAGAAGGCATTGGGCTCTTTCAGCGTATAGTCAACAGTTGGCGCATTAGTCTTTGAACATTGAGAGGCTATGGCGTTCTGCTTGGGCAACAAAAAAGATGCTGTCAAGGAACCGGACTAACTCGATACATTGGAAATAGGAACGGTGCCGCAGTCTCTCAGAGGCATGCCTGGCAATTTCGGCGGTCAGCAACAGCCTCAACTACCAGGACGATCGGTATCGAGCCGGCTGCCAAACGGGAAGCTAGGTATGATTTTGTACCGGCGTTAAGAAGCTGCAGCCGTCGATCACACGACCGTGAGGGCTGACACTGTTCATTTACGAAACTAGCAAACAACGGATCTGGCTGGGCATTCGGTGGAAATATACCGATGGGAGGTGCTGGATTCCAAAACCAAGCCCGGCAAATGGGAGGAAATGTGAGTTTTGCGCAGAGCTTGAGCGGGTCGCAATCTGCCACTCCGTTGGACTTAAAGTACGTGCTTTCCGTTTGTCTTCTCACCTCTTGTTCACTATTTCCATTCTGCGTCACCAACGCCACCCTCGTCTGGATTTTCTTCTGCCTTTTACCTCATCTTGTTGCTTTTTCAACATGCAGACCACGACAGGCATATGCAGCGGGCTGGTTGGACTAAAGCCATCATTGCTACAAACATCCAACTGGGATTATGCCGCCGTTGTCAAGGGGTAAACCTTTTTTTGATTTCTGCGTGTCACCATGACGTGATACCTCTGTCCGTAGCTTACTTCAAGGGAACGCGTGCTGACAATCCTTACAGCGAGTTCCCGTCGCTGTCAAACAACTCACAGCTCAACAACGCCAACCCTGCATCGATGTGGTCGTCGGGAGCATCTCGAAACTTGAGTGGGCCTATTCAACGAAATCAATCGACTCCCGTCTCATCTCAGCAAGGAGGCCAGGATGATTTGTTCGCATCAGGCTCATCGCGTTTGCCTTTACACCAAAGCTCCTTTCGATTTGGTAACCAAGGGAATATAGCGACAGCCTCCCAAGGACAGCCAAGTAGCGTTGATGATTTTCCTCCGTTAAATAGAGCTGGAAATGGGGAGATTGGGTCGGATCGAAGTGGAAATCTGATGTCATTGGCGTTCGGATCGCAACAAGGAGCGTCAGGAGCGCAGAGGGGTAATGGCCTTCTAAATGCTTTGTCCGCCAATAGTCGGGCAAACGATGTGCGGTCGCCTCCCGGAGTTGGTGAGTCGTGAACCAAGATCCTCTTGGATGAGGTTGACTAAGCGAGCTGATACCTGTAGCATTAAACCGCGGCCAAGACCGGAAGCGGCTGGGAGCCGACGATGATAGCAGACAAAAACCCATTTCCAGGGAGGATGGCCTAGGCAAATCTACTGTTGATGACACGAATCAAAATCCCCTAGGAGCAATCGGCAACGAGGACTCGATTGCAAAGTTACGAGATGTGAAGGAGAACAAGGCCCCGGACGCGGTAGATCCTCTTGGCGGAATGAGTGCCGTAGACAAATGGGGAATCAAAGGACTGCGGACATTAATGAACAACTATCCGGATTACCAGGCAATGGTAGTTGGCATGGATCCTATCACAATTGGACTTGATATCAACTCGCAAGAGTGAGCATGTTCCAGCTTCCAATTACGCAGTTTGTCTCACTAACAAAGCGCAGGATGATTTCGACACAAGTTTACTCGCTCTTTGATGATGCCCCCCCTCGGCCGACAGTTAATGGTAGCAAGTTCCGACTTCCAGAGTGCTACAATGTGACGAACGTCCAGCCAATTGAAAGCAAAATTCAGAATTTCAACGAAGAAACTCTGTTTTGGATATTCTACAGCTGTCCCGCAGACGTCAAACAGCAAATGGCAGCGGTAGAATTGTAGGTCGAACCTTCGGACTAGTAGTTTTGGTGTGTACCTTGGGTTGACAAACGTGTGTAGGCATTCTCGAAACTGGAGATGGCACAAGAAACATCAGATATGGCTCACCAAAGATGAACACATGACCCCACAGATCTTGAGCCCAAATCACGAGCGGGGATTCTATATTGTGTGGGATACAGACAACTGGCGAAAGGACAGGGTAAAGGATTTCCTACAGCTTCCACGACTTAGAACGTTGATGGCTAACTTGGATTGTTTTAGCGAGAGCTCACTCTGTTCTACGGCGACTTGGATACTACGTTGAACCAACCGCCTGCAATATCTTGAACTAGGGCACGGGTGGCGGAGGATGGTGTATGTTTATGCAGTGGAAATCGGGTTTGCTTCATAGCTGGTCCTTAGGACCGGTCGGCGTTCTGCCACAAAAGAACGGGGGCAATGGTTCTTTGCGGCATATGAACTTGGTTCGGTGGCTGGAGGGCTGGGAATGCATTATCAGGTTGTTATCGGCAGGTTTTTTGCCATATTTTATGGTATATGAAGCATACGATTGCCGCTCCGCAATATATGACGTTCCTGGGCAATGTTTCATGGAAACGCTACGAGCAGCCAGTGACGTGAACGTGATGCAGCGATGCTTGCCACAAAGCATATCTGTCTCTTAAGCTTCAGAGATGTCGGTATATAATGTGAGAAAATATTCCTCGAAGAAGCGGGCTGCCGCATACGCCTCTGTTGTCCCCGGACGTCATGCGGGTATGATGAAAGAGAGTGTGGTGTGTGCCAGTTATTGATTATTAGCCGAGGTTCCACCACCATACCAAGCCAGACATTACTACCAGGTACACACCGTCAATAGCGGCTCCGTTGGCACGGAACATTTGTGGTCCGACCACTTCACATCGCGTGCTCTATAGACCTCACTCCTTTATTTCTATCCACGAATCATCGATCTGTCGACCTATAAGGGCACAACGGTCAGTGGCTTGCTAGTGGTTCATTGCTATCAGTTAAACTAGCACCACCACCACGCTGCGGCATAAGTCTCACGCGAGATACTTTTGCCACTCGACCTGACTGGGCAAACCAATCTGGCGAGTGACACCGGTTTGTTCCTCCGCCTACAGGCTTCCCGCGACCCAGCATGGCCAATGAACAAATATCGCTGCCATACCTGGCAGGAATCCTACTCCTGTCGGGGCTCATAATACGATACCTGTTCTTTTCCGGGACGCAGACACCTCGGCCGACAAGGTCACCGGAGGACGTACGGAGATCACGAGAAACGGCAGTAGAGCGGATACAACAGATGTTTCCCCAGGCGGAAAGACGGAGCATCTTGTGGGATTTACAGCGTAATGGTGGCAGTATTCAAAATACCACGGAGCGAATCTTGGCTGGGCGGCTTGAGACTGTAAGCACATCATTCTCATCTGCAGATGCACCGGAATGCTTTGCCAATGGCATCTGGGTTGGCCGTGGCATCTGGGGATGTCGGCTAACATAGGGTATGAAATAGCCTCCTGTTACGTTCCAACCACCCCCTCCGCCAGGGCAAGCTACGGCCGGAGCAAGCACTGTTTCTGCGACGAGACAAGCAGACAAGCCATCACAACCAGACCTAATAACGCGATATAACCTAAAGAGCAAGATTACTGAAGCAGAATTTGAGGAGGACGCCAAATCGAAAGGCTGGAGTTCGAATCGGGACGAACGCCAGGCGTCGTTGCAGAAACGACGAGATGAGATGATCTTGGCAGCGCGGCGGAAGATGGAAGCCAAAATTGCGGCGGAGAAAAAATAATTAAGAAGGGTGAAATGGGACTGGAAGAGATGGTATATTTTGTACGACGAATATATTTGTTTTCAGCGATGCAATTCACTCGGTTATGCTGTCACTTGACCACCAGTGCTGGGGGGAGCCATTGCGACCAATAACGGTGGCTTAATATTGTCCTTTGGGGTTCCGATGACAGCTCAATGTAGAAACGCTTGGCCGGCACCTGGAATTTGTATAGTATGTGAGGGTGATTTTGGTGGGCTTTTTTTGAGAATCAACACTAGCTGCTTGTTGAAGTTGACATGAAGTTGAGAATGAGAATGAGACTGTAGGTTTGTGTCTACCTTGCGTAGGTATGGCTGGGGACCGTCTAAATCCTGGCTGGGAGCAAGCAAGTATCATGTAAACTTGAGCGCCATGACAGTGAAGGATCGCATTTCTTACTAAGTAGCTTATAACAAGAGAAGCGCGTCAAGAATTAAGCTGCCTTTGATCTTGACTGTCAACGTCGCCACGTTTGGAGGGGCATTCTGTAAGTGTCAGGTACGGGGTACTTAAGTACCGAATACTTTGACAAGGGACATGGTCCCTGAAATAGCAACGACAAAGGCGTCATGAAACATCATCAAGCGATCGATGATCGGATTGGATCAAGGGACTTGAGACCACATAGCCGACGTTGCGGAGGCACTTGCTTGTGTACGTAGTAGACCTTTGGCATTTCTCGCTTGAGACTGGTGCCTGATATGCCTTGAGAGTGTCTGCTGGAATGGACCGTGGTGGAGGCCGCTCGGGTGCCGAGTCTCGGCCAAAACCAGCAAATGTTCCGTTCACTCTGTATAAACGTGCCTGCCTACTTAGTAGCAGCCTACTTAAGTAGATGCTCCGTATGGACAGAGTAATGTTGTGCAATAAACCATCGAGTTGCGATGACGTGCGTACCTACTTGAGTACTTGTGTAGATTCATCAACTTAAGTAATAACCACATACTTTAGGTACCTAGGTACTTCAGTACTCAGCCACATTCAACTTTGCAGCGGCGCCATTCAAAAAACTTGACCCATGACCCGCTGCGTCACCGCGGGGACCACATGCAAACTGCAAGTGCGATTTTGTGTACCAGACACCTTGGCTGGTCCCGCATCCTCCCCAGGTCCAGTCCGCTGGTCCCTGTCAACGTGTGATTTATGCGAAGCCAACCAACGTGAATACTTTCACGGAAGCCCTCTCGATCCTCGGCTTTCCTAATCTTGAGCTTCTTCTCTCTTTTTGGTTTCTTTTGCACTTCCCATGGTATTTCAAGATACAGCCCTGGTCTGTCTATTCCTGCGTTATTTTTCAAGCTGACGTCAAGTCGCAAACTTGGGTAAGCTACGCATTCAACTTTGGCTCAGACTGGGAGGCCTTCCGAAACATTCCACCTGCAGGCTCGACGGATGATCAAAGCTCGCTTTGTCGTCTACCTTCCCTATTGTACGGTTACTGACCACTCTCAGCTCTAATTATTAGATTAATTACCTTTTGGTGTCATACTCGAGTGGCTTCGTCGCTCGCACTCCGCGAAGGAAGGGCCGACCTGGGACCAAGCGCTTCACCACTATCAGTCCACGGACGTCGACACCCGATAGACAACTCTTCATTGTCATGTTGATTGAGAAAAGCCGTCTGGAATTCGACTTCAGTATCCCCGTTTACGATCTGCAGGACCCGGCCAACACCTTCTTCAATGGCAGCCCAAAAGGATTACTACGCCGACCTTGGGATGCCGCGTGATGCGGACATTGAGGCAATCAAGAAGCAGTATCGAAAGTTGGGTGAGGATAAATACTCCCACACCAGATGAACGAAATCTCCTTGCTTCAAAGCATGCTGACTCAATGATGCAGCGTTAAAATATCACCCCGATAGGAACAGCGGCAACGAGGACGAAGCTATTGCCAAGTTTCAAATCATCCAGGAGGCTCATGAGATCCTCTCGGATCCAACCTCAAAGGCGAAATATGACGCTACTCTGGGAAGGGGCCGATATCCCGGGGCCTCGGGTGTGAGGGGAAACCCTTGGGCCGATGTTGGCCAACAGTTTCCCACGCCTCCACGACGAACACCGGCCGCGAGAAACGCAACCTCAGGGGCGCAGCGGTGGCAGACAAGATTCTCGAGCGGGGTGCCCCCCACGGCAAAACAAACTTTTGGATCCGATCCAAATGCGAAAAAGAACGCTGCCAAGGCGTTTGAGAACATGCGCAAGAATACACGGGGCGAACCTCGTCCATCTGAGCCGCCTCCACCGCCTCCACGACAACCACCAAGAACGGAATCGGCGAGACAACGACAAGAAGCCTCTTTCGGCTCCAGGAAGTCTGGTTACTATCCTCGGTCGACTATGCCTGGGGACGAGCCCCCTGTATCAAATGCAAATTACACCAATTCTGAACGACGGAATGTACCACAGCCCCCGCCTCGAAAGCCAGTGCCAAGCCCAATGCCCGATCCGTTAGGCCAGTTTAGGGAGAAAGGAGCCTCGTCTGATTCACGCCACGGTACGTCTTATACTTCTCGAGGAGGGGAAAAGACAGATCCTTTTGCTGCAGTGCCGTTAGGCCGCGCTAAGAACGCTCGCGACGGCAACCTTGCTGACGAGGGATCTGCTTCAGATGACAATCAGCGCAGCTCTAATGTTCCAAGACGACCGACTCAAGAAGAGCGGGATGCAAATCTTCGAGTACCGACAGATGGAGGCCAACATTCTCAAAGTGCGGACGAGGGTACGGGAACGTATACCAATACGTCGCCTGAGTCACGGGCCGACGCGAGATTCGACGCCGATCCTACAAACGAGACTGCGAAATCTCCTATGGAGGATAATTGTAAGTTATTTCCGCATGTATAACACGCTGCAACACACCAAAGCTTACGTACCATTAGCAATGGGCAACAAGGATGAACCTACTATGTATGAAACTCCTCTTAATCACCATCGTCATAAAGTGTCAATCTTTTCCACATATCCAGGCTCCACAAAACCTGGGAAGGCGTGGACATCTCCGACAGCCGGTCTTGATAGTTCAGGAACCGTGTATCAACAAAGGTCTCCGAGTGGGAAAAAGGGTGGCAGTGTCACACTTTTGTCGTTTGAGCGACAACAGACCAATATCTTGAATAGGCTTATCAACAATAAGGAAGGCCTTCCGTGGCTCACGGAAGAAAAAGAATGCATTTTGTCAACGGATTGCTACACAGAGACATCGAAACATGCACAAGCAGCTAACCGAACCCGATCACATAGCTTTAGCTTCCCTATAAACGATGACACTTTTGCGGAGACTCCAAACGTGCCTGGCGGACACAGCTTCGCGAAGAGTAGCCTTGATGACATAAACACCAGTTTTGTCAAGGACGACAACTCGAACACGTATCAGTTCAATGCAGGCACGACTGAAGAGGACGCCAATGTGGGTTTTATGCCCTCTTCGTGTACTCAACGAGCTCGTCACTCGACGATCAAGCGTCCAACCATGCGTCACAGTGATAGTGCTAATACAACCTCTCATGCTGCGCAGGTCGAGGGTGGTTTTAATCCCGATGGATGGAGCGACAAATTCAATGCTCAGACGTTTGTCCCACAGCCACAACCTGGCCCGTCTGCTTCGCCAACACGCGCTAGCCGCACCAACTCCAGGAAACAAAAGATTAGGCCGATGGCAGGGACAGCAGCGACAGTTGAAGAAAGCAGTAGCGAAGACGAGACCTACGAATGGCGCGGAAGAAATGCACAGGCGCAAGAGCAGGCACCAGCGACTGATAGCCCGCAGGCTATGGATATCGATTCGCCGATGTCCTCTGGTGCATCTGCAACTCAAACGGCACGAAATATCCCTGTCGAGCCATCTCGACCAGAATGGCGTGCTGGGAAAGTAGCTGGCGGCATGGCTGACGATGAAAAGCCACAGCGACCGGCAAAAGTTCCTCTGGACGTAAATGCTGCGGGTTCGGAAGATAGTGAAGAGTTTAGGGCGAATTTTGCAGATCTTAAGAATGTTCCGCCCTTCTCCCAGCAAAAAGTAGGTCTCGAGTCTTTCGACGGAATGAAGGATAATTTACCTTTCGAGAGCAAAGCATCTGACGGTCCACGAGCCAAGGTACCAAGACCTGTACCTTTGGAGTTTCCCTCGGTCCCACTGGCACCCCGTCTGCCTCCCACGGTCGCTATCGACGGGATGAAACCAAACACTGCCTCCTGGACGAAATATGTTGGCGATTTTGAAAGTTACTTGCGACAATGGGACACGTTCAACGGGCTAGTTGTTGATCATTTCGCTACTAGAAAGTTACTGATTGAGAACACGAGAGCCAGCAAGGGATATGGCTTTTTGGCAGCTCGGGGAGATGCCGATTTACAAGCGTATTATAGCTGGGTTCAGCAGGATAACGATGTGCGAAGACAATGGGTCAGTGTATGCGAGGAGCATGAATCACGGATGCGAGAATTTATGGCGTTCAGAGACAAGATGAAGGACAGTCGCGCTTGAGCCCGGGTGTTTTTGATCGGATTGCAATTCTTTTATACTTAGCGCGAGATGGTATAGTCGCATTTATTGCGTATTTGGGAGTTGGGAAGAGAGAATACTCCCCTGGAAATAAACGATACCCATGGATTTACGTGGTAGATGTATTTTCCTTGCGATAGAGCTTCAAGCATAGAGAGGGGGTGGCCGTCCATGCAGGCTGGGTGTTATGAGAACTTTCATACATGGCTCTCTTAGGATATGTTTATTTGCTTACCTGAGTACCTACGTAGGTAGTAGTGATCCATCGATACTTGTCGTTAACACAATACAATATCTAGCTCACTACTTCTTACCTGTTATTTTATCCTAACAGACACGTTGCCCCGGTAGCATCAATGACCAAGACCATAACAGTGCATCAAGACGTTTGTTATTTCCACAAGTAAAAAATATTGACTCCGCCAACCACGTGGTGTGCCCTGTTGTGATGTTCACCGGGACCGCTCGCTTTGCGGATCAACTCACTTTTTAATCACTTTTGGCTTCAACCACGGAACATCTAGCAGGCTTCCATGTACATTGTGCACATCCGCATCATCGGAGGATCTTATTTCTTCTCCGCCCTTCTCCTTTCCCTCGCGACTTATCCCTAGACCTTATTACTCCTTACCTGTCATCTCTGCCTTGTCATTTGCGACTCTGCCAAACGTTCATCTAATCCACATTTTCTTCTCCCTCTCCTACACAACAACTGCTGGACAAAACTCTTTTCCCTCAACTCGAAATGGATCCAAACGGTGACAAAGTCGACGGCAAGGCCCTTCCCTGGACCGAAGAAGCCAAAGTAAGTATCTGGTACTTCCCACTCATAGACACAAGGTGAATGAGGCAAAGGAGCCAATGGACGGCGGGTGTCAGTAGGAATTTGTCTATCATCGAGATGTGTGTGGGGGAGTAGTATTCCGTGATATAGGAGCATCATGCCGGGATTTCGGCCTCGGCCTGCACCTGCGACTGACGGGCATACAGTTCCAGTTCCTCATCCGCATTGTCGCTCAGCTTCGCGAGAACGGACGGTCCATCAACTGGCAGAAGATCGACATGCCAGGGCGTACTGTCAAGTCCATGCAGAATATGTGGACAAAGATAAATAAGATGATTGCGGAGGTTGAGGCGGAGAGCGGAGATGCGCCAATCAAGAGGCCAAGTCGTGGGTTCCCCCCCTATTTCTTTTCTTCTTTTCTTGTCTCCTCTGTGCGCTTCTCTCTTGGTTTCCGGCTACTTCTTGTTTTGCACCTGTTTGAAGAATTGAACGGTGCTGAGGCGCTTTCCTGCGTTGCTGGCTTGCCGTGGAGAATCGGGAACCTTATGACTGATAAGCCGGCAGCTCGCAAGAGGACCCCGAGGAAAGGTCAAAGTGTCGCAGCCTCAGAAGATGATGACGAGCGTTCGACCCCGGCAAAGTCTCCTCGGAAGGGGTTGCCCCAGAAACGTGCCTGTGAGTCCTCACTGTTCGTGGTAATAGGCAACTGGGGACTTGGGACTAATTCTGGTACAGCCACCGGTAGGGGCGGTACTGCCAAGAAGCTCAAGAAAGGAGCCGATGACATCGACGACGAAGACGACATGGTGTTCAAGCCTGAGCCCGAAGTGGATGTATGAATCTTGTATTGTAGACACTAGCTTATGAATTCAATTAGCTACGAGGGAAAATGGTTGCTTCACTAGGGGATGATCTGGGTCAGGATGGGAAAGGCCAACACGCAGACCGAGAATTGAGAGTATGAGTTGGCATGTGCTCGGCAGAGCGGTATTTGCTATTGGGACGAAATTATTCATATCGCGCGACAGATTCGTACAGGGCGGCATCAATGGGCTGTCGCACCATGGTTTGATGATAGGTTGGGTTTGTGACGAGGACGGGAAACAGAATACATGGTATGCGTGTCGTTAGCATGCAGTCGAGTTGCTAAACAGGCTTCTGCGAGTGAGAAAAAAAGTGCATTATTCATCCCCAACGGATATTCATGGACGGACTGAGACACAGATGGCCGGGGATACTTGACTCTTTTCCCCACGGCGTGCAAGAAGACAAAGTGCGCTTGTCGGGAATAAAGTGTCTCTTAACCCCTCCCTGCCCTAAAGTGTGGCCATGAGGTAGCGCCATGTCTCTCTTCGATTGTGTGGAGTAATCGATCAGAATATTGTGGTAGTAGTAGTGGTGGTGGTATGGTGTTGAGATTTGAGATTTGAGATTTGACGAGCCAGGCCCAGTCCAAATGTAGTGCTTGCACCAACTGTCGCGTGACAGCTCCAATAGCCACACGAATGACGCAGCACGACTGCAAGCCTTGCATCTAAGTAGTCGTCACCTCCATCTTTGGGCACCGGCACAAGAGCTTCCCCCGGCACACGCTGACTGCCCTTTCCCTCTCATCTATACTCCGCGTCACCATCACGCCTCAAGAAAATTACATTTACATTTGGTGTGTTTTGAACGCGACTACAACCAGACGGCACTATCGAGTCTCCAGAATGATCGACGACAGCTAAATGGGTATGTAATTTATCGTGTGAGCAACATTCAAGTCAACCGGTGGGTCTTGACTCCTGAGAAGCCGGTACTAACCGCAATAGTGTCAAGGACGCCTTGGAACTTAGCGACGATTCCGACATTGACATCGAGGTCCACCCCAGCGTCGACAAGCGGTCGTGTATCAGGGCGAAGCAGAATCGAATCCATATCAAACGACGGCAACGTAAACTCCAGATCAAAGATCTCAAATATGAAAATGCTGTCAATAATAAACTCTTGCGGCGAGTATTCGATCTGCTCCAATCTTTGGAAGCGGCCGGGCCAGGAGCTCATAGCAGAAACCCTGTCGAGATTGCATTCGAAATGAACATGGCGCTGGCTATGTGTAATCCAGAAGATGTGGTCGAGTCCGAGCAACCCTTACCTGCATATTCGAAGATGATCGCCGGGTTACTGGACAAGACGAATAAAACACTGGATGAAAGGGGCACACTGGCTGCGGAACGATTCGACAGCCTCGAGATCTGATTGCTCGATGAATCAATAAACTGGAAGAATCAATAAAGGCAGACGGAACCAAGATCGCCAGCGAGAGCTAGACGGGTTTGCAGTGTCCTTCCAAGGGATGACTTCACCAGGACATCGCGCCCAAGAGGTTTTCACAAAGGATGTTAACGAACGATTTCAACCGACAGCTAGTCAAAGAAAACGCGAAGCAACGTGCCACTAAAGATGAAGATGTAGAGTAAGTCATTTCCGAGCAGTTTACCCCCGACATGACAGCTGCACTGAAAACCGGCTTGCTAGAAGAGGCCAAAGTTCTCGGGAAGATGAGAGTTAAAGACGTCCAAGATGTAGTCGCTCTTCTAAGTGACGTGAGCTATTCCCATATCCTTTCCTAGCTTAACAACGGTTCCGCTAATGCACATGTGCGCGCCTTCTTTCGACGAAAAGGCTGGTTGCCTGAGTATAGAACCTGATATCACCGACACGACTGCAGAGGAAGGCCAGGAGCAGTTGAAGTATATTGAACAAGCCGTGGACTCTGAACTTCATATTCCAATGGATCCGCAGTGAATGAAGACTAGACTCGTAGTGACGGAAGGGATGCACTTTCACAGCGATATATCTCTGCCCATAACCCTTTGAGCCTTGGGCGATCCAGTACCTAAGAGCTTCTGCGCTGTGCGCTGTGAACCTGCGAGGGCACACTTCCCTGCAGCCTGCCTTTAATTTATGATGCCTCACACAGCTGATGGTAAAGGTGGAGGGGTGTACCGGTGCATAACTCCCGTAACAAAGAACGGGCGCTCATCCCAGGGACCCCGGGGGCTCGCCGGAGTAGCCAAAGTCCCCTTTGAGAGCTTGAATTGCATGCAGCAGCATCATATGTGCTAGGCAGGGATTTGCCAGAGACACCCTGCTCGAAATTGTCTTCCGGCAAGTCCAAGTCCGTAAAAGATGGACCAAGATTGACCTCAGGTTCCTCTAAGCGGCCCCCATCATCGGCATATGTAACATGATGGCCATACTTTGGTTTCTCCCGTATTCTCCCGTCCATATTAGGTTGGATCGAAGCGGCATCTCATCTCCAACACTGTCACGAGATTGACTCTTATGCAGCGCCATTATGGTGGCGATTCTTGGGTTGCAGTCGTTCGGGGTACGAGATTGCAGAGCAGATGGTGCACTGCACTACGAGCTTGAAGAGCGAGTTTGCAAAGATGGCGACGGGTAGAGATGAATAGCACTCGGCAAGATTGGCGATTACAGCCATGAGCCGTTTACGGGGTAGTGTGAAAGTTGAGGGCTTTCTCCAGCAAAATATATCCAATATTGGCAACAGAAATACAGTTGGCATCAGCAACAATAGCAACAATGGGTCATTTGGGGGGGGGAGGCCATGGCTCTGCATACAGGACTGGGCACTAGGTACCTAGGTACTTAGTGAACATACTAGACACTAGCAACCGTCGACCCCATTCCCCGTCCCCTGTACCGGGTTGGTCCTTCCGCACCCATCAATCACTGGCCTAACTGAACTGGTCCAGGCCATTCCCTGCACTAACATTGACCGTACCAAGCTGCCACACATGTGCACCCTGATCGAAGGTGTGGGCTGCAACAATTATCCTGCTGATCCACACCTTGTTCTTTTCCTCATCTCAAAAGCTGTATATCCTCACATCACATGGACTGACTGTCCATCCACCAGCCTTCCCCCTAGCTGGCGACCATTTCGAGCCGCCCCAACCGTTGATTCTGCTTCTAGCGCGCTACTCCTCCGTATTTGGATGCATCGTCACACCCTGTCGATTGGGAACTTCTTCACGAAAATCACGAGCCCACTGTCTCCTCCTTTCCCCCAAGAGACGTCGTCTCATTAGGAAGGAGCTGACTTCGCAACATCCGAGTTTGCAGCAAGCAAGCCGCCATCCGAGAACTATCACCGTTAGATACTAGAAAGCGATCGTTCTTTTTTAAACCCCGCCTTCTTCCAGCCTTTCTTTCCTGGTCTCTTGCGACTGTGTCGTCGCAAGATTCCCATGCCCATTTAAAAAAGCTGCCCAGCATGAATGGAACAACAGCCTCAGCGAGAGGCAAGAGAAAGACCCAAATCTCCCCCGAAAATTCACCGCCAGCTAAACGAATCATCAACGGCAAGCTGTCCCCTGGTGACAATACTCCAGATGTCGCTGAGATTGTACAATACGACGGCGAGTCAGAGAGTGATGACATTTACACCAGTGCTCCCATATACATAGGCACCCCTGGAAGCTTGAGCGAGTGGCAGGATACAATCCAAAATGTTGTGCGGAACGTTGTCGCAATTCGTTTTTGCCAAACCTGTTCTTTCGATACCGATCCAGCTTTGACGAGTGAGGCTACCGGTTTCGTCGTGGATTCGGAGCGAGGGTATGCGATTCCAAATAGTGGCCAGCACTTGCCCACATGAGATTTTTTTATTCATTCGCGTATGCTAACGGAAAATATAGATATATCCTTACAAACCGGCATGTCGTTGGCGCTGGACCTTTTTGGGGGCATTGTGTCTTTGACAACCACGAAGAAGTGGATTGCTATCCCGTTTACCGCGACCCCGTACACGATTTCGGTATTCTTCGATACGACCCCGAGGCGCTCAAATATATGATCGTTGATGGCTTAGACTTACGTCCCGACCAGGCCAAAGGTTTGTTTCTTCTTACAATAGGTGAATCAAGACTGTTGGGGAGTGGACTGACATGCTCTACCAGTTGGCGTTGAAATCCGAGTAGTTGGTAACGATGCCGGCGAAAAGCTTAGTATCCTGTCAGGCGTGATCAGCCGCCTTGACCGAAATGCTCCCGAATACGGGGAAGGCTACAGCGATTTCAATACATGCTACTACCAGGCCAATGCCGCTGCCAGTGGTGGTAGCTCCGGCAGTCCCGTTGTAGCCAAAGATGGCTCTGCTGTTGCTCTGCAGGCTGGTGGCCGCTCCGATGGCGCTTCGACTGACTACTTCCTACCACTTGATCGACCATTGCGCGCTCTTCGGTGTATCCAACAGGGAAATCCCGTCACACGTGGCGATATCCAGTGTCAGTTTCTGTTGAAGCCATTTGATGAGTGCCGTCGACTGGGTTTGCAACCTGAATGGGAGGCAGAGGTGCGGAAAGCCTTCCCTGATGAAACAAACATGCTTGTTGCCGAGATCGTTCTGCCATCTGGGCCATCAGATAGCAAAATCGAGGAAGGTGACGTCCTTGTCAAGGTGAACGGGGAGCTCATTACCCAGTTCATCAGGCTCGACGACATCTTGGATTCGAATGTAGGCGAGTCGATCAAGTTTCAATTGCAGCGTGGCGGCGAGGACATCGAGGTGGAAATCGAGGTTGGGGACTTGCACAGCATCACCCCCGACCGCTTTGTCTCAGTCGCTGGCGCGAGTTTTCACAACCTGTCCTACCAACAGGCTCGTCTCTACGCCGTTGCCGTCAAGGGGGTATATGTTTGCGAATCTGCCGGGTCTTTCAGGGTTGATAATACGGACAACGGCTGGATTGTTCAAACCATCGATCACAAGAAAGTTCCCGACCTCGACACGTTCATCCAAGTCGTCAAGGCAATTCCTGATAAAGCAAGAGTAGTGGTCACATACAAGCACCTTCGCGATTTACATACCCTTAACACGACCGTTGTATACGTGGATAGACACTGGTCGTCCAAGATGAAACAAGCAGTTCGAAATGACAAAACGGGCCTCTGGGACTTTTCCGACTTGGGGGACCCGCTGCCACCGGTTCCGCCAGTTCGTCGTTCGGCATCTTTCATCGAACTAGATCATATGCCTCATCCTGGCATCGCAGAACTGATCAAAAGCTTTGTTCACGTAAACTGCACTATGCCGGTGAAGCTGGATGGATTTCCCAAGAACCGAAGATGGGGTATGGGTCTAGTCATCGACGCTGAAAAAGGTCTCGTTTTAATTTCGAGAGCCATTGTCCCATATGATCTATGTGACATTACTGTCACTATCGCAGACTCCATCATTGTGGAGGGCAAAGTTGTTTTCCTGCACCCGCTTCAAAACTATGTCATCATCCAATATGACCCAGCTCTTGTGGATGCCCCGGTTAAGAGTGCTAGATTGAGCAGTGAGCACCTCAGCCAAGGTGCCAAAACTTACTTCCTGGGCCACAATAGAATTGGTCGTGTTGTTCACGGTGCTACAACCATCACTGAAATCACAGCTGTCGCCATTCCGGCCAACACCGGCGCTCCTCGTTACCGTGCAATCAATGTGGATGCTATTACCATTGACAGCAACCTCGGTTCTACTTGCAACAGTGGTGTTTTAGTCGCTCCTGATGGAACTGTTCAGGCTTTGTGGCTTTCATATCTCGGTGAGCGGTCTCCCTGCACCCAACGAGATGAGGAGTACTATCTCGGACTGGGGACGCCAACCTTGCTGCCTGTCATCTCTACCATTCAAAGGGGTGAGTCGCCGAGTCTGCGGTTACTGTCGGTCGAGTTCAGAGCGATTCAAATGTCTCAGGCGTCTGTTATGGGTGTTACCGACGACTGGATTAAGAAGGTGACGCAGGCCAACCGATCTCACCACCAGCTCTTCATGGTCAGCAAACGAACTTTTGAAAGAGTCAATCAGCCAGTTTCTCTGCTAGAAGGCGATATCATTTTGACTTTGAACGGCAAAATTTGCACCACAATCTCTGACTTTGACGTCATGTATTCTAATGAAGTTCTCGATGCCGTAATTGTCCGAGAGTGCGAAGAGATGCCCTTGCAGCTGGCCACCGTCCCCGCAGATGACATTGAGACCGACCATGCGGTGTCGTTTTGTGGTGCTATTCTACATCGTCCTCATCAAGCTGTCCGCCAACAGATTCGCAAACTTCACAGCGAGGTGTATGTATCTAGCAGAATCCGCGGCTCGCCAGCCTATCAGTATGGTGTTGCACCTACCAACTTCATCACACATGTGAACAAAGTGGCTACACCAGATCTGGATTCATTTATTGCTGCCACCCGAAAAATCCCTGATAATACCTGTAGGTCCTACACTGAGCCATGCACGTACCACCGCATTCTGACTATTGTATAGACTTCCGCCTAAAGGCTGTCACGTTTGATTGCGTACCGTGGGTAATAACAATGAAGAAGAACGATCACTACTTTCCCACGATGGAATGGATCAAAGACAGCAATGAAGCATGTGGATGGCGTCGTGTTACTTATGAGGGAAAAGAAATTTTCCAGGGAGAGGCTGTCGACGGTGTACTCCCTATTGCTGAAGACACAGATATGGAATGAGTTGTATGCGGTTGAAACGTGCCACTCAGGCATGATATCGATTGTCACGGTGCTTAAAAACCGTGGGTTGTAGTATTATACTGCATAGCACAGGCCGGTCGTAGTACCAGGACCTAGTGCATTGGATACAGGCGTTACAAGGCTATGAAGGAATTCATGATAATTCTTTGGAGCTAACTTACAGCTGTGGTTACGGCAGGGATGTGTATTTTCTCTTTTCCGTTTTGCTTTCGTCGTTTGGTATGATACCGTTGAACCACAGAATTGTCACCGATCTGTTACATGCAGAGTACACTAGAACGGTTTTGATTTAGCTTTTGGGGCCCCGTATGGCGGAGGCTAGTGTTTGAAAAGAATATACATGAATAGAAAGCTCCTCCTGAGCAACTGTGTCGATGGTACTGAGCTACATTTGCAGTACCATGGCTGTTGATGATCTCCGTGCATGTAATGTAGTGTGCAGGACTTATTTATGCCCACTACGGAGTACGGAGTACGGAGTAGACGATGCCAAATACTAGTGGTGGGGTAGAGCTGCCCCGCAATGAGCTTCGAGGCTAGCCAACAGCTCCGGACATCAAGTCGACCAGTGTTGCACAGCAGGCTCTGTCGCATTGCAGGTGACATTGGTAGGCAGCAGAGCTGGATTTATCCAACCTCTTCCATTCGTAATTTAGGCAACTCTTTTTTTTCTTAGCCGTGACCTCGTGCCAGGCAAGCGGTGAATCCGACACCATCCAACTTATATTATCTTTCCAAGTCGCCCGCTATGCCTCCCGCACAATCCATCCTGGTGAGCTCCAGAACCTCCCACGGGCCACGACCCCGCCATATCCATCGGTGACGCAACATGTATCCTGAAGCCATGAAGCTGACCAACACTGATTCGTCGCAGACCAAACTGAAGGTTCAGCTCAAGCTCGCAATCGCGCGACTGCGAATGGTACAGCAGCGCGATGAACAACTGGGCAAGTCTCAGCAGCGGGCAATGGCCCAACTTCTCGAAGCCGGCAAGATCGATTCCGCCACCATTCGCGTCGAGAACATTATCCGCTCCGATATCACAACCGAGCTCCATGAGATGTTGGAGCTCTACTGCGAACTATTGCTCGCCCGTGCGGGGCTAATGGAAAGTTCCGTGTGCGATCCTGGCCTAGAGGAAGCCATCAAGAGTATCATCTATGCTGCGCCAAAGACGGAAATCAAGGAACTCGCGACAGTTAGACAGCTCCTCGGGGAGAAGTACGGCAAGGAGTTTGTTCTCACAGCCATGGATAACTTAGATGGCAAGGTGAATGAAAAGGTTGTCAAAAAACTAAGTGTCGAGCCGCCAAAACAGGAACTCGTACAAGGATACTTGGAAGAGATTGCGAGAGCATATGGTGTTGACTGGCCAAAGAGGGAGAAGGTCACGCCCCCGCCGGAGCTTATTGATGGTTTCGACGAGGGCGATGACGAGGATAATCAGTCGGGAGGGCAGAAGATTCTAGCAGAGCAGTTGACGACCGGAAGAAAGCTGTCCAAGGGCGAGGAGGAGCTAAACAAGGCGACCCCGCCGCAAGGTTTTGCTGGTCCCAGGAGCCCTGTAACGGTTACGCCGCCGAGGAGGACGACGGAGAATGTGCATCCCAAGGTGACGCTGGGGTCGGTCGAGTTGAAGCCGAATAAGAGGATGGAGGCGGCGGCTAGTAGAAAGGAGCCTGAGGGGGCGGTGCCCGATATAAGTGATTTGGAGAGGAGGTTCGCGGCTTTGAAGAAGAGGTGACGGATGAATGGCACTGGGTAGTGGCAGAGACAAGGAGGCATGCGTAGTTATTTGTACCACTTGCAGGCGCAATATGCTCACAGCGTTCGTTTTCATATACAGTCAGCTTCTGGCGAGATGCTTAACAACTTGAATAAATAAGTGCCGAGCCCTTGTTATGTTGAATACTTTTAGATACTAGGTACCTAATCTATAGGTATGCATGAGTACACGTTCACAAGTCCTAGTATCTTACTTAGAGTATCGCGCGCGATATCCAAGCATTCCGATGGGCTAACAGGCTTAGCCTCCCGTTGCAAACCGTCGTGTATTCGGACCTGAAATATCTTGACATAAATATAGTTGAAGGTTCTAAGCAGTGTGCTAGGCAGCTACTGGGTACCTAGTAGATATGGACCTAGCACAAAGTCCTCATGTTGTATTGAGCAACTGTCAATGGCCGTCTGCCAGCTGGCAGGCAACTCCCTGTCTTTTCCCACACGCACCTCCTCCTCTCAACCTTTCCTTTTTTCTTACGTTCGAGACTTAAGATTGTTTGCGTTCTCGATCCGCCTTGCTGTCTGTTTATTGGCAACCCTTTGGAGTCAGCCATTTATTCTTGGGCGCTTAAACGCTCATTATGTGCAGCCATTGGTCTCCCAGAAGCATCATCGAAATGGATAGCCCAGACTGTACGCTCAATAATCTCCGAAACATCGTGGGATTCAATGGTCTTCGGGACTTCAACGATCTTGGTAAAATGAGGCTAGACACTCTTCACAGTCGGATCAGAGCCGTCAATATGAGGCTCTCACGATACAATGTCATATCCATGTGCATCATTTGGCTTCAGACCAAGGCTTTGCAGACACCGTTCTCGACACTTCCAATCGAGAGTTGGTGCACCGCCTTGGCTAACCAGCGATGCAATGAAGAGGATGTCCTTAATTTTTGGAAGTATTCTCTGGAAAATATCTGGCTCTACCATCAACGATGCGATCCAGGGTCAAGAAAAATAATGACCAGGCTTTATGAAGAAATTAAAAGTCATCTGTGTCGGGGCCAACTTTCCCCTGATGAGAAGCGAGGAGGTGGCTCCGGTGCTTATCCTCAAGACGCATTTTTAGGGAAGACTATGGATAACCACTGGGAGCCACCCCCTCCAGTCGTTAAACACTCTGTTGCTGCGGTAGGCTGCGCGGAGAAAACGATCAAACTAGGCTGGGAGCTCGGTGAGAGCCGGGATGGTGTCTCTACACATCAGACGGCAAAATCGTGCTTGGATAGAACGGAGCTCCTCAAGAAACGAATATCTGAACTTGTGCACCTTGATGAGAATCCTGGCCAGGAAAAGGAGGCACACGACCAGGCTGCCCAGAAGGGAGGCATTTTAAATAACTTGGAAGCCTCCAAGGCCCCGGGTGGTCTTAGCTTGACAAAACCTCTTGCTAAGGATATTTGTCGGAGATGTCACACGGCAGGTGAGTGTATCTAGCAATTTTAGCAACATATTCATGGCTAAACAGGTTGCCTTAGGGCATGCCATCTCTGATTGTCCCACGATCAACGACTCATCGTGGGATCCCCCTCCACATCCGAGATATATTTGCGCTATTTGCGGAGTGTCCGGCTCTCACTATGTCTGGGACTGCGAGTGGCGTCGGCCCAATACCCAATGGAGCACATACAGCAAGAGGAATCAGTTTGCTACCGAGAGGAACACGCAAGTCCCTTCTCAGGTGTCTCCTCATCCAGCAGAAGTCATGAGGGGGTATTTTCTAACAAAGCCGACGCTTACAAAACATTCTGATGATTTTTTGCCGTCGGTCAACATGGAACAGAGTAAACTGGCCCTTCGCCCTGGTGTTCGTGATGGTTTGGACTGTTGGCCACAGAGTCGCCCCAGGATGAGTATTGAATCTGAAAAGAGTCGCCAATGGAGTATTCCCCGACATGAAGTTGGTCGCTTATCCCCCTAGGAGGAGGTGAGTATAGATGATTCACGTTGTTTTCTCGGCCTAACGCCGCCTAGGACAAATGTGACTCGTTGGATGAAGAGAGAGATGCTAGAGAAACAGTGGACAACGAAGCAGGTGAAGTAGCTTGCCAAACCGCAGATGATTTTTTGTCCAGATTCGGGCTCGCACTCAAGAGGAAATTTTATCAAAAGACTTCTCCTGAAGAACTGATCAGTATAGATAATGAGCCGATGACCAAGAAGCTCAAAATAGGCCTTGAAGATGGCGAAGTATTGGATGGCAGTCATTCGTCATCCCTTTTGACCAGCGGGATACCTATCTCGGGTGCAAATGACAAAGACGGGAGCTCAGTCCCGGAACCACAACCGGGCGGTCCTGGGAGTACAGAATCGATGACTCCCGCCAGTCGTCTTGGCCGCAGCCCAAGTGTCCATGACCTGTTTCCGAATCGAGAGTGGGAGCACACTACCCATGAGGCACGGCAAACGGCAATGGAGCTGTGGCAGAGCAGCAGTGACAATATCGAACTTACTACCGGAGCCGAAAATGAGGCCCCCTTGGTCGCAGTCAAGCTGGAGGATAGTCATGGCGCCATTGACCATTCCATTGCAATTGAAGGCAATAAGAATGGTGCCGCAGCTGGCGGCATTGCGGGAGGGGAGGAACATGACAGCACTTCCTCTGTAACAAGCCTGTCTGGTTCAAACAAGCAACGTGAGGAGTGCGATGGTGTTTGGCACGTCGCTGCGTGCCAGTTGCACCACCATAACGGCGAAGCTATTTATTCTGCCAGCATGGAGGTAAAGCAGATTGGCGACACGGCTGACCCTTTAGTTGTAGCTGAAGACAAGAGCGACGCCGCGGCTGTTGGCGCTGTTGAGGAAAAGGAAGAGGGGAGCGCATCTGCGACAAAGACTCTTGTTGCAGGTGAGGAGGACAGGGGCCGAAGTAGTATTGGGCACGTCATTGCAGATAATCTGCAACGGAGTAATGTAGCTATTCAGCCCCTTGATGTCGAGGCGAAGCAGGATGGAAGCGGCTGTGGACTCTGTGATCATATCGAAGTCTTGGGTTGAAATGATGTTGAATGTAGTGATAGTCGATGAGGGCAAGGCAGAAGTAAACAACCGACAGCGTGACTGGTGTTACGCCACTGCTATTTTCCTCTCGAGAAAATTAGATAATTGAATGTAATGAAATTGACCTTAAATAACCAAGCCACCGCCCAGCAATGTCGTCCATGGTATCCCGGTTAATCCTTCCGCAACGCCCAACTCCATGATGTAACTTGAACCCTCAACAAGGGATATCGTCAAGTGCTATGCAATAAAATCTTGAAGAGGTTGGCCCTTCAGCGAAGCCAAGCCATCTCCGCCTGCATTTGTTCTCTGTCCAACCAGAAGGGACAATCACTCCAACTTGTCCAAGTGTTCTAATCTTGTCAAAACAACTTGCTTGCTTGTCTCCTCGATCTCACCGGCCAGGAAGACCTCATCCAGTATCGCATACACTTTATAAAAGTTAAAGACAAGATCCAGCTCGCACACGTTTCCGAAAAAGGCATCCAGCACCTCGACGAAGAAGTGGATGGCCTCGAGGTACGCCAGCTCGTTGTCGTTTGTGTCGACGCACGCACAGAAGAAGAGGCCGGCGTACCGGCGGTACACAATCTTGTTGTTGCGGAACTCGACGAAGTTGGATTGGTATTTCTGGTCGCGGGGCGCCACGAGCCGGTGGACCTCGCCCTTGAGCTTGATCTTTTGGTCGTCACTGTAGGGGGCGTACCATTTTGCCAGGCGGGTTTTGCCCCTGGTGAGAAGAGGTTTGCATTAGCGGATTTGGACAGGTAGTATTCTGGGGGGGAAGAAGGGGGACGAACTGGCGATTTTGGATGAGGATAAAGGACAGCATGGCGGTGGCGGGGGTTGGCCGGCTGCGTTGGACGTTGTGGATGTGGTGGTGGTGATGTGTCTGTTGTAGGGAAGGGGTTCGGAGCTTCGGTGGTTTGGCTTGAGGGGGGCGGTCGCGTGGCGGGGCGCTTGTTGGTGAAGAGCAGGTCTGAGGAGCACTGACTGTGGTTTGACGTGATTGAATATTGGCATTTCCGCAATTACTCCTGGTCGTAATGGGCCAATTGAGTCAATTGAGTGAATCGAGTCTACGGCGGCATAAGTTGGAATCTACCTGCCCAAGTAGCTGTCTAATAGCCATATAGCACACAGAAGGTTGGTATGCAGCATCTTGGCGGTCATGTCAGTTTCTACATCTTGTCTCCCGCTGTGGGTTGCCGATGGCAGGTGTAAGTGGCCCTGGAGGCTTGGTGTAACACCAGCATTTATATACAAGAGAACGCTGGTTGGTTCCTGGCATTGTATTGTACTCGGCACGCTAATACTCCGTACATTTAACGCTGAAACAGATCTCTTTGCCGAAGCAGCATCAAATACATCTATCTACTCGAAGACGCATAGGGCTGCCATTTTTAAAAGTCTCTGGATCGGCGTAGTTGTTTGGGTACCTGGGTCTTCATCCCTTGCCGGTCTCAGTCGCTCCTTCAGTTAAAATGGCTCCGTCGTCAACGGCAAGTGTGGGGAGCCATGGTCAACTGCTGTCAACTACCTAGTTCAACTTCTCGTGACCAAAGCTGCCGTTTTAGCGTAGTGTCATGACTTCACCTCACATTGTCGATCCGCCCCCAACCATCATGCCTAGGCTAAATTGATGGTACAATATAAGTCTCCTTCAGTCCCAATGCTTGAGTGGACTGCAAGACTCTTTGATTCTTGCCTTTGAGCTTGCTCCTATCAGCCTGCGGCGGCCCGCGTATTGCGTTGTAGTAGAGATTGCAAATTTTTGGTGCCAACCAAGTCTGGCCAATACCTCAAATCCTCTCGGAACATTCTCGTCGGGTCGCGATGACCGCTGCAATGGGATTCGGTTCACAAGTTCGCAAACTATGGCAGCCTCGAATCCATTCCGGAGCCTGGTCATAGCCATTTGGGGCGATTGGCAACAAAATGCATTGTGGCAGCGGATCGTCAAGTATTCCCTCGCCTGCACCATTGCCACCATCATTGCTATACTTCCTCACTTCAAAACCACGGCGACATTCTTGATACCCATGGTTGTTGTGTTTGCCCATCCTGGACAACGAATGGGTCGCATGATGGAGGAGCTGCTCATGACTCTCTTTGGGGCGCTGTTGGGCCTGTCATGGTCACTTCTCGGCTTGTACCTGTCGAGCCTCGTTCAGGATATCAATGCACCCGCAGCATATACTATCCGTGCTTTGTTTCTTCTGGTTGCTGTGTTGATTCACGGCTTTGTGAGATCTATGAGCCCGAGGCTCTTTAATTTTGTCTTGTTCCTTCTTGTTGCTGCATTGCTTACGATTCAGCTACCGAGCAACGCAACCACATCCTTATTTACAACCATTTATATACCTATTTTGCTTGGAGGTGGCGTTTTGGTGGTGGTTAATTTGGCTCTCTTTCCGGAACTATCCAGCAGTTACCTTGGTTCATCTACGATTGAGACTCTGTCGACTACCGTGGACACGTTGGCACGAGCGACTCACTGGTTTATCACACCAGGCTGTGATGCTCCTGAAGCAGCAAAAATCAGCTCAAATGCTCTCGCCACAACTTCTACAGCCAGGACCAGCAGGACCATGAATCGAGCAAGACGAAAGACCATGAGGAACATTAAAGCCTTTGCTGCAGAGTTCCCCAACCCGTTTCATACGGGCAAAAGCCAGGCAACAGTTGCTACTATGCCTGTCCACCGAACTACAATGGCTTTTCTCACAGCGCAAAAGTCCAAATTGCGTTCACAGCTCTCCCGTTGCAAAGCCGCTCAAGACGAGGTCAATTTTGAGATCTCCACCTCACCTCTACCCCCAATCGCCATGAAGCCTATCAGTGTACGCTACATGACAAGTCTTGTCCAGAACATCATTACACTCATAGGCAATTGCGAGAATAAGTTTGTGCTTGTTGGTAACGAGGACCATCTTGGCATCTTGCCAGACTATAAAGAGAGCACTGAATCGGCAACGCCAGACTTTCAAACAAGAACGGCACAACGAATCCATCCAATTAGTCCAAATAGAAGGGAAGCATCACACCACAACGAGCAGGTCAAGATCGTCAAACCAGTCAGGGAGATTGAAGCAGGCAGTTCACAGCTTCTCGAGATGACTATTCAACGTATTCGACTTCCAGTACAAGATTTCCAAAGTTCTATAAAAGAGGCAGTGAATCTACTAATAGCATGTCTTGCCTATTGTTTTGAAGTTCCAAAACTGCCCTCTGGATCGCCCGCGCCGGACGGGATACTCTTGGAAGAGATTGATTCCCGGATCGACGAGTTCTCTGCTTGCATATCCGCTTTCGATGCAGGATCTGCCCAGGCACTCAAAAAAGCCATTATGGATGAATCGGGGCGTGCAGTAGATTTCATGCCACGTATGGAGACCTTCCTTGTGTCCTCATTCATCCTTGCACTTCGCGATTCGGCGACTCAGATCCTGCACATGCTTCGACACGTAAGAACGCTTGTAGAAAAAAGACAGAGACGACGTAACAAATTTCGGGTCTGGGTTCCTCAATACAGGAATATTCGGAAATGGCTAACCTCCGGCGGTGAAGCCGATGCCATGGTTCTTCCCAAGGAAGCAAAAAAGGCAGCGCGTCAGGGACTTCAAAGTCCATCTTCCGAGGAAAAGGCCGAGCCATCAAGCGACGAAATCAAAGCTCCAGTACCGCCTAATGATGAGGAAACATGCTCTGCAGTCGCTAGTAGCCACAAGACTCAAGAGAAACAAGACTCGTTAAGCAAACCAACCCGCCGGGACAGGAAACAGTCCCCGCATGGCCGTGTTGCGCAGTTTCGAAGCACAATAGCAGACGCTTTGGAGTGGGTACAGCAGTCTGACGACGTCGAATACGCATTGAAGCTGGCAATTGCAATATTTTTGGTCACCTGGCCAGCTTTTGTTTCTTCTTCGAATGCCTGGTACAGTGAGGCAAAAGGGGTGTGGGCTCCCATGCAACTTATTCTTGTATTCGAGGTTGCCATTGGCACTTCGTTATTTGTTTTTGCCGTTCGGCTTTTTGGTGTCATCTTTGGTTGCGTTGTTGGATATCTCTCGGTGGAAATTGGACGAGGCAACCGTGTTGCTGCTGTGGTGATTCTTCTTTTTGGTATAGTTCCGTCTGCATATGTACAGGTTGCTACCAAATATGTCAAGGCAGGGATGATATCGATTGTGTCGCTGGCAGTTGTTGCTTTAGGTGAGCAATATAACACAGACGCCGCAATGTGAGTAACTAACTGACTGTATATCAGCTGCGATTAATGAAACTACTGCAGCCTCTGAAGTCTTCTACAAGCGACTTGTTGCGTTTCTAGTCGGTGGTCTGGTAGCTATGGTAGTTGAGACCCTCGTCGTGCCTGTGCGAGCCAGAGACCGCCTGGTAGAGTCCCTATCTACAGCGGTTCGCCAAGTCCAGAAGATGCAAGCCGCCGTGGCGGTTGGTATCGATGACCCAGAGCGGCCAAACTTTCGGTCTTCCAAGCTTCTGACCCGTTTTAGCCATTCTCGCGACAAAGCTCAAGGGGCACTAGCAGCAGCTGAGATGTTCTTGCCGTTTTGTCTCACTGAACCACGTCTAAAAGGGAGTTTCAAGCCATTGGCGCCGATATACAAGGAAATCATTTACGTCCTACACCAGATCATCGACCGCATGGATAACGTGGTCCAACTCCGCAGAGTGTATGGTTCATCCATCTTGGAGGACTTGAACCCGAAAGTGTACACGTACCGTAGAAACGTTGCCGCGAGCAGCACTTTGATCCTGTTTTCAGTGCATGAGGCGCTAACTACGTGGCTTCCACTACCTCAATTCCTTCCATCGGCTCGTCTGGCTCAATTAAGGCTCATCAGTCGTATCCGAGAGCTCTTGATAGCGCAAAGCCCAAAGGGACCGAAACCAAACATACTTGCGTACCACCGCCGAAGGCCCAATCTCGATGAGGACACTGCAAGTCTAATAACCCAACACAAGTTTCTATCTTGGAATGCCAGCACATCTGGTCAAATGGAGATAATTGAGTATCTTGAAGAGCTAGTAGAACTGGTAAAGTTGTTGGTTGGTGTTAATGCCTTCCGAAGCGGTTTGCTGGAGCGGCCGCAATATCGGCAGTATATTCGACAGCTGGAGACTGAACAAGATGAGGACTTGGACAGGGCTTTGTCCAAAAGTTCACATGCTTCTACTCGAGTAGATGGTGAGGGGGGTGGCCTAGAATTGGAGACGCTCAGAAGACGGGCAACCGCAACAGGGTCACAAGGCATTAGCCAGCCGTTAGGACTAAGTCAAGTGGAAGGCGAGCCAGGTCGTGGAACCGATGACTCGGAGGATGAAGACGAAGCCATACCAAGAAGTCTACAGCGAGTTGGGGCAAGATTAATGAGAGACGATACGGTAGTAAGGAGACGACGCTTTACAGTTGGCCACAGCGCATAGCATAGCAAAAAGTTCAAAAAGCTCATTCCTTGATATTCATCAAGGCGGATCCCACGCTACCTGCTGTGGTCGTTGAAACCATATATAGGTGTTCAAGACATGTCCAAAAGTGTCAGGCGCCAATGCAATGCTTCTCCGTGGTACATCATTCAGACCAAAGTCATTACCAAACCAACGCCAACAAGCCCAAGCCACCACCCAAGGTAGAAATACAGTCGAACAAAATACAAAGCCGCCAGAGGCGAGCCGCAACAGCCTCAAATGATGTTTAGAGGTGTCTTCTGCACAATCCTGGTCCCATTCAGCATAGCCCTCGTCTTCTTGGGCCACTGCTGGAAGCGTCTAAACGCTTCCTGGACGTGCCTGGGCTCGACGGGGGTCTTGCCCTCGCTCGGCGGATCAAACAGTCCCCCAAGCTGCAGCTTCCTCTTCTTGGTCCCCGCATTGTCCGCGCCGCTCTGCGCCCTCGCCGTGTCTTCCTGCTCCTTGACCTTGAGCGCCACCTCGGTCAAGGTGGCCACCATCTCGAACGTCAGGAAGCCCAAGATGTCGACAATATCGTCCGACGGCTTGCTGTCCGTCACGATGCCGAAGCCGGCCCACTCCCTGAAGCGCTTGCCCTTTCGCCATGTAAACGAGGCCTGGCGGTACTCGGACCACGTGACGTATTCCTCCTTGGTCATGGCCTTTGTGCGCTCGTCGGCCTTGCGCAGGCGCTGGAGCGTAATGTAGTTCATCTCCTCCTCTTCTTCGTCCTCCTCGTCGTCGCGCTCGGGGACCTCGACGGAGTAGAAGGATGCCGGCTCCCAGGGCAGGCCGACCTTGGCCTTTTTGTTCTTCTTGGCCGCCTCGTCGACGGGGCCGCCGGGGACGACGGCGTCGTCGCCACCTGCGAGGTCCGCGTCGGCGCCCTTGTCGTCGGAGTCTTTGACGTTTTTGCGCACGTCTTTCCAGGAGAGGAACGTGCGGAGGCGGCTGACTTTGGCTTGGTCGTGGCGGATTTGGAAAATGAGATCGTTTGTCGATATGGATTTGGAGCCGCGCCGGGAGGCGAGTTCGGTGCAGTTGCGGAGCTGGGGAGAGGCGTTGCCGATGAGCGTTGTATTTCGGAATAGGAAGGGTATGAGGGGGGGATTAGCGCGATGCTGTTGCTTACCAGTTCTATCACTTGTTGGCGGACAATGTCTTCGATGATGCTAGTAGTTTCGACTGAGGGTTCGCCGGTTTCGCCAGAGACGTACATCATCTGCCGGGGTTAGCGGCTTTTTTCCTCTCGCACATCTCGGCATCTTGGAAGGCCGTGATATGTTTTGGAGATGTGGTACCTGACTGATTTCTTGGCGGTATTTGTACGCCTTGTTGTCCCTGGAGTCGGCCATCCTTGCGACTCAACGTCTACCGAGGAAACAAGGATGGATGACTTGAGGCGGCTGAGGTGATGAAGTGCTCGACCTGTCTACCCTGCTATGGATGTGAGATATACAAGGATGGATGCCTGATCGCGTCACAATTTGGTGATGAATTTTGGAGTTTCAATTATATGCGAGGCTGGTGAAAGACGTGCGCAATGAGCGCTGGACTGAACGGCGACGGAGAGCGAGAGTGAGAGTGAGAGTGAGCGTGAGGCTTTGTATCCAAAGGTGTCTTTGGTACAAGCGGTCAGAACGAGACTAAGAGAGGGCACCCCCCAAAAATTAGCTGGACGGATTGCTAGTTGAAGCAAGGTATACGAGGCCGCAGCGATGTATGTGTCGTTGGCAATAAGTTATGGGAAGGTTTAGTTTGTCGCGAACTCGGAGCGAGAGATCACCGCACGGGTACACGTGACCCACTTTCCGAGTTCAAGGTTGAAGGTTGACCGCATTGACGCCATCTCTTGACTTTCCAATTATGGAATCGAAGATGCCGTTTCGAATTTCCAACTGTATTTGAGTCGAATTTACCATTTTTATTATTATTCATTTTTGACCTTGAATTTCTGCGGATTGATTCCTATCGGCCAAGGGACCAAATGTAGCACCCCTAGCACCCCAGACCACCACATAATGCGCCGCCAGGAGCTTCCATTCTTCGACTTCGTCCAGCCCCTCTAAACAATCTACTCTCTCCCTCTCCTTCTCATCAACCCACTTATCCCACGTATTTTCAATCGTGGCATACCCAACACTGTCGAATCCCGAGTGCCGCAACCTTGCCAGTTGCCCTTGCTGGTCTTTATACGTCTGCAGAGAAGGCATGTAAATGTGTCGAGCTTTGAGATTAGAAACCATCATGTCGCCAAATGCGTCATGCAGCGGCATCGGTTCATACAACAATGCCGCGAGGCTATGAATCTTGGAGCTGAAAAAGTTTAAAACATTTTCAGAGTCTTGCTGCGTCAGATAGCAGAGGCAGCATTCAGACAAGAGCAGGGTTGGCACGTCGCTGCGAATGTGGGACGGCAGCTCTGTGATGGACTCGGATATGCTGCGCAGATCTAATGCGTGGCAGTGATACTCGCCGCCCTTTGAAGGCTCGGCGCTCCATGATCCGCCGTCGTGAATGCTCAGGTCCTTGAATATGCGATGTAGTCCGGGTGATGATTGGGTGATGGCCAACTTGCGCCGGCATGTAGGCTCAAAGTCCACTTCGTGATAAATGAGATTTTGGGCGCCAGGCTTTTGCAGCATGTGCAGTGGTCTTGTGTCTGTTCCAGCGCCAAGCGATATCACTTGCTTCAGCGAGGGCCCGTTGTGTGAGAGGAAGGCGTCTACCATGGCATCTAGGGACTTGGTTCGCATATAGGTGCCTGTATGACCATCAGTATCTGTTCGTATGGACGTTATGGCGGTCTTGGTGCCGCGGTACAGACCTCGATTGATAATGGGCAGCCGTCTTGTCGGAGGCCCGGTTACGAAGAACCGCGCATAGGGATCTTCCAGGTAGCCCAGTTCGACGGCACTCAGCCGTGACACAGCCGCATCGGTATCTGTGCCCTGAATAGTGGCATCTGGAGATACTCCTGTGGATGAGGCCGATGGACCAGCCTGGCGTCTTCCCCTGCCTCCACGGCCTCCGCCGCGACCGCTGCCCCTCAGGGAAAGGAGATTCGGTATGGATGGAGCAGCCATCTGCCGTGAACAGCTGCAGTTGCAGTCTGGCAGGAATACGGATGGCAATTTACGTTGGCTTGGTCTGGGCAGGCACGGCGGAGCGAGAGGCTCTCCGGGGCCGCAACGCGCTTGCAGCAGGAAGGAGCGGCGCAAGTGGTCTGGTGGCAGTTGCGCCGTAACTTGGCAGGTTTTGACCACTGATCAGCAGTGATCACCGATGGCTGCCCCACCACTGGCAGACCATCAAATTGCTTTACATACTAAGTACATAAAGTACATACATGCAATCGAGTTATGTACTCTACAGGTTGCCAGAGCCATCCACAGCTGCCAGGCATTTTAATATCATTACTCATCTCATACAATCTCGCCCAGCGTCCACGGCTTATTCCTTCCAAACAAGAAGAGTACATAACAGCGGATACTCTTGTAGGCTGCGCCATCCATCATCGTCGCCCTGGAGGCCAATCTCCTCTCGCCATGTTTCGCCCAGAAACTCGCAATTCTGCCACACAATTCTCCCCGCCATCCCTCCAACACGGGCCGCCTGTTCATAGAGGCTCTTTTTGAGATGAAATGTCCCAAATTCAACCTTGCTATCTGGCGAAACAGAGCCAAACACTCTGATAGGGAAGCCAATCCCCCTCGGAAGCACGTTGCCGAATTTGTAATGAACACCCGTTTGAGCCCAGGCGCTGTTGTTCACGCCAGAGGCGAAAGATTCCAAGTCATCCGTGGGGTGCATGCATATGCCGATAAAGACTCCGTTGGAGTTTAGATTCGCGGATATGGTGCGGAACATGGATGCCAACTGATCCAGGTTGCTGGCGTAGTTGAGAAACCAGGCGCCAGAAACCACATCAAATCCATTATTCTCGGCGCTATATTCTTGTGGAATGAGTCCATTGCCCTGCACAAATCGAGCTTGAGACGCGTATGGTGTCTCGGCTATTCGAGCCTCGGCCGCATTTACCATTGGGGACGATATGTCGACGCCCACGACGAAACTGGCCCCCCATTCAAGAAGGAGACTGGAGTAGAATCCGGTTCCGCATGCTAGGTCAAGGACCTTTGTGCCGTGGCGTTGGAGGAACGGCTCAATGTGCTTGCGAAAATTGAACTGCTCGAGTTTGTTGAAGGGCGTCTTCTTGATGACATCATACTGCGTTCCGATAGCATCATACTGAGCCATGTTCTGAAAATATCACGACGGCAACTTTCTGATGATGGCGACCACGCCAGACGGGGACAGGCAAGAGGAAAGGTGCAATACGCAGAATGGTAAAAACGAAGAAGAGCAGCAGCCAGAAGGTTTATTTATCACCTAGATTTGGAACAAGCGGAGTGTTGAAGAGGAATGGTCTCGCACCCGATTGGCACCAAGGTGTAACGTAATAGAAATCATCACGTATGTATTATGAGTCTCCTTGCAATAAAGCGCCATGACGGTGGATCGAGGGGCGGCATACGGGAAATTCGCCTCTCGCTATAAAGGCAGCAACTTGAAATAGCACGAGGCGGTGGACGCGAAGTTCCAGAAAGAAAAGAAACGCAAACCTTGGGGCCGTCGGCAGTCCAAGGCAGGCTCTGATCTAAAGATGGTTTCTTAGAGTGACAAATGGTGTCGGGGAATAGAGACCCCCCAGGCCAACCATTGTTTGTTGGTCAAGTCAAAACCTCGCTACGGTGCCGTCAGAACGGCTGGACTTTTGAGGATGAAATCCTTCGCAAATATTTGTCTTGGAGCCGTGCATCTCGGCCGTTAAAATGCCCCGGGGCATCGCACAGAGACCCTTGTCACTTACGGGGACTCAATCGGCGCGAGCATGGTGTGAAGACGCTCAAATTCCAAGCCCCAGTATTGGTCACGTCTCGAGTACTAGTAGTTACTTCGTACTGTGATTCTGTGAATGTGTGTGTGGCCTCGGCGGCGGCGGCGGCACCCACTGGCGGCTACCGAGTACCTGGCCATTGTTAGTACGAAACACAGCATTTGTACACACGACGAAAGATAATAAAGCAGACCGTACGCTGTTTGTTTCGGCCACCTGGCAGACTCGCCACTGGGTCGTGGCCCGCCGAAATAAAAAGGCTCACTGCCTGATTGTTCCGCATTGATTATCGACGCCGCGACGGGGCGAGAGGCGAAGCTGTTCGTATCACACACACTTGTAACATGTTGGCCCAGGACGAAACAGTGGCCTGCGCAACTCCATTGGCCCTCGATCCTTGGTCAGTCAGCTTCCAGGCATTAACAACGGATTGGGAAACGGCCGGAGTGGATGCAGGGGGCAGTGATGATGAATGAATGAATGAATGAATGAGGCTGAACTCGTACTCCGTACTCGTGCCAGGCTCCAGCATCCCGCGGCCAACTGTTCTCAAGCTGCCGCTCTTCATATCAACGCCGCCCCGCATCTCCTTCCTCCATGTCGCTTCCGCCATAATCCTGGATTCTCACCATTGATTTTCATTTCATGTGTTAAAAAACCATTCCTGCATCCGTTTGCAGTTTATCTCAACAGCTTCTAGATCTCTTTTGTCGTCATTTTTTTTTTCAGCTCTCTCCCTTTCCCTGCCGGCATCAAGGTCGGCGTCCCACCCACCATGCAGTTCCACGTCAAACGCACCCTCGAGGGCGGTCATGATATCAGAGGCTACGAGCTGCCCTCATGGGCGCTGCTCGTCTTTCTCGTCGACATCTTGGCTCTGATTCCCGTCTTTCTCCTTGTAAGTTGATTCTGCGAATAGCTCATGAGCCGAGTCGACCGGTTCTGCACGGCTCCGTCGATACCGCTTTGCAGCCTCGCCGTTGCCACCAAACGTGGCCCATCATGTCCTGACACGAATCTCCTCAACAGTTCCAGTACACCTTCAAGCTGGTCTACCCCGTCTTTGCCATGGTAGAAGATGAGAACCCGCCCGCCTACGAACCCGTTCCTCTCGATCAGTCAGTGTCCGGCGGCGAAGAGGGCGTCGCGCGCAACAGCTTCAAGCCCACCAACGGCCGCCCTCGCACCGTTACGTCGTCCTTCCGCGCCATCAACCGCCTCCTCATGGCCAACGGCGGCGTCGCGGCCAACTTTCGCGGCTTCTTCTGCTACCTCGCCCAGGTCCTCCTGACCACCCTCCTCATGGGCATCTTCACCGGCACCTTTGGCGGCTACCTCTTCCCCGTCGCCACTCTCCTCGCCTCCCTGGCCCTGGTCCAGTACAGCACCGCCTGGGTTCACATCGTCATTTCCGAGCCGTCGCCTCTGCCCTTTTGGTCCCGCCTGCCTCCCTTCCGGCGCACCTTCGAAGCCACCTGGCAGGCCGTCACGATTTTCTGGTTCGCCAGCGAGGTCACGCGCTTCGTCCCCGTCATCATGGCCCTCGTCCTCGGCATCACGATGCCCCAGGGCGGCTTCAACGAGCCCCTGGACATGGACGCCCTCGGCCCCGGCTTCTTCGCCAAGTCCCTCGTCGTCTCTGTCGTCACCGTTGCCGCGTCCGTCTTCGTCATCATCCCCGCCTACGTCGTCCTCGTCCGCGTCCAGGCCTCCCTCTTGCCCGTCGAGCAGAGCACCATTATCCCCTTTGACCGCTCCTTCGAGGGCAAGGTCGAGCCCGAGGTCGTTGGCGGCAAGGGCTACGCCACCGTCTCCGACGCGTGGACTACCTTTAGCAAGACTTCGTGGCGCCGCCTCTTGATTCTCTACGTCAAGATGTTCTGCCTGAGCCTGGCTGCCATGGCTTTGTTTGTCGCCGTTCTGGTGCCCCAAACCATCTTCATTGCCAAGCACAGCAAGGAAGTGCGCTAAGTCGTGACAATCAAGCCTGATAGGGACAGCGTAGAATTAGGACCCTTGCACGGCGCTACATGTGCCTTGCCTGCGCTAGGGGGCGGCTGTGCTTATGAACATTACGATATTCTACTCTATTCCTGTTGTTTTCTGAAACCCACCATCAGTCGCATTACAAAGAGCGTTTCTTCTTTTTTTTCTTTTTCCCTCACTTGGTATTTTTATTGAAACAATATACAAAGCATATCGTCAGTCGTTGCAACTCATCGTATATAATTCAAGACATGTCGCAAGTATGTTTCAAAAGTGTTGTATTTACTTGTGCATATGTAGTGAGTCCACACGTGAGCTCTACAATCATAAACTGTCCATCAACCAACTCCATCTTCAAAGCTCCATCAAGTACCCATGACTCCGCTTCTCATCCTTTCTTTTCAGCCCTTTCTCAGGGCGACGCCTTTGTCCAAATGTTTCTTTCCTCTTTGCTCTTCCATTGAACATGCCTTGTCCTTCTTTCTCAAAGGCCCGTTCCGTCATAAATCCAATCGTGATTGCCACCCAGTTTATCTATGTTGTAGAGGGGCGAAGGAGTTGGGAAGGGGAGGGGGGTGGGGGTGTTTTTCGTGCAATTCTTGCACTTTACCTCGCGGAAGAGGTAAATGTGGTAAATAACATAACGAACAAGGGAAGTTTGGTCAAAATAACAAAGAAAAGCCCATTGGGAATACCATAATGTTGCTAAAGGGAGGCGTATCAACGTGTGAGAGGACATGGGAATCGTCTTTTGCTTGCAATATATCAACTGAGTGTCATGGGGTATGTTTGGTGTAATCTAATCGTAATATCTACTCGTTAACGCCCTGTCAAGAAGCAAAATGACGTGCAAGATTACGACTTGTTGAAAAACCAGCTACTTCGCTTGTTTGTGGCACCCTCGTTCTGCAGCGACTGAATAGTAGGAACGTTGGGCCCGTCGCCGCCGCCGCCGCGGAGGGGCTTGGCGATACGGCTGCCAGCGGCAGAGAAGCTGAAGCCACCGGTGGTGGCATTGAGACCCTTCGTGCTGCCGGCCTTGGCTGCCTCGAGGCGTTCTTTGACGGAGGCGAGTTGAACCTCGAACCTAATGAAGTAAGGCGTCAGTTACCAACGTTATCATAGATGGACGGATACATTTGGCGGCTACATACTTATGGTTGGCGGCTGCCATCTTCTCTTGGCTGTCTTGCAGCAAGCTTTCCAGGCTCTGGATGCGCTCGTTCCTTGCAATGAGCTTACGCTCCGCAATAGCAACCTCCTTCTTAAGAGCAGAGTTCTGTTCAACGAGCTGGCGCTGGACCTGAGTAAGCTGCTCAAGGTTCCTCTCTAGGAAAGCCATCTTCTTCTGCTGTGCCCGGTTGTTGGATGACCGGAGCACATTGTTGTACTGCTCACGAGTCTCATCCAGTGAGATCTCAAGCTCCACAACACGCTCACAGCGGTTCTGCAAATCTCGCATGAGACTCTTCTTCATGACATCAAACTCGGCAATCTGTTGCTGGATAGTCTTGCCGTTGGTTACAGGGGTAGCGCCGCTGCCGGCCTTGACCTGTTGCTGGAGGTCCTCGATCAAGGTCTTCATCCTCGAGTTCTCAGCCGCCTTTTGAGCGGCATCGGCCTTCAGCTCGTCAATAAGCTCGACTTGAGTCGTTTGTCGGTTAGCATAGGCGTGCTCCAGGCGGGCCTTCACCTCTTCAACATCGCTCTCGCTGAGGTTCTTTGTCAGAAGATCTTCATACTGCTGCTGCATAGCCTCCAGCCTCTCTTCTAGTTCGTGCCTCCTTCGAGAGTCCATTTCGCCGGATGATGAGCCAAACATTGATAATTCTGCCTGTCTGACAATGCCTTGCGTCTCCACAAGCTTGGTGCGAAGATCTCGAAATTCATCCGGTGCAATGTTGTTGCCCACCGAACTGATCTCGTGTAGCTTCTCAATGTGTTGAATAGCCTCGCTAATGGATCGCTCATTGTCGCTGAAAACATCGCTCCCAAGATCAAAACCAGCCATCATCTTGGCCATCTTCTCAGCCTTGCGTTTCTCCTTCTCATCAAAGGCTGCACCTGTTTCCTTGGCATTCATCTTGATATCAAGCAGTTGCTGCTTCACATCATCCAGCTCCGTCGTCAATTCCGAGTTGGCCTCCTTCAAGGCATCCATGGTAATCTGCGCCTCCTTGCTCTCAAACGTCAAGCGCTCGAGTTGCATCTTGAATTCGTTCGTCTCCGTTGTGAGTCGTTCGTTCTCTTTACCCAGTCTGCTGTCGTGCTCCTTGAGGTAGGCCATCTCCTCCTTGGTGTCGCGCAAGGTCTTCTCCGCCAGCGTCACCTGGGACTCCTTCTCAGCCAGCTGATCTTGGAGCTCATTTTCACGGCGCAAGAACTCTTCGCGTTCATCCTTTTCCAATGTCAAACTCGGGGTTGAAGCGCGGTCGGTAGCAGCAGGCGTTTCTGCTCGGCTCTCGGCTGTGAGTCTAGATGGGGTGGAAGGACGGGGAGTTCTGGGCTCCGTCCTTGCGCCAACAATACCGTCGCCGGGCTGTGCCCATTTGTCCTTGGGGACCGATTCTCCAGAGCGCCATAGCTGAACTTCCCCTTCGAGTGTAGAAATATAGTTCTCGAAGTTTGTGACTTGACCTTGGGCCTTCTTGAGCAGCAGCTTGAGCTCGGCGGGGCTGAGTTCGGCATTGACCTTTGCCTTGTTCTTGATGGACTTTGCTCTTGTACCGAATCGTAGTGTGCTCAGCGTTTCGGCATCGTTATAACTGCTCGGCGAGCAGTTAATGATGAGGGTGGTCCGGCTGTTGCCACCCAAGGATTCTTGCAAAATTCTCGTCAATTTAGAGTCTCGGTACGGAATGTGAGATGATTTGCCGTCGGTCAAAGCATTGATGACCATGCCCAAGGCACTCAAACTCTTGTTAATTTTCTTGGCTTCTTCGAGCGTTTGTCCACTGGCGCCCGTCTTTCCTACCTTTTCACTGCCTGCCAAGTCAACCAAGAAAAGCTGGCCGCTCTTCGCCGAACCTGTCTCGACATTCTTCTGGGTGATAGTTATAACGAAGATGGAGTGCGATCGTGAGGACTCCTGGTTCATGTTGGTAGCGGCCACAGCTCGGGCGTTTCCTCCCCTCCTCATGACTTCGTAGACTTCTTGCACGCTCGATACGTAAATTTCGAGCAAGCCCTTGACATAGACGCCACGGTTCTTCTCCTCATGAACGGGTAGGTTGTCGTTCTGGGGGGCCAAGAGATCTCGAATTCTTTCCATGTAAATCTCCATATAGCTGACACGCACGGTATATTCTATTGTGCTGGGGCTAGACATGATGCTGGCGAAGATCTGTTCAACAATTCGCGGGATGACGCCTCGTCCGTCGTCGTCGTCGATATTCGTGCCCATCATGGTGTACGATTTGCCGGCACCAGTCTGGCCATAGGCAAAGACGGTTCCGTTGTAGCCATTCAAGATGTCGTCTACGGTGGGTCGGATGGAGAAGTCGAAGATGTCCTGCTGCTTACATGCCATGTCGAATACTCTATCAAAGGTGAATCCCCCTTGAGCCTCTTTGGACTGTATACACTGTCAGCTAGGTCCACGAATACAAGACTTTTGGGCAAAGGCGGCAAGGGCCAGTCGTCAGGCACCATTGACAAGACGAGGGGAGGGGTTCCATACGTCGAGGGAACATGAATCCTCGGAGCTAAAGGTGACGATGGGTTTTCCACCCGACTCCAGCTCGATCCGGTTTTGGGGCCGGAATCGGGCCACAACTTTGATGCTATTCGCAGACATTCTGACGGTGGTATTCGTGCCGCGGTGTTGTTGTGATCATGGACCACGCCCCTCGTGATGGACTCTGGAGGCACGCAGGTCAGGGGCGGTGGGCACGGGCAACGCGCGAAATGCAGCGACCCCAAACGAATAAGGCGAAGCAGCCTCCAAAAGAAGGGCGATTCCGGGTAGAAGACGAGAGCCGCACAAAGGGATTGATGCTCCTCAAAGCGAGCGGACGTGTCTTTGCAGTGCAAAAACAACGACTGCCTCGGCGGTTGGTTAGATCAACAACATACAGGGCAAGGTTAGGGCCTTGTGTTGGTGAGGGACGCGCTTTGGGGCGGTCGAGCTTGTGGTTTACGTACCTGTACCTGAACCACAGCCATCCATGCGCGGTCGCCAGATGCGGTTTAGCGTGCTCGCCGCCCTGAGGCCTCTACCTCGGAGTCTTTCTTGATGGCCAAAATTGAACCACGCACACTCAAACACTCAGATCTCGGCTTGCCGGAGACCATCATCAAAGGCAGCGTGAACACCGCGTGAAACGTTAAGCAGCCCACTTGGAATAACTCTTTGTCACGTCAGGTCTTGTTTTAAAGACACAAAAGCATCGTCCCATCTACCGAGGGAATTGAGAGACGTTGGCTGTCTGTCGAGTACATGCGTGCATACGAAATACTCGATAAAGAATTTGATTGTATACTACCTCGCGCTCGCCTCGCATGGCTCATCCATCAATCATGGGTACTCCGTACACGGTAACTACTAGTTCATATCTAAGCCATGACGCGGCCACGCCACCATAGGCGCCGACACACACAATGTCTTGACCGCTGTTCGCAACGATACGAAAATGGGCTAGCAGATGCGTTCCACTTTGAAGCTTGTCTACTCTGATAATTTTTCTAGATATGGGTCTTTCGTCTTGAGCGGTAGGCGGTTGCTATCATCCAAGGCATTGTCGCACAGACTGTTCTGGCCAAACAGTGCCCTTGTGCCCTTCTGCCCTCGATTACAATTTCGAGACTGTCGGCCACTGTAGCGAGATGCTCGTGTGCCTGGCCCGCAGACTCGTTCATGTTGCCATTATCTACATGTCGTGGAGAGCCTGGCGCATAGCTGATAGAGTTTCGACGAGCGGCGGGAATGGCGTTCTGCTAAAGCAGCGTTGCGACTCGATGGCCCAGGTGCTTACCCAGGCACCCAAGTACATGTACAGAGCAGTGACTTTTTTCTGCGCACTCACATGCACATGTACAGTATATATGCGCCGAAAGCAAGGGTCCTTCTTGTCTTTTCAAATCGCGGGGGCGTTTCAATGTCGCACGATGCGCGCCCGGAGTAGTGCGCGCAGAACGCCAGTGTCTCAACGGCCATTCTGGGCCACGCCAAGACCTCGATTTGATATTCTGCCGTTACAGCAGCCAGATTTTAGTGGTCGTTCTTGGCTTTAATCAAAAATATTGGGGATAGAACGAAACAGCTTGTGAACTGCCTTGTAGCATGACTTCGACTAGTAGTCGTACGGAATTTGGCCATGGTCCCGCAATTGTCCGACTCAATACTCAGCCAATTCCGGCTGGTGAAGACTCTAGGAGTATCAACCGACCTGCTTCGGAGCTTGCTTGGTTCGCACTACGGCGCTTCCTCGAACAGCAAATTGCAGTGGGCTGCCTCCTGTGCGCCCTTCATGCAGTTGTTAGACCCCGTACGGAGTACTCCGACCGTAAATAACGTCAAAATTAGGTCCACATGCGCTATAAAGTACATACTTGTAAGCGCTTTTTATGGTACCATCATGCACCAGCACCGGCGAAACGCAAAGGGCCAAGACTGTGTCTGATAAATGACTAAAAATGCCTTCATGCTATCTGATATGCAGTTCCCTTGGTATAATCAGTCCAACACCATACACCAAAAACGCCTGCCAAGCCATGTCCACCTCCTTCACAATTCGGCCGTCCCCTAGATGAGCCGACAAGAGGAATACTTGCAGTGAGTATTTCATAGCCGGAATGTATCTGAGATGCCCACATATAGATTCGACCTATGCCCATCCGTCCCTGGCCAACCTTGAACCTCGTGCACCAGTCACTAGTCCTCCCAACTTTTCTCGACGGTTTCTCTCACCCTCTTTGTATATTCTTTGCGATTGTCTTTGTATAAATTCGAAGCTTCGACATTCGCTGGTGACCCAGTGTTCGGATCGTTGAGCAAACTGACCAAGAAAAACGTTAGTACATGTCGTGCAGCTTTACAGTCAAGTCACATCCACTTGTCTTCTCGTCACACGGAAAGCATACCTTTGAATACTCGTCAAGACAGCCGCAACGTCATATGTCGGACTCCAGCGGTTTTGAAGGATATCAAGACACAGTTCTCCAGTCGCATACACGTTCGGGTGGAACATTTGACTGATGAATTTGACTTGTGGCGGCTTGTTGGGATACTGTTCTTCAAATTGCATAACCAGTCGAAAAGTTCCATCTTCGAACGGCGTATCAGCAGGTCCAATAATGACGGCATTCCTACATCAAGACGTGGTCAGCAGCGGGCTAGGCGTCGGGATGTTTGACCGCGGCCATCGATCGTGAATGATGGTGACGTACCATGTCATCACATTATCAGGGATAGGGGAAGCGGAAACTCCTGCAGGAGGATCTGTCTGCATGCGCTGCAGAGCAAGAGTCAGTACTTGATGCTAAATGAAGCATATAATGACAAGCGAGTGGCAAACCTTGAAGTCACGCATCAGACGACGCCTTGCTGCGGTAGACATGGTATGATCGGCCCAGCTTTGGAGCTGGTTATGTGCAAAGGGAGAGGTGAGGCGGCGTTATGCAAGTAGAGGTCTCGACGATGAGGTGCGACGCAAGCAAGACACTTTCCAGCTAGTGTCTCGTCCCAACAGCTTGAGGCTTGACGGAGACTTTGACAGGCTGGACGGGATGTGAACAGAGAATAAATGGGGTTTGGTCATCGATGAAATGGGCTGCTGAATGGGCTTCCAAGGCAGGACCTGAACCGCCCCAATATCGGCGGCCTGCCAATCACGCAGCATCAAGTCCCAGGCCAATCATAGTGCTGCCTGAGATTCGAAGGCACAGCTGAATCGGACAGAATGTATCACGTGACAAGACTTCGACGGCCCTGTCGCACGCGTGTGGTCGCAAGACCGAATGAACAATTGTCAACCGGAGGCAAGCAATGCACACTGCGGCCAAATTCTCCTCATCGCAGGCCGCTCGACACAAACGGCAGCTCGATGCAAATGCCAGTTCAGGCTCGCAGCCGGATGCGACGTCATGCTGCTGGCTACTTACATAAGTAAGCTGTGCCGTGTTCCGCGCCATGCCAGGCGAAGGCGCATCTTGCTTTTGGTGTCGGAAATTCTCCACCTCGGTTCCGTCGCTGGCTTCCTAAGTCATTCCAGGTCGATCTGTTCCTTCCCCGGAATGCCGGACTCCCCCGCTCTAAGCCGAAGCGTACCGAGCTAGCCACCTAGAATGGCACCCTCACTAAATATCTAACCGTCGCCCAGTCGTCCGACGAGTCTGAGCTTCTTTTGTGTTTTTCCTTCTGAAGCTGCCTCCTGCCACTCACGATATTCTTGGCCTGGCCAATTACACCATTTGGCTCGCTTCGCTCTTCCACAATGTCTGTTGCACAGCTCAGATCGCCACGCCTGGCCAACCAGCTGGCCCGACATGTGAAAGCGGCTCGCCACTTTTCCACCAGCGCTGCTTTGCGTAAGGAGCTCCAGGATGCTTATATCCTCAGTGCTTCCAGAACGCCAACGGCCAAGGTTAGAGTCTAGCTTCTCACTCACATGTTATTCCCGATGTGTTCCAGCCTGAAACTAACTAGACCCTGCCTAGTTCAATGGCTCATTCTTGACTGTGCCTGCTCCCAAACTGGGTGCTGCTGCCATCAAATCCGCCGTCGAGAAGTCTAAGGTTCCTGTCGAAAAGATCACTGATGTCTACATGGGAAATGTCTTGCAGGGCTCGGTTGGCCAGGCTCCTGCGCGTCAGGCCGCAATCTTTGCTGGTCTTCCCGAGTCCATTGAGGCGACCACCATCAACAAGGTCTGCGCTTCCGGTCTGAAGGCCGTTGCCATGGCCGCGCAGAACATCCAAATGGGCCTGACGGAGGCCCAAATTGCCGGCGGCATGGAGAACATGTCCCAGGTTCCTCTCTACTTGCCCCGCGCCAGTGGACTTCCTGCCTTTGGCCATGTCAAGATGGAGGACGGTCTGATCAAGGATGGTTTGACTGATGTCTACCAGCAATTCCACATGGGCAACTGTGCCGAGAACACTGTCAAAAACCACAACATCACTCGCGAAGAGCAGGATGCTTACGCAATCCAGTCCTACAAGAACGCACAAAAGGCCTGGGCAGACAAGGCCTTTGCCGACGAGATTGTTCCCGTCACAGTTCCAGGCCGAAAGGGCGACAAAATCATCGACACCGACGAGGGCTTCCTCGACGTCAAGATTGAGAAGATTCCCACTCTCAAGCCTGCCTTTGTCCGTGACGGAAGCGGCACCGTTACTGCTGCCAACTCATCCACCCTGAACGACGGTGCTAGTGCTCTGGTTTTGGGCAGCAAGACCATCGCACAGGAATACGGGACCGGCTCCCGAGTCCTTGCCAAGATCTGCAGCTATGCCGATGCTGCCATGGCTCCTATTGACTTCCCTATTGCTCCTGCCAAAGCTGTCCCTATTGCTCTGGAGAGGGCCGGCATCACCAAGGACCAAGTCGCTGTGTGGGAGTTTAACGAAGCTTTCGCCGCCGTCATCCTGGCCAACCAGAAGATTTTGGGTCTTGAGGGCGCCAGGGTTAACCCTCTTGGAGGTGCTATCTCTCTTGGCCACGCGCTGGGTAGCTCCGGGTCCCGTATCCTCACTACTTTGCTGCACCAGCTGAAGCCTGGTGAGTATGGTGTTGCGGCCATCTGCAACGGTGGCGGTGCTGCTACGGCCATGGTTGTACAGAGGATTGAATCCGTGTAAAATGTATGTGTATGCATGATGGAAAACAAGACGGCATGTATATCGGAGAAGAGGCAAGTATCTGCCACATGTATCTGGAGTGGTTGATTCAGCATGGAATGTGGCGAGTTCAGGTCATGAGATGATCACTATACCAGCTAAGCGCATTAAAGGAATGGATGGGCATTGGGTAGCCATTTTGAATTAGGAATTACATGCAAATATCGGGATCAATATGGAATTGGCGGCGTATGCAAGCTGAGGAAACATTGGCAAACGGATGTTGGAACCTTTGTTCGCTACGACGCCTTGTTGAGAACATGTCCCCTGCTGAAGCGGCTCGAAAAGTGAAGCCAGTGTCCATCTTCCCATGTCAAGCGGTCTGAACATGATAAATTTCTGGTTATTCTGAGCCATCAGGATATGAGTGCAATCCATGGCGACTTTCTCTGTTTCGCGGCTTAGAATAGATTCCCATCCAAACACAGCAATTGCCCAGTAGAAATTAGGAAATCTTGGCTTTCGTATGCTTGCTACGACGTCGGCCTCAATGCGACGACTTACACGGTCCTCGCTCCATTGCTCATTCGAGTCTCCAGCCGCCAGAGCATCCAGTCGTCGGTCCCCACCAACCAGACATGGAAAGCTCGACTCACTCACGTCTCACACCCTCACGTCAAAGTTGCCAACCTCACCTTCACATCACGCGCAGCACCCCAGCTGCCCACCATGTCCCTCGTCGCCCAATTCCTCACCCAGATCAACCAGTATGTGCGTCTCCAACAAGGCGACAACCTCCGCGCCTGGCTGCAAGTGGAGCCCAACTCAGCAAAATCCTACTACGACATGGCCGCCGAGCTGCGTGCCAAGTTCAACACGGCCAGCGGCTTAGAAGCCGCCATCGACACGCATTTGCCCGTCGACGACGACGTGCCGGATGGCCAGGCAGCGGCATGGCCGAGTTTCCAGTCATTTATGAAGGATTACCTCACGCTCTGGCGGGATATCAATTATGACGACTTGCTGGGAACGCACGAGTTGCTGACGGCGTTGGTGAAGTGAGTTTTTGCTCTGTTCCGTTCCGCACTCAACTCACCCCCATGCCACGCGCAGCATACATGGAACTCTTGGACCTTTTGTTTGGCCGAGTTGCTAACAAATCAGAAAGCTCCTGCGGCACGGCCTTCACGCATCCCACCTACGGAGCCATGCTTCTGCAAGCAAGCATGTCCTTCTCCGTAACCCTGGCGCGCTTCACGCTCCAGCTCAACAGACGCCCTGATCTTACGCGGCGCATCCGCTCTGTCGACGAAGATAGCGGCGGTAAGTCCGTCGCCGAGTCGTCTGCGGAAATTATCCAAAAGATCTTCACCACGTGTTTGACGGATCGCTCCGTGGGAAGGGTGCCGGAGGGCAAAAAGGTTGGCGTGTACATGTTTGCCAATCTTGTCCTGAAGCTCTTATTCGCAGTATGTCCGTCCTTGCCCCTTCGCACCTCTCACTTCTCCTTCTCTCCTTTGTCAAAATTTAATGCATCTGCAAAGAAGAGAAGCAGGGGAAAGCAAACGGAAGTAACACGCGACTAACACACACCTTGGCAAAAAGTGTCGAAGAACAAACCTCGCCAAGATGATATTCGTCAACATATCCACCATCTCACCCCCCTTATCCCTCTACCCTGCCTCCCAACGCGTCACCTTTCTCTACTATCTCGGCCGCTTCAACCTGTCCAACCAGCACTACCAACGCGCCGCCCTGTGCCTCGAGCAGGCCTACCTCCAAACGCCGACGCCGCTCGTCTCCCACCGCACCAATATCCTGACGTACCTCATCCCCTGCAACATTCTCCTCGGCCGCTTCCCCTCGAACCTGCTGATGCAACGGCCCGAAGCGGCGACGCTCAGATCCGTCTTCGTCCCGCTCTGTGAAGCCGTTCGCTCCGGAAACTTTATCCAGTTCCAGCACCACCTTGCCACCCACGAGACGTGGCTCTTCGAAAAGGGCCTTTTGCTGGCTCTGACGCACCGCCTGCGCCCTTTGCTATGGCGTTCGCTGACTCGCAAGACGTTTGTCCTGACCTATGTGCCGCCCGCGGACGCTTCTTCCCGAAAAGCAGCCACCCTCGACATCAGCCACTTGCACGCAGCGGCCGTCTACGTACAGCGCAGACTAGAAGGCTGGATCCACTACCATCCAAACGCCCGGGGCAGGCCGTCCTCGCAGGCAAATCCGTTGTTTATGAGGGCCGTGACGAACAACGTCCAAGAGTCGGCGGAAACGACGCTTGTTCCTCCGCCACGAGGGCCGACCAAGCTCCGCCCAAATGAGGGTTTGATCTGGGGCAATGCAGAGATTACGCTGGACGATGTGGAGATGGTGGTTGCCACGCTGGTGCAGCAGGGCCTGATGCATGGGTTTGTGGCTCACGGGCAGGCGAGGTTTGCGATTATAGGGGCCAAGGCCAAGGGCCCTGTTGTCGCGGGGTGGCCCGTGGTTTGGCAAGCCATTCAGGAGAGGAGGTATGAGGAAGATTTTGATATCAATGAGGTGCCTGGGTGGGTGAAGGGTTGAGTGTCAAAACTACAACACGAATAGGTGGTGTTCCGAGTTTTTTTGTAACATGGCTGGATTTATGTTTGGGCAAGATACCCCTTGATGAGAATTACATTTCATTTACTACTATATCACGCAAATACCCAACGTCATCGAGTAACAAGGTGAGAGAATTCCAATTCAATGCTGTCATCTACCGGCCCCGAAGTAGCTCAACGGCGCCGTAGGGTGCATATCTATAGCATAAGAACCTCATCTATATATTGAAAATAACAAAGTTTTTCCTTTTCCAACCTTGAGGTCACGCAAGGCTAGGAGAACTTGGCTGCAAGGGCACGTCTAGAAGGCTACTAGTTATCCCAAGGATCGTCGTCCATTTTCCAAAGCATCTGCGCTACCATCCAGATTGTAAATGCATCAATCATATCCCTTGAAAAATAAATAAACGCTTTTGTATCCTTGCACCTCCAATCCCCACCAACAAAACGTTTCCCCAGTCAAAAAAAAAAAAAGGCCGAAGTCGAAAAATGTGAAAGCATCTCCCGACACCAGAGGGTATCGATGAAAAATATAGGTGAAAAAGCAGAGAGCACTTTTCAAAGAAAAGAAAATATAGAGTATGCGAACGTGTACCGCAAAATAGATACGATGGGCTCCGATAGAGGAGGTGTCAATAGACAATAAACACTATCGCCGATAGGATTCGGTTTGATATATAGTAAGAAATGAAGGTAAGATCCAAATGGCACTCTTGAGCGAGCCCAAGTCGGTCATGGGTATAAAGAAATGCCTTTCGGGGATAAAATTACTAAAAATTGAAGCCAGCCACAAGAAAAGGGACAGCTTGATCCCAACAATTGAAAAATGACGAGCAGCTCAACCGAAGATATTGACAAAGTTGATCGGTATGCTCTGTAGGTTGTAAATACTCGGTCAAAAATTTGACATCGAAGAGAAGATGTGGCTGGCCATGAGCATGAAGCGTTACAAACGTCAAGACAGAGATTATTTCGGCTAGAACAAGCAAGCGGCTGCGACGAGGGCCACGACGAGGCCGGCCACAGCTGCACTGCCTTGCTGTCTGCCAGCTTCTCCTTTCTTTTCGGTGGGAATAGGGACGTTGGGGACGGTTGTCTCGGCTATCGAAGTTGTGGGGGCTGTGGACGACGCCAATGTGGTCGTGGAGTTGCTCAAGGAAGTACCGTTTTCGTGGAATATACCAGGGATGAGAGTAGGAGGAGCATATGATGTTGTTGACGATGAGGATGACGACGACGACGACAATGAGGATGACGATGAGGTCGTCAATGTCGAGGACGAAGTTGTTGGGGCGAGTGTCGTGGTAGGCTGGGAAGTCGTAGTCGGCGCGACGCTGGTGGTGGTTGGCTTAGGGGGCGTAGACGACGTCGTAGGGATCTGGGTCGTCGTAGGCTGCTGTGAGGTGGATGGCGGGGGAGGAGGAGGGGGAGCAGATGAAGACTGCTTGGGTGGTTCCTTATTACCGCCAGATCCATCGAAAGCGACAATATGGGCAGAGCTGCCCTTGGCAACAGTGACGACACAGAAAGAAGAACCACCGGCACCAACAGCGGCATCTTTGCTGGCAACACTGCCCTCGGCAGCGGACGGATCGATCTGGCAGGGCAGGCCAGAACAGCCACCGTCGGGGCATTCAATCTTTACGCCGAATCCAGGTTTCGTCCCCTTGAGGCCGGATGATTCCCAGATAGGGTTCCATCCAATCTTGACAAAAGTTTGGCCATTGCTGTCGGTGTTGGCGCCAGCAACGTAGGGACTCCAGTTACCAATGGCTTTGTCTTCAGTGCCCCAAATGCACCCATCGGTACCAGTACCAGGAGGGTTAATGTAAAAGCTGAATCAGTCAGTTCGAGTTTCTATCTGCATGAATATGTTCCATATACATGGGAAAACGGAAAGTCTTACTGAGCGGCAGTGCTCTGCCAGTACGAAGAGCCAGGAACAGCGATAACAGCTTCAGACTTGACAAGAGTAGGGATCAACATGGCCTCATTGCCAGGTAGAACAGTCTGGCACCAGGACATGTGTTTTTTGCACATGTTGATGGCTTTGACGGACCCAGTTCCTTCAACACAGTTGGGCTTGTTGGGGAAAGGCTTCTTGACGTTGCCGTTCTCGTCGCAATGCAATCCACCATTCATGGAGGCAGGATAAGTATACGTCGAATCCGGGTCCCATTGATTCATAACCATGCCGGGCTTGCAGGCAATAGGACAGTAGCTGCCTGGCTTACACTCTTGATCAGGGCTCATAGCCCATCCCGCATTCTTCTGATCAGGGGTGACAGCAACGAGGTTGGAGTCATCAGTAGGAAAGGCGCAGGTTCCTCGCTTGACTAGGACGTTGGACTCGGCTCGCGAGTGAACATGGCTGTGAGGATGAGCCAAACGCTGATACGCCTGGTGCATCCGATGATGGTGAGAAGTGGCATCGCATCCAGCGATGAATACGGCCGCTGTGCCAAGGATGACCTGAAAGATCAGGGTCTTCATGATGTTGTATGACTTGAGTTGACGGACCAAGTTGAGAGGGCGTTGGCAAGTATACAAGGGTCCAAAAGTCTATCGAAGACTGGGACGTTGAGCGCCAGGTTTCGTCGCGTGGTTGTCAAATGCTGATCCGTTTCGAGAGTGGCGGCACCTGGCAACGACGAGGGTACGTTTCAGTTGGAGGGCGATCCGTTTGTTTTGAGTTGTTATCCGTTATATTACTGCTAGAGAAGATGTGGTTCCATGTAAGAGAGCGGCGTTGACGTTAGACAGTCAATTTAGTAATGAGCGACGAGGGTCAAAGGAAGGACGGAAGGAAAGAACAAGTAATGAGCGAATTCAGTAACCAAGCATCAGGAGTTTAGCAAACGGGCTTAAGCTCTGGAGATGGGGAGAGAGGACAAAGAGGAGGAGGAGAGTGAGGGCCAAGAGACGACAATATCGAGCTGAGCACCTCGAGCCACCCACAACTCCCAATCGAGGATTGGGGGAGACGGGGGGACGGGGGTGACGGGGAACCGGGGGGGGGTGATTGGGCGTCCATCTTGGGAGGAACTTCTGGAGGGCCGCATCCAGCAGCCTTGTTTGTGTCCGAGGCCAGGCTCGAGGCCGGATGATGAGAAGAAGGCGGGGGGGCGCGAAAAGCGAGTGCTGGTGAAATTGCGCTCCATCCGTGCCCCCAAGTGTGGCGGCCTGACTGTGAGACGTCTGCGGGCCGTTGCCAATCGGCGGGAAGCTCTGCGCCTCCCCCAGTCTGGCAAGGCGGTCTAAGGCAGGAACGACGCAGGTACAGGACCGTTGCTGGCCAACCAGGTGGCGCCAACGGCCAAAACGAAATGAGGGCAAAGCCACGGGTCGCAGAGATGGGTTGGCCGGAAATGAAGTCGACAACCAAAAACATGCGCCGGCCCGCCCACCATTGATCCATCGAATATCCATCCATCCTCGACTCCTGCGCCTGCGCCTGTCCATCTAGCTTAGGACAGCCCTACACTGGCCCAAACCACGACACACAAGGAATAATAATCAGTCCCGAGTACACACGTACGTACATACATGCAACGCCGGTCCACGCCTTTGAGCAGCTCTGCCTACCAACTACCTAATACCTGCCTACCTACTTCGGTGCTAAGGGCAGTCGTCTTTCTGTACGAGCGCTCAACTGTCACGACTTGTTCCTGCGGGCTCATGTACAAAGGAACGCAATTAAACACTGGACGGGGCTCGGAAGCATAAAGCAAATTCTGATCATTGCACTGTTTCAAGATGACCCTATCATTCGCCGCCAACGCACAGACTTTCAACCCTGGCCAGGGGCCATCGGTCCAATCAGACGCACGCGATGGTTTTGGCAAATCTGGCAAAAATCTGACACCTGCTTGTCCTGTCCAAGACTGTCCCTGGCTAAACTAAACTACTACTAGTTCTGTTGACCTGGACCACACTCAACATGTGGTGATGGCGCCTTGAGCTCTGTCAAGAGTACTGTCTGGTTGTATGTACATACTCCGTACTGTGAGCCACATTACATTCTGAAGCGCGTTGGCATGTGTTGACATTGCTGAGACATCTATTCGCGCTATAATTCTGAGACGTCCTGATTGGGAAGAAGGGGGAGAGAAATTAATAAACAACGCATGATGGGGAACCTCATAAAAAAAAAGAAGCTGGCAAGCCGGGTCCATTCCTCTTCTTAGACCCCCAGTGCAGCCGATTAAGGACAGAGACTGCCGAGTATTACTACTACCGTCACAAACGCGATTAATGCAGCATCCTTGTATTTAATGCCCACGACCCTACCGGCTCGTCTCGCCTATGTATGCTCGGGCCAAATCATGCTCCCTTGTTGCCTGGGACGGCTCTTTACGTACCTGGATCGAATGCGTCACTTGGCCTCTTCCCTCCGATCGCTGTGGAGGAATACTACAGGCATCTTTTCATGAGTCAATTCTTGTCGCCGCCCCAAGCAATTCACTTTTTGGGTTCCCTGATTTGTCCCTTAGGGGGGCACCTCGTCCTTTTGGGCGAACCAAAGAACAGGATATGAGCTTTTTCGGCTTGAAGCGTCATACGTGGCTTCTTCCGCTTCCGCTGCCATGTAATAGTAGTCGATTTTTCACAAATCCAACGTTTCCTTCCAGGATACGGAGTGCTACATACATACCATACATAGTCTTGAGCCTAAACTCCCAGCTCCGAAAACTTTGTAGGTGATGATGCTGTTGCCGGTTACTTTGACCAAATGCAGGCTTTGAGCAAAGAGAAAGGAATCGGAATCGTACTCCGTACAACCATTGCACGACCATCATCTCCACGCACAAGTCGTACGAATATCGCACGTGGGTTGACTAGCACAACATTCGAAGTCACCGTGTAACCGCATGATCATCCATGATGATGCTCCCTAGCCATGAAGGGCTTGTTCCATGCTCCGTACAAGAAGCACAATTATTCATGCACAGTATCTGTGTACACAAACCAGTTCAGCGACGCTTGTTTGTGCTGCATTCCAGCCTCAGAGTAAACACATTGTCGCTAGGCGGTGGACGAACCGTGAAATGTCCTTCAAGTCGGTTGTCCGGCATAACGGCCGTTTAGGGTAGGCAACCACGAAGAAAGGCCGACGACCAACCCAATATGCGTTGCAAATGATTTCGGCCTTGACATGAATATTAGGGGCCTGTGTAGATTTATGCACTCCGATGGGGTGCGGTGTTGACAAGTGGCATAGTGAATCAAAAGACTGCCATCATGCCCAGCGATCCATGCACACGATCATCATGCTGACCTCAAGCCTCATGGTTCCCTAGTATTGAGATCTGTACATATCCTTACCATGTTGTATCCGCTCTGAGACGTTGCATGGGAATACCAGAACGGCACGCTCCTCGATATGGCAGGCAGTTTCGTGGCCACATCAGAGCTCGAGTACGACCATGGTCTCGCGAATTGTGGTGACGAGTATTTCTCTTGCTTTTATCGGCGCCATGACACCTCACGCGCGCAATGTTTTTAGTCCATCGTGAGCTAGCTCGAAAGATGCCCATCAACAGCCAATTTTGTAAACTAGCAGGGAATAGTGTACATACGTTTTATTTCTTTTGTTGTATCATGCATCGAGTACATTTCTTGGACGACTGTTGTGGCACCTTCACTCTCCTCCCGGGATGCTCTTGTGACGCGGCTAGCAACGTTATACAACACTGCTGTCGCATTGATCTCCTAGCCATCATCCAGGCATTGAGCATGACACCGTCATGTTCATCGAGGGACATCTCTGTTCCATCATACAAAGGCTAAATATTACACATACACATACATGCATACACATCTACACGGGGTAGCTCACAACATCTTCTCCCTGTGCCCAACCACCCTCGCAAATGAGTCGAAAGACATGGTCATGGAGTGGCGTCCAGCCGTCTTACTTCGTAGGTGGTCGTCGTAGTCTAGCATTTCCTTGTATGGCACCTTGGCTACAATCTCGACCATCCTGTCCGTCGACCTCTTGCCCCTCAGAGACGTCACCGAGTCGTACGGATCGGGTGGAGCGTAAATCTTGGTCACATCAATCAAGTCGTCGCCCATGGACTCGGCAGACCTATCCTTGACTTCAAGGACTTGCCCGCCGGCGCCAGCTGTAATGTCGTGCTGCACGGTTCCGGCCGTCGCTTCCGGGCAAGTAATGTGTGTAAGCATGATGGGCTCTAGAACCCCAATCTGTTGCTTGTCGAAGGCGTCTCGAAGCGTATTTTGCACCGCCGCTCTGGCGACACTGCTGAAATGCCCACCTGTAGGGCTTTCGAGCGAGCCCTCAGAGGTGTCAAGACTGACCTTGACATGGCAACTGTGAACCGGCGAGGCTCTGCGAGGACCCCGTGCCAATCCAGCAATGGCTCCGTTGAGAAGCTGATGTCGAGCCTCTTCCGCGTCAAAGGCCAAAGTAGACGATTCCTGCGACTGGGGAACTTCAATCTCATAAATATTGCCGTCTATTTCAATACCAGATTCCAGGAGGGCATGCCGGTTTTCTTCATCAATAGGCTGTAATATTACTGTACAGGCAGCCCTGCCCGGTTTGCTGGCGACCGGTCTATCAAAGACTGTGTACTGTGGTTTGGTAGGTTGAGTCACACTTTCCTTGTAGTCAACCTCGATTTGACCAAACTCAGCATCGATCCTACGCTTTTGTCTCATGTTATAAAGAGACACATCCAGGTGGAGCTTGCCCATTCCCTGAATTGTGAATTGATCCGTCTTTGAGTTTCGGCCCCATCTAAGACTGGGATCTTCTCTGGAAGCATTTTCCAACGCCGTCTGTAGCTCCTGGGCCGCAACGTTCCCGTATGGTTCCACTTGTAGAAATGCCACCGGAGGTGGGATTTCAGGAGGTCGAATCTGGACATGGCGAAGATGCTCTGGAACCGGTTTGCCGCCCACAGTCGTAATCAACGTATCTCCAGTTCGGGCTTTCTTCAGGCCTCGGAGAGCGCCGATTTGCCCCACTGTGAGCTCCTGCACATCTTGTGTTTTTGATGCCGATATCTGAAGGATACCCATGGGACGCTCCTGGGCGTTGATATTGGTATTGAAACTCGAAGCATTACGAGTTAGGGTGCCGTGGTAGACTCGGACAAAGCTGATGACCCCTTCCTTTGGATGAGTGACGACCTTGAAGATGGATGCTACAGAGGCAATGTTTGCTGCTGTCTTTTTGCCCTTGCTGTCCAAAACGCTGTGAAGCCCGTGTTTGGCGGACCCAACCCGCACCTCAGCATCCGGTCGTTCTGCTGGGTTTGGCAGATAATCGGTGATGGCGTCCATCAATGGCTCAACGCCGATATGGCGAAAGCTAGAGCCAGCGAATACCGGAATGACCCGTCCGTCTCCGCTTCGAATGGCGCGCCGGATGGCCTGCTTCAGCGTTGAGTTTGGAATATCAGGATTCTCAGCCAGGAATTCGTCCATGATTGCCTCATCAAAATCAGCCAGACCCTCAATTAAACGTTGCCTTGCCAGCTGCATTTCGGCCAGTAGGTCAGGATTTGAAGCAGAAAGCTCCTCCTGCAACTCATCTGGTCCATAGTGAATCTTCTCGCGTTCCGACTTCCATCTGTACCCGATGCTGTTGATGATGTCTATCACACCAACAAACACTTCCTTTTCCCACCATGGGATTTGGCATACGAGAGGCCAGCCCTTGAGCCTTGTGCCAATTTCCAACACCGCTTTCTTGAAAGATGCACCCTCACGGTCCAGCTTATTGCAATATACGATGCGAGGAATCTTGAATTCTTGCGCAGAGCCCCAAACTCGTTCTGTGTGGGCTTCAACACCTTTGACCGAATCAATGATGCAGACAGCACCATCGAGAATGGGAAGACATCGATCAACTTCGAATCTAAAGTCTTGATGGCCAGGTGTATCAATCAAGTTAACCGTTTGGGGACGAGTGCCAGGAGTACAATTCTGAGCTTTCGGCCAATTGAAGGTAATGGCGGCAGACTGAATCGTGATACCTCGCTCTCTCTCCAGTTCCAGAAAGTCAGTGACGGTGTTTCCAGCATCGACATCTAGAGGCTAGGGTCAGTTGATGAATTTGCCTTTGGCATCATGGAATATCTCATATCAAACGGCGCCTGTATCGCAACTCACCTCCAACTCTTTGCGTGACGCCGCTGTAGTAGAGCATGCGCTCTGTGGTTGTTGTTTTACCCTGAATTTCGCAATTAGTCAACCAACAAAACAATACTACCAATTTCACCAACATACGGCATCAACATGAGCAATTATACCGATATTGCGGATGCTCTGTACTTCAGCATCTTGCTGGGATGCAGCTTGGCTATGAAGAGTGCGTCGGCTGAGCGCTATTGACTTGAATGCCACGCCGTGTCCTAAATTATGTGCCAGTTTCCTCCGAGAAGGAGACATCCTCCGACACAAGGATAGAATAATCATGTTGAGTTATTGCCGACGGGATATTTTGGTCATCGGAGTCCACTTCATTGGGGTTCAACGCCCAATGAGTCCGCCAATGTCTACACTTAGAGTACTGTGACAGTCATGGGATCAAAGAACCTCGGAGACTTTGTACTGTCTTTGTTTCGCAAATTGTCCCACGAAGCCGTCAGTTTGTCGCGACAGCCAGCATGCAGTATTGGAGCTTGGCAGTCGCCAGAGTGGCAGAATTCCTGAAGCTCAGGTTTGTGCCTTGCTGACCATTCCAGCTCAAAACCGGTAGGCGGTGAATGGCCCCTTCCACGTTGCTCGCTTGTTGCTGCCTCTTCTAGACCCACTTATCCAACCCATCACTGCGTCGCCCCTGATGTTGGACACTTCAGCCGGTAACGTCAGTGTCGGCGTCAACTCAGTCCCAATCGACTCTTCACTTTACCACCACCTCTTTTGCGACGCGCAACCAATTGCTCCAGCCATCACCGCTCCGCCCTAGAGCAGAAAGCTGTTGCCTGGATCTATATCGATAGCGCCCCCCTTTGCCGCTTGTATTTATATCCGTCTCTATCTCTGGGCTTTGCGTTATCTTGTAGACTGCAGCACCGTATCCCTCGTTCATCATCATGGAGCTCTCTGACATTTTGTATGTGTCGCATGGCAAGCAGCTTTGCCCTCCCCAAACTCGACAGCCACTGACGTTTGCATGTTCAATATATAGTCGAATTGTCAACTTGGCCGTTGCGGTCATCACCATTCTCGGTGGCATCGCCTCGATTTTCGGCTTCCAGCTGTACGTTGTCGCCGCTTAGAAAAGTTTCCATCCTTGCTGGCGGGGTTTCGATTCGCGACTACGATCGCAGACACAGACGCTCCCGCCTAGCGCAATCCTCTAGAAGCGACATCGAGACCACATAAGCTAATACATGATGATAGGCAATCGATTATCCTGGGCGCTTACATGATCGTTTTCGGTCTTGCTATTGCCTTGCTTGGTAAATGTCTAGTGACGTCAGTTGTAAACGATATTGCAGCTAACAAATCACAGAGTTCCAGATTCCTCCTCAGGTATCTCGATACGCCAACTTCCTCTTCTCCTTCATTGGAAGAGGTATCTGTAAGTGGAAACATAGACGAGACATGGCTGCGGCTGAAGTAAATCTAACTCCATATCGTAGTCTATATCCTTCTTGGTGGTCTTCTTCTTGGCGGGCACGTCCTCAGCAACATTGCTGGCAGCATTGTCGGCATTGTCGGTGTCGGCTACATTGCTCTCGAATTCATCCCCTCGATCGAGCCACCTAGCAACATGCGCGAGGCCGACGCAGGCTGGGGTGCCGAGCAGGTCTAAGCAACGATGCCCGGAAGTTCCCCTGAAAGGGAGCGCTGCGCTTTTTGTTGCATAATCCGTCGCAAATGTCACGACTACAGTCAAGGATGACTCTGGCGAATCGGTTCTGAAATGCTTTGACACGAACCCTCATAGAGTGTGAATGCAAGTACTTTTGATATTGAGAAGAAAAAGAAGAAGGATTAGAACGGTACGGTTTGTTCGACTTACGAACATGGTACGGAGTGGCGCAAAGTTGATACGAAGAATTAAAAAAACCCCAAAAGTATTATTCCATCTGTGTCATACCATGTATTACTACTTTTTGTTCCAGTTTCCGGCATTCTCAACCCCGCCTGCAACACTATTGATACCACCCTGAAGACCACCTCCAAGTGAAGTAATTCCGTCGCCCACTGGCCTGACTGTGTCGCCGCCCACGCTGTTCACCGTATCTCCCACTCCCTTGGTCGCAGCCCCGGTGACGCCTCCAACCGTTCGGGACACGCCGCCGACAGTGTTGCCAAGCGTGCTGGTCAGGAATCCAAGTCCGCCTTGGACCTGGTCGCCAGCGTTGTTTGCCTGGTTAGAAACATTATCAGTCGCATTATTGACTGCGCTAGTAGCCTTTTGATCTGCCATGATTGTTTGTGTTCGGATATGAAGTAGAAAAGATTGTGTCTTTTTTGTTTTGTGTTCAGAGAGTTGATCTTTTTTTGCAGTTGAAGATCCTTCTCATCCAGTGGAAACAATCGAGATACTTGTGGCATTTATACTTGTATTCAGTGGTGTACAATGATTCGCGTAAACAGGTTTCCGGAGGACCAGCGTGATAATCCTGACGTCATGTAGTTGGTGGGCTTGGCATCATCATGGCAAAATCCCCAACGCCTGGCGAACCCGCCGAGTGATAGGCACTAGTATGCTCGAAAGGGTCATGCGAAATCCTGTTTACATGAAATCCGGGGCTCGGGGCTACTGGGATGGATTGTGCGTTTTAGGAAGTCAAGTCCTTGGATGGATGGGGGGGATCGTGTATCGTTGGGTCAACAGTCTCATGTGATGCTGCATATGTATACTATTCAGGAGACGAAAACAAGACAAAAGACATGATTGGGCTTTTCGCTACGCCAACAAGAGCTAAGTAATGTATTTCCATGTGAAAATCAACCCCCCTCTTTCTTTTGGTTTGGAAAGGCGATGCTCAACTTAACCAATGTTGAATTCATCTGCGGCGCCACTCATCAACATCATGCTTTTCTGCTTAATAATATCCATGGCTGGCCTCTGATCCACAGCCGCTGATGAAGTGTCGTCGTCCTTGAAGGAAGAGTGGCGATCCTTGTGGTTGGCCGAGCCCTTCTTCTTCTTGGCTTTGCGATCGATACCCGCGCCTATGCCGCCAGGTGGATCGCGGAGGCCGAAGCTTTTCGCGACGTGTCCCAGGTGCAGCTGCGTGATGTCAAAGTGGACTCGTTCTTCACGGATATGTGTTGCGTATGCTCTGATATGAGACTTGAAGCCGTTGCGTGCGAGCTCCAGGCGTTTGTTGTCGTTGAGGAGGCGCTGTTCAAAGTGAAGCTGTAGTGATTCAGCTTTATCGTGGTATGATTGGCCGTCTGTGGGGGTGGCGGAGGTTTCGACAGGGAACTCAAGCTTGTTCATCAAGCCCGTCTTGAGGATGTTCTCATATGATTGGGACGAGGGAGGGGTTGAGGATTTGAGGAGCTCAATGTAGCCTTCTTCGGTCCCGGGAAGGAGGAAGAGCGTGGCGTCGCCAGATCTACCGGCACGGGCTGTTCGTCCCACGCGGTGGATGTGGTCGGCGAAACTGAATGCTGGATCGTACTCAATGACCAAATCCACGGATGGGATATCTAAGCCTCGAGATGACACGTCGGTGGTGATGAGCAGGGATGGCGACTTGCAGGCGGAGAAGGATTTCAGGGTTGCTGTCCGGATCGGTTGGGAGAGCGAGCCATGCATTCTATGCAAAATGACGTCTGGGCTTGCGGGTGACGTGATGTACGCAGCCTTGGAGACTGTCTTCTCAATTAGCTCCTTTTCCTTTTGTGCAGCTGCTGGCAACTCTGTCTCGTTGGGGTTGCGGAGCATTTCATAATGGAAATCAACGGTGTCAGCGCATGACATAAAGACAATGGCCTTCATAGTGCGTCCACGCCTGGAGAAGACTGATTTGAGGTATGACGTGAGCGTCACTAGACGAAGCTTGGAAGGAACGATAATGTACGTTTGGTGTAATTGGGCCGGGGCTTTGTGAACAATGTCCTCGTTCATTTTGTCGTCGTCGCTCTTTTCGGTAGCCAAAAACGTTGCATCGGCAAGACTCATTTCTCCCAGCTTTTGAACATTCATCTTCATAGTAGCTGAGCACAGCACTGTGACTCGTCTCGCGGGCAGACTCTCGAGAGATGTTCCGTTTTCTGTAATTTTGGCGACCGGGACATTCTTAAGCGCATCAATGGTCTTTTTCAAATCTTCCTCGAAGCCCAAGTCCATCAGTCGGTCACCCTCGTCCAGAATAAGCCAGCGGACAGTGCCCATATTCAGAGCCTTTGTGTTGTCAATGTGATCAGCCAGACGTCCGGGTGTAGCAACCAGAAAGTTGACACCCTTTCTAATCCTTGCTTTTTCGGCCTTTTTGGACTCTCCACCAGTGATTGCGGTCGATACCAGCCATGGAAAGGGTCTGATAAGCTGCTCAAGGACGGTATGTGTTTGCTTCGCAAGCTCTCGGGTAGGTGAAACGATGATGGCAAAAATACCGGAATCTCGATGTATTTGTTTGCCGTCGCCTTGACTGCTGAGCATCAGAACTCGATGCAGTATGGGGAGGAGGTAAGAAAATGTCTTTCCGGAACCAGTTTCGGCTTGTACAAAGGCGTCGCCACTATTAGACAGCATATGCGGGATGACTTTTTGTTGAATGGCGGTAGGACGTTCGAGGTTCATCTTGGCCAAGGCATCGACAAGTCGAGTGGAGAGGGTAAGTGAACCAAAATTGGCAACATCGGTGAGTGGCGCATTGGTGGGTTGTGGTGCTTTCCATTCTTCTTCTTCTTTTTTATTTTCGGTCGTCTGAGCCGGATTGAAGGAAAAGAGGCGCGAGATAACCTGGCGATTGCCCTTGGCCGAGGGGTCGGACTTGTGCTGATCGGGACCATCATTTTCTACGGCATCGTGGCCAGATCGATTATATCGAGAGGTTTGTCCGTAGCTTGGCTGAATTCCTGATGTGTCGTGATTAACTCTTTGCCGTTTTGACGATCGAAAGCTGTCGTCGTTTTGCGTTTGGTCGGAGGAGGGACGGGTGTGCCGCAGGTTTGCGCTCCTCTCAGCGCGCTTCCTGTCTCGCCATCGGCCGCCTTTATATTTGACCTGGGTCTGGAGAGGCCCAGAGCCCAGCTCAAAATTCAGAAGCATACCATCATCCGCCATGATTGATAACTGTTCGTGGTTCAATTGTTGATAATGGTGGGGCTGGGGCTGGATCTTCAACATCAGAGGTGTCGCTGGTTTATTTTTTTTTCTTCTGGAAAGCGGTATCCAGTCTTATCGATAAGATGGTGGATCCACCCGGGCCAGCCTGCGTGAGTGACGATGTACTCCGTACAACATGTGTAGTACTACTCCGTAAAAGGGTAAGGCAAGAAGAAAGGCATGAGCATACAAATTAACCACCTAAGGGCAGTACTAGTACTATATTGATATTACACCATCAGGATGGCCTGCGCGGTTTGATTTGGACGGGCCGGCAATCTAGATGCCAAGAATTCAATGCAAGTTGACCCAAGAGCATGGATCGAAACCTTTTACATTCACACGGTGGATGCTGTAAACCTTTGTAGTACCTGTCCAAGCAGCTATCTATTCACCTAGGTACGGAGTAGTGCTTGGGCATTGTCGGTTTATTCTTAATAATAAATGAAGACAAAACTTGGTGAACATGACCACATCTGATATTGCGGGGTGATCCAAACTCCCCTTGTCGCATCTCATGGTTTGATTCCTGAATGTTGGCCTAAATCCGAGTTTGCTCGGGAACGGGCTTCCAGCATACCAAACCCAACTGACAGTTGATGGACTGGACCTGGCGTTTCGGGGCCGGGCTTCTGAAAAGACCGAGATGCGATGGCTCGGTGACTCGTGGCTTGGGTGCTGGACCGTTAGCCTGGCGTCCTGAGGTCTCCGGGGCATCCGAGTGTCCTGGCGGGAGATTATCGTGCCAAAGGCCATGTGACGGCTAAAGCCTGGCAGAAGAAGCTGGGGATTGGAGAGATTGATGGCCCGCTAAACTACAGGGCGTCTGGTACTGGACACGTAGGGTCCCAAGGGTCTGGTAGGTGGACACCTTACCTCCATGTCAGTACGTACTTATGGAGCCAAGTCCTAGTCTCAGGTGCTGGCTGGGTACAATCATTGATGTAATAGGGCGGTGCCCTGGCGGCTGCTGGCACTGACATGGACGGTTTCAGGGCCGCTGGGCGTTGCATGTGCCACTGAGTCACCGCCGCTAGTGGGTGAGGTTTGAGTTTCCACAGAGCCTGGCACTACGAAATAGCATGAACTTGACCGTTGACGTCTCTATAGTAACAATTGATGTCGCCGGTCACTGGTGCATCCCGCCAGAACTGTCTGCCCACAGCGAGCAAACGTGCCAGTGTCTCTGTATTCCCTCTCTGGAAAGCAGAAGGACATTGCCCTGCTCCTTTTGCCCCCCGTGCATGACATTTACGTGAAATTAGAGTGGTGAGGACGAAAAAAGGCCCGCTTATGGAGTAGAATTTTCCCAAAATTAGGCCTGGGCTTTCTGGCCAAGCTCAAGATGCCATGGGCTTCCATCGGATGCGACCCGACAGGCTGACAGGCGGCCGCTAGGCTTCCCGGCTTCTTCCATGGCCTCCACCGAGGGCAGGCACTGGCATGCGACCAAGGCCGGTTTCTTCTCGATGGTGTGGATGCGGCGCAATGGACAAGGTTTCGCCCTGCGCCATGGTGGTGGTGGCTTTCCAGCTAAACATCATGTTCGTCATCCCGCAGCGTCGGCGCGCACGTAAGATGCCTGGCAGCCTGGCAGCTGTCGCGTGTGCGCTTCGACGAGGACAACATGGCCTTGCAACTGCGTCTAATCAATCTGTCCGACAGTTTGGCCAGGCTGCCATTCGGGCTGCCGTTCAACCGTGTGCTTCACATCGGCCGGGCCATGTACGGAGTACTACTACATACATCTTTTATAGACCGAGTAGGGCGTGGTTTGCTAGTACTCGCTACTCCATACCTGCGCTAGACAATGTTTAGAACAGCCGTGAACGTTGGCGCTCCTGACGCGATTCCATGTGGGAACATGAGGTAGGGAATTTTATGCATCTTGGCCGACAGTAAACTTGTTTGATACAGGAGCTTTTTCGTAATAAATAACTATTATTGTGTACCTAGGCGCGTATATATGCATATCTTTGGGCCATGGCTTGTTATCTGTCGCCCTGCCACACTGACCCGTTTTCAACGGGCTCCGGCCAGTAGCTGGTCAAGTCTTGCGTGAGCTTGTCCGGAGCAAAGTGGTTAGCAGTACTACTGCGTACTCCTACATGCACGACATTACAAACTGGGAAGCACACGACCGCTCGTGTATGTAGAATGGGTGATGCCATCAATCAACACGCCAGAGGCCAAAATGACAACCGAGGGAGCTGCACACCCACCACTTGCTAGTGTCTGCACCTCAGCACGCAGCCCTGCCCGTAAACTTCCAGGCAAGAACATGAGGGTGATTGATGTGCGGCATTTGGGGCATTTGAGCACAGACGAGTAGTACTTCGTTTACATAGTTGACAGGCTGACGGGCGCTCAGGAGGCACCTGGGGCGCTCAGTGGCCCCCCCTGCTCTTCCGTATCCTCCTCTGGCTAGTCCCGCGCGTCGATTGCGCATCCATGTCAATTGCTCCCGTCCAAACCGGCAACTGGTCTTCAGTGGCCCGTAAGTTGGCCCGTCCACCTTCAGAAATGGAAACGCCCTCGCTCCTTCCCAAGGGCATCCCCACACCTGTCCCTCTTAACTACACGGTACTTCGCTCTTCATCGCCCACGCCATTTCCCCCGATCCCACCCATTACTCATACCAAGATTTGCCTGCACCATCCAAGGCCAAATTTTTGCACCTCGTTTTTGCTATTGGCATTCTTTTCCTTCCTTCCTTACCTTTCTTAATCTCTAAACAATCATCATTTTTTTCCTCACCTGGACCGCGCGTTCGTTTGACGGCAAGATCGCTGTCAAATGAACCTGCAATCGACGTATTTATTTAATCTCCCCGTGCGTACTTCTCCTCTGCCCTGTAACTGAATCCCGTTGTGCCTGCAGCACAACTCTGATCTTAATGGGAAGAGAGCCTCTTCTGCTGACACCCAAAGCACACAGTCTTCTCCCCCCCAGGTGTAATCTAAATGCCCACCATCTATTCCTCGCTGTACTCGAATTTCATCCGTCAAGGATCAACTGTCGCAAAGTCCATCACAACCCATGGCTACGCTCAGTCTTTCGTAGCTGCTACTCATCCACACGTTCTCAACTCGCAGAACCGCCCCGTCTTTGGACGTCGACATACCAACCGACTTGGCCTTTCCGCCCTCCAGTTTCATTCGACTTTCCACAAGGATCTCAACGGCGCTTCCGACCACAAAAATGCGCATACCCATTTACCGTTAGACGCCTACTTTGAGGCCTTGCAAAAGCACCAAGCTAGTGGCGAGCTTGATAAGGAATGGACGCAGTTTGAGTTCCCAAAGCAGATTGAGTGGAAGCCTAGCGCCGCCACCGTCCTCCAAGGTGAGGATGCGGTTGTCGCTGAGGCAGAGGCTCTCGCGGCATCGGAAACTCACTCGGCTATTTCTGCTGAAGACGAGGCTGCCCTCGCACACATTGACGCCGCTCTTGAGAGAGAGCTTGAAGCGCGGAAGCTCCTGGACGCTGCTGAGAATGCGCCTGCTGTCGGGCAGTCTTCTTCGGTACCTCTGTCTCGAACCGGAACACCCTCTGGCCGGAGATCCAAGTCTCCAGCTATCGCTCGCACTTCGTCGCCCGATGTCGACCGCCAGTCCCAGTCTTACGCTGACCACCTCTTCAAACTGTCGGCAGCTGGACGATATGCCGAGATTCCTGCCGTGTTTGAGGCCATGCTGGCCACTGGCGTTAAGCCCATTGCCAGCGCATACAATGCCCTGCTGGTAGCTGCTATTCATATTCCTAGCAAGAAGATCGAAATTGTATCCAAAGCACTCGATGTCTATGCGGACATGGTCCGTCGCCGAATTTCTCCTGACAGCGATACATACGATATCCTTGTTGGCCTGTTGGCCTCTCGATCTGTGGAGGTGTCTGAGATGAAGGTGGCCCTGGAGGACAAGCGTCAAAGATTTGGTGGCATGGACGAGCCTGGCAAGTTCATGCTCGCTTCTCACGAGCTTGAACATGCCATTCTTTGTGAGGATGATAGACTTGATCTTGCCATGAAGCTCTTCAACTCATCGGTGGACGTTGATGCGGCCATGTACTCCTCTGAGACATATCACCAGTTGATCTCCGCCTGTGCCGAGTCTGGCCGTGTTTCAGACATGCTTCGACTTTTTGAGCACATGGAGTCCACCAAGACAGTGCCATTTGCCTCTATTTTCCCTACTATGATCAGCGCCTTTGCTGAGCGAGGCGACCTAGTCAGTGCCGTCGAGTGCTACAACGAGTACCGTAGCCTGGCCGTTGCCCAAGACGGAGGCAAAGCTACTCTGCATGACCGCGTCGACTCCGAGGTATATGCGGCTGTGATCAACGCCTATGTCGTCTCCGACAAAATTGAAGGTGCTATGAAGTTCTTCGAGAAAATCGTCAAGGAGTATGGCGTTCGTGCAAAGGACATTAAGGATGCGTTGGTCAGCACAGGGTTTGTCAAGGGCTTCATTTCTCGAGGCATTTACCAAGAAGCCTTCCAATGGGCTCAGTCTGTTGAAGCCGAGTCACAGTCCGAGGCTATGATTCGAATTGCCACTGTCGCAGCGGACCACAACGACAATATAACCGCTACCGAGGCTTATGCCAATATCGTAGCTGAGCCGCAGGCCCTCGTCACACCTACGACGGCCCTTTTAGCCATGAGTATCCGAGGTGGCGACGTTGCTGCCGCTACCAAGTACTGGCATGCGCTCAACAACCCCGAAGTAAAGGCTACCGTCGACTTCATTGAGCCCACTGTGATGTATGCTGTGGCCTTGATTGGATCTGGACAGGTCGCTGAGGGTCTGGCTCAATCTGAGATGATGTTTAAGAGAATTCGTGCTTCGGAAGCTGAATTAGCTGAAGAGATTGACGAGGGCGTTGACTTCATCCGCCGTTATATGGAACGCCGTGGCCTCACCGATCCTCGTGAGATCGCGTCCCAAACTCACAACGGCACTCCCTTTATGCCAACACCTTCTGTTGCTAGCTTTGAAGACACTTTCGACCCTTATGCGCACAACACGGATTTCAAGGGCTCTTCTCTCATTGCTGAGGACCTTGAGGGTGGCCATGGGCGAAAAGGCTCTCGCTTGAACGACGCCCTTGGACGTTTCCGCAACATTCGCCGTGCTGGTCGTCATCCTCGCTATATCACCTACGCAAAGTTGATTTCTGCTGCCGCTCGAGATGGAAAGATGGACTTGTGTCACGAACTTTTCGCCATGGCTCGAACAGACATGCCCTTGCTGGCTCAGTACGCAGTTGTTCGATATGGGTGGTTCTCTATTCTCGATGCCATGGTCGCTGCTTGCTTGACCTTGGGCAACCGTGGCCGCGCCGAGCAGTACCATCAGGAGCTCTTGGAAATGGGCGCCGCTCCGTCTGCAAATACGTATGGTCTCTACATTACGACCTTGAAAGACTCCACCAGGACTTTTGATGAGGCTTCTGCAGCTGTGCAAATATTTCACAGGGCCAAGTCTGAGGGTGTCGAGCCCAGCTCTTTCCTCTATAACGCTGTCATTGGCAAGTTGGGCAAGGCCCGCCGTATCGACGATTGCTTGTTCTACTTTGCTGAGATGAGGGCTTCGGGAATCAAGCCCACTTCGGTTACATATGGAACCATTGTTAACGCTCTGTGCCGTGTAAGCGACGAGAAATTCGCTGAGGAACTGTTCGACGAGATGGAGGCGATGCCTAACTATAAGGCACGTCCTGCGCCATATAATAGTATGATGCAGTTCTTTCTCACTACCAAGCGCGATAAGACCAAAGTACTTGCCTACTACGAGCGCATGAAGGCCAAGGGCATCGCTCCTACTTCTCACACTTTCAAACTTCTTATCGACACTCATGCTACATTGGAACCCGTCGACATGCCCGCCGCTGAGAAGGTCTTGGAGGTGATTCGTGCTTCCGGCCAACCGGAACCTGTCCACTACTCTTCACTCATTCACGCCCGCGGTTGTGTACTGCATGATATTGACGGGGCCAAGAAGCTATTCGACTCTGTTGTTCGCGAATCACTGGTGCCTGTCAATGCAAGCTTGTATCAGGCACTCTTTGAATCCATGGTTGCCAACCACCAGGTTGCCGATACCGAGCCTCTCCTTGCCCAGATGCGACAGAAGCGGGTTGAACTTACGCCGTACATCGCCAACACCTTGATTCATGGCTGGGCTGCCCAGAACAATATCAGCAAAGCCCGTGAAATTTATGATGCTGTGGCTCGTGAGAAGCGGGAGCCAAGCACTTACGAAGCTATGACGCGGGCCTACTTGGCCGTTGAACAGCGCGACCAGGCCGAAACTGTTGTCTCAGAGATGCGTACTCGTGGCTATCCTAGTGCTGTGGTGAATAAGGTCTTGGAACTCCTTGGCGGTGGCCGGGAGGCCCCTGTTTTGTAAAGCTCTTTGCTTTAACATTCAATGTGGGTATATTGAGGGTGACTTTTCCTTTGTTTGATGGGCCTCTTGTTTTGATACCCTGTTGCATTTGTTAAGAGGTGTTATGGGGTGTCGCTGTTAATATGAGGCTCAATTGCCTGTTTTTGATTACATACTGGTTTCTGGTTCGTGTTTTTTGTCTCATATCGGCATGGCGTTGAGGGTCTTACTAAAAGAGAGCGGCCTCTGGATAGGCTGGGCGTGCCAAGGTTTGAATGGCATTGGATTCCGTGGGTGGTCACCCACTTATAGACACATCTCCACTCGGGCATGATAAAAAGCCATTTGAGAAGCAACACATGGGTCAACGGGAAAGGGAGGGCGGTCATCGTGGCATACAGGAATTGGGCGGCTACGATAAAGCAAGGACATGATCCTGTTGCTTGTATTATATAGACCGGATAATAAAAAAGATCTAATGCCTTATGCCAAATAACCTTTGCTGCTAGTGTATCATGTGTCTTTGTCGTGCGATGGGAGGAGAGTGATGCTGGAGGTATGTATGTACTTGTTCTACGTACTGTATGAATAGATGTTGCAAGTGCGAGTCCCACACTGTGATACGATGCCCCACCCATCAAGTTTCCCACTATGACATGATAATACCTTGATAACTTGCCGAGCCAAACAGAGTTTACCGACCATGCCGCATTCGTACGTCACAAAAGATCCGTGACGTCTTGGCCCTTTCGTCCTAGCTCACAGAAGCTCGAAAGCTCCGAATTGCTATAATTTCAACGGCTTCTAGAAGTCGTTTACCGGCCGGGCCCCTTGAAGAGTTCATTCTCTCCCCAGCATCGCCAACTACACCACCCCTCACTAGCTCCCCCTCATTTCTAGCGCGCAAAAGCCGAGCTTTGCATGCTCGACCCCTCCCCCATCGAGCCGGACGCCGAAAAGCAAAAAAACCAAAAGGGAACGAACCATGGCAAGCAAGAATCCCACCGTGGCCGTCTCGGCGCCCGGCAAGGTCCTCCTCGCGGGAGGCTACCTCGTGCTCGACAGGAGGCACACGGGTCTCGTGTTCGGCCTCAGCGCCCGAATCAACGTCGTCGCGGGGGAGATTCACACGAGCCAGGGGGTCCAGCTGAACGAGATCATGGTGGACAGCCCGCAGTTCCCGGACGCGCAGTGGCGATACGGGTACCATTTGGCGCCGGAGGGGGGAGGCATCCAGGTCACGCAGTTGCAAGTGTGAGTGGCATTTACCAAACGGGCGAGGAGAAGCATGAGACGAGAGTCGGGATCCATGCTGACTTGTTTCAATACATAGGGGCTCTGTCATTTGCAAGAATCCGTTTGTGGAGACGACGCTGAGCTACGTGCTCACGTACATCCACCGCCTCATGAGCCGGGTTTCTTCGGACCACAGCCTCAGGCCGGCTCGGCTCATCGTGCTAGCTGACAATGACTACTATTCCCAGTCTACGCCGAGGAGCGGCGAGCCGGGGCGCTTCGCCAAGTTCACGGTGCCGCTGGGCGGCGCCAACAAGACCGGGCTGGGGTCGTCCGCCGCGCTGGTCACGGCCCTCACGGCCGCGCTGCTGAGCCACTACCTCCCGTGGAGGCTGCTGGACATCACGTCGGCGCCGGGCAAGCGCCGGCTGCACAATCTGGCGCAGGCGGCGCACTGCGCGGCCCAGGGCAAGGTCGGATCGGGGTTTGACGTTGCGGCCGCCGTGTACGGGTCGTGTCTGTACAGGAGATTCTCGCCCGGTGTGCTGGGCCAGCTACCCGAGGCGGGATCGCCTGGCTTCGCTGAGAAGCTGGTGTCGGTGGTGGACGGCGTGGCTTGGGACGTCGAGGTGCTGACCGAAGGGCTGCGCCTGCCCAAGGGCCTGGCCCTGCGCATGTGTGACGTCGACTGTGGGAGCCAGACGGTGGGCATGGTCAAGAGGGTGCTGGCCTGGAGAGGCAGAGACGCCGACGTGTCGTCCAGGTTGTGGGACGAGCTGCAGGCGCGAAACGAGGACCTGGCCGCCAAGTTGAGAGACGGAAACGTGGCTGACATTCCGACCGCCGTGGGCAAGGTCAGGGAGTTGATTCGCGAGATGGGTAAGCTGAGCGACGTGCCCATTGAGCCCGAGTCCCAGACGGAGTTGTTGGACGCGTTGGGTGCCCTTGAGGGTGTATACGGTGGTGTCGTCCCCGGGGCGGGGGGCTTTGACGCTCTCGCTCTGCTGATGAAGGATGATGAGGAGACTAAGAGGCGTGTGGAGGAGAGGGTTGCCGAATGGAGTCGGGAGAAGGACTCTAAGGTTCGCTTGTTGGATGTAAAGGGTGAGATGGAGGGCGTGAGGTGTGAGAATCTAGACGTTTACTCTGGATGGATAGAGATCCATGATAAAGATTAGAAAGAACAGATAAATTAATTTCAGCTCGCAGTTAGCCACAGTGTAGAGATGAAAAAAGAGAACAAGAAGGAACCTTTCATTTGCCCGTTGCCAGAACCAAGCACATTACCCATGCTACAATACTTTAACTCCAAAGAACACCATTTCCTCCCTCACTTAACCAATTCTAATAATATTCTCCAATTCACAAGGTGTCCTCTCTACGCCATCCTGTCTTCTAGTGCTTTCCATTTCTTTATTCAAACACAATTGACATAATCTTGCTGAGAACCAGCCGCGACACAAAAGAAAATGATGGTACACGTGTTGTCGTCGACAGATTAAATTACTTGATTCGCCTAATACCACAGGGGACGTGTCTCGATCTCCATAGTGGCAGGCTGCACGGGACGAAGTCGTGGAGACGGGCGGGACCTCTTGTGGTACTCGGATGGTGATTCGGGACGGAGTTCGAGGACGCCGATGCGCGAGGCAGCTGCTTTCTCTCGGAGGATGGAGAGCCTTCATCTTGTTAGTCTAAAAGCTTCCAAACAGTTTCATAAGAAGAATGGATTACGTACTCTTCTTGAGACACGCCAGGGAGGGTAGCGGGTTCGAGCTTCAGGTCAAAAGGAGCAGACTAAATTGTTAGCGATACACTGGATAAAACTATTCTGGCAGCATGAGGCAAAGCACATACAATCTCAATGTCCCGTCGGGCTCTTCTTCGTTCCCGAAGCAGGCTCTGAAAACGTGTGTAAAGCATGACGAAATTGTTCTTGACGTGCATATGAACACTCCCCGGTCGATCTTCCCGAAAAAGAAAAAAAAACCAAATATTCAGGAGCGTGATGGCCGTGTGCTTTTGTGAGAAATGTCGAGATTAGATGGGGTAATGGTAAATAGTAGGAAATGATGTCGAATTTCGAATAATCGAGTCCAGCCTCGTGGGGGCCAAAAATCCAAATGATGGTCTATGTTCTTCCAAAACGTGCTTTTATTTGTTATTTCCTCCTTCTTTTATATTATCGACCCTTGATAAGATGTGACAAGGTTGATTGCTGTGGCGTTTTCGTAACCCGAGAGGCTGGGACGAGAGCAATCTAGAAGAATGTCGACGCGAGAGGAAGAAGAAAATAAAGACAGAATGTAATAATGGCGCTCAATAATTAAAAATAGTATAAAAATGTCGAAGGTGAAAAAGGAATGTTCAACTCAGGGTGATGATTGACGAGACGAAACGACAAGCGAGAGAAATCGAGAAAGGCAATATATTCGTTTGTTTGGTGTAGATGTTCAAAAGAGTGGCACGCTGACTTGGGCTACAGGCCGGTCAAGCGGAATTATCGAAGTGGGAAGAGGATGGAGGTCTAGAGAGGATGCTGAGGAGGTGATGAGGTTGAAGATGGAGATGGAGGGGACAGATGGTGTTATATTTAAGATGGGATTTGCTCAGCGTATCGTCTAGCCAGCGTGTTTCGAAGGGGCGGGTCTGAAGTGTCTTGCGATGCAAGCGTGCTTAAGGGAGCATATTCACAAGAAGGATCGGAAAGGTGTTTTCCCCAAGACAGGCGTTTAGGAACTGGAGGGACCGGGGGGTTGAGAGGCGTGTGAGATTCGAAGTCTAGGTTCAGGAACAGAGACACCCGGGGGTGGCCGAGAGAAAGAGAAACTTGAGGATGCCGACCCAATGGCGCGGAGCCAATGGCGAATTCCTGACGAAAGGGCGAGCAAAAGTCCAAGACATGAGAGGGTCTTGGATATTGAAGCCTTGAAGCCTTGAAGCCTTGGAGCCTCGGAGCCTCGCAGCTTCGTTGGGGGCCGGCCACAAGACAGGAAGGATCAACTCACGATGGCTCACGATTGGACTCGAGAAAAAGGGACCCAAAGGTTGTCGTCGTCTAAGTACTAACGATGGCGTCGCTTTTGGCTCGGTGCCGTCAGGCGTGGTGTACCTGATGTACCTGATGTGCCTGACGTGCCTAGTGGTGGTACGTCGTATCTAATGTATCTAGCGTGACACAACATCAAGGGTCTTGTATTGGTGCCAAACCCGAGCGAAGAATGCATCCTCGTCTCCTTCCCAAACGTCGAACAACGGAGGCAGTGGTGCCACGGCTGCTGGGCCCTGCTGGGCTTGTTCGGGCTGAATCAGGAAAGAAGGGGTCGTGCAGCCATCTTCATAAATTGGCAGGCGCGTGCCTTGCAGGAAGCTCTGCAAAACAAGGAATCGGAACCATGCTGGTGGGATTATTGGCAGGGCAGCCTGTTTCCCGCGTAACCAAAACAATGGGGGGCACGATGCCCGTTGCTTATTCCTTTTTTCCCACCCTGTGCTTGCTTGTTCTTCTTTTACATAATACAATACGGAGTACTACGCGTCTTTGTCCGGTGACGTTATTGATTGTCAAACCTAAAAAGTGTTGTCGGGTCGGCTTCCGCTCCGAGATGAGAAAGAGATGGAACCCCAGCGACGATCTGAAATTGGGCGGAGCCGCGGCAGCCATGAAGTGAAGCAGACGCCGACAACAAAACAAAACGAGCAGGGAACATGGCTGCAACAATTCTTGCTGGCCCAGCCAGTAGGCAGCGTGAACGGGCAAACATACTGGAGGCCAAGAAAGGTAAAAGTTGAAGTTCAATGGAGCGGGCCGCGTGGCTGACGCTGTTGGAATGCCACCGGTTATCATTCTCTTGGTCAGGGCCGTGTAGCCTCGTATTGTTCGATAAGGACCGGGGGCTAGCTGGAATGCTTTTTGATTTTGATTTATTTTATTTTATTTTGCCCTATTTTCCTTCAACTGCCTTTGTTCATTTCTGTACCTCGTATTCTCCGATGCCGCTCACGTCCACCGTGATTAATTACAGGTGCGCAGGGAGAAACAATGAAAAAACATTCGTGGCCCAACCAACACATGGGGCCGCGTCGGTGCACGGAATTCGTCTTTTATTTTCCTCCCCTCGACATGAGGCTGAATAATTTACGTATTGTAGAATCTACCAGAGGATTTGTGCATCCACAGGCTAATTACTAGACGGGCAAGCAAGGGTCTTGACGTGACATGGCAGCTTCTCCCTCGAGACTTGACTCTGGCATCATCGCGGGTAAAATGGGCAGATATGCGTCTCCTCTGCATGTTCCCTAGCTAACTGCCAGGCCAACTCCCTCGGCCTCCTTGAAATCTTTCTTGCAACCACCGCCGACCAAGGCTCGATTTGTCAATGGGCACAGACAGTGGAGTTTTAGTTTTAGTTTTTTTTTTTTTGTCCTTCCCAGGCCGTCGGGGCGGGTGTTCGGTGCGTTCAGCTGGAAGGCAACCGTGCTGGCAATTTCATCCCGGTTGCGATGCGTCTGGCATCGCATGATCCACCTCGGCAACGCTGCATGCAGCAGTGCAGCAGGGCAGCAGGGCAGCAGATGGCCTGCATCGACGGCCACCGCCGCCCGCAAAGCCACCGCCGGCTTCATTTTCCATGCTGAGCTGTAGATGATGTAATGCGCTGGCCCGTCCGTACTCGGTCGGCACCGCGTCAATAGTACTACGTACGTTGACCCAAGCCTCGGTCAGCCTATTCACGCCTCTGCCTCCGTCCCATGGCGTCCGTCCGTGAACCCTTCACCCCCAGTCCATTCAATATTCCAGTCTGGTGACCACCGCCGCGGATAATATCTGAACATCCACCTCCACCACCTTTTGACAGCCAAAACACTAGTAGCAGTTCCCATCATCCTCCCTTGCGTGGCGAGCCTGTCTTACTCCCTTAGCGAGTCAACGTCACAGTTCGAATCAAGTCCCATAATCATACAACGGGTGGGACAGTGTTAAACACCCAATGATACTGCTACCACCGCATACTACGTACTAGTCCTCCAGCGACTTGCCAAACTCAATTTGCACAATGCCCACAATGTCCTGATGTCCACAGGCACGTCGAGACTTCCGTGATCTACATGCGCACATCAACTAGCGAAATCCCGCCCCGGCTCTGCGACGAGTTTGTGTCAGGGCCCCGAGACCCTTTGCTTTGACAGCATGCCAAGCGTATTGGTGCCGCCATTTCTGCGGGAAAATGGCCATTCTGACCAATATCGGCGCCCAATACTCCGTACTCCGTACCGTCTCTCGGCTGTATGAGATTGACGAGATTGACCGTGTCTGAAGTTTTTTGGTGGTGAATGCAGGGCACGTCAGTGACTTCTCAGCCGTCAACCACATCATACGACGTCTGGACACTGGCCTCGCCGCTCGTCTGAGCAGAGACAGCTGAATGCAGAGAGGTTCTCATTGACTGTTGCCGTGCTCCAAGCATTCATGTTTTACAAGTTCGTTGTCAATTTCCGAAACTCCTTTGCGAGGACTCGTAGCTCTGGTCCCTGCGCGGGCCGGGTCCATATTCCCAGAGTCTAGTCATCTACCGCACCATGCACCCCAGCATTCAGCAATCAGGAACAATAGTTACCAATACTACCACCGACAGGGGTCTCCCCACCAGTCGCTACTTCAAGGGAGAGAGATCTCGCTAATCGCCTGATCGAAGCCCAATTTAACACGCCCCCATCTCTCACTCTTCCTCCTTCCCCGACCTGGTGCCTGGTTCTCTTCCGAGTGAGTCCATGCTCTAAAAGCCCGTCTTCCAATGCTTCATCCGGCCTCGGTGCCCAAAACAGCTCAGTCGCTCCGACAGACGCCATGTTTTGCACGCAAAGGCCGCCGAGTAGAGCAAGGGAGGTCAGCCTCAAGTCGCACCAGCCAATCCACCGACGCACCGGCACGGTGGAAGCTGCTTATTGCGGATATTTCTTCATGTGGAAGCTCTTGGATTTCACAAATTGCTCAAAACCGAATCGTCCCAATGTCTGGCCCTTGCCAGAGTTCTTGAACCCTGTCCAAGCGAGATCCTAGTGTCTTCAGTCAGCAACTAAAACAAGGGAATCCGGATGCAGATTCACTCTTTTGCCAACGCCGCGCTTTGGTGCCAGGGATTTACTCACAGGACTGGGGTAATCACAACGGTTCACAAACACAGTACCCGCCTCCACATCTTCTGCCAACTCGTATCCCTTTTCCGTGTCTTTGGTCCAGATGCTAGCAGTGAGGCCGAATTCGCTATCGTTCATAAGCTTGATGGCCTCGCTATCGCTCTTGACCTTCATCACCGGAATTACTGGGCCAAATGTCTCCTCAGTCATAACCGTCATTGTGTGGTCCACCCCAGTCAGCAACGTAGGTTTCACAAAGTTGCCTTTGGGTGGCGGGTTATTGAAGCTCTCGTTGTCTGGCGTAGCATCCTTGGCGCCTTTGTCTAAGGCGTCCTTAATGTGTGACTCAATTGCCTGTTTGGAACGCCTGGAAATGACAGGACCAACGTGAGTTGTCTTGTCAAATGGATCGCCCAACTTGTAACCTCGAAGCACCTTTTGCACGCTCTCGATGAAGGCATCGTGAATTTTTTCGTCAACGTAAACTCTCTCAAGCGAGCAGCAGCTCTGGCCGGAGTTAAAGACAGCTCCATCGACAATCTCCTCAGCAGCCCAGGCAACATCTACGTCGTCTCGGATGTAGGCAGGGTCCTTGCCACCCAGTTCCAGCCCAACATTCACAATACGATCAGAGGCAGCCTTTTGAACAGCCAGGCCGCCGGCCACAGAGCCAGTGAAGCACACATGGGCAATTCTGGGGTCCCGGATCAGTGATTCCATGGCACTCGGCGAACCGCAGTGGAAGTATTGAAGGACCCCCTCTGGCAGCCCAGCAGCCGCAAAGAATTGAGCGACGTGCTCCACGATGGTGGGAGTTTGGGGAGATGGCTTGAGAATTACCGTATTTCCAGCCAAGATTGCGGGGATGATGGAGTTCATGAGAATAAGGTAGGGATACTGAGACACCATTAGCGTTAGCGTTTGCCAAATTCTACGACAGCAGATTCTGCGGCAAGCTGTGAAGCACCTACATTCCAGGCAAAGATTATGAGCACGGGCCCGACAGGCAACTTGCGAATGAAGCGCGTGAAGCCCCTTTCTGGTTCGCCTTCCGTGTCCTTGAGGGCCTCGTCGCTAATTTTAAGCAGGTATTCGGCGCGCTTGATGGCCGTTGTAATTTCCTTGCCAGTGAAGGCAATGGGACGACCCATTTGGACGGTCAATTCCTCCGCAAGCTCAGCCTCGTGGCTGGAGAGCTCCTTGAGGAATTTCTTGACAATTTCTTGTCGTTCCTTGAGGGTAGTCTTGCGGAAGCTCTGAAACGCCTCGGTGGCGACCTCGGGCATCAGGTCAAGTTCTGCGGCGGAGACTCCATTTCGAGATAAGATAGTCTCGTTGGTATTGGGGGAGATGGTGTTGATTACTTCGACGGACATTTTGGCGGTTTGTGTTGGCTAGCTGAGTTGGAGCAAATTTTCTGCTTGTTCCAGAGAGCCGTCGCCCAAGAGGTTGTAGTTGGTTCGAGGTCGTGGATGGCTCTCCAGGGTGAGGAGATGTCGACGTAGATAAAGTGGGCAAATAAGCTCAACCATGACCTCACCTGCACTTGCACTTGCACACCAGTTAACAATTCAAGAGCCCCACGTCACCCCAGGACACATGGAGGCATCAAATGGAGGAGCTTCAATCAGGGCACCTAGCCGCCGTGATGATTGCATGAGCAGCGTCTGATAGCCGCGTAGGGGCCGTAGGGGCCGTAGGGGCGGCAGGGACGCGCGCACCGAATTCGGCTCCATCAGTGAGAAGCCAGATGCCCCGCCGCGGCAAAGACTTGAGGTGCGGTATCATGTCTGCTGTCAAGCAGCGCAGATAATCATGTACGGGGTAACTACAGCGTATGAAGTGTAAGCGCGCCATAGCTTTCCCGTCCACGCCACACATGCGGTAGACATTCACTCTTCAAGGCTTCAAGGCGCGGACCGTTGATTCTTCAATGTTGTCCCATGGCGGGGTCAAGCCACTGCCATGATAGCGATTCTGGAAAGAAAGACGACAGCGGGGCTCACCATCTGCACATTGATGTGAGCAGTTGACACCCAAAGCCAGTGCAGGCGCTAGGTTAGTATTCCATGTCCAGCCAACGGCAGCGCCCCACCTACACTCTGCGCAGCCTCTTATCGTTATCGCTCTTTCGACGGCAACTTTTTTTCTGGTCGATTGACATTCCCAAACAGCTTGCAACGACAAGTTCGTCCTGCCAGCACAACCACAGCCAGAATGGCCCCGGAAAAGAGAAACGAGTTTCTGGATGCCCCCGAAAGCGACGATGATCAAATTGACAACTACAACTCCGACGATGAAATAACAAAAGGCCGTCGCAGTGCAAAACGGCGCCGGGTTGACAGTGATGATGAAGATGCTGGTAGCGACGTCGACCGGAGTGCCAGCGATGACCAAGGTTCAATCGAACAGGATGGACAGAAAGGCGATTCCTCAAAACAGGTCAAGGAGTCCAAATCAACATCTCGAAAAGAATTGCCCAAGCTAGAGACGGGCCTTCCCGACATCACCAAGCCCTTGACAAAAAAGAACCTCGTCGCTTCTGAAGAAGCCATTAAGAAATCTGGCGTGGTGTACATGTCCCGCATACCGCCAGGGATGAAGCCCTCTGCCCTGAGATCTCTCCTGTCGCCATATGGGAGGCTAAATCGGATATTCCTTGCTCCCGAGGATCCCACTGTCCGCGCCAGACGAAAGCGTGCCGGCGGCAACAAGAGGGTGCTATTCACCGAGGGATGGGTCGAGTTCGTTAAGAAGAAGGAAGCAAAGGCTACATGCGAATTATTAAACGGACACAATGTTGGCGGCAAGAAGGGATCTTTTTTCCGCGACGACATCTGGAACTTGGTCTATCTGAAAGGTTTCAAGTGGCATAATCTGACGGAACAAATCACTACCGAGAACGCAGAGAGGACAAGCCGCATGAGAGCTGAGATTAGCAAGTCGACCAAGGAGAACAAGGAATTTGTTAGGAACGTGGAGAGAGCCAAGATGTTGGATGGTATGCAGGCCAAGGCGAAGAAGAGGAAGGCTGCCGACGCGGAGGAAGAGCCTGTACAACAGGGTGAGCGGTCGTTTAAACAGGTAAAACAGGTGAAAAGGGATGACAAGATGGCACAGGATCAGCCAGAGAGCGTCACGAGAGTCTTGAGCAAGATTTTCTAAGGGATTTGTTGCCATGGGTTTTATCTTGGATGTATTCGCATAGCGTTGTATTGACTGGCAGGATCTGATATTTGATACTTGCAAATTACTTGCTTCGTAAATGAAGGATCACGCACGGTGAAATGTACGAGCACTGTTCTGACATGTATTTGATAGTTGCCTCAATTCACAAGGTACTTTCAATTCAGTCTTTGGTTTGATCCGCGTGAATGTCCTGTCAGTTTGTCATGCCAGTCTCGATTTCGGTTGGCCGCCATTGGCCCACACACAGGCTTCCCCTCCGCCGTCTAATGGTGGTTTCTCGCCCCCGCCGTCGATAAGATTCTTCAGACGCTTATCAAGCAGCGGGGCAAATAATTTTCTTGACCCCCGCGAGTCACCACCAAGCCAAGTCGTCTACTGGTCCCAGTCTACCTAAACTCGGCGTCAATCTCACTTCGGCCAAATCCTCATCTTCATCCGGCGTCTAATCTTGGCCATTCAAGATGTCGATGGATCTTGATGACGCTCCCGTCCCTCTTGGGCCGGCGACACAGCAGACAGCCGCGACGTAAGTTCCGCCGCCTTTATTTTCCCTTTTTTTTCGCCCGACCTTTTTTGTCGGTTCTGTGGGCGAAAATCGCCTCGCGAGACGAATGACTAACTTGACAACTGTGCCAAGTATTCTCTGCTGCAACTGCGGCGCCCCTATTGACGGAACGACTGCCACCGGCGCCCTCTGCTTCAACTGCGTCAAACTCACCGTCGACATCTCCCAAGGCATCCAGCGCGAAGCAACGCTCAACTTCTGCCGGGACTGCGATCGATGGCTGCTCCCACCGACCAGTTGGATTGTTGCCATGCCCGAATCCCGCGAGCTGCTGGCCCTGTGTCTCAAGAAACTACGGGGTCTCCACAAAGTCCGCATCGTTGACGCAAGCTTTGTCTGGACGGAGCCACACTCTCGAAGAATAAAGGTCAAGCTGACGATCCAGGATGCCGTGCAGGATGGCGTCTTGCTCCAGCAGAGTTTTGAGGTTGTCTACGTGGTGGCGACTCAGCAGTGCCCCGAGTGCGCCAAGTCATATACGGCCAACGTCTGGAGGGCGTGTGTGCAGGTGCGACAAAAGGTCTTGCACAAGAGAACGTTTTTGTTTCTGGAACAACTCATTATGAAACACAACGCCCACAGAGATACGCTCAATATCAAAGAGGCCAAGGACGGTATTGATTTCTTCTTCTCGCAAAAGAACCAGGCTGAAAAGTTTATCGACTTTCTGAACTCGGTTGTACCCGTCACGGTCAAGGCATCCCAGGAGCTCATTTCTCAGGATGTCCACACCTCCAAAAAGTCGTACAAGTTTTCTTATTCAGCAGAGATTGTGCCCATTTGCAGAGACGACTTGGTTGCCATGCCCATCAAGCTCGCCAAGCAATCCGGCAACATCTCGCCCCTCGTCCTGTGCCACAAGATTGGAACCTCGGTCTATCTGATGGACCCCCAGACCCTCCAGACCGCCGATATTGCCTCGCCGATATACTGGCGCGCCCCCTTCAGATCGCTCGCCAATACTCATGAATTAGTGGAATTCATCATTATGGACATTGAGCTCACCAACACCCGGAGAGGAAAATGGGTCCTCTCCGAAGCCACCGTCGCCAGAGCATCGGACCTCGGCGTCAACGACAAGACGTACTTTACGAGAACACACCTGGGCAACTTTCTTCAACCCGGCGACTCCGCCATGGGGTACCTCCTGACAGGCACCATGTTCAATAACCCCGAGTACGAGGCCATCGAAGAGTCCAACACGTACTCGTCCACCATCCCTGACGTGGTGCTAGTCAAGAAGCACTACCCGCGTCGCCGGAAGAACCGCCGCCGCAACTGGAAGCTCAGGCGTATGGGCAAGGACGAAGGCGAGCTCCTGCCCAAGAAGGCGGATCAAGATCGCATGGATCGCGAGTATGAGCAGTTCTTGCGGGATGTGGAAGAGGACGAGGAGCTGCGTGCTGCCATGGCTCTTTACAAGAACGAGAAGAAGAGAGCAGAGGAGGAGATGAGTGTTGCGGAAACAGAGGAGGACGAGGATGACGGTACTCCACACGTCAATATGGACGAGTTGCTAGACGACTTTGACGAGCTCACAATGCAGGAGTCTTGATGGCAGTGGCTGGGGGGTAAAAGAGAAAATAATGAATTAAAAAAAATCAACGTTGGCGTTTTCTGCTGGACGTCCATGTCCCCATATCTAGGTATCCCAAGTCGTGTATTTCTCGCAACCCGCCTTCATAACCGTGACTCTGTAAGCTCTGCCGCCCCATCTCAAAAGAAGCCAGGTATCGTATCCCGCTCCGGCCTCTTGGGCGACCGCGTCTCCCGCTCACCCGTCCTCCTGACCATCTGCTCCCTCGACTTCTCCCGCCTCACCCGCCTCTGCCTGACGCCAAAAGGATCATCATCGCCATCGTCATCATCCACCGCCCCAGCAAAAGACGGCGCCTCGCCATCCCCCCTGCTGCCCCCAACCTCCTCCGGCAGACGAGCAGAAACGACAGCCTCTCGCAGCCGCGACGCCGCGCCCAAACCGACGCCCGTCAAGCGCGCACCCTCCCCGCGCGGCGTCTCCATCAATCCCTGCAGGCTGCTTCCCCCCCGGGTCCCCTCGCCGCGCACCAGCCCTCGCCGCGCCGCCGTCCGCGCAGCACGCCCCCTTCGCCTCGTGGCCGTCGCCGTCGCCGGCCCAGGCACCACCGGCCGCTCCATCTCCCGGATCGCCGCCGCGTTCTGCGCCGCCGCAAGCCTCTTGAGGCGCGTGTACTCGGCGCGGTGGAGGTGCGCGGTGAACAGGCCCGCCGTGGCGAGCAGCTCGTCCTCCACCATGCGGTACCTGTCGTCCCCTGCTGGCCCGGCAATCATGAACCTTTTCCCCCCCGGGGGATGATGAGTGAGCGGATGCGGCGCGGAGGTGCGGGCGTATAACTGGATATTTATTTCTCTTTTACTTACTGCTGGGCTGGCGGCTCTGGAGGCGGCGATGTAGACGGACTACGTATCCTGCTGGCACCTTTTGTTCCTGGTTAGCTCTTTTGCACGGGAAGGGGTTTCGGGTGGCGGGAGGTAGGTACTACCGTGTTCCGGGGAGCGACGACGCGAAACAAGCGGACGGGTGGAAGCGTCTCGCGTGGACGTGGAGGGCTCAGGACGAGGGCTTTGCTTCTTGGGCGTCGTGGTTGGCGGCGAGCCCTGGGGTTCCGTTTTCCAGGGGAGTTTGCGCGGCATCGTCGGGCATGGTGGCTATGGTGATTTGTGGCTGATGGTGTTTTGTTTAAAAGTAGTTGTTCATGTGTTGAGTGAAGTGGCGTGGGGTGAGGTTTTCATGACTTGTCAAGGGTAGGCAAGGTACGTGAGTTGAGTGGTTATTCCTTCAAATCGAGTCACACCACGTTCCGTCACATCACATAAACCATTATTGTCTTTGCCGCGAAACCTTCATCACTACTACCTAGTGCGTTATTCAAACCTCTATATTTCTAGTACACAGACCGGGTGTTCCAGCTCTTGGCCCCTTGTACAAATGAAACGTGCTACATGTAAACACAAAAATCATGGCTTCCTCCTTTTCCTTCATCCATGTGATTTCGTCTCGTACTTTTTTTTACTGTCCCTCTCTCACAACCTTGTCAATTGCACTAGCCACGTGGTCAATGTTTTTCGAATTCAAGCCGGCCATGGAGATACGACCGTTCTTAGTCATGTAGATGTGGTAGTCCTCGCGGAGTTTGAGAACCTGGGCCTCTGACAGACCAGTGAAGCTGAACATGCCAATCTGGTCGGTGATGTGGTTCCACGTTCCAGGGGTGCCGAGTTTCTCGAGTCTTGAGCGCAGCTCGTTGCGCATGGTGATGATGCGGCCGGACATGGTCTTCAAGTTGTCCTCCCACTCAGCAAAGAGCTTGGGGTCGTTGAGGACGGTCGCAGCAATACGGGCGCCGTACAGGGGAGGGTTGGAGATTTCGGATCTCTGGAGAATGGCCAACTGGGAGCCAATGCGGGAGATGGTGGTGCTGGCGTCAGGTCCGGGGCTGGTCACGACGTGGAAGCATCCAGCTCGCTCGCCATAGAGGCCAAAATTCTTGGCGAAACTCTGGCATACGACGGTCTCGAATCCTTGCTCAACAAAGTAGCGGATGGCGGCGGCATCCTGGGCGAGGTTGCCAGAAGCGAAGCCCTGGTAGGCACAGTCGAAGAAGGGGAAATGCTTCTTCTGAGCGATAATGACAGCCAGCTCCTTCCACTGGTCGAGGGTAGGGTCGACACCGGTCGGGTTATGGGCGCAAGGGTGCAACAGGATAACGGAGCGGTCGGGAGCAGCCTGGATGGCAGCCTTCATGCCCTCAAAGTCCAGGCCATTGGTCTTCTTGGAGAAGTAAGGGTAGTCGGCAACCTGGAGGCCGACGTTTCCAAAGATTTGCTTGTGGTTAGCCCAGGTCGGGTTGGACAAGTAGACGGTCCTGTTGCCCTTGTAGAACTTGGCGAGGAAGAGGGCACCAAGATGGACGGCGCCGGTGCCGGAGATGGTCTGGATTGAAGTGGCCCGTTTCTCTTGGAGGGCGGGCGAGTCGGCACCGAGAATCAACTCGGCAGCCTTGGAGGTGAAGTCGGGAATGCCGGCAATCGGGGCATATTCGTGGTTCAACTCGGGGTTGTTTCGGAGAATTTCATCAGCCTGGCAGAGCGGCGGGTGTTAGCCATGAGCCATGGTCTGGTGGTGACGCATGCGGGGAGCTCTGGAGCGGACTGGGGCGGCCATTGGTGTTGGCATGGGCGTCATGATGGCTTCGTCACGACCAGTGGCCATGGCTGACGGAGCATCAGGCACATCAGGCACATCAGGCACATCAGGCACCAGGCACCGGGCAAAGGGCAAACAAAGGCAGCTTGATCACGTACCTTTTTGACCACGGGGAGAACCCAGGGCTTCGCATTGTCGTCGCGGTAAGCGCCAATTCCCTATTCGCACAGCGTTAGCATTGCACAGCAGGAGCGTTGCCAAGCCAAGTAGAAAAGCAATCTGAAGCTCGAAAGCCAGTGCTACTGCACCGTCCCTGTCTCGTGGCACGTACCAAGTCGACCTTGAGGGAGCTCTGGTCAGCCTTGTAAGCGCGTGCGAGGCCGAAGAGGGGATCCTCGGGGGCCTGTGGCACGGTGTCGGCGGGGAAGCTAGTTGCAGAGGCCATGGCGGGCGAGATGTGGTTTGCAATGTTGTTTATTCTCGCGAGCGAGGACGATGAAGAAGGCGAGGCAGACGGAGAGGCAGAGGACGACGACGAGGATGAGGATGAGGATGGAGGAGCCATGATGGCGAGGATAGTGGGGTGACTATAATAACTAATGGGCTGATGGTGACTGGCGACGGGCGACGGGCGACTGGGACTTGGCGACAGGCCAATTCTCCTCCGTTGTCCGTAGTCTGCGCTTCTTCAATGTTCCAGCTTCCGCAGTCGCAGTCGCAGTCGCAGGACAAAGACGGCCGCTTCTGGTCTTCACCCCGTAGAGCAAGGGTCAGGGCCTAGTCTAGTTGAGACACGCAAGAGGATGCAGCGGCGGGCTGTTGGAGGTTAGCCAGAGCTCGAGCGATCACGCAGCGCGGCAAGTGTCAAGTATGAAGTGTCAATGTTCAGTGTCCGAATGCACAGGGGTGTCATTGCAGCCGCCCTCGTCCATTTGTCGCACAACAAGGAAGGACCAGTGGCTGGCTCTTGGAGGGCGGCGGCAGACGCAAAGGTGCAGATGCAGCGCTCGGCAGCCCTCGGAGGGGCCAGTGGCAGACATGGACATGGAACGTACAGGTTGAGTCAATGTTCAGGATCGCGGCGTCGACGTCTCGACTCTCAAGGTCCCGAAAGCGGCGGGCGGCGCCATCGCGCGCGGGGGTCGAATGCGCTTTTATGGCCCGCAGGTGGGCAAAGATGCCGAGCCCCCAGCGCTTCTGTGCGTGGCATGGGCGTCGTTTTGGCCGAGGCCCTTCGGCTCTCACGGGCTCGCAAGTGCTCGTTGATGTGGCCTGTGTGGCCGGGGCGGGTGTCGGGCCCAGATGATGCCTCGACAGTCGGACTCTGCCCCAAGGGCCAGCAGCAAACAGGTCTGGTCGCTGCCGCTGCCGCTTGCCGCTGCCGTGGGAGACGGGGCCCCGGAGCGCAGTTGACTGACATGTGCCACTTTGCCATGGCAAGCACAGTGAGTGGCACGGAACGCGGAGCATCCTGCAAAACACAAAATGCACAACTACAAATTTATGCGATTCCTTCTTGGCATGTAGAATAATAATGCCTGTACTAATAATAGTAATAATGCACCATCTGAATTCGTCTTGCTAATGCGTAATGCAGCCCGCCTCAAGTTCCTAAGCTCATTCATGAATTTGCCGTGGCTTGCCTGCGGGCACTGCGCAACATCATCTATTCAGGCACGGTGTGTCCTCCTCCTTCGAGCCGTCCATTCAATTTTATGACTTATCTCTCGTCTTGGTATACCCACACTTCCCCGGCTTCGCCCGCCATGGCCTGGCACCCCTTCTCCGGTCTCCTGACCATTGTCTCTAAGTAATGACCAATTGATACATGTACCTTTCTGCTTCGCTGCCCACGGAGCGCGCTCTCCCAGGTTAGGAGCCCGCGGCCCCGCGCCTTTCCGAGATGAACGGGTGGCAACGGCCCCCAGAAACTTATGAACGTCCCACTGCAAAGGTAGGCAAAAGCCACCGTGCACTATTTAACGTATGTACTTAGATGCATGTACATTGATATCTGAAACTTGCAGATACTACTGTCCCCATGACCTTGAACTTTTTCATGGGGAGTGGATCGACGTCCCCGAGTCTGCGAGTCTGAATCTGGGGTTGGAAAAAATCTGGGGGTGGCTCATCAACCATTTCAAAGTCCCCCACACATGCAAGGAGCAATACATAACTCGACAAAGGGGCCCGTCTTCCTTCACATGTTCCCCGCCCGGCACCGTAGCGACTCTGTATTATAGTCCACACTACTTCTTAAACGGAGATGGCTTCTCTTTTAATCAACATGCTCGGCTCGCAGTCACCTCCTCATCTCCAAGTCCGAGCGAGATTCTGTTGCTAGATTCTTATAGTCAACGTCGGCAAGCCCAGCCCTTCCTTCATATGATGAGGTCCCACAGCACCAGGAAAGCACACAACCCGCTGGCCGCAAAGAAGGTATAGCGTGCCGTGCTGGGACGTTTCGTAGCCTTCTCCAGCTGCTTGTTACCTCCGCCAATGTTCTCCGCAGTTGATAAAGAGTTCGTGACAAGCTGCTCAATGTGCTCGGATTGGATCTCTAGATTGTTGACCAGAAGGGACTGAAGCTCGGAAATCTCGACCAGCGACTTTTCTGCAGTTCTGCCACACTACGTTAACAAAACAAGACACGAAGAGACACCCTACTGAAAAGAATTGTGGGTGACGGCACATACCTGACCTTGTCCAACGTGCTTTCGTAGTGCTGCATCATGTCCTGATTGCCTTCCTCAAACATTTGCAACTGCTCCTCGGTCAGGCCCTGGGTGAGTGCAGACGCCTGAGTGGCCGTCTCGCCTGCCAAGGCCGGGTCTTCAGAAATGGCGGCCGCCATAAACGCCTGTTTCGACACGGGCGGAAAGGGCGCGAAATCTCCGACCGGAGGGGATAGCATGCCGCGAGACTTTTCCACTTCTCTCGTCAACCTCGTCTCCATCATGTCCTGCTGCGTGCGACAGCACAGCTCCAACCTCTGTCGCAAGTACCACAGTATGCCATCCCGGTGCATGTCTGTTTGTTGGGCCTGGGCTTCCGCCGCTGCGTGTTCTGGCGACCTGCTTGAGATGCTGCCGCCCGAGGCCCAGGAACTCAAGGCACTAAAGCCGCTCGCATACTTTTTCCGAATGAGGGCTGATTCCGTCTCTCGGCGAAGCTGCTCGGCGTCTTCCAGGCCACGGATGCTCGCGTTGAGCTCTCTAATCATTTGCTTCGCATTGACGTCGACGTCTTCCCGCTCGCGATCGGTCAAAACCTGGGGCGGGCCATGAGCCGTGCGGCCAGGTGTCCTCCGCGGCTGGGCTGTCGATAGGTATGCCTGTCGGACATCCCTGAGTTCCTTGTGCAAGCTGGTAATGTGCGAGTTCTGTAGCCAACACATTGGGATTAGCAATTGGGGTGATGGGAATTTCCTCGCAAGGGCGGACTGACTATGCGATATGCCTCTTTGACAAAGCCTTCGAGTACGTCGACGTCGAGAGCAGCTTTGCCTGATGTAGGTGCGGCGTTGTGCTTTTGCAGTGCATGATTGAAGTCGTCGGTCAGGTCTGTGGACGGGAGATGGGATGCCGCCGAGAAAGCCATGGTTGACCGGCACAATAATGCCGGGTAGCTCCTTTGTATGCAGCGCAACTGCGTGGCTTGTGGTGCTGTCACGATAGCAGTCGGGTGGGATGAGATTGGCTACGTAAGGTGTAAGGTGTAAGGTGGGAGCTCTCCAAATGCTGCTTAGTCATTACACAGTGTATCGACCCAGGTGCAAGTTGTGATGACGCGGAGCCTTGAGCCCGATTTCCCGCCAGATGCGGCTCTGACATTCATGTTAGGTGTACTACTTCGTATAGACCTCGCTTGACAAGTTAGAAGGGAGGGACAAAAAAAAATCAAACTCAGAGTGGCATCAATGAGACTCCATCACGCCGGTGGCGGTAGTTGTTCCATCCACTCGGCATAAATTTCATTCCAATCTCGAACGAACTGAAGCTGCGATCGGCAACGGGTGGGTGGTCGGAAAGAGTTCATGGCATGCTTAATTTAGCCCTAGCTTCGAGTATCAATTTGGTTCCCGTCGAGTCATTGGTTGGATTCGTTCTAGAGGCATGCAGGCGACAGAAGCCCCCCAACACCTGGAGGCAAGGTTATCACTGTGGACGTTTGGTGCAGTTGTCTGGCCGCATCAAATTGCTCGCAATATGGCTACTCGCAGGTGCTTGAGTGGGTTCAGTACGCTCTTTTTTTTCCATCTCTCCCACTCCATCGCCTAAATACTGAGACAAGTTCGCCGTCCCGGTCCTTGGCTGCCTCACAAGTACCGAGTACCAGACCCTTTTGATGCTCGGAACCTGGCCGTGCGCCACCAGGCGGGAAAAGGACTTGTCCAGACTGTCTGTTGGCAAGCGCCAAAAATCAACGGAAGTCGACCGAGCACTACTTGCAAGTCGTCATTCGACGCTTCACACTCGGTTCAATCTTCTTGCTGGCAGCCGCTCTGGCAAAGCTGGGACAATGAAGACGCCCGGCCAGACGAGACAAGACGGGACGTTGACTTTGACGCTAATCAAACTTACGTATGTATGTACATACAACAAACCCAAAGTCGGAAATGCAAGACGACGACACGGACTTTATCACCGGACGTCATCCACTTGGACGTCCATGTCCCCATATTACCAAGTGGCCGGGCCTGAGTCAAACCACCAGACAACACAGACAATCTCTCCCCACAGCTGGTGCTGCCGATATGGCGCCGGGCCCGAAGCTGGCTCCCACTCTGGTTTATTTTTAATACCTTGCCTGTCCCTCTCCTCCCGTCCTCAAGCCTCTTCTCTCCAGTGTATGCATAATACAGGTCATGGGGTCGTCGTCCATTGCTCTCGTTTGCGGCAATGAAACATGAGAGGGAACCCAATGGTCCCGTGTCCGACCCGGATTGCCAGAGGGCCGTCGCCGCCACGGACCCGGTGGACGCGGCGCCGGCGGCAGAGCCAAGCTTGAGGGCAGAGCCGGTATCACGGGCTGTATCGACGCCGTCAACACCATCGTCACCACCGCCACCCCAAGTCGTTCACCAACCTGACCTGCACCGTGTGCCCACCGCCATTCTCGAAAAGATGGCAACCGTCCCGGCCAGCCAGGTCCTCACGGGTTCACATGATGTCGAGGCTGTGTCTCGCGTTGCCAGCGCGCCGTACAGTGCCTTCCCACGCCGGACCAAGATATGGATTACTACCATGGTCACCATTGCCAGCGTCATCTCGCCAATGACGGCCAACGTCTATTTTCCTGCGCTGGACTCCGTTGCCGACGACCTCAACGTGTCAATCGCCTTGATCAACCTCACCTTGACCACTTACATGATCTTCCAGGGGCTGGCGCCCACCATATTTGGCGACTTTGGCGATACAGCAGGTCGCCGTCCAGCATTCACGCTGGCCTTTACCATTTACTTGTTTGCCAACATCGGACTGGCCTTGCAGCGCGACTACACTGCTCTCTTGGTCCTGCGCTGCCTGCAGTCAGCCGGCAGCAGCGGCACCCTCGCCCTGGCGTATGCCGTTGTTGCTGACATTGCTTCCAGCGAAGAACGCGGCCGCTACATGGGACTTGTCGGCGCGGGCGTCAACTTTGGCCCTGCCGTCGGGCCGGTCCTGGGCGGCGTTCTAAGCCATGAGCTTGGATGGCCCTCCATCTTCTGGTTCTGTGCCATCTTCGTCTTCGTGTGGCTCATCCCATGGGTCTTGTCTGTGCCGGAAACATGTCGCAATGTTGTCGGCAACGGCTCTGTGCCGCCGCCAAGATGGAACATGACGGTGATTGATCTCCTGCGGCCGGGCGGCGTCAACCAGAGGCCAGCGTCGGCGCCCAAGGTCAAGATTCGCGTGCCGAATCCCCTGCGCACTCTTTCCATCGTCTTCCAAAAGGAAGAGGGGCTCATCCTCTTCATATCCGCCATCATGTACGTCAACTTCATCCTCATTGGTGCCACGCTCTCCATCCTCTTCAAGGAAATCTACGAGTACGACGACCTCGAGGTAGGCCTCTGCTACCTCCCCTATGGCGTGGGCTGCTGCATGGTCATGCTGCTGCAGGGGCACATTCTCGACCGAAACTTTGCCCGCATCGCCAAGAAGTTGGGCATGGCGACGAGCCGCAAGAGGGGAGAGGACATGCTCAGTTTCCCCATTGAGTCTGCTCGCATACAGCCCCTGTATCCTGCCATTACCGTTGGAGCGGCTGCCCTCATCGGATGGGGGTGGTCGCTGGAGGCCGAAACAACCGTGGCTGTGCCGCTGGTCCTGCTCTTCATTGTCGGCATGCTGGTGCCGTCGTCGTTTGGTGTCCTCAACACGCTGCTGGTCGACCTCAACGAGGACGCACCGGCCACGGCCGCCGCAGCCAACAATCTGACCCGATGTCTTTCTGGCGCTGCCGCCACCGCCATCGTCGACCAAATGTTTGATGCCATGGGCCGCGGCTGGACATTCACCTTGTTGGCTTTGCTGATGGTCGCATGCCTACCTGGGTTGCGCGTTCTGGAGAAGCGTGGTCCTCGCTGGAGGGCAGAGAGGGCAAGGCAAAAGGCAGACAAGCAAGACAACTAGACTCTTGCCAAGACGATGCGAGACTGGAAAGGCAGGTGACGCTGTGGCCGAGCATTTTAAGCAACCAATTGATGAATTGATGATAATGACAATTTCCGTCTCAACATGCAGGCGGGGAATGTAAAAGATACCATACCACAGAGACTTAGCATAGCGGGAGCGAGGACATTTATTCAAATATATTGTCCGTCTTTTGTTTTCCTTGTTTCTTTTTGTTCCGCTTTTGACACGGGTTTCATCTCGTTGGTGATAGTACATACCGAAACCGCTACAATGCAGTGATAGCCTTGTCCACAGATTCCCTCAATGACTCCCACATTAACCAATCTGATCTCGTCGTCCTGCCAGAATGACCATGTTAGCCTAAAAATGTCCTTCTACAGCCCCGGTATAAATCCAGCGAGGCATCCAAACGCTACGGCAGGTACTTACGGCAACAGCCCCATTGAGTTCACCTTCCAAATACCCACTCCCAGCGCAACAAGCTGCATCGCCACATACACCAACTTCGTTTGCAACATCTGAGCGGCGTTTTTCTCGGTATTGAATCGTTCAAAGGCCTGATTGGTAGCCATCAAGCCTGCGATGGGGTTCTTGAATGCCATAAAGACCATCATGATGCTGAAAATTTGGAGCGAGTTGCCGGACATGTACATCATGATGACGGTCATGGGAAGTGCTTTGACGGGACCGAGGGCGACCTCCCATGCCTTTTTAAGCTTGAGGGTTTCCATTTCTTCGCCAGTGGGTGCCTTTCGAGGAGGTTGGCTTTTCCCATCCTTGTTGGGTTTCTGGTTCATTGATCATTAATATATAATGGAGAGAAATGAGGTTGAAGATAACGAGGAGAGCACGGGCAATTCGCCATGCCTCCCGAGTTGCGAACGTACCTTGGAGCCCGACGGGCCTGAGGAGAAGCCAATGGGGTCGGGGACGCCTGGGACCCTGGCTTTGGCACCTGGAGGTGAGCGCAGCTGCGAAACCCAGGTGGGAACGTTTGAGTCTGGTGTAGACATTGCTATTGCAGACGTAGACGCGAAGCGGCTCGATTGATTGTTGCAGTGGGAGTAACGATGGAGGTTGAGGCCTAGACACCGCGTTGAGTAGGCGTCCGCCGTTGATGTATCAACTGGTGGCTCCGGCACGTGGGTCCTTATCGATAGCGCCTTGGATTCTCTGTGCTCCGAAAATAGGCAGCTCCAGCATGGTCTCAGTGGACATGCGACTGCTCAGTGTCTGCTCGGTTACTTTACAGTGGGGTCTAGAACCCTGACTCAGGCTGGTACAGGTCCAGTCGACAGTATATGTACAACGTTCAAGTTGGCAGCACTTGAGCTTGAGCGCAGACGCCGGCACGTTGGCACTGCTGGTTCGAGTACCCCTTTCGACTCGGGCTTGACGGAACGAGAACTCGGCTACAATTATAACCTGCTCTCTTGTCAACTGGTTGTCGTTACGAACGCGGCGAAGTTGAACCACACCATTCTCGACCCAAGGCCTTAGTGCTGCCAATTTCATACGCTTGGGTTCATCTCATCACGACGTTTCTATTGACAGCACGACAAGGGTTGGTCCGCCGGCGCAAAGTTTCCCTTGAAGCTACATGTGACGATTTCCCCCCCTCCATCGCCAACAGCAACAGACTGTGCGGTCGTATCTCTTCTTGACTGGTTGGATCTCCCAACCGGGCGTGCCGCCCTATCAACATTTGACGTTTGTGACCATTGATCATCGAAGCATACACTGGGCGAAAACCAGCCTCCTTTGGGTGGTGTGGACGAGTGAGTCCCGGCGACCGGCACGTCCATCAGCATTTTGCGTCGCGTGACGAAGCGGCATTCACTCCTATCGCCGAGACGAAGAGCAGACCACCACCACCACAGGCCAACTGTGTTTGCTACGTAATTTGTAACCTGGTAACCAGGTGTCCTGGGTCATCGCGCCATATAACCACAACCGCCAGCTACCACCACCATGTCTTCTAAAGACAGTGGCGGGGATTCAAAGCTGTTTGCTCGAGTAAGCTTGCTCCCATCTTCTTCTGTCATACATTTGCTCTCCCTACTTTGTTTTCTACCACCTTGCGACCTTATCCTTTACTTGCCCCCGGGAAAGACTCCTGACCGCTGTCACTTTGACACTCAACTGACCCCTCTACATCGCTTAATAACCTGTATTGGAAGTGCAGTGGCGACATCGCAGCGCCCTCCGTGCCTTTGTCTTGCTCATAATATGCTTCCTATACCCTGCGCACCTGATCCTCTGCCCATTGCGAGATGATGGCTGTGTTCCCAATGTACATGCCACCGTTGGCATTCGATAGACTAAGAACTCCACAGGGCAAAGTAGCCGAGCTGCGACTCGAGCTGAACAGCGGCGGCAAGAAGGATAAGAATTATGCGATAAAAAAAGTTGCCCTCAAGAGAATCGTTGCGAACATGACGATGAGCAATAACGATATGGTGGCGCTGTTTCCGGACATAATTGCCTGCATGCACATTCCCAGCTTGGAAATCAAGAAGATGTACGAAGCCAACACGCCTAGCATTGGCCAAGCCATGTCGCGACTAACAACGTCTAGGTGCTTCTTATACCTGGTCAACTATGCTCGAGTACGACCGGAAATTGCCGTCAAGGCCATTCCGGTGCTGGAAAATGTAATTGACACCTCAACTCTGCGAGATGGAAAAGATGATGCTGACTTTCTATTAGGACATGGAAGACCAAAATCCTTTAGTACGAGCCCTCGCACTGCGAACAATGTCATATATACACGTCAAAGAGTTTGTCGAAGCAACAGTTCCTATCGTAAAGCATATGCTGCGCGACAACGATCCATACGTCCGCAAAACAGCAGCCTTCTGCGTTGCCAAACTTTACGACCACGACCGACAAATGGTTGAACGCTCGGACCTTATCGATAGACTAAACTCTCTGCTACGTGATGATAATCCTACCGTTGTTGCTAGTGCGTTGGCGGGACTGATGGACATCTGGGAAAGAAGTGATGCTATTAAGCTCACTATTGATTATAGCAATGCATCAAAAATGGTGGCAATCTTGCCTGATTGCTCAGAGTAGGTGGCTTGACAAAATCCCAAATCCTGGTGGAGTTGAACCATGTTAACACAGGAATAGATGGGGTCAAACGTACATTCTTGAGGCGTTAATGTCCTATGTGCCACAGGAAACAGGCGAAGCTGCTTTGCTGGCGGAGCGCATTGCACCACGCCTCTCACACTCAAATTCATCTGTTGTGTTGACATGCATCCGCGTTATTCTGTACCTGTTGAATTACATTGCAGACCAAAAGCAAATCACTACACTTTGCAGAAAGCTTTCGCCACCATTAGTTACTCTTCTCGCCAAAGGCCCTGAAGTCCAGTACCTGGCGCTTAGAAATGCCCTGTTGATCTTACAACGACGACCCGAGGTGCTAAAGAACGATATCCGAGTATTTTTCTGTAAATACAATGACCCAATCTACGTCAAAGTCACGAAACTGGAACTCATTTTCATGCTTGCCAATGAAAACAATATTGATGAGGTGCTGACCGAGCTGCGAGAATACGCGACGGAAATTGACGTTCACTTTGTTCGAAAGGCCGTTCGTGCGATAGGAAAGTTGGCTATAAAGATTGAACCAGCGGCTAAGCGGTGTATTGACCTTCTATTGGAGCTTGTCTCAACGAAAGTCACGTACATTGTTCAGGAGGCGACAGTGGTCATCAAGAATATTTTCAGGAAATACCCCAATCAGTACGAGTCCATCATCGGCACCTTGTGCGAGCATCTCGATTCGTTAGATGAACCAGAGGCCAAGGCTGCAATGGTCTGGGTTATTGGACAGTACGCCGATCGTATTGAGAATAGTGATGCACTTCTGGAGGACTTTCTCTATACATTCTCAGAGGAGCCTGTTGAGGTTCAACTGGCTCTCCTGACAGCCACGGTGAAGCTATTCATTCAAAGACCAACCAGAGCCCAAGAACTGGTTCCGAGGGTTTTGAAATGGGCGACTGAGGAGACAGACAACCCCGACTTACGTGATCGAGCGTACATGTATTGGCGACTGTTGTCAACAGACATGAACGCAGCGAAGCAGATCGTCATGGGGGACAAGCCGCCGATCACTGCTGAAGCAGAGAGGTTAGAAGCGCCGACCTTGGAGGAAATGTGTCTCAATGTCGGAACCCTGGCAACCATATACCTCAAACCAGTCCAGACAGTCTTCCGGTCAGCGCGCCCACGGAAACTTCAAGAATCACCTGCGTTGCAAAAGCAGAATTTGCTGGTGGATGCAGATAATCAAAAGAGCATCAGCATGTTTGGTCGTGGCGGGCAGCCTACAAATATTGACTTGAGGAGTCGTAATGCCGCCCCTGCCAACGGGGAGGGCAACCTGTCGCAAGCAGTCAGCGATGCAGACGCATACTTTTCCAGTATTGGAACGCAAATGGCGGCGATGACATTAGACCAAGGCGAGGATATGTTTGGCGGCGGCAGCGGGAATATGACGGGCTATGTTGTCAGTGCTCATGCACCACAAGCTGTGCTGCAACCAGCGCAAGGGGCAGGGAGTAACGGCGATTTGTTGGCGCTCTGAGATTGGAGACAGGTTGAAGTTGAACGGATGTTTTGGCAGGATTTTCATGTCAGGCGTACATTATAAGCGAAGGATTATATTGCAGATAGTGTCAGTGACAGTGGACATAACAAATCTTACCTATGGGTGCACGGCATTTCAATATACGACATAAAGCCACCGTCTCCGCACATTTTCTTTTCTTTTCTCGAAGACGACAGAGCAGGTTGCTTAATGCAGTAGCATTCTCTCGTATACGGAGTACCCTGTACCGCCTTTTACCTGCGGGGGCTGTCCAAGCCAGCAAATATGTTGAATACCTCATGAAATCGTTGTATGGATACCTACCTAGGTAGTACTTACGAACCCAAGTTAGACCAGTAGGTCTAAAAGCGGGAGAAAATTCATATGAGAATTATCATGCACCTACTTGGCATGCTGGCACGAACCGCATTACGTGATCTGGGCACAAGCTTGTATCAAAGTTTTTCAATCTTCTGGTTCCTCGCTATTTACATGCTTTTTAGTTCTTTATGTGTATTCATGATAACAAGAGTACGCAATGCCCTGACAAAGCTAGCCCCTGAACCATTATGGCGAAGTGCTCTATTGGCCTTATGTATTTTGATAGGAATACCTGTAGCTGATCTACCTGCTGGTCCGACAATAACCACGGGAGGTTTTGTTTCTGATGATTTGGAAGCCGACCGGATTACACTACTCCTCCGTCCGGAGAAGCTTGGTTCGTTGTAAAAGAGTCCCTGAAGAGAGGCTAAGCTGAGGAGATGGTTAGGCGGGTCCATTATACTTTTTGCCAATCTTCGACTACTTAAAACTACAGCTGGATATTGGGTGCTACATTTACTAGCTATTCCCAGAGTATTTTCCAATAAATCCAGTACATTTGTCTTCATGTTTTGTATTTTCTGTAAGCACGGATGGTAGATTCTCACTACGGTAGGAAAGCAAAGCAGGTATTTCATACCGAGTGTGTACCAAACGTCGTGACGGATGGCGGTGCGTCGAATTAAGACCAGGTCAACTACTCGTACTTCAGATTCGAAGTACGCAATCAAGTAATACGATCCTCGATTAAAAACATTGGCTGTGTTGGTGAGCCCAGCCCAGGCCGCGATGAGGAAGAGGATGCACAATCTGGAACACTGAGCCACCAACTCAGCTTTCAGCTCGCAGTGGGTATACCAGCAATCTGGTTACGCCCTACCGCACCGCAAGGGGCGAAACGCCAGCCCATCGATGCTGTGCCCAGCTGTCGTGTTTGCCTTTGCGGATAGAGGCGAAGAAAGGGGAGGGGGCTGGATATCTGTTGTTGGAGAAGTTGACGCCACAAACATGCCACACGCCTGTGAGTGCTCATGTTCGCGAGCTGAAGTTTGTTGGGCTCGGCCTTTTAAATCTGGCGGCGTGATTTGCGGAACCGGGCCGTGTTTTGGGCCAGCATCATGAGGCACGCAGAAGACGAGCAAAGGCTGTTCATGCCTGCAGGGTTCAAGGCGTGAGCACGGAGTACTAGTGCGTATATTGTGACGAACTGGACGGGGAATCGTCCATGCATCTAGATTCAGGTGGAGAAGGGAGGCGGCAAGGTGTTGATGAGATCTTGGACGAGCCTTTTGCTTCTTCTCTTTTCTCTCGTGGGGGAACTCGCATGCATAGGAGGCAAACTGCTGCTCGTTGCATCGACATGGGTTGAGGGATGCCGCCGGCTAGTTTGAGATGGATGTTGTCTGCTCAGCATTTCTGTGTCGTCGACTCTCTGCGTGAATGAGCTCATTGTGACGCAGCGCCCAATTACGACTGGCCGTGTCGAGATGGGTGTGCATGGCGTTTTACCGATTGGCATACAAAGATGCTGCTTCGACCATGACGGCGGCTGCGGCTGTGTCTGGCGCAAATGCATTCGAGGTTTGTCTAACGTGGAAGGCTGTTCTGTTTGTATGTACTCGGTTGTCTGTTTCTTGGGCGGGTCTGAAGAGGCCTCATTAGTATTACATTTTGATGTGGCGCTGTAGTACTTGCTTTCTTAGTTGCCCCGTCCTGTTGTAAAGTAGGTTGCAACTCAACTAGAGGCCCGCTTAATGACGGTTGGGCACAATGTTCCACGAATAGATGTCAATCATTTCCATGGCCCACCATCCCCAGACCCGCGACCTTCTGGGTGTTGAGGCGTTTGGCTTGAGCTCTTTGAAGATTGACAGCATGAGCCACAGGGAGCATGGAGGAAGGGGACAAGGCCGGACGAGGCAGCAGCTGCACGAACATGATAGCCACCAGTGCCACCACATGCCTGTAAAAAAAAAACAAGTTCAAGACGTTTGAGGATGCTCTGATACACACCGCTCACCCCAAAAGATTGCAGTAGCCAGCTCTGTGTACAAATATTCAATGTTGCGTCACTGCACACAAGGACCTTGAGTGTATACAGACGAGTACGTGCACTCCCATGTACACCTGCACGCTGCACGCTCGCATGTGTACTTTGGCGCGGCGTCGCAAGCCCGTCTTTCCTTCTCACACTCTGTGTCGCTCGTCGCTCCTTCTTGTCCACGCAGGAGGACCTGACATGGAGCACTTGAGAAGCCGGGCTTCCGTGTGTGCCCCCACTCCCGCCTGCTCCGGCGAGCCTGGTCGTCCTCGTAGTCAATCCGTGACTTTGCTTAACCTGACATCTACATCATCATCTTACCACTGGTCTCCGAGGACATCCGACCTCTGCTGTTTATCGCTCAAGGCCAGGTCGAGGGCCGCTTGATCTTGGAGCCCATATATGAATTGATTGCCCCAGCATTATCTTATACGCCTGCGCTTTGCTTGCGTCCCTGCTTGCTGGCTGCAGGACCCCCGTCGTACAGCCACCCTGCAGTCCCCAGTGCTTCTGTATCTTTCGGCCACCGCCGCCGCCGTTGTTGCTGCTGCGCATCTCCATGGACCCAGCCATGAGTTCTGCCAACAACCACAAAACCGTCGGTCTTCCCGCTGACAACACTCGACTCCAACAGCCCAGCGACGCCGTCCCCATGGAGAACATGGCCCAAGGAACCACGCCGGCCGAGGACCTAAAGCCGGCCGCCCGTGTCGATGCCTCCGAGGAGTCTGAAATTGTCGCCACTGAGCCACTGCCAGCATCCAAGGCAATCCCTACCGATCCCGAGCAACGCAGCACAGAAAATGAGGACAACACTGAGGCCGTGTCAAAGGGCAAGGAGAAGGAGGAAGTGGCCCCCGTGCCGCCTACTAAGGAGAGGAGCGATTCCATCATGGCTATTGGGCCTGCGCAGGACGATATTCATACCACCCCTGGCCAGTCGGACGGTCCTGTCTGCAACATCACCCTCCTGCTGACTTCGGGAAGCCGTCATCCGTATAAGATCGATGCCAAGTATCTCACCAGGAGAAATGTTGCCATGCCCGACGAGACAGAATCTGGACAGCCAGACCCGTTTAGTATCAGCATCTACACCTTGAAGGAACTCATTCTACGAGAGTGGAGAAGCGATTGGGAGGCGAAGCCTGCTAGTCCCAGCAGCATAAGACTGATTCACTTCGGAAAGCTACTGGACGACAAAGAACAGCTGAAGAGTAAGCCATTTTTCAAATTGAGCCATGGTGTGAAGAGTAAAGCATTTCTCTAACCCTCAATGACAGAGTACCAATTCAGCACAGAAAGCCCCAATGTAGTGCATATGAGCATTCGTCCTCAGGACCTGGACGAAGAAGAGCCCAAGTCGGGAAGCAAAAACCTTCCAGGCGGAAGCGGAGACGGACAGCGATCCAGACCGGGTGGAATGTGCTGCGTCATCTTATGAGGGCCTCTCCTATCCCGTTGATCTACCTTAACTCACTGCACTTTTGTGGATATTTGCTTTAACCACGACTAGAGAGGTGCTGTTTGCAATTTTTGTGCCGGCTCATTTTATTGCCGGAGCCTTTTTGGAAAGACAGAACATACGTCGACTTGTACATTTTCCACGACGAGCTGGCTATCGAACTAAAGAGGCCTAGCGAAGCCTGAGAATGGCGTCCTTTACCTGCAAGGGAGTCAGCGGCCTACCGAGTCTGTGGCATGCAGTTTGGCAGCCACAACATAGTCACCTCCCGGCTTGAAGAGCCAATCAACATACACACACTCATTCTAATACTCAGCACATCGTTTTGGGTTTATTCTATTTGGAACTGGAAAGCAGCGATTGATGGGAAACATGATGGAAGAACGAAAGGATTACCGGAGTCAACATTGGCGCATCGTCATGTATAAATGATTTGGCTATTTTTATCATTGTCAACCTTTTCATCCAGAGGCCTTGTTATATATTTGTCAAAAACGTTGGGTATAGACCCTATCAGCGCGGGCCTTTGGAGTCTAGGCCGTCTTCACCAACAGAATAGAGGAATTGCAGTCAATTCACTACTGTTCTTACAATCTTGCGAATCTTGTGACTTGCTTGTGACCGGATTTGCCCACGGCTTTCAAGCACGGCATGAGAAAGTGTAGCATTCAAGTTGAGGTATTAGAGCATCCCAAGGACTCACTCACTAAATAGGGCACGTAGTAACACCTTCAGTATTCCGAAGCATATTTCACGACATGGCATGGCAGCCCTTATCCACGCCGCTATATCGCAGTATCTTGGGCGGAATGATCACAGGGTTGGAGTAGACAAGGTCGAACAGATTTTGCCCCCCCCACTCTGTAGTCCAAAATGTTCACTGTATTGTGTCGTAATAATGTTACACATAATCTAGCCGCTTCCATCATCCGCATTCATGCCCCAGAAATCCAGAAGACCGCAGCCCGCTTGTTCTACTACTGAATCTTGAGCTTCTTCTCCATCTCATCATGGACTCCAGGAACACCCTTCATCTCCTCGCCGGTGAATACATCCTCCCACGTAATCGTGTCTTCTCGTCCCTTCAGGATATCCTCGTGTACGCTGGCCAAGCCGTTTCCAAGCGCCAAGGGCCGCCACTCGCCGTCTCTGACAATCTTGAGCTCCATGCCCCGACGGACGGGCTCGGCAATTCCGAATGTTCGACGGAGCGATTCCATGCGGGCGGCCTGCTGGGTCGCCTCCCAGTTCTTGAGACGGGCTTCGAGGGGGTGTGCGGAGGAAGGCTTGTTGGCGGCCGCGTCGTAGGGGGACTGGCCGACGCCGTGGCGGAGAGTATCGTGGACGCCGGGGGCGGAGGGGGCGGACGAGGTGTGCGATGTGTGGGTGAAGGACTCGGGGTTGGAGTTTGCGGGCACGATGCGCATCGACTGTAAATGTTAGTCTTCTTGGAGATGGACGAGGATGGGAAGGCGAGGCCTACCATCTTGACGTAGGTTTGTGGAAGGGAAGAAGTTATGTGGTGTATCTTGTGCGGTTGTTGATTTGGGCCTCGTGCTGGTGCAAAGTGTAGGGCGAGGATGGCAGTGAGAGCGGAGATGGCAATGCGTGGTGCAGGTTGGCGTTGATGGTGTCTGTGAGTGTCGATGATGAAGCTTGGAGCTGCCTTCAGGCTACGAGTAGCCTCGCGTCCGTTGGTTGGCCGCGAGCGGTCTGTGCTGCGCCGTGAGTGGGTTGCTCAAAGGTACGTACCTCTGCGTTCTGACCCGCGGTTTGTCATGTCAAAATGCCAATTCATCCCGGCTATTACCAAACCATACCGAGCTGGCTACTTTGAATTCAACTTGAGTCACACTAACATCGATGCCCTTTGCCGAATAGGATCTCGCTGGAAACCCAAGTCGGGATGTGAGGCTTCCATCACAACGCATAGGCAACGGTTAGGCCGCACCAGACATTATGAGATCCATACCCTCGCGGCTGCCCATTATTCGCATTGCGAATGGCACTTTTCATCGCCATCATCCGAATTCTCAGGTTTCTCATGCCAATCCATCCTTATTCAATGGCCTATCCTTTGAGCTGCCATCTTCGTCACTCCAACCGCACAATTGGTGCGTCGTGGGGCCCTCGCTCTCGGGAAAGACGACGTTTCTCCAAATCCTCCGAGGGCGATTGCTCTGTGAGCCGCCTACGGCTCGGTCATACCCATACTTATCCGGCGAAGATGTATCCTCGCGGCTGAGGAATCCGCAAAATGCTATTCGGTACGTTGGCTTTGACGCGGAAGCCATCGGGGGTGGACTGGGAGGCAGTGTGACAACATCAGCGTACCTGTCGGCCAGGTATGAGTCGAGGAGGGAGATTACTGATTTTCCATTGAGAGACTTTCTCTTGGGGAATACGGAGCTGAATCCCCTCAAGGCACCGCTGGGGGAAGATAACGAGGGCGCCGTATCGAAAGAACTGTTGAACAGGGTGGTTACGGATTTGCGATTGGGCCATTTGCTCGACTTGCCTGTTACCTTTTTGAGCAATGGGCAGGGAAGACGGGCACGAATTGCACGAGCCTTGCTCACACGGCCAGAGGTTTTGCTGCTGGATGAGCCGTTCATGGGGCTCGATCCGACTACGGTGTCGGGACTCAGCCCGCTGTTGCAATCGCTTGCTGAGAAGGCAACTCCTAGACTGGTGATGAGCGCGAGGCCGCAGGATCCATTACCGGAGTGGATTACGCATTTGATTTACTTGAGAAACGACTGTCAGGTTTCATCAATGGGACCTAAAGAGGTTGTGTTGGACGGTCTGCGGAGGTATGTTCAAGGAGTGAAGCTGGGCGGCCTCCTGGAAGACGATAAACTCCCAATCCATACACTATCTGAAGTTGGGCGCGTCCTGGGGTCAAATGTGCCATGTACTCCGACGAACGGAAGCCAGGGCAGCGAGCACGAGTTACATCCTGCAAATCCCGACGCAGAGCCTCTCGTCGAAATGGACGGGTGCCGTGTACAATACGGGGACAAGATTGCCCTGGGAAATTGGTCGCAAGAAACGCCACAGGGCCCCAAGGACGGCCTCGTCTGGACCGTTCGAAGAGGCGAGCGCTGGGGAGTCTTTGGCCCGAACGGCTCCGGCAAAACCACCATCGTGTCTCTCCTCGGCTCCGACCATCCGCAGGCGTACTCCATGCCCATCAAGCTCTTTGGCCGCAGCCGTCTGCCAGAACCCGGATCGTCCACGAAACCCTTGACATTTTGGGACATCCAATCGCGCATCGGCCACTCCAGCCCCGAAGTCCACCAGCACATGCCCCGAGGCCACACGATTCGCAAGGTCATTGAGAACGCATGGGCAGCTACATTTGGCGCGCGGCCGAAACTAGACGCCAGCGCCAGGGCAAAAGTAGATGCTGCATTGCGGTGGTTCACTCCCGAACTGCGGCCTAATTCCGAGTCGAATCTACGCGGGGACGACTTGTCGTGGGCGGACGAATACATGTTTGGAGAAGTCTCCTTCTCGGCTCAACGCGTGGCGCTCTTTATACGATCCATGATAAAGTCTCCCGATGTGGTTGTTCTAGACGAGGCGTTTAGTGGCATGGATGATGCGGTCCGCGACAAGTGCGCTTTGTTCCTTACAGATGGGGAGAACAAGATACACGCTGGCGGAGAGGTTGTTCGGAGTGAAGTTGGGAAGAGGGGAGAGGTCGTTGTCGAGGGGCTGACGGATCAACAGGCACTTATCTGTATTGCTCATGTCAAGGAGGAGGTGCCGGACTGTGTGAGGGAGTGGATGTGTTTGCCAGAGGCGAATACAGGGCGTAGGGCGAGGTTCGGGAGGCTGGATGGGCCTTTGGGTCATGATGAGAGGAGGTGGTTCGACGTGTGGGGGTTCTCTGCGTGATGAGTTGATACATCTCGAAGGCTGTGTTGGGGGAATGACGATCTTGTGTGGGCGTAGATGCTAGAAGATGCTAGACATACATGATACATAGTCCGTACTTCTAGCTTTTATAAGCGACACAGGATAAACCGCCGATTTTACATTCGTCGAAACACATACCGCTGAGATAATCTGATCCCATGGCATGTTTTCCTTGGTAGAAAAAAAAGACTCTTGATTCCCCCGGTAAAAAACCAGCCATCTAAGAACGCGGCGTAAAGGGGGAGCAGTGATGGAACGTCGTCCTCACATGACGCCATCCCACACCTCAACCTCCAAGACCACCGACCACCACCACCTCCAGCTATCAAAACCTCCTCCTTCACAATCGCATGACCGACACAAGCTCGGAAATGGGCGCAAAACCGGCCACAATGCCGACCGCACCCCCATCGCGCCCCCCCACGACCTACCTCGACGACGAGGACCTCAGCGTGAAATGCTGCACCCCAATCACGTCGCTCGTAGCGCCAGTAGAAGTCGGCAACATAGGGTTCGAATCTTCCTCCTCCCCCGCCAAAACAAACGACGATTCCAATGAAAAAGAAACAGCACTAACGATCGACAGGTCCGGGCGCGCCGGAACATCGGCCTTCTTCGCCTGGCCGCTCCTCGGCCCGCTCCTCTTCGAAAACGAGACGAGCGACGCGCGCGACCACTGTGCCAACGAACGGAGTACGTCTCTGCCCTCCCCCCCGCGATGCGAACGCGGTGGCTAATTGCGCAGCGTTCCTGTCCTACCTCCGTCTATCCGTCTTCATGGCCATCCTGTCCGTTGCCATCACGCTCTCGTTCCACATCAACTCCAAGCCGACGGATCTTGAAAGACGCATATCCAAGCCTCTCGGGGCCATCTTTTGGGTTTTCAGCGTTGTTATGCTGGGTTTAGGGCTGGCAAATTACATCAGTATGCTGATTATTTTTTTTTTTAATTTCCTTCCTGGGCAAGAAGAGGGAGCAAGTTGGCAAATTGTCGAGGACGGCGAGCTAAGTAATGTGCGTAGAAACAGTGAACAAGTATAGCAAGAAGGCGGCCATCGTGCAGACCGGGTGGAGGACGCAGCTGGTAAGTGCACACAAACCATTTCTGCATTCACCCCCCCATCTACTACATTCGGATACGTGTAGGGAGAGAGCAAAGAGAAATGTGCGGGTACTAATTGTGTAGATTCTGGGGACATTGGCCTTTTGCATCATCGGCTCGAGTATAGTTTTACTCGTCACTACCAGAATTCGTCATCAGGGAGGGGGTTGATCTTTGTGTTTTGGATATCCCCATATCGTTTCCAGCCAGGGACATTTGACTGTGAGAATAACATGCCGAGGCATTTACAGAATCTAACCCTGTGATAAATACTTCAAGGTGTCTCTCATTTAGCCCAAGTATTTACTGAATCCAACAGGACACCAATTCGCTTAGTTTCGCTTTGTTTTGCACGTTGACAAGCATAAGTAATATACAAGCACGACTCATCCCAACCCAAGGACACAGAAACACAACAAAAGACCATATCACGCCTTGGGTTTACAAAATAGGTCCTCCGCCATGTTGTTTGCAATGGGATGATTCTTCAAATAGTCCTCCCCGCACTCACCAACCTCTCTCCGGAACAATGTAGTGTACTCACCTGCATCCTCGGCAATGCTGTCTTTCGTCTTAGCCTGGCCATCCCACGACAATAGTGGTAGGGGGCCGGGTGATTGCAGCTCCCCATTGTGAGGTAGGGTCTCCAACATGTCGACTGGAGATACTGGGTCAAAATCCTCGTCCACTTTGTCTGAGTAGTCTTTGGGCGACTTTGGTCTCGATTCATCCTTTGAGTATTCCTCTGGTGCATCGGGAACGTCGCTATGCACGCCGATGATAGCTTTCGCCGTCTCTCGGCTAGGATACAGTGTAAAGTATCCTCTTACGCGTGACAGCCGCAGAGCATATTCCAGCCATGCGGGATATTCCTTGCTGGCCTGCTTCTTTGCCAGCAGGGCGGGTGTTGAAGACATTGATCGTTTCTTGTAGAGTGTTTGCGCCACGAAGTGATGAAGCTCTACCCATTTTCCGCCCAAAAACACCATGGCCTCGCTGTTGGGCCGCTGCCACAAGAAGGCGGTCTCACCCGGCTCGTCTTTGTCGCCGTGGACTGGCTTGGGAGGTGTGAAGGGCTGGGATCCGTCTATTAGCGTAGTTGGTACTGAGAGGCTGATGCCCAGTAGGCTTGCGTGGTAATCTTCCATCCGAGCAAATTTTGAGTGAAGCTGATACAAAAGTGAATATTTCACGTCTAATATTCAATTAGTGCGAAGTCGAACTAGGGGTATTAGGCCGAGGGAGACGGAGACGAACATTGGAAGAATTGGGGCGTAAGCTCTGTATGAGAAGCTAGCACCAAAACATGAGAGCGCCGAGGGTCAGTTGGCCAGAACGATTCGACGAAGCGCACAGAACTATCTTCCTCTTCCATCAGCTGTCGCGTAATTCGGCGACGGAGTGAAATCATCTGTGGTCTTTGTCCGTCAGATGGAGTTGGACGCGGCCATTTGAAGTTTGCAAGATAGGACTCCAACGGCGCATCCACGACATAAGGAAGCTCGACGGTAATGTGTGGGGTCTGAATACCAGCAAAGTCTGCCCTTGCAATCGACCTGAGCAGCCTCTCGAGGTTTGCTGTACCGGTGGGTGCTGCATGAATCAAGATATCAAATCGAACATCATTCCAAGCTACAGGATTTCCAGTCCGGTTAATTCAATTACCTCATTATGCGACGCGCCCTTGAACTTACCTGACAGAGCTGCTGAATCTAGTTTGGATATCCACGCGAGACTTGTTCGAGATTGCTCGGGTAGCTCTATCAGAGCAGATTGCGTGGACGAAACCTGGTCTCGGACCGCGCGGAGGAAGTAGCTTTCTTCTGCGTTTGTGGAATCTACGAATACCGCTTGTGGGTGCATGTGGAAATTCAAAAGATCTGAGGATGACACTATTAGCTTGGAAATCCTTGCGACCTAGAACAAAGCACAGTAGGGCTACAAAATATTTAACCACAGTGACTAGATACCCAGACGGCGGAGAAACATAGCCAGAGATGGTGAAATGTAGAAGACTGCATTTGATGACAAGCAGATATATCTTGCTAGACAGTATCGTGGGGCGCGCGGCAACAACGTACACAGTGCTTTCACAATGGCCAAGGACATGCGACTCTCAGTCGACATTTGGGAGTGGTCTGGGCGAGCATCTATTGCGTAGGGCATTAGAAGGCGTTGCAGACGATCTTCCACGGCAACAACAAGTCATACCATGTAAAATAAGCGGGCACGTCTTGTCGATACCATTGACCTTGAGGAGGTCCTGCATCGCAATATCCGCCGTGCCGATAAAGGCAAAATGAACATAGCTCTGGCGCTCGATTCCCATTTCGCATGCCATAGGTAGCAAGGTAGAAACACTTTTGAGACTGGCAGCTGCAAATAGGACGTTGCGATTATGGGGTGAATCTCCGCCGGTCGACGCGATGGCTCCCAGTGACGAAGCCAGTGCAGGATACCGTATTGGGCCGTCATATTTGGGAGGAGACTTGGCACGGCCGTTGTCAGGCTTGTGACCTTCCTTGCTTTCTTCATCAATGGACTCATTCGGCGATGAAATGCCTTTCTGTTGGCCATCGACCTCTGCAGGTGGCGGCTGGTGCGGAGGCGATGGCTTCTTAGGCGCACCGTCAAGATGCGCCGTCCGGGCTGGATCAAAGCGCTCCTTGTAAGCGGCTGCGACGGCGTCGGGATCGTCTCTGCTTCCCGGTAGGGCAGACGAACTTGGCGAATGGGCGCGGTTGAAGAGATATACAAGAAAAACTATGACAAGCGCATATGCTGCAAGGCGTTTCACCCAGGTCCGGCGTGGCATTCTAGCCGACTGCCACTGCGCACCGTAGCTACGGCCATGTTTGGAGTGCCTGGGTAAGGGGAGGTCATCGTCCTTCTTGGATATCTCGTTGGCATGACGCCATGGGGGCCATAGATGCCGTGGATGCCATCCGCGCGATGCGGGCATGATGTGAGGTATCTCTGGCTCCAAGGTACCCAGCAACCGAAGACGATGTGATGATCAGGATACAGACACCATGTCAGCAGCCACAGCTCACAAGGGTCCGGAGCTGGCCAGGATTGCAGGGTGCGATAATGGCAACGGGAAACAAGGCGGGCGCGTCAAGTCAAATCACGATCTTGTCTTGACTTACGGAGTACTACTCCGTACACGGCAAGGACAGATATGGATCTGCGATGTTTGCTTTGGGCCGCGGAGAAACATATAGGGTCATCGGGGGATGACTGAGACGAAGAAAAGGATCTGCGTCGGTACTCCCCGTCATGGGCGTATGCAGGTGTGTGAGTTGGTGATGTGTGTGAGCGCGTTGCAGGAAGAGGGATTGGATTGACTCAAATTTGCCAGATGGATGTAGTTGGCAGGTGGCGTATGGAGTATGGTGCTCGGTGTGCGGTGTGCGGTGTACGGTGTGCGATACACGGTGTGCATTGCATGGTAGGCTATCATGCAACTGGGAAGGTGCCCGGATACCTGGTTCCCGGGTTGGTATCTACTGATGGGACAATGAGACGATGAAAATGCTGATCTTGGTGTCTCAAACCCTGGGCAGATGTGGTGAGACGAGACTGCGGGAGACTACGGCGCAAACATGAGTTGAATGTCGGGACGCGGCCAAGACACGACGGGACATTTAAGGGCCCTGGGCGGGCACTTTGCACCAGACGCCAAAGGTGACCACTTTACCCAGCTAGGCAGCTGATTTACTTTGGCCAGACCATGTCGAAACCGTCTAATACAGGGTATTACTTGGTACACACGTACTCTGTACGGAGTAGTACACGAAGTACTATTCCGTAGACATGCCCGTGTCGTCGCCGTTGACGCCACATCTACCGAGTACCCAGCGGGGCATCCGCTGTGGGGTCGTTGGTGACGATGGGCAGCAACACCAAGACACAAAAAAGACATGGGAAAAAAAAAAGTTGCGTCTGTAAGCTCTCGCGTCGAGTCTTCACGCCGCCAATTGGCACCAGCACCGCCTCTCTTCCGTCTTTCTTTCGCATTCTCCCTTCACATAGCTACAGAGTAGGACGACTGGGGACCAAAAAAAAAAGGAATTTTCCAATTTAGACCCCGCCCAACCCGCACACCATGGGTAAATCGCGTCGCAACCGAGCCGGTACCTCTCAGCGACGAGACCCCCTCGCCAAACCCGTCAAGGCACCCTCAGACCCTGAACTCGCCGCTCTTCGAGAAGCCAAGATCATCCCTGTCATCAACGACCTTCAGAATCCCGACCCCAAGTCTCGCTCTGCCGCTGCCGTCGCCGTCGCCAACATCATCCAGGACACCAAGTGCCGCAAGCTCCTGCTCCGGGAACAAATCGTCCACATCATCCTCACACAGACTCTGACCGATGCGGCTCTCCAAAGTAGAGCTGCTGGATGGTGCATCTTGCAGGGCTTAGTTCTGGAGGAGGAGGATGATTTTTGCGTGCACCTGTTCCGCTCTGATATTCTGCCAGCTATCGCACACGCTGCTAAGAATGTTTCGGACAAGTTATCGTCCCTCGGTGCTGGCTCCTCAGAATTTTCCCCGCCAGAAATGCCCCTTGTCTTCGGCATTTCTGCGTCTCTGATTACCTTGCTTACTACATTGGCCGAGGCTGCTGACGATATTCTGGAAGCCATATCCTCCAACACCACAATCATTGACTTCCTCTTCGTTCTTGTTGCCCAAGACGTTCTTGTTGCCCAAACCAACACCGACGATGCCGAATCCGACGGTATTTCAAGCCTCCGAGACGTTGCCTTGGCTTGCCTTATGCTTCTTACCGAGGAAAATGGCAATCTGGCCAAGAAGATTGTCACCAACTCTAAATGTTATCAGGCCATGTCATCTCTCAAGAACCATGTCACCGGCGAGGGCGTCCTGGCTTGTGCCACCCTTCACAATGTCTTTTCTGCGCTTGAGGGACTCAAGGACGCACCCAATGTTACCAGCGCAGACGATTCCCTACTGATTCCCACACTTACCAAAGCCATTGCGACTATTCAGCCAGATCAACAGGCTGCTAATGGCAGTCAAGGCAGGTCAAACCCACTGAAGATGCAGCGGCTGGCTCTCGAAACATTGGCCTCCATCGGCACGACTCTGAACTCTGCCAACGTGGGCACGCCCGTCCCCGCAAAGCCTGACGCCGAGGAACCTAAAGACGACGAAGACATGAATGATGCCGATGCAGGCGGCTCTAACGCCCAGGATGAAGTAGAAGAAGAAGAAGAAGACGACGACGACGACGAAATGGACCAGGATGCGATGGAAGCCGATATGGAAATGGTCACTGGCGTAGATGACGACGATGACAAAGCCAACATCGACGACATGCCCGTCCTAAAAGCCCTTCTCCAAACTGCCCTCCCTGAACTCATTCGCATCTCCTCCTTCCAACCAACCAACAATGACTCTCTGCAACTCCATGGTCTCGCCCTCTCCGCCCTCAACAACGTTGCCTGGTCCGTCTCACTCGTCGACTTCTCCGTAGACCAAAACGCCGGCATCCAAAAAGCCTGGGCCCCCGTCGGCCGCACCCTGTGGGAACAAGTCATTACGCCCATTCTCTCCAGCGACACCGCCGACGTCAATCTCGCCACGCAAGTGACGGGCCTCGCATGGGCTGTATCCCGCAGCCTCGGCGGCAGCACACCCCTCAAGGGCGACGAGCACCGCAAATTCATCTCCCTCTACCAGGCCACCAAGTCCATGGACCCTCAGGATTCTGAAGATCCCTTCCAGCGACTTGGCGTCAAATGCGTAGGAGTGCTCGGCCAGCTCGCCGCCGATCCTGCCCCAGCGTCTCTGAACCGCGAAATCGGCACGTTCCTCATCACCCTTCTCGCCGGACTGCCTGATACACCCGCCGCCGATGCCGTCGAGGCATTGAACCAAGTTTTTGACATTTACAGCAGCGAGGGATTCGCGTACGACGGGGAGGTTTTCTGGAAGGGCAATTTCCTGAATCAGCTCGAGGCTGTGCTGCCCAAGGCCCGAGCAATGGTAAAGAGTGTCGACAAGAAAACGCAGCCTGAGCTGAGGGCCCGCGCGGACGAGGCGGTGATGAACCTGGGAAGATTCTTGGCCTACAAGAAGAAGAAGAAGCCCGATGATGTCAACGGCTCTTGAAAGAGAGAACGAGGTGGAGACGAATGAATCATGAATGAGACATGCTGCAATCTGGCAATGATCTGTTTGCTAAAAGGGGCTGAACATGGATCATATGCATTGGAATAGTAGACTGAAGACTAAAAGTTGACTCACTGGAAGCATTCGCAGTTCCACATTACGAACAAGAAATCCTGTCCAGCGAATATAATACATTACCGTATTCCCCAGCAAACAGGGGACAAAAAAAGTACTACACTTGCGGCTCTGCCGATATCGACGCCTAAAAACTCCTCAGCACCGCTCAAACACCTTGTATAACCCTTTCAAGCTCGCAACCTCCAAGATGCCCCCGTCCATGAGCGCCTTTGTCGCCACCAGCTTTGTTTTGAACGCCGGAAAGAATATATGCTCTACTGCCCATCTGACATGCTGCCTTCTCGTCCTCATCTCTTCGGGGATTTCCTCCTCTTCCTCACCCCCACCCGGAGCTGGCGGGGTAGGTAACTGCTCCGGCACGTAAAATGTGGCCAGCTCTCGCGTAAAAGAATCAAAACACTCCTTTTCATCGTTCCAGTTGACATTGGGACCGAGTCGTAGCAGGAACCGAGGGAGCTTCGACAGTGGGGGCGTGTAACCCTTCAACATCAACGGAATAGAAATCAACTCGCCTGTTGGCGACACTTCAAGAGAAAAGTACTCGTGAAGCATTTCCCTGCGCTCAATGAGCTGATTGGCAACTTTATCAACAATCTTCTCCACGGGGAAATCATGGTCAGCTGCCCCTAGGACTTTCTTTTCGGTCTCAGCTGCCATTTGCAGCATGTCTCTAAGTCCCAAGGGAGGACTAAATCGAATAACGCCAAAATTCCCAAAATCTGTAAGTCCCAGCTGGTAAAAATATTCAAAACATGTGTGGCCGTAGTCTACCAGGTATAGTCTGACACCGCTCTGAATAGCTGCCAGCCTTCGACTATCGTCTACTATGCCAACAAATGTATGTGATGCAAAGATTTCAGTTAAATCGTGATGTATGTTGTCCCGTACTTCGCTGCGCAGTTCCTTTATACTTTTTAGCCGGCACGCAGTCATCTCTCGGTCATTCGTTTCGTATTCAATATTTTCCGGTACCGCCAGTGGCTCTTCCTCTTTGGACGTCTTTGCCTTGGATCCCTCACCACTATCAGCGTGGGAGAGCATGGTAGTAATTTTGCGTGCATACGTATCAGTTCGGACCAAATCGTTTGAATTACGCCTTCTCTTACCCGTCACCATGATTCTCGGAGATGACTGATCCTCGTCCATGGATTCGGGTACGGGTTTTGCTCCGGGAAGCAATGTTTGTGTCTTAAAGGTTCGGCTAGTATCGACATGTGCTAAACGTGACTCCAGCTCGGTGCAAACTGCGTGGAGGATTTCATCCTCATTCAGGAAATGAACCTCCCGTTTTGTTGGGTGAACATTGACATCGACTCGTGCAGGATCGATTTCCAAACTAAGATAGACAAAAGGGTGGCCACCCTTTGGCAGAAAATTCAAATAGGTCTGTTCGATTGCCTTTTTGACATTTGCAGACTCGACGCTCCGGTTGTTTATGAAGAGGAGAAACGTCGTCTTTTTGATATGATAATTTGCGTTGGTCGCCAGGACGTGAGCTTTGAAGCCCCAGCGTGCATCGGATGCAGAAAAATCGACCAACTCATTGGCGACGCTGCTGCCATATATCTGACGCACTCTATCCAGCGTAGTAGCTTGGCTTTGGATTGACAAGGTGTTGGAAGATTCACCAGCCTTTTTGCAAGTAAAACCGACGCCTTGACAGTGGATCGAATAGCGGCCAACCATGTCGATGATTTTGTTGAATTCATCAGAATAGGATCTGAAGGCTCTTCTTCGAGTTGGGATACTGAAGAACAAGTCCTCCACTGTGATTTGAGTCCCTGGTCGACCTGCGACTCCCTTGGGCTCCGCGGGCTGGCCAGGTTTGGGAGCAACCATCTTGCCATCTAGATAATGTGCGCGCCATGCCAATGGTGAATCTTTTGTCTTGGTGGTAACTGATAGATGGGCAATATGGCTTATACTAGCAAGGGCCTCTCCGCGGAAGCCATAAGTACCAATGGATGACAAGTCCTCGAATGCTGTGATTTTGGATGTAGTGTGGCGTTCACAGAGGATAGCCAGATCCTCCTTCTATTATCCCATATCAGCAAAGTCGGTCGAATCACGGCAATGAAGCACTAGATGCCAGCGGGGGATAATGCATATATATACCTCAATCCCACAGCCATTATCTGTGATCTGGAGGAGCTTCAGCCCGCCATCTTTAACGAGGATTTCCAACGCCGTAGAGCCGGCATCCACAGCATTCTCGACGAGTTCTTTGAGAGCGTGCACAGGGGCGACGATAATCTCGCCGGCTGCAATCTTATTCACGACGTCTGGATCCAACGCCTAATTTGCAGTCGGGGCAGAACGGTTAGCAAGCAAGGCCTATCATTTGTCATTTTTTCCCCTTCTTCTTCCCGGGCAACACCCAGAAAGGGGGTGGGCAGCAAGATGTCAATTTACCTTAATTCGCCGAGCGGGCCGAGGATCGTCCGGAATGTCATCTGCCTTGCGTTTCCTACCCGCAGGTGCATCCAGATCCATTTCCTCCATGTCTTTGATATACACCAAGCCGATGAAGAGTCACGATAACTTGACGGGATGCGTGCCACCAGTGGCACCAGCACACCAAGACTAGCGTGGCCGCGTACCGCTCGCTATCCGGCTATGCGGCAGCATGGACAAAACCACTGCCAAGGCTTCGGGGAAAGCCGCAATTCCGACCAGAAATAGACAACGGTTTCAAGAGGCAACGCTGACAAGAGAAGAGACAGGACAAGAACAAGGGGGGGTGGCGTGAATAGGCGAAGGTGAGAGAGAGTGGGGTTCGTAAATGTTCAAGCTTCGCGGGACCATCGAATTCAAACGGGACCCGCAGAGACGCGAGGCTTCCGCGCCTGCACGTGACCGTGCACCATGCGCACCCCGTGTAGTACGGGATTAACCAGGGATGTACAGCAAGCGCGGGCAACCCATTTTTTCGCTGCCAAGCTGCCCTGGCCCGTCCGGTCTTGTAAAGGTATCATGCAGATGTTCGGGGTCGACGCATTGTCCGGGTGGAAATGGGGGCCAACTAGCAACGGGATGTGACTTTGTCTCCGGACTATTGAATACCTCTAGGTACTTGACCCAAGGTATGTACATACATACAATAAGTACTTGGATGTACTAGTAGTACGGAGTAGTAGTACTTGCGACTAGTCTGCTGCGACCGTCCCAAGTGCCAGCGGATGGTCCGGTCCCCAGCGGCCCAACGGCCCCGACACCAAAAATCCCAGACCACTGATATCCCCCGTTGCCAGCCGTCGAGTCGCTCACTCTGAGACTGCGATCTTATCTGCCGTGTGCCGCCGCCATCGCCATTACACTCATGCTCCCCTCCTTTTCCCTTGCAGAAGCAGCCACGCAAAAAACTATCCGCACGCCACACAAACCACCATCGAAACATCACGCCATTACTGATTCCGCATGTACAACACCAAGCTGCTCTCATTTGCGCATTGAAGCCTCCAAAAAAAGATTGAAATTGGCCCCCACTGTTGAGATTCCATTGGGCCGGGGTTTTTGGACCCTGTTGACCTGGATCCCCCGCCCCCTGGTCCCCCCAATTGTCTTGGACCGTGTACCACACCCTTGGGATGGCGGCTGTGGATGGCGGTGGACAGGCTGTGGGATGCTTGGATGCTTCCATGTCCCATCCTGGCAACCTGGCTAGCGCAGATCTCGTCCTCCCCGTCCGGATGCGCGACGTCGGAACCCTTCGGGCGTCGTTGAATGCACTCATTTTCAGTTGCGATGGGTGCTTCCTGTGCGGGGATAAGGCAAGAAAATCAAACAAAACCTGCCCGCCCTGGCTCGGGCCTCGCATGGCCATGCCAGCTTTGCCATCATCTGATTACGACCCGTCACTTTTTGGGCAAGGATGGTGGGCTGCGGCCTCAATGCTGTGTCTGGTTTGTGCTCGTGCTCGTGCTCGTGCTCGTGTTTGTGATTGTGCTTGTGCTTGTGCTTGTGCTTGTGCTCGTTTGCCGCCACTTCAGACTCCTTCCTACTCCGTATACTTATGTACCTCCCCTTGATCTGGCCCAAGTTTCTCCTCCGTCCGAGTACTTATGTACATGCAGAGTTTGCTCACCAAGGTTGGCCAACGAACCAACACAACACACTCGGCAAAATCTGGCAATGACCCCCTGCCTGGTCGCCCGGACTGTCCTGCTTGCATCAAGTGCTAGACAGTCACTTCTCCGCTCTGCTCCGCGTGCTTCGTTTTTCGTCATGCTCTAAGAAGAACCTAGCTTTGTACTTAAACGTGTACCAACACCTCACAAGGCCAATAGTGCGTCATGGCTCATATGACGAGACGGGATATCTGAACGTATATCACCAGCTTTGTTCTTTAATAAGGTTATTTGGTAATAGTTTAACATTTTAAACAAGCATCTGATTTCCTTGTTTGAAATATCGTCCAATAGTACAGAAATCTATTTCTTTGCTTTCCATCTCCAGGAGCTTCATCGTCATAGACGACGTTGCTCAATCATCTTTGCCGTCTAGAAAGGGAGGCAGATTCGAAAAACGGCCTCACGGCTGAATTCTCATCGAATGCTGTTGTCATTATTTTGTATGCTTTCAAACTTTCTTGATAACAAAATGCAACGTCTAAATTCATCGGCATAAATATCATCTAGCCAATTGGTCCTTCAGCCACAATATATCATCCAACATCCAAGACATGTTGTGACCCTGGTAAGCGTCCATGGCACCTCATGGCTAGTTCTCTTGTGTCTAGTTCCTGCTGTATATGCTGCAGTTGAAATCCGGGTGCTTGTCACATCCATTCGTAGGTTGTCGTTTTAGACCTCGCTTCATCAAAGCTATAGTCATTTATTCTCCACAGCTCGTCAAATGATTCTTTCTCCGATAGTCAATGTAAACGCTTCTGGCCGAATGCGTATCAATTTTGGCCGTCTTGGCTGATTCAAAATCAATGCAAACTTTTCTACAACCGCAGCCTTTAGGGTCAGAACCCGAGAGGCAAATAGCTACAGTGTAGACAGTCTTGGACTTGGTTCCATTGAAACTGGCCGCAGCTTTTTAAAATTTTCTAAAATTTCAAGGCAAACGCTCCCCTCGAAATCTTGTGGGATCATCCGGTTTGTCTATCAAGACCCCTATGTCAACACGGCTTGACCGTTCGTTACGGGTCCAGGTTGCTGGTTCACGAAGCGCTGGTTGCTCTGTTCGAGATCGTATAGGGGGAAGCTGAAAGCCTTGTCGAAGGCTCGTATAATTTTGCCCAGCGGATTCTTGTTGGGTAATTGGGTATGATCGTCCTCTGTAAGGTTGCCTCTCCATTGCCCCTTCGTATTGTTGTCCTGCTTGATTTGAACCTTGCTCTATAAAACCTGCTAGTCTTCGAGGGCGACTTGATGGTTCTGCAGCTAAATTAGCTGTATGGAAATTCTCGCTGGATCGATTGCGGATAGGATCAAATGGTGGACGTTGTGTAAAAAATATCTCCGGGTTGGATCGTTTGTACGGTAGATTCGATTGTGCTCTGGGTGGATTGGAGGTAGGGGGTATCTGTGGTTGTCTTGGTGGGATGTTAAGTAACAGCACAATGAAGTAAAAGGAGCCTTCTTTTGCCAGACCCGCACGAATTGCCATTGGTCGGGCATAGCCATTTGAGCCTACAAATGCCATATGGTCATGAAAGTTCAGCGGAAACCGCCCGAAGTCTTCAATAGTAAACCCAAGTCCCTGGATACTCTGAGAGCCGGTGCCAAGTATTGGAGGTAAATAATTTGGCTCCCGTCTCTTCTGCTCATTATTGAAATGGCTTTGGATTTGTGACACCTTTTCGAGCTCAGCAGGTAAGACTACATCCCCTAAGTTGCGGCCAGCCATGTTTGGCAAACCAGCTGCGTCCCAGAACGATACAGACCCTTTAACAAATTCGAGGGCCATAGTCAAATAGGCAACAGGTTCTGGTGATCCTGACGTAGCTGAAAGAGAAGTATTGTAACTATTCGAATCTGATGACGATGCTCGTTCGCCAGGCCTCGCCGAGAAGCTATTACCGGTTGATACCTCTGGCTGCCGAAATGATGGATGTCTCTCATAAGGATCGTCAAATAAAGGAGGGCCAGTACCAGAAGAGGGATAAATGCTCAAAGGGCGTCTTGGAGAGACATCCTGGGAGTGCGGTGGTCGCAAAGGGTCAAAGCGAGTATCTCTGTCATCTCGTAGTCGAGGCCTCCCACGTTTTTTATGCTGTACGTCAATACAGGAGTCTTCTTTTCCGTTACTCATACACCGAGAGCAGGGCCGTTGTGCTATTCATCAAGTCAGCAGTGAAATAATTTTGAAGTAGGCAGCCCCAAAGTACGAGAACACTCTGATTATAAACAGTGACACTAGATTCCGCATTGCAACTGAGCGACATGTTGGAATACAGTAGTACTTCGTGTTCTAGGAGAGGCAAAGCATGCTACAGTTTACCGGGACTCCATCGACCAGCTTAGTGGTTTTTCAGAAATACAGTGTCAAGTCCCTGGCTACAACTCATGGCCGCGGGCTCGATAGTCAAGACAATGCAAAAATCTTGGGGGAAGGACCTATCAGAGCGATACAATGTCGAGATTGAAAAAAAAAAAATTCATATGAATCACATACCATCGCATCTGTGCAGTGTTAAAATACTGTATAGTGATCGAGGAAGCAATATTTCAGGGGCAGGCTTACCGGAGATGTGCTCTTTTGCAGGGAACACAAGCTGAGGCAACGTGACCTTTGGTTTTGCGCTGAGACTTAGGAGAGCCCATCGATTGATTTTCTGTAAAATTGGGCCCGCTCTCTACAGACTGCTGACTTGTAGAACTGGTGCCAACTACCATGGAGCCATACTGGTGAAGATGTTGTCCCTTGTTGAGGTCAGGCGGCTCGCGTGAAGAATACAAAGCCGCTTGCGCCGCCCGCCCGTCCGATCCTTGATATCCATACGGGGGTTCCATATTTGATTCTGGCCGGTATTGTACAGATATGCGAGGGTGGTATTGTGGTGGTGGCCGTCGCGGCGGCGGAAGTTGTAACCGTAGATCTACTGGTCGTTGCTGTCCCGAATTCGTTCGATAAACATCTTGCGAGCTGGTGGTTGTGGAATACGCGCCAAAGCCTTCACTTCGGTCATAGAAATTTCGAGGGTCTTTTGGCGGCAGAGAAGGAGACCCGGACATCGGCGGAGAGGGATACGCCGGTGCGCGAGCAGATATCTCTGCCTTGGCACTTTTGGTGTCCCAAGCCAGCGTATGGTCCGAACCGCAGTCTAGGAGCAGTAGACTGGGATGGGGGCTCAAAAGGGATGAGGATGTGTCTCTGGAGCGGCTTGTAGACAGCATGGAAACAGCAAAGCAGCATTCCTGGTTTTTCTCTTCGATGATGGGATCTGCGGTCTCGGAGCCTCGAAACCCTCTCGCGAACTTTCCAGTATCTTGGCTCGACTGAGAGAATGGCGTTTCAGCAATACCGGACAGAAGGGCAATATATGACAGCGCGTGAGACCTTGGGAGCTCAGGAACCAGTCGCTGCTGGTTACGGATGCCACTCTGCTGGCAGTGATGATGAAGACGGTAAGTTAGACGCGGTTGTCTTGTCTACAACGACAATCAATGCGTTGTTTTGACGAAGCCTCTGACAACAAAAAAGCTCTGCAGTTCCCACGTCACAGTCGCAAAACGTGGTTATGGCCGAAGGACGATATGCTGCTTCGGAGTGATAATTGACGAGTGAGATGCCGGACAACGGTGCCCAGAGTTCATATAACAAATTTGATCCAGGGCGGCGGGTGTGAAACGGAGTGCAGCACCGTGATACTCCAAAGGAGGTAATATCAGAGCGCCTAGTGATACGGGTCCCCCGAAGCCTGTGAATAGATGTTGAACTGGTTTGAGAACCCAGGGAGTGATTGTAGCACCTCTGGCGCGACAAACAGCCGGAGGGGCGTTGGAGGACCGTAGCCAAGGTTTCTGCCGTCGGAGAATGGATAGTGGGATGAATGACTAAGTCCAGAGCATGAGTAGACAGAGCGACAGCCCAGGTCTTGTGTGACTGGCAGAGGTGCTGGAGCATAAGAGGTAAAAACGAGAAGCAGGGGATGCTGGGGGTTGGCAAGCAGGGTTTCGGCGACAACCCTAGCCTGGGCGTTTGAATCAAGGTACCGTATGCCGACGATGCCACTGCTAAAACTCAATGACGCCAGGGTGGTATGTCATAAATGGACAGATTGTTACCCTGCCAAATGCATCTCACATACATACATACAATATCTCGATATCCACGTGTCTCAAAATAAGCCTTCCACGGTGGATTCGAATTTCTGTCTTCACTGCCCTCGGCGCCTTTGCTTTCTTTGTGTAAGATTTGTGATCTGTAATAAACGCTTAAGACATCTTAGAATTGGGAACGGGGCCGGAAACGAGCACCAGATACAAATTACTAAGTTGCGTACGGAGTACATACATACATGGAGATCAAATTGGTAGGGGTGGGGGGTGTCATGTCTCGCTTCTAGCCGTACGGTGCCAGTTCGGCTGCCGGAGGCCAACACAGCTGGTATCCTACTTAAGTACGTATGTATGTTGTATGTACATCCGAAGGAAAGGAGTCTTGACAATGTCACAGACCGGCCGGTTGGGAGGAAAGCCACAAAAGGACTGCTTTGCCTGATCACTGAGAGGAGTGTGTGTGGACGACAGGGGGCGACTCATGGCATCGCTTTAACATGCGCCAGACCAACCTAATACAAGGTGGAGAGAGGGAGAGGCATGGAGAAGAGCGGAATCAAGGACGACTTGTTTCTGGAAGATGCTGTGATTGGGGGGGGGGATCGGGAATATCGCGACCTTGACAGCGTTGGAGAGCATTCGGGATTGAGAGTGGTGTTTGAGTGGACATACTGTGCACATGGAGGACAGGGATAGGAGACATTCAGAGACTGCTGAGGAGGGGCGTGTGATGGCCAAGAGGCGAGTAGAGGAGGGACTGGCTGGCTTGTCTCTGTGACAGGGTTGTCAATCAATTCTGGTGTGGTTTATGTTGCCTGGCAGTTCCTTTGCCAGGGTATCAGCCACTTGAGCACATAGGCACATATGTAAAGTATGTACTCGGGCTTTGGTGACGGAGGTATCAGTATCAAGCTACTACGGAGTACTAGCTTGCTGTTGGCACAGAGCGATGAACGCCTCAAGAACCTGGCCTGGCGGTTTCAGCGCCACAAGGAAACGTGAGGGCGGAATTCGAGTCCAACTGCTGGGTACGTGCGTCTGGGGCAAGCATCCTGTGCGGAAAGTATCAGCTTAGCACGACATTGGCAATGGGGCCTGTACTCGGAATTAAAATAGCCATGGACGTACGGAGTACCGAGTACGCAGAGCACGGATGGCCAGGCCCCATTCCATGTGTTGGGAGCTCGTCACCCAATTGCGAGTCGAAAGAGTCTGGTCGGTTGGAAAAAACATGGGATGGGAGCTAGCTGGTGGGGAAGGCGAGATGGGCTCCCGATGATAACTATGCGCCGGATTATGGGCATTTGGCCCTAGTCTTGAACAACACCCAGCGCAAAGCGAAAAATGGCATCAAATGAAATAAACACAAACTGACGGTGAGGTGATCCGGCAGGGCCTTTCCTGGAAGCTCGGTAGGGACGTTGGGTCTGTACAATGGCATAGCATGTCGTGGTGCTCGATCCTGGATAATTCAGCATTAGCATTGCTTCTATCCTTGTTCTCGAGTCTTTGATCGACCGTCTCACCTTATTGATATGGCTGGCCCAGATGGGACTTGTGGGCAAGAAGCAGAAAGGCGTCTTTGGAGGATTAGCCAGGCACACCAATCGACGCATCAGCCACGCAGACTCCCTTTTGTGGACATTGGGTTAAGGACGCCTCACCAAGTGACCAGGCCTAGCAGGCCAAATATGAAGGAGCTGTCATGTTCCCAGTTGGAATCGGTAAGCCACTACAAATTCCATGCGAGTTTTATTAGCGGTGAAGCGCTTTCAGGAGTTCAGAATACTGGCCAAGTCCATTGCTGTAGGTCAAACTCGTATAAGCCATCGACACATTGCAGCCTCCAGTTATTTCCAATCAGCCCAAGAAGGGGACCACTAGTGTTGGCAACATTGTCAAAAATGGGAGCAGCTCAATAAAACGGGAGCCCGCCGACTGTCACATAAGGCAATGATATAGGTCAGCCCAGCTACTCAGTTCATGTGTTCGCCAACTTCTTGGAAGCGAACACATGGGGTCGGAAACTAATAAACGAAAGAGAAGACGAGTTGTAGCTGGCCGTTAAATTATACATGGTGTCATGTCGAGCTCATGAGTGCTGAGAATAGGATGCATACATATGTAGCGTTACTGGTCCGCGGCCCGGCCCATCTCAAGGGCCCTGTTCATTACCACATCTCATGAAGTGAGATTTCCAGCGGAATGTATCCTAAAATTGGCGGAATGCGCAGTATCTGGACAGGGCTGAGATGTGAGAGACAGATCGCCAAACCGCAGAGAATGTTCGATCGCAGATCTCCAGCCACGGTAATTGAACGGCCACAGGTTCCGACTCGATGTTCGGTTGTCGGTGGATGGGCAGCGGACTGCGCTCAAGGTGGTGTAGCAGTCAATTGGGTTCAAGCTTCAACAATCCACAGACCCACAGGCTGCCTCGAAGACGGCAGTCCAGGGCCCACTCCAAGTTTTAAAGATCCGACAAGCCGTCCCAAGTCCAGCAGAAGCCAAAAAGCTGCAAGAACAGATCATTTCGTGGTCCACGGTGAGAGAGTCTGGTTGGGTGAAATACCCCCGGCCATTGGACCCCAGCCCAGCAGCATGGCAACGGGCTTGGCCACCACGAGGCAGGGCGCTAGGCAGGGGTGAAAGGAGCCATGGGTGGTGGGCAACGGCTCTTGCGTCTCTCAATGTCCAAGCCAGAGGAGAAACAGTAGGAGAGCCAGTCGCTGCAGAAGTCTTCACAGTTACCGGGGTCATGTCGCCTCGTCGTCTTAGTGTCACACTTGATCCATCATCTGCATTGGCGATCTTGTCGGGGTCGGAGGATGAAATAGCAAGGCAACCTCCACTCGGTGCTGCGTGACTGCTGCTCCTGTGAATTTTCGAGTGAGGTTGGTCTTACTTTGCAAGTGCCGTCACCAGATCTCCAACCCAAACGCCGCCCAAATCCACAATGCCCTGGCTTCTCCGTCGCACCACACCATCATCCATGATCACCTGTAAGAGTGGGTGTGTTATTACTAGGAGGAATGAATGAGTTGGTCCGAAGTTCTGGGTGCAAGCGCCGAGAGGACAGTATAACCGGCATATTTGGCATCGCTCATGGGTGCTTATTCAACATGGTTGGCGACAGGAGTCGAAACGTTTGAAATTGCGTGTACAAACAAGGAAGTTCTGGGCAGAGGATAGTGTCTCGCATTGCAATTGGTATTTGGTTTTAAAATGACGAAAAAAAAACCACCATCTGAAAATGATGAGCATGTAGTTAGAACAATCGACTGTGCGGAGGGGATAGAGGGAAGGCTCCCAGGGTCCTGCCTTGCCGTAGCAAGCGGGCTTCATGGCTCCTTCCCCAAAGGGTGCCTTGGCATGCGCTCCTGGAGTCCGAGTCCTGCGTTAAGAAGGCAGCGGGCAGGGGCAGGGGACGCGTGCTTAATCATGATGACTGATGATTGGGTCCAAACTGGTTGCTCCATTTCGATCCAGGGAAGCCACCCTCTGTATGTACTCCGTACATGGCACGCAAATCCAACTGCAAATAACCATGATTCCGCCTCGAATCCGGGGTCCAATTCTAATCCTAACGACAACTACCTACCTAGGTAGGTATGATCATTCTGTCAGACAGGGAACGGCGCCCCTTCATTCTCAGCTCTAATGAGCGCCGAGCAGAAAATGGCTGAATGGCCCGGATAATTTTGCTCCCACTTATCTCCTCCTCTGAAACGCTTGCATGGTTGCCCTAATAGGTCCGGAAAGGTAGCCCGCGCGGGTTTGCCACCGATTTAGGTCAGTATTAACACCCACATGCATAGGATATACTCCGCGCAAATACTCCGTACACATGGCTAGGCTGCTCGGTGCTTATCCTTTCGGCCCACTGATGAGCATGGAGCTGGAAGACTTTGGACCACTCGGGGCTAAATTGTTATTGGCAGCAGATGATCGTTTCAGCTGATGACCGTCTCAAGCAAGGAGCAGGTTGGTCGCCACACAATCCTACTTGTGCAGTTTGGTTCCTGTGGAACTGGGAGCACCTCTGTATTAAGCGCAGTCGGTGTGTCCCATCATCGCTTCATTTAGGTGGCTGGTCTCACTAGCCGTGGCGTTCGTCTAATCTGGATCCTTGATCCTCGACACCCAATGCGACTTGCGGAGAGTGAATTTTAGCTGCACGACAGGGGAAGCCTCCACGACGTCAGTCCAAATGTGGCCCATCCGCTACCGCTACCATGCAGAAGCAAGACGAGTTCATCGACCGGAGTCCACTCCGAAGCGTTCGTTATCAACTTATGTGCCAGGCATCGAGCATCGAGTGAAGTACGTGGGGGAACATCACCATCTGATTACTCACACGGCAAACTATTCTTTCAACTATAGTTCAGCCTCTGGCCCTAATACGAACTGAAATACTCCGTACACATCTCAGTGGACATCATTGGACCCTCAACTCCAGCCTCAGTTGTGGGTAGTAGTACCAACTACCTTGTTGTGGAAGCTGGGCTGGTTTATTTTCTTTTTTCTTTTTTTTAACCTAAAAAAAAAGCTGAATGAATGAAAAAGAGAGAGGGGATCAACTCCCAGATTCAGGTATTTGGTTCACCGGCGAGTGATAGTCGCTACCAGAGGACTTCAGGCTCTTTGGTTTAGTCCTGTCGTCGTATAGTACCGCCATCCTTTGTTGCAATCGCTTGCAGGCTTGCAGCAGTGACCTTGCCGGCATCCTGATTTTCTGTCTTATTTTTCTCGTTCACCCGGTAGTGGTCTGAGTATGATGTTGCACCTCGAAATCAGTCACTATCGTGCATGGCAGGAATCTGGTCTGGCAATTTAGAACCGCACTGTTATATCCGCTAAAGTTGGAAGGACAAGGGTAGGTAGGGTATTTGGCGGTGCGCATTTTCAAGCACAGTGGGTTCAAGATGCTGGCAAGTCCCGTCGCGCCCGGAAAGGAAGGCCTTTATGGTGGCATTCATGAGAACGACCAACAACAGACTCTCGGGGCGGGTGAGCATCTCATGCTTGGTGCGGGAAATGAAAATGTTGTTTCATGGTGTATCGGATCTAGCCATGATCAGCAACAAACTCATACTCCACTCTCTCTTCCTTGGTCTGACGATGTCGAGGCATGTGATACAAAGACAACCGCAGGTAAATGGTCAACCCGCATCATTGTTTCGGCACACAATCAGAGATACCCGAGGGTCTGCTTGCCGAATTATCGGCCATGTTAAAGGCACGCGCCGCGTTACACAGCCTGAAACCAGCGGGTTGACAAGCGAGACTGGAGACGAACTCCTTCGATGAGACGCATACTTTCGTATTCCAGTCGGAACACGCCCTTGCCAGCGCCCAAAAAGCTCCGACCGACTTATGCGAAATGAATGGCCATATCGAACTAGAGACAGGTACATGCGTACGAGGAAGAATGCAATATTATATGTCATAATAATTTAACTCCATGGATACTCTCCGATATGATGATACGCTCGCTCATATTGATCTGACGGATGTTGGTCTTGGTACTCGGTACGAAAAACACTGAAATCTTGTCGGCCTAATTCCGTACTCTTGGAAGGCGGCGCAGGCCTTGCGCAAACTATACGACAGGGATTCCGCCTTGGAGCGGTTGCCTTTCCTATCGGGATGATGCAGCCATCAGACCCATCGAGCGCTGAGCCTGTTGCATGAAGATGATTTGGGAAATGACACAGCCTGATGAGTGTGGGGCGACCTCATCCATGCGAGATTCTTGGACCACGCATCTTGAGCGAAGCACTCCAACTACTATTACAAGCTGTATCCTGCTCGTCAAGCATGAATATTAGCAACTGGCACGGCTACCAGTCAGTCAGTGTCTTGAGCATTCATCCGTCGGGGTGGCAATACAACAATCTGTCGTTCCGCACCCCTAGGTCGGACTTGTTTCGCTGGCTCGCTAAGTAACAAGCCCCTCGGACCTATTACTCTGGTTGTCCGTTGATCTCACAAAGCTGTGGGAAGGACGATGAAGTCTCACATGCAGTCATTGGCGGAACTGACACGGTCTCTCGCCCCTCAGAGAAAGTACGGAGGACCGAGGTCGCAGTACCTCAACCCTTGGAAAAAGATGGAGCAAACAAACAGCGACTCTGCGAGTACAAACTCGTGGGTTCCTGCAAAGAGTGCGAGTCAGACGGACTACGATATATTATTCAGTGGGATTCAACTTTTCCTCGTCGGTCAGAATTCAGGTTTGCGTTTGTCTCAGATGCTGCTGTCCAAGGTCCAAGGTCCAAGGTCCAAAGCCCTGGCCACACACCATTTCCCCAGCATGAAGCTGCTGCCCTAGTTCCCATTCCAAATCACATGAATGTGGCCCGCTTCCCAGTCCAGATCACTGCCACGTGCCAAGGAGGTGAATAATATCTCTCTGGGACACTTGGTTACACAACGGTGATCCATATCGTTGTACGGAGTAATGGTCGGGAATCTGTGGCGTGGACACAGGTCCTCTTCTTGGGTAATGATGCCGACAATGCCGGGTGGGAGGGGGGGGTTATTTAACCCTATCCATCGAAAGCGCTTGCTAGTTTCGGCTGATAGCACACCATGGGGACTTGGCGGCGATGTTTGCCTCTGAATGGTCTACGGACAAAGTCAGCTGCCTTTAACTTTAAGCTGGGGCAAAACGAGTAGCAGTTATTCGTCCGGAGCCACCTAGCCGCGTTTAGGCACAGCTCAGGCTGCGTCAGTCTGGCTAAGCTCTCTTGAGGCTTTGTCCTTTTCTCTTATTACTCCTAACAACTGCGGGAGCGTCCCGTGTGGAGTGCGTGAACACCATCTCCGCCCACAGGGTCCTGCTCATGCCAACACAGTGGGACCGTTTTGTCCCAGGCTCTGGCCGCGGACCCGTATTCTTGTCCGATCTTACCTAGGTAAATCCAAATTTCAGATTCTTGATCACGAGGCGGCTCTCATATCTGACTGCGGGAAACGACAGGTCAGTTGACAAGTCTGTTGAATCGTCCTCCCTCTTTCATTCTCTTTCAAGGGAGCTGGCTCGACGTCTCCAACCCGCTGCCCCATCGATGTGTGGCGGGTAATATTATCATAGTACTACTACGGAGTACGGAGTACTTTCTTTCTTTTCCTTGCCCAGTTCATTCAAATGCTTCCTTGGTACCATGCCATTCCCACATAAGCGATGCCACCTCTCAAAACCGGGCCAACCAATCACCAATTCTACGCGTAATGCGATTGGCAATACATAGTAGCGGTCGGTGCGAGGTAACAGATTAAACTTTTTCGTGCCCGGTTTTTAGCCAAGGTGGACAGGGTACGATGTCATTGCACACCCTATTCCCGGACATGTTTCCCGAGGGAGTTGGGAGGTGCTAGGGTTCATGTGAGTGTCACCTGTCTCTCCCACTCATCAAGGATGCTTCTTGTTGTATAATACTACTTGATACTACTACAGTACGGAGTACCGAGTATGGGCATTTCATGCAGGCTTGCCAAGACCGGGACCAGTGGACATCTCTCACTCACCAGATCAGTAGGCAGTACGGAGTACTACTATCCAACATGTCTCTTCAGCCCATCGATCCAAAGAAACCTCCGAACAAGATACTTGTCGAGGAAATAGTTTAAAGAAGCCAACTGCTAGTTAGTTGGGGTCGATGTAACAGAAATCCGAAGGCTGCAAATGGCAAATGGAACAGACAATCTATCCCAAACATGCCCATCCCCATCAGGCAAGGATAGCGAAACACACTGTTCCTTGGCAGGCTGAAGCTGGTGTAGCAGGCTGAGCCATACATACATACATCCAACCAATGTGTGTTTTAAAGTTGAGATTCCATCGGGTAGACATGATAGACAAAGTGCGAGAGAGGACAAGAGGAAACCGGGCGACAATAACAAGATCGCACATGCCAGTCAAGTCAACCTGAACTCTGGCACGCATGCACACCAACATGTTGCCCAAAAATATACAGCGCGACTCGACAGTACTTTACACTCCCCTAGCCAGTGCGTGGATGCACTTGGACTTGTACGATCTGGCACCGCTTCCTTCTCCCACCTACTTGCATTACAGAGGCTGAGAAGGCGTCGTTAGCAGCTGTCGGATAAGATTCAGACCCAAACCATGCAGTGGCCCGACGTGACACGACATAGACGCATGCAAGTCGGGTCGCACATGAAAGAGAGGAGCACCACGGTCAAAGAAATCCCGCCGCTTATCGAGTATTCAACACCATATTTTATCTACTGAATACATTACCGTGGCCATGTACGGAGTCTACACCACCCGTTGCAACGAGGCGAATGGCACGAATCGCTACGGAGTAACTAATGACTCGGAGTAACGGTGGCCGTGCCAACATATTAAGTCATATGTACATACATTGCCCAACCCTATGCCGAACGTATTGCCCGTTGGCAACTAAGTGGACTAGCTTAAGTGGACGGGGACAATGTTATCGGCCATAAACTAGTATGAATGTATGTGCATACTATGACATCCGAATGCGGAGTGCTCTGTCGGAAGATAAATGCTTCTCCGCACTACGGAGTAAGGACCAAGCCAATGTGGCTGATGAGATTGAAGCACACACGCCTCGGTGTGGACTGTCTCGAAACAAACCTTGACCTGGCGCGCCAACGGCGGTGATGCACATGGGCTTGCCGCAAATAAACTTGGATGAAATGTCGCCAGAAGCTCCGTATTGACATCATTTGCCGCCATAGCCTGGCTCGAAAATGACCAGGTCCTCCTGTCCAAAGAGCTTCTGGAGAGGGACAAGCATGGTTCATGTCGGAAAAGACATCGGCTCAAGACGGCAAACTCTAAACGAAACAAACATCGTGGCCATATTTCAAGGTGGCGTGCAGTAATTTTGTACATATGTACAATGCATCTTCTGTCCTGTCATCCCGCCGGGTTGGCCCTCTTCTATAAAGCCATCGTACGACATGCATAAATAGCACAAATTGCAAAAGTGGGAGGAGCCAGGAAACGAGATAACATGGGGGTACGTGCTGGCTAACGTCTGTTTGCTGATTGCTGAGCATACCTCACCGCGACGACTTGTTCTTTTTTATCTCTATAGATGCGGAATGGCTCGTGGAGACTCGCTTACCTAAGAAAACTATACGGCAGAGGAGCCTCCGCGAGCCACTCCGCATAAAGAGATACTCACCCAACAGGAGACCCGAATGTGACAAAACCCGTTGCAAAACCACATGACCAGCCGAAATGAGGCGTATCCTCCGCCTCCAGACCCCCTTTGCCAAGTGATATATTCCGCACATGCAGTTACTGGACAAAAGTCTCGATAATAACCTATTTTTACACTAGAATTTATACTTTTAGAGGTAATATTATTAATCAAAATAATACATTTAGGTACAAAATCGCTTACGGAGTACTATCGTGACTTTTGTCCACCTACTTACTGTATATACATGCACTGTTTATCTGATGGGGTCGACAAACTGCCCCTATCCTAGTAGTTTTACTGGACCCCGTGGTCAGACGGCATCGCCGACTCTGGAGTGTAGCTGTGGGACCCCCAGTGCCAGGGAATTCAAAAAAATTAAAAATTAAAAACACTTATAACTTATGCATTATCTCCGCGCGTCCTCTGCTGGCCATCGCCATTGCCGGGTCTAGGTAGATTGTCTGGTCTGGAGCCAAACTAGGGGTCCTTGTTCCATCACAACCAGCTCAGCCAACAACTGACTAACGCCGCATCAACAACGAGGCTACAAATGAAACGCGAAAAGGGCGGTTTCAAATAATGCTAGTGGCATGGCATTGCTGATTCCTTGAATAGCACTAAATAGTAATCCAAGCGCAGACATCTAAATAGGGTTCGATATACACCCTCACAGCCGGCTCTCAATGCCGGCGTAGTGACTATCCGCGGCCCAGTGGGAGTCCGGCCATACTAAGCGGATCGCTTCCCAGATATGACTATATAATTGAAACGTTAGTTTAACTTTACTTGTCTGCTTGACGTGGTGCTTGGGCCTCTTGGCCTTGGCCCAAGAGTGCGTGCATTGCAATAACACCAAAAAACCGGGAAATATGTCGGACAAGTTCGAAACCGCTCCTCGACAGGCAATCAAAGTATACAATATCAAGCATCATGCACCGGTTTTCTGCGCTGAAGAGCCGAAAAAGAAAAAAAAATACAAGGAGCAGCAGGCAGGAAACTCATACCTAACGTGTACAATTTGTAGGCCGTCCTTGACTTCCTGCGGCAAATCCTTGACGTCCTTCCTGTTCTGTGCTGGAAGCAAGACTGTTTTGACGCCCGCCCGGAGAGCCCCAATGAGCTTCTCCTTGATGCCGCCAACGGCCGTGACACGTCCGCGAAGAGAAATTTCACCCTAAACAGGATCATGCTGTGTTAGCACGAATTGACTCACAATGGGGCCACTCTCGTCTATGCAAGTGACTGTTCCTGGACAAATGACTCGAGACAATAAGGAAGAAAGGGGCTGGCTGGTAACATACCGTCATGGCCATTGTTGGAGGCACAGGCTTGCCAGAAAACAAGGAGATGAGAGCAATAGCCTGTCCGATACCGCTGCTTGGCCCGTCCTTGGGGATCGCACCAGAAGGACAGTGTACGTGAATGCTGCGCTCCTTCATGATGTCCGTCGTAGGCTCAGGAGTGAGACCCAACTCGTAGGCATGAGCCTTGACCCAGGTCAGGGCGACTTCCACACTCTCCTTGAGGACATCGCCCAGCTTGCCCGTCAGCTGTACCCTGCCATTGCCAGGCATGTCGGCGACTTCAATAAACAATATACTACCGTTGCCGCCGGTGCTGTAGGCCACGAGACCCGTAACAATACCAGGGCGGCTGATCTTCTCGGCAATTTCCTCTTCAAACTTTTCGATGCCGAGAATGTTTTCAATGTCCTCGATTGTGAGAAGAGGCTTGTACTTTTCAATACTCCCGCCATCTCTTGCCTCAGCATACTCCACAGCTTTCGCACGGCATACAGACCCAATCTCTCGTTCCAGGTTGCGAACCCCTGATTCACGAGTGTACGACTCGATAATCTTGGAGACAACATCCTTGTTGAAGGTGACTTGGTCCTCGACTAATCCATTGGCTCGTATCTGCTTGGGAACGAGGTGCTGCATGGCAATATGACGCTTCTCTAGGGTAGTGTAGCCCGGCAGATAGATCATTTCCATGCGGTCCAGGAGCGGCGCGGGAATGGTGTCCAAGTTGTTTGCTGTGGCAATGAAGAGGATCTTGGACAAGTCGATCGGCATGCCTATGTAGTGGTCCTGGAAGGTATGGTTCTGCTCTGGATCCAAGACCTCGAGCATGGCGGCCGAGGGGTCTCCGTGGACGCTGGCCATACCAATCTTATCAATTTCATCTAAGAGGAAGACTGGGTTGGCAACGCCAACCTTTCGCAAACCTTGAACAATCAAGCCCGGCATAGCAGCAACATATGTTCGACGGTGTCCACGAATCTCGGCTTCGTCTCTAACGCCGCCGAGAGAGATGCGATGAAACTTCCTTCCAAGTGCCGTGGCGACGGACTTGGCCAGACTTGTCTTGCCAACTCCAGGCGGGCCGACGAGAAGCATAATCGGTGACTTGTCCACCATCCTCTTTGATTTCAGGATCTGGAGTTTTGCGCTGTTCTCTGGGTTCGCAGCGCTCTCAGTGGGCGGGTTGCCAGAATCATGCTCAGGGGCAATCTCTGCCTCGGCCTTACGAATTTGCTCCTCAACGTCGTCGTTCAAAGACTGCTTCAGACGAAGAACGGCGAGATACTCGATCAACCTCTTCTTGACCTTGTCCAAGCCGTAATGGTCATCATCAAGCTGTTTCCGTGCTCTGTTCAGCGTCTCAGGGCCCAGACGATCATCTGTTACTGCTGCCCAGGGGATCTCTGACAGAGTTTCAAGCCAGTTGCGCGTAACTTGATATTCCTGATTCATGGGCATCATCTTCTGCAGCCGTCGCAGCTCTCTATCAACAGTCTTGGCCACCTCGGCTGGGAGCTGGGCATTTTGCAGCTTCTTTTTCAGCTCATCCAGCTCATTGGCCTCTTGCTCGTCTCCCTGATCGTTGCCAGATGGCATCTGACCAGCGCCCGAAAGGAAGTTGACGCCGGGAATTGGCAGACCTGAGCTGTTCCTCTTGTTAGGATTGTCATTTAGCCTGTCGAGAATCTGGACAGGGACGGAGGTGAATGTAGTAATCTTGAAATTGTTCTTAATGCCCCCTACTTGCCGCTCCAGCAGCTCAATGACCTTTGTGATTCTGACCTTGACATCCAGCGCAGCTAGCACGCCCAGCTTCTCCTCGTGTGACGCCTCGACAAGGTTTGACATGAAGTCAGCCAGGAGCCCTGCTTCCTTGATCTCGCGTCGCATGATGAGCATTTCGAGCCGTTTCGTAAGCCCGGGTGACAATGCCGGTCCATTCTTAGTACGTGGTAACAGCGACGAGATTCTTAAGATGGTAACGAGTTCGCGAGACTGAGCTTTGAGCAAGCCAAAAAGATCCTGGAGCTGTTTGTCGGCCATATCAACTAAGAAAGAAACGCATCGTTAGAGCACGCTGCTGGATCACTTGGCAGAAACATCAAATTGGGACGTACTTTCATCGCTAAAGTATGTAACCCTGCCCTGGAAAAAGGGTCGCTCGCGAGAGATGTTATCTACTCTGACACGAGAAGTACCTTCAACACGGAGCGCAAACTCGCCGGCACCGCGCCCATCAATGCCGACAATCTTGGCGGCAACACCAAATCCAAAGACATCGGCCTTGTTGGCACTGCCGGGATTCACCTCGGCAAGCTGCGAGGTGTCAATCTCCTCTCCATTGTTGATGAGAAGCTGGCCCGTGGGGCCCACGAAGGGTGATGAGAGCGGAACGCAAGCGATGGGTATACTGTCGATCCGTCCCTCCGGGCCTTTGGCGGCAGCTTGTTCGTAGACGTGGGCGAGGAGCGCGGGGATATCGGGGCGGCTCGAAGTGACCGAGATTCGCTGAATTAGGCCAGGGAGCAGGACGGTGCCTCTGGCGAGCGGGATAATGGGGAGAGATGCAGTCTGTGATCTGCCCATGGCGCAGCAAGACTGAGCACGAGGACGTCGGTTATATATATACGTGTACAAACAAAGCTGGCCCAAAGAAAAGGTACGGGTGTCGCCGGGAGGCCGGGCTCGTGGTGTTTGACGATGAACGGGGCGGCGTAAAAGCCTGATTATTTCGCACGAAAGGAGTCGAGGTACAATATGTAACACGTAAGACGCAAATGATGCACAGGCTGCGGATGAATGAGACAGAGACAATGCGGTGGTGGATGAATGATGGTCGAGGAACGGAGTCGTCTGTCAGATGCGAAAAGCTGGGGAAAGCCCAGTCATCACCCGCCTTGTCTCCGGCTTGGATCCGAGCTCGAGACGGAGTCCTGGAGCCTGGAGCTCCGCGCCAACCAGTTGCCGAGGCAAAATGACGAGGTCGAGGCTGGCTGTGGGTCCCGGACTCTCGATAAGCTTGATCATCTCATCCTCCTTGCCTCAGCAGTGAACAACCTGCTTACTCATCTCGTCTCGCTGCAAACGCCCCACACCGCGGGGCAAATCCAATTAACCAAAGTCGCGCCCAAAACGCGTCTCCCGCCGTCACAGAGGCACCGTGAATTCTTCATACGCAAACATCCCCGTCCAAACCAGCCATGTGTACGTTCAAACACTGCAAACCACTCCTATTCCCGAAATCGACCGTGTCCATGTCTTCTAACAAGATACACAGCAGCATATGCAGGCTACTCCAAAACGAGCTACGGCGCCCAAGGCGGCGATGACTCGGGCGGCTTCTTCGCCGGTGGTTCACAACCAGGCAGTCAAGGCGGCAAAGTAAAAACAAAAGCCCTTTCCTCCCTCTCGTTCCAACGGCTCTCTAACGTCCCATGTTGCTCCCCAGTCATACCAAGATGAATCCCTCCGCCCCGTAACCGTCAAGCAGATCCTCGAAGCAGACGAGGCCTTCTCCGGCGCCGACTTCAAAATCGACAACACGGCCATAACCCAAATCACCTTTGTCGGCCAGGTCCGCAACATCAACCCGCAGCCCACCAACGTGACGCTGAAAATCGACGACGGCACGGGCCAGATTGAAGTCAAGAAGTGGATCGACGCGGACAAGGCAGACGACGGCAACGCAGACCAGTACGAGCTCGACTCCTACGTGCGCGTATGGGGCCGCCTCAAGTCGTTTTCGAACAAGCGCCACGTGGGCGCCCACGTCATCCGGCCCGTCACCGACTTCAACGAGGTGAATTACCACTTGTTGGAGGCGACGTACGTGCATTTGTACTTGACGAAGGGCCCGCTGGGGCAGGACGGCGCGGCCAACGGCGGCGGGGAGAGCATGTTTGTGGACGGCGGCGGGTACGCGGGCAACGCCAACGGTGGTGGTTCTGGGCAGATGCTGAGCAAGGTGTCTGGCTGTTCGCCGCTGGCGAAGAGGATGTTCAACTTTATGAATGGGACTCCCGGCATGAACGAGGGGGTCCATCTGAATGTGATTAGTAGCTCGACGGGCATGTCGGTGAGGGATGTGCTGGCAGCGGCGGATGAGTTGCTGGGCCAGGGCTTGATTTACACGACTGTTGATGATGAGACTTGGGCTATTTTGGAGTGCTAGGCAAGCGTGGACAAGACGTTGGCGACCATATGGTTCGGGCACTGCACTGGGTAAATACAGGTGTTTTTCGGGATAAAGGCACAGGTAGTCATGTTACGATTTCAATTTCTCCTTAATATGCAAATACTATAAGCTCAACGCGGAAGGGAGGTTTCCAGTCTCCTTTGGTTCAAGTATTGAAAACAGTCTGAGATTGCCAAATCCTACGCTATCCGTTTAAAGGAGTGTGAAGAATGAAATCTTGCAAAGCGGTAAAGACAGTCTCACGCAATCAAATGGCACAAAATAGAAACATTAAACACATCTGGTCAAACTCCAATCAGTCCTTTTCGCCCCCCATATCGACCGAGCTACTAGTCTTGTCATTTTGAGGCTCCCGCAGCATGCAGAACAGGCGGATAGGAACCGGACCGCGAGTCAGGACGATTTCCTTTTTCAGTTCGAATCCAAATTTGGCGTAGAATCGGTTATTGGACTCGTTTGACGACTCAAGGTACATGGCGCGGTTTTCAGCGTCAGCCTACAGTAAAAGAGGCTTTGTCAGCATCTACTGTCCATTTTTGGGGCCGAACGGAGGAAGGGGGCTTAATTTTCATCTCATCTCTCTTTTACCTTTTCCATGATATGTCTTAGCAACTTGGTGGCATGTCCCTTGCCCCTCGAGCTCTCCTTGGTGCCCAGGTAGCCCAGGTAATAGCTGTCGCTGTTGCGGTCGCCCAACACCTCAGCCTTGGTGTCATGCAGCGCAGGATACAGCTCATTGAAGAGACGTATCCGGCTCTCACGAGAGAGCTGGTACCACAGACGCCAGGTTCCGCTGCAGAGCGTGGCGAGCCAGTCGTCGTTGGTTGTCCCTGGGGGCATCCTACACAAAAGAAAACGTCAGCGTGGTCCGCCGCCGGCAATGACATGGCCGCCCTGCAAAAGAACAAGGATCGTGAGGATTGTGTTTCACACTCACCACAAAGCAATGGCGTCAAAGTCTCCGCCGATGGCCGTTGCAGCGCCCCTGAGCCGGTACGAAACATACGAGTACTGCATAAGCCGGATATGCAGCCTCCAAAGCTTCTCGGACGGCCAGCAAGTCGCGTCATCCACGCCCATGACATACAGGGACAGCGGATCGGCAGCGAAGCTGTGGGCAAGAGCGAGGCTGGCCTCTCGGCGCTCACGCAAGGTGAGTTCGCGAACCTCTGTCTCCCATGTTGGCGGAATCAAGGACAACCGGGGATTGGGTTGAGGGCGGGTTTGGACGTGGTTGACCTGCGCCATGTTGGTGGGCGTTTATGTTTACTTCTACCTAGCTTGTTAGACTGCAACAGAAGACAGAACAGATGGGGGAAATCATTTTTTTCTTTTCTGGGTTCGATCTCGCTTTCGGGGGCCAAAGCGAGAAAGGAAAAGGCATCAGTTGCAATCACAAAAAGGTTGGCACCCAGTCACCACGGGGCAAAAACAGAGCTGAAGGATTGAAGAAGCATGGTGAGAAACTGGCTGCTCGTCTTTTTGGATCTTGTCTCTGCTTTTTCAGCTGAAAATCATGCATGGGTTTTCTTTTCTCTTCTTGTTCAGTACATTTTGCAAACTGTGGCCCAGTCACTAGTTATTATGCCAGCAGAGTATCGTTCGCGACGAGTCATGCCCAATAAATGAGACGAGGGCTGGAGGAGCGTCAAAACGATTTAGATGAGACGAGGGGGGACGAGATTGGGGTCTTCGCAGGAAGCCTGAAAGTGGTTGTATTGAGGTTCTATGTGCGTGGAGTGTGAATCCGACGACACTGGTGGCGAATGCGCACACAATAGAGGCGAGAAGCTGGTTTGATCACAGCTGCCAGGGAGGATGGGGTTCAAAGATGAAGGTGTCGAGTATGGTTGAGAAAAGTTAAAGGAGTGTGCTTGGGGAGAGTCGAGACTAAAGTATGAAAGGATAGGATAGATAAGCAACTTGACCCGCTGGGGTAAAACAACCTTAACTTATGGACTGAGACCAAGCCTGCCGCGCCTTCCATGTCTGGCCACGAAGTCTAAGACATGAGACGGGGAGTCGAGCAAGAGGCTTGCGTCGGTGTCGCTCACCTACCGAGTCCGGCATTTCTGCGCCCCGAATTACTAGCCAAGCACCGGGAATCGTAAACACTGCCATCTCGTTGGCCAGGAATACCGGGACGCTGGTCTCGGAGCAATCCATTGATCACAAGATCATGCAAAGGAGGGGCGGAGTGGAAGCCGTAGACAAGTTAGGATGCGGCTGTGTTCTCTTGGTGGTCTTGGTCTGGTGTCGGCCACCTCGGACACCGGCTGCCGGATGAGCCAGCCGGCACACCGTGAGTGCCTCCATGTCCCTCATTGCGCGCTCCACCCATTGCTGCCAAGACGGTTCTATCATCAACAAGTGTACCGGTAGTGAGTCATTCGTTGCTTGCGGTTTCAATGTTCCATGTCTCGTCACTCAGCCACCAGACACGGCGCGGAGCTGTCAAACGGGCACTACCACGGGCGCTAATACCACGGGCGCTGCCAGGGACCGCTAGCACGTGCACCAGGCCGTCCAGCACCGTGGAACACCGCTGAGGCGGCCCAGCTACGGGGCTTTTTAGTGGATCTGCGTGCCTCACTGCCACCAGCACTTGAGCCGTGGACGCTCTTTTCGCCGCCGAAGAGCGGGCGCCTCGGCCTCCTTTGCACAGCGCTTGAGCTTGAGCACTGCCAGGCTGATCCTCCGTGCCCGTGCCCGTGCCCGTGGCTTCGCGCATCACATCCGTCTGGTTGCGTCACGGGCGCTGCAGCCCATCAGCCTTCACTCGTCATCCATGTACACTTGGCTACGTGGCTCACCGAGGCGTCACCTCGACCATACCCCTCTGTCCTTCCTGCATGCATTGATGGTCACGCTACAGTGGTGCTGGGTGCCGACGAGTTTCAAAGCTTCAATGGTCCGTGACTCCGTGTGCGCACCGCGGCACCAGACACGATGAGCACGGCGAGGCTTGGCGCCCAAGTGCTGCGTCAGACGGTCCATGCAAGCTGGTGCTGTTGCTGCGGACTAAGTTGCTGGTTATTGGATGCCATCACCGGGATGCTGTGATGTTGATCGTCCCGAAAATGACCACGCTGGAATTGACGACACTCTCTCCGTTCCGGCCCCAAATGCAACGCCGCTAAATGTATGTATGTATGTACTCCGTACTTTGTATATAGAAAACTTGCGTGTCTGCTTTACATAATTATCTTCCAACCAAGTCCGAGTCTGCGGCTTATCCGCCCACAGACCAAGGCCGTAAGCATTTAGCCGCTGTCAGCAGCCATCCTCCTCTCGGGTGACCCTCTCTCTCTCCTGCCATGCAAGCGACTCGCAAAGCTGTATGTGTCCGCCCACTCTGCATCTCTCTCTATTCGTCCCTTTCTCTCTGTACCCCTCACACACATGCACACTCACATAATGCAGTGGTCACTTTACAGCATGCGTCGGATTTCCTGCTCGTTGGTATACTTCTCCAGACCAGAGTCAAGGCTCGCCCACCACTCAAACAGCATCGAGTTGCAAATGAGCTTGAACCAGGGGGTGAACTTCAACGAGGGGTCCTCGAATAGCTTCTTCAGTTTGTCAGCGCTGACGTACTGAGTGGCCTGGACCTCGTTGGGGTTGGGCTTGAGATCGACGTTCGTCTTGATGAACAGGATGTAGTCGACTAAGTGTCCAGTTAGCAAGCACGTTATTGGGCTCCCATTGTCCAACACGTTTTTCATCTGCCCCTCAAGCAATCGGATTGCTTACTTTCATGTTCTCCCCACTTGCCGTCACTGGGAGCCTTGTAGTGAATACGTGTAAGGAATCGGAACTTTTCGATTGGAACCTGCTCCTTTTTAATGCCCAGCTCGTGCTCAAGCTTTCGCTGCGCCGCACGCTTCGCTCCCTCAATAGCATCGGGAAGGTTGGAGCCAGTCTCGCCGGACACGGCCAGAGGGTGCGAGCAGCAGGTGTTGGTCCACATGTCGGGGAAGGTGATCTTTTCGGAGGCACGCTGCTGGAGGAGCAGCTCGTTTTTGTCGTTGAACAGGAAGACGGAAAAGGCCCGGTGCAACAGTCCCTTGTCAATGTTGGACATGAGGTGGCCTGGACGGATACACAATTAGCATGCACGCTTTCCCTTGTCTGAATGGTCATGGTCACTGGCTTCGTGAGGAACGACGTCACATCATACAGAGCTTTTTGCTGGCCTTGCCTACTGGCATGTCATTATCATCCAGCACAATGCACACCTCGTCCATCAACCGGATCTGCTCCTCGTCGTGGCCGGAAAGTGCCTCCGAGCTGGTGTCGATGTCGGGGAAGAGGCGGAGGATGGTGTCAGCCGTCATGGGCTCTGTTCGGGTCTCAGTGACCGTGACCGTGGTGGTCGCCATCTTGGTGCTATTTTCGAGACTGTAGAGAGTAGATTAAGCGCGTCCGAGGTTTTGCGCTGCCGGCCTTTGCGAGAGGACGCAGGAGAGTCCAGATGTTGTTGGTGTCGTCTCGGCGGGAAAGGGTCTAATCTCAATTTAACTAACATTTCGGTTTGCCCCTCGCGGCACGACGTAAATTGCGGGCGTCCACAGTTGCATGTGGGGCTGTCATCCTGGTCCGTTGACCCACGACAAGTGACAAACCACGCTGCGTCAACTGGTCAGTATTCGGAGTCTTAAGGTTTTATTTCAACTTGTTTGTCCCTCGAGACCAATCCGAAACTATCCCGTTAACGATTTAATTAACAAAATAAGAGGAAGAAGAAGAAGGAGGAGGAGGAGAACAGCAAGTATGTACTATACTATTCAAGGAGCCCCAACCACTTGAACCAGGCTGTGCCGTGCTCTGTGCCATTGCAAGATCCAACTCTGGCTTCCTACATATCAACTACGGAGGACGGAGTACAATGGGAGGCCAAGGCATCTAGTCTTGCAAAACAAGATGCTGGTATATCTAGAGGTATCTACCTAGGCACCCGATAAAGAATGCCCTGACAGAAACTTTGCGCCCGAACAGGTACCCTCAGTGCGGCCCCCTGGGCAGTTAAACCTGAGCATTCAATGTTCTGCTCCATGGCTGAGTCATCAGCTAACTTACTTACCCAGGTACCTTGCTGGAGGGGCTTACATGTAGAGCCTGGCCTTATTAGACCAGCACTTGAGGACAACTGGGGCTGCACAGTCACTGAACACAGCCTCGGGCTAACTGGAACCAGCACAGTGCTGTCAATTGAATCTGGTCTGGTGTCTGAAGTGTACCGACAAGTCCACAACCTCGAGCCAGGAGCTTCGTCACTCAAGCCATCGTGTGTGCCTCGTCTTCCTTGGTCTTGGAACTTTGGCATCCTTCATCCCCCTTCACGGCGCACGCAGCCATACAACAATCCGCACAGAGCGTCCATCTCCAACTCTCATCCGCTCCCGAATTGACCTGCTGCCGCCCGACCCCCGGCAGCCTCAGCGCCCGGCAATCATGGCGCCTCCCAAGATTGAAGCCAAGGAGATTGAGACGTACTGGAACATCTTCTCCGACCGAACAGGCGGTGGCCAGTTCCTCACCGGCGAACAAGCAGCCCCGGTTCTGAAGAACAGCGGTCTCCGCGATGACCAGCTGGAGCGCGTGTGGGATTTGGCCGACGTTGACAATGATGGGAACTTGGACTTTGAGGAGTTTTGTGTCGCCATGCGACTTATTTTTGACATTCTGAACGGAGTATGATGCACCGACCACGAGACTCAGGCTTTGCGAATACTTATGATGATCAGGAATATGCCGACGTCCCCAAGACACTCCCCGACTGGCTGGTCCCCGAGTCCAAGGCTCATCTTGTTCAGGCAACTCGTGCCATCGCCGGCAAGCAGCCGCAGTTTGAGCAGGTCGAAGACGACTCAGACGATCTAGGTCTCAAGGATGGCTTTGAGTGGTACATGAAGCCCGGGGACAAGGCCAAATACGAGCACATTTATCAAGAGAACCGGGATATGCGGGGTGAAGTATCATGTGAGTCTCGTCCCTTTCTTGCGTCCGTCTGCGCACCCTCTCATCTGCTTCTACTAGTCAACGCCCTCGAAGAACTCTACGAATCTCTCGACGTCCCCGACACCGATGTCAGATCAGCATGGAACCTCGTAAACCCCTCCGCCGGCTCGACTATCAACAAAGACGCCTGCCTCGCATTCCTCCATATCCTTAATTACCGCCACGAAGGCTTCCGCATCCCCCGTAGCGTTCCTGCCTCGCTGCGCTCCAGCTTCGAGCGCAACCAGATAGACTACCAGCTGGACAGCCAACGAGCGGGCACCAACTCACGATGGGCCACCAAGGCCGACGACTCTACCTCGACCGGTCGAAAGACGAAATTCGGTGAACAGTACCTCACACGCCTGGGTCGAAGCGGATTCAAGACAGCCGGCACCGACTTCTCGACGGAAAAGACGGAAGATTGGGAGGAGGTTCGGTTGAAGCGACAACTTGCCGACTTGGAAACCAAGATTCAAAAGGTTGAGGACATGGCCGATCAGCGGAAAGGCGGCAAGAGAGATTCCAAGCCTGCACTTGTAAGGAGGGAACTCGACCAGCTACTGGACTATAAGCGCAGAGAATTGAGAGAATTGGAAGAGGGGAGGGGCAAGAGCGCTGTTGGTTCAGGCCTGAAGAGCGTGTCAGAAGATTTGCAGACGGTGAGGGAGCAAGTCGAGGGTTTGGAGACGCATTTGAGTTCGAGACAAGCGGTATTGGATGATTTGCGGAGACAGATTGACGCAGAGAAGGCGTGATGTATTTTTGTCAAAGAATGGAGCAGATGTTGGATTCAGCGAACATATGTCTAAAGCATTAGACGTAAATCTAATTTGTACAGCGTGCCACACAACCCCTGGACGACGTGCCATGTCCATCTATCGTCTACCTCTCCATCACCACATACTCCCATCGACGTACTTCTTCGTCCGCTCTACCCCCAGCGTGCGGCCCTTGCCGAGCCACGCCGCCAGGGACGGCATGGGGACGAAGCCAAACCGTCCCGCGGCCCTGGAGCGGCCCGTCGAACAAATAAATATGTCTACCGACGGGCCATGGACAGCTTGCTGGTCTCTACCTCGTAGCACCAGGTCGATATTCTTGGCCACGCCCGCTGCCTGTGCCTCCGTGATGAGAAACCCAGCCCTCGGCTTCGAAACCGCATCCCCAACCGCCCACACCGTGCCCCCGGCGTCCTGGGCCGCAACGCCCATGTTCTCATCGACATGCACGTAGCCGCTGTCGTTCAAGAAGCCGCCCGGCAGGTACGCCGTGTTGGGCACGAACCCCATCGTCGGGAGATACAGGTCCGTCTCCAGCTCCTCACCCCCCTCTAGCCTCACGACGGTCCTGCCTCCCTCCTTCTCCTCGGTGCCGGCCACCCGCACGCCTCTGCGGATCGTGACGCCCAGCTTCACCAGCTCCCTCTCCGCCGCGGACGCGATGCCGTCCCCGCCGAGGAGCTGCTCGCCCGACGACAGCAGCACCACCGTCTTGTCCCGATACTCGAAGCGTATCTCGCCCGCGAGCTCTACGCCCGTCGCGCCCGCCCCGGCTACCACGATGTGCGGCGCCCTCCGGATACCGTCTGCCGCTGTGTGCAGGGCCTCGACGCACGCCTTGTGGGTGGACGAGGCTTTCCACGGCATCGAGGGCGACTTGCTGGTCGATCCTGTCGCGATGACGAGGTAGTCGTATGCAATGGCGCGGGTGTCGCCGGCCGTCGAGAGGTGGACTGTTTTGGAGGCCGTGTCCAGGCTTGTAGCTTCGCCGAGGACGAATTCTACGCTGTTGGAGGGGTATTGCGCGAGTCCGGGCTCGATGGGCTGCAGGATCTGCTCATCTTTGAGGACGCCGGGGATGACGGCGCGGATGGACGCAATGTTCCAGTAGAAATGGGAGTTCTATTACATTGAGCTTGGTTGGAAGTGAGAAGGGGGGAGGAGGCGAGGCACCTTTGTGATTAATATTACTTTGAGATCCGGCTCGTGAGGAAGCGTGTACTTGAGCAGACGGTGAGTGACGGCAAGGCCGCCTAATGAGCCGCCGAGGACGACGACGGTTTTGGACATGTCGGAGAAGAGGGGGCTCGGGGGAAGTGACTGTGATGGAAGGATTTACGATGCTATGCGTTTTTGTTGTTGTCTACCTGCTCCTTCCCATCTTGTCTGTGTCTGAAGTTGTCTCGTCGGGCGACGATGTATGACGACTCGGAGTTTCGAAGCTCCCCACTTATTCTGCATTCTTCAGCGTCGAGCCTTTGGCAGACTCGATTTTATCTGATCTACGGCATTGTTTGTCCCAACCAAGGATCCATCAAGGTTGCTTCGTCATGGCGTTCAAAGATGTCAACGTGCGAAATCACACCGGCTGCTCTTCAACCCCCATCTTCAACATCCATCGTTGCGGCGCACCTTCCAGACCCACCGCATGCTCCCACCCACCATTGACGCTTTCATGTGAAGATGATTCATCAGACCAGCACAAGCCAAGTGAGCAATGCACCTCCGTACGCAGCACCAAAATACTGCATACGTGACCTTGTCACACCTTGGCGAGCTGTTGGTCCTCTCTCCCAAGGAAATGGGAAATGCTCCCAACAGCATAGAGTTTAAACCCAGACCGGCATTCAGCCATATCCCACTCCCCTGGCAAGGTACCCGTGCTTTTCCATGCGGCCAACAGGAACCGGTGACGCCCAAAAAAGGAATGAAAAAAAAAAAAAAAGCCCACCGCTCTTATACAACCACAACATCGCCCTCAACAACTCGTCTGCCACGTTCGTCTCATCGCAACATTACTTTAGTACACATGTCATCAGATGCCAGAAGCAAGCCCCCCCAGCACGAGACGCTAGCCCCTCAAAGGGAAACGCTCCAATAGCCCGCAGTGTCTTGACACTTTCCACTTGTGCCTGCCGTTGAGCACCTGATGAGGGAAGAGCCCGCTCCACCCGCCAGACACCAAATGGGGCTTCATCCTCACAACTCGGCCAATGGACTCGCCAAAGACGTCACCTGCCCGGGCCGTAGATTCCCCCCCTATTAGGCTTGGTGAAGAGAGCTTTTTGTTGTGCTCGTGGTTTGTGTACCCCGCCGAGGAGCTGGGGAGTGGCAGGTGGGGGGAGAAGGCAAGTCACCAGACAGCTGACCAGACTCTTCCGCCATTTTCCCCTTGCCCCAACATCTCCAGCTCCACGTGTTGAGGGACAGTCCTGATCCTTTCTCCGTCTTGCATACATCTTGCTTCAAGTTGCAAGCTTCTTTGTTTGTTCTTTGCAAGCCCCATCTATTTTCCTAAAGTAACACTGCTTCATCCGCCACCATGTCGGCCAAAACTAGCAACCCGGTCTTCAATAACGCGGCCAATGTCGAGGTCCAGAAACTGAATGGGCTTTCAAACGACCAGTTACTTGAACTCTACGGTTTGTTTTCCCAGGGAGATTCATCGGGACTGGTCGATCATTGGGTACTGGGGCTAAAATCCATTCATGATACTAGGCTACTACAAGATCGCTACTGGCTGCGACATTACCGAAGAGTCTGCCCCTGGCATGTTTGATATTCGCGTAAGGAATCGCCTCCGTCCAGCTTTCGCACTCTGTAATGTATTCTTGTCTTTCCCAAGCTTTGATTGCTAACGTTTGTTTTGCCGAGCAGAAGAAGGAGAAGTGGAGGAGCTGGAAGGCTAAAGTCGACGAGGGAAATACCGCAGAGCAAGCTCAGGAGAAGTACATTCAGGCCGTGGAGAAGTACAAGAAAGGGAAGAAATCTGGCCAGTAATCTCAAACTGTAATGCTTTGGCGGAGTGGGATAAAAAAAATGTGAAATGCACCATTGGTGTGTATTGAACCCTACGTACAACGAAACCTGTGATAGCGTCTGCTGCGCTGTTCGCAGCAATTCCTAAACGCTTTCCATGTAGGACCCTTGGGTGTCGTTGGCACATGGCATAGGCTAGTTTGGAGCACTATCGAAAGATTATTTATGAATTTGCACCCCAAACGTCTGATGCTTGGTTGGCCGTAACTGCGGGAGGTCCGTGACAAAGCCAATAGAGCACATCTTGGAGTTTAACGTTGGACAGGCAGCCACCTGACTGCCAAGCAATACAAATTTTACAATCAGTCAGAGGGACTCATCGCTCGAGCTTCACGATGCGTATTCTTGAAGAGATCCGAGAGGGCTGGCAAGTCATCGGGTAGCGGGGACTAACTTCATTGATGCTACTAGCTATGTCTCTACAAGACCGTGGTTGGCTTCGACATCACCAAGGAACCTGCCCCTGGCATGTTCGCATCTAGGTCGGGTTATTCTACGCCCGAGAAGGCCCAGAACAGTATGTGACGAGGGTTGAAAAACTCAAGGAGGATCACAATATCGTGTAAAGTTTGGATGCAAAGAGTCAATTGAGGAGTGCACTAAAACTGTCCAAAGCATAAATCAACACTAAATACCACAGTCCGCAAGGCCAATTCACCCTCAATAAAATGCTGCTATGTCTGGTCAACGAGGTTTCGTCAACTTATAGTCCATCGCAAAAGTCTTTCGTCGCTTTACCTTTTGAAACGGTACTTTGGAAAGGTGTAATGCGATACATGATTACATTTTCAGGGTTTGGCTCGCATTGGCATCTTGTTAGCGTCAAACTGAATAAAGCCCAGCCTGTCAGAGGAGCAGGACCCAAGGACGACAATATCGTCAAATACTGCTCTTGGGGAGTTTCGAAATTCCATTGGGACCCAGGCTAGACGCTCGCCATTCCAGAGAATCCAACACGAATCCCGACTAATTGAATATCCAGAAACAACGTCTTCTGAGTTGACGTTGACTGTTTTGTCCGTTGCAAAATTCAGGCAACGTCCTGGAATCGATCCTATGTCAGTCAAGAGAAACTGCGCTGTGGCGTCGAGTGACAGACGATTTGATATCTGTCCAGTGCTGATGGTCTGCACACAGTGACCCGAAGCTGTACAACAGATGCGAATGTGAGCTCCTTCCCCCCTGTATTGCGAAAACGCTACCATGGTAGAATCTGGCCAAAAAAGCGCGGCTTCGACAGCGCCCCTGACGCCATCAAGTTGCGTTACTCTTCCCCAAGACGTTGTATCATAGATATATGCCCCGCCAGTAAATGCCACAGCCAGAAGTCTTCCATCTGGCGAAAATTGGGCTGTTTGAAAAGGGCCACCGCTTGGAAAAGGCTTCAAAATCTTCTGTATAGGGGATTGTAGGGGCAAAGACCAGATTTCTAGGGCATTCTCATGGCCAAAGGCAATATATTTCATATCGGGTGACACCAAAACTTTTTCACCTCGCGGAAAACCACGAGGTAGACTCTGTAGCCGCAGTCGAACGGATTCTTCTTTGCCCAGGTGCCAAAATTCTACACCCAAAGTTTCACTGCCACAAACAAGGTATTGGCCATCCTTGGAAAAGGCAAGGGATGCGACACGGCCAATATTGGAAGAGAACTCAGATATCAGCTCTCCTTTGTTTATATCCCAAATTTGAATAGAACCTCCAGATTGTGTCGCCACTCGAGTTGAATCAGAGGAGAAGACGATAGGATCCGAAAGGCAACAACCGTTTTCGATTGTATGGATGCGCTTTTGAGTGGCAATATCCCAGACTACCATGTTGTCTCGATAAGACTGCGATATCAAATACTTACTATTTGGGGCGATGTAAAAATTTGTTGTGGAATCATCTACTTGAACCCCATAATCCCCTACTGACCAGAGGCAGACAGTGTCATCGCGTGACGCTGAAGCAACCATGGATGAGTCCGGTGAAAAGTCAATACCATAAGCGGCGCTCTGATGGCCATAAAAGGCCTGTATGGGCTCGCCTGTCGCTGTACTCCATATTCTCATAGTTGCAGACTCCTCACATGTGGCAATGAGGGAGTCATCCGGCGAAAATGTCACACCCCATACTTGGTCGATATGTCCTCTGAGGTTCATTTTTAATTCTGATGACTTGAGACACCAAAGCTCGACACAACCACTTCCTAAGCCCGCCACTGCCATCGACCCGTTGTTCGAAATTGCACATACATTGCTGCCATAGTCGGTTTCCAGTTCGCCTATCCGCTTTCCATCAACAGTGCGCCAGATTCGAACGCTGGAGTCATAGGACGACGTTAACACGCGTGTCGAATCCCGGGATATAGAGACAGAGGAAACCTCATGATCATGACCGCGGAGCTCCATGGTACATTTTCCAGTAAGAGAATCCCAAATCCGAGCAGTTTTGTCAAACGATGCAGAGACCACAAGCTTGGAGTCACTGGAAAAAACAGCAGACGAAACCTTTCCACTATGGCCTCTAAGTTCTTGTACGCATTCCTCTGTATCAACATCCCATAGTCGAATGATCCCGTCGTCGCAAGCCGCAACGACAAGTCTTTCATCGTGCGAGAACATTGCAGAACTGACTCCAACTGGATTATGGATTACTTGTAAACATTCTCCAGTATTCGTATCCCAAATTCTTACTGTTCTGTCCGCCGATGCAGATACCATACGTGCACTAACAGGCGCGAATTTGGCGGTATAGACTGAATTCGTATGTCCCTCGAGGATCTGTAGACAGCTACCCCATCGGGATTGTGTATCTGGCCAGGAGCGAATCCATTGAGGAATACTATTGTAAAATAGGTTTCTGATAGGGCTCTCTTTAGGGGAGAATAGAAGAGCCGATGAATACAGCTGTAACGGGTATGAGGAAATTGTTCCCATGTTTGCCAACAGAAATCGGTAGGCGTCTCCAATCAAGTCCGAAAGTTCTTCACTATTTTGAGCCTGTTGTTTTGTCAACGCCAAATTTCCTTTTCAGGCGATGATCCGGTACCATAGACACTTACAGCCAACAGCCCCCTCAAAGCCTTCATCATGCCGATGGTCTCCCTGACTCGTCCCATTAAACTGAGAGCCTCGATCCAATCCACAAATCTTTTTTTAAGAAACTCATGAGCTTCACCGTTGTTGCTTAAGGTGGATTTCGACAACTGAAGATGCAGTACCCAGTTGGCGCAAGCATACTGAACATCGTCGGGTATACACTCATTCACTCTTTCCGGGTCGATAGAAGACTGCAACGCCGCCGGATCCTCAAGGTTGCAAATATTTTTTCGGAGAGAATCATCCATTAAGCGAAAACAGTTGGAGGCCATTGTGTCATGTGCGGTACTTTCATTTACCCAGAAAGGATTATCGTCCTTCTTGTCAGGATCCAGGAGAAAATCCCGAAATGATAGATGTAGCAATCTGACAGGAGCATCCGACACCTTTGGCACGCTCAACACGGAATACAGGCCATCCAATTGATGCTCAATGGATCTCTTGGGAATACACAGTATCCTCTCCAGTGAGAGGACGGAAAGGGGACGGGCCAAAATGATAATTGACCCAACAATCGCTCGAAATTGCTGCAGGAGCTCGACTTTTTCCACTTTGTCAAGACCCTCAATCAGCGGGTCCAACACGGGGCGATAGGTAGCATCAAGCTTTGACTGCTGCGTTCTAGTCTGATAACGCAACACCTTCGCAAGCTGGTCGTCTGGGTGCCAACGCAGATCTGCGAGAAAGCGGCAAACAGTGGCAGCAAAAATAAAGAGAGGGGTAGCCATCCTCACCAGTGCCCGAACCGTCTCATGACCAGGCCATGTAAGTGGAAGGCGTCGGTCTTCTGACACTGTGACATTGTACTCTCCACGTATTTTTGCCAGTTGATGCTCAAGGAACATGCTAATATCATGTTGTATGACGTATTCGGGCATCTCTTGAAGTGCCACGTTCCGGTACAAGATGTTAACCAAGCTAAACCCAATCCGAATAGGCAGCTCAGGTCTACTTGTGACGAAGACTCGAACACGCAGTGTCTTGAGAGTGCTGGTTCGGGACAATATGTGAATTACACGCCGAATATCATCGTATGAGCCGCCGCATTCGTCCAATGCGTCTATGAGTATCACTAACGTAGACGACTTCAGTGAGGTAGGAACGATTCCTGACAGTGGTTGTAGTATCAGTTTGTCGAATTGTTCCAGCATCGCCTTCTGGAATATAGTTGGGTCAGCATCTATCGCATCCTTCATGTGTGTGGCCGAGTCAGGCAATCGGGTCGCCAGCTGGGCGGCAACGGTAGTGAAAAGTCTGCGGAGGTTATCTCTGTCCGCCTCACCCCTCTTGAAGAAGAAGCTAGCGCCAAGACAACTGGTCCTCGCAAGTATTCGAGAAACGGTCCGTGCAATAGTAGACTTCCCAGTGCCAGCCATGCCATTGAGCCAAAATATAGACTCAGCATATGGATCGTCCACCCATTGCGTTATCGAGTCTAAAAGAGAGACACGAGTATTTTCCATGCAGGTCGGGTTGCCCTCTTCACTAAACGAGTCATAAGTTGCTCCGGCTGCTATGGGCAGGCGACTCAAGACAGCTTTTTGATCAAGACTCAGTAGGACGGACCTAAGATATATGTGTTAGTATGGTAGAAAGGGGAGGCTTAGCGTTTTTCAACAGCTCACGTTTGATCGACTTGCAAAGCAAGTGATATATTCTGCCCACACCGTCCAAGTTGCTTGACGGCTTTTTCCACATCTTTGCTCTTTAACGGCCATTTGAGCGCGCCAATTCTCAGCCTACGGAATACTTTTCGGCCCGACGACGGACTCAAATCGTCATTTAATTTGCTCAAATGAGCCCGCGCCTCTTCAATCGCATCCAAGAGCTTGCTCGACGTCTTCAGTCTGTTCCCACAGGGGCCATCGAGTAAATCCTGGACACTGCTGGTCGTCTCACCAAGGTTGTTGACCTCTCGTAGTAGACGGTTGACTTCGAACTTTGCATTTTTCACCCCTTTCGAGTACTGGAAGCATATTGCTGCCACACGTCCGGATATTTCGATCACGGCTATGACGCTTGAGGCGACGCCCAGAGCCTCCAACGCCATGGCACCAACAAAACTGGCAAGGCAGTAAGATGTCGGCCTGAGATGTAAGATTCCATGATGAGGGGAATACAGGAACACACGGAGATGATCTCATCACTGGTGGCCTCATAATGAGACGCTTGAGATGGGGCATGCAGTTGCTTCAGATTGTGCAAGGCATATGCCAAAATCAGGCAGAGTTCAAGTCAGGCGCTTATGCCACAGGATGGCGTCGAATTAGAGACGGAGCTGGAACAAGGGAAGAATTGCAAGCTAATCGGAAGCTGCCGCGTGGGTAGCTCTTGCTTGAGGGTGCATTTAAAAGTGGCGCAGACAACGATGGCCATGGATTCATGCAGGAGTTTCTGCAAAAATTTTGAAATGGGGAACAAAGAATCAATTGTCACCAAATAACCGTCTTGGAAGACGGTCCCAGTCTACTCATCCGGGACTGACATCTGAGACGTCTCCAAGCACTCTCTGGGACGATAATTCTAGCAGCAAACAACATCATACCTGCGAGGAACTTCTATGTAGCAGACCTCAGCCACGGTTTTGCAATGGCGTCAATCCGACCAGAGCAGCCAATACCTCACTTTATCCACGAGAGGAGATATGGGGTACCCCAGACAATTCCTCAAACAACCTGACAGGTTCCAGCGGCTGTTCAGACCAAAATCGACCCAGCTTGCGCCTCGAACGATGAGATTCCATGTACGGAGTACTAACTCTGTACGGAGTTATACTTGGGATCTCCACAGCAGAAGATGCCTCTACTAGAGCGATCCGCCTCGATACCGCCAGCGATGCTTATCTCCTCGGGCCTGACCTTCCAACTCAGCATCTCTTCCCTTGTCTTGTCATCTCGCTAATCCAAGTTATCTCCAGCCGATGCACCAGCTTTTCCAATGCATCTATGGAGTACGGAGCACTCCGTACTCTGTACTCCGTACAATGCATCAAATTACGATCGATACTACCACACAGCATGGGCGAGTCATCAAACTCCCAACAGCCATCGCCGAGAGCATCGCGCGACATGTATTGAGCCGTCCACTTATCCACCATCAATGAACACTTCACAACTCATACATAATTCAAATTCACAAGTCAGCACAAGTGGAGTTGCTCGTATTTGCGATCGCTAACCCAGCCGTCACAGCCACCTCCAGATCGAGCCCAGAGACGGCGCGACGGCTTCTCCCGCATGCTCTGTTCCCCACAGCCAAAACCACATCGCCACGGTCTACTCATTGGCTGTTTGCAAAGAGGCCAACGAACCTTATTCAACCTCATACACAGGTCTCCAAACGCGACACGGGCAATTTTCACCCGCCTGTCCACTACACATTCCAGACAATCAATGCCCTCGGTCCACTAAGCCTCCCCGGCAGAACGCGAGCTAGGACGCGACAGAATTCCTCGCCAAGACATGCTAGAAATGTCAGCTAAACCACTTCAACGTGTAAACAAATGTCGGCCTCACCACCACCACCATCACAGGTACAGAGGTAGTGAGGTAGAGGCGAGGCAGGACAAAAAAAAGCGTTAGAATTGTGTGCAAATACTGAATTACTAATTGTCTACTAGGCCACTAGATCTAATACGTACATGCGTCAACCTCCCCCATCCAGATCGCTCTGGACAAGATAGGGCTGCCGTTCTGAATCTTAAGCAAATAGGTATAATGGTGATGTAAATGTACGAGTGTTCCGAGCACCATTGTCCTCCACCAAACCACTTCAACTCGGGCCCCTTATTGAAAAAAAAGAAAAAAACACCAAACCGGGCTTCACTCGAGCAAAGAGCAGCCTATAAAAGGGGAATCATGGCAAGAAAAGAAAAAAACAATCAAACCAGAAAGATCAAGTCAAAAAGTAATAAAAGATGATGATAAAAACAAGACACAAAAACTGGAGGCCCATTGTTTGCAGGCAACTCAGAAAAGTTACACACGCTTCTAGGCGAGGCAGCAAGCTTCCCTTTTTTCAGATACCCTCCAAAAGAAAATTGCTCCAACGTCCCAAATGCTGACTGGATTATGTTAGAAAAAGAAGTACCGCCGTTGCCATTGGTTCGTGAAAAACTCGTAAACTCGTGGTTGCGATTAAGTATGTAATTGCCGCTTGTGTTCCCTGGGTTAAGATCATATCCTGGTAACCTAACGCCTCCACTCGTGAAGAGTTTCTTGTTCAGTTGCCGTTTTTTTCTCCCACTCGCCCGCGCATCCTTGACACTTCTGCTTTAGTTTACAGAAGGGCCAAGAGACCAGCAGCGACGAGCAGCAAAGCGCTGACACCAGAAGCGGTGGCGGCATTGACGTTGGTTGGAGCAGGAGGAGGGGCGCCAGTGACGGAGGGAATGCCCGCGGAAGGTTGGGTAGGAACGTGGGTGCTGATGGTGCTGTTGACAGCAGTCCAGGCGGTGGACTTGCCGATGCTGGCGGTGGAGATGGAGGTGGTGGTGTTCGTGTTCTCACTAGTAGTGATGACGGGAGTGCTGCTCGTGGTGCTGCTCGCGATGCTGCTGCTCGTGGTAGTCGGGGGGATAGAAGTGGTAGTAGGCGCTTGCGAGGTAGTAGACGGAGGAGGCTTGGAGGTAGCAGCGACGAGGCCAGAGATGGTGTACGCAGCGGCGCAAGCGGTCAAGTCCATGTCCTTGGGGCAGCACCAGGTCTGGGCCTTGGTATCATGAGTGCAGTAATAGCCATCCTGGCAAGAGTCTATTCACACCGATTCGTTAGCATCGTCGCGCAACTTGCTCCAAGAGCGCATGAACCTACTGCCAGAGTCGTCGGTGCAACAAGACTCCCCCGCCTTGGGGTTGAAGCAGTGGGCAACATCGGGATTTCCACCGGCGCACTGTTGGTAATCGGCACCGCAAGACTCGGCGCAAGTGTTTCCGGCTTTGCACTGCTTCTGGTCGGGCTTGTAGCCGCTGGTGTCGCGACGCATCAGGCTCTGTCCGGGGAGTGCCATGACAGCCAGGCGGTATGGCTGTCGGGCCTCGACGGCGACGGCACCGGTGGCCAAAAGGGCGATGGAAGCGACAGTCTGGAAAAGCATCTTGGCCGGTATTGACTTGCAGCGAGGAACGAAGTGATTGATTTATCGACGGCGTTTCGGTGGAGGGGTCTGGTTTGTTTGGAACGAACGTGGCGCACGCGGGTGTTTGCGAATGGCGGTTGTGTGTAGTTGCGAAAAGAGCGGCACAGAGTCAAATAGTACTCTGGGAGACGGCGAAGTGATGGGACGGAGCCCGGCGCGCAAATGGCCTCGAACCGAAGGGTTTGAGAATGGACTGAAGACGCAAGTGACGATGGCGGAAGGGAAAGAAGGAAGAGGAAACTGGGCGTCGCGATGGGTTGGGGCGCTGGAAGAATGGCGGGCAAGAGGATCGACTCCTTTTAATTTCCCGCGGCCAGCCTAGCGCCGTGGTGCATCCCGATGACCAGCAACTTGACCGCACCAGTCCACGACACCAGACACTCAACACTTCGACTCCCGTCCAGAACTTGCAGTCGCCGACTGGAGCCACGGCTGGCCTTGGCCCATTCACGGCTCTGGCTCGTGCCAGGCAGGCCCCGGCTCAGCAGACGGCCTGCGCGGCGGCCTGCGCATCTCGTGGTCGCGCCGCCAGCTGTCTGCCGTTTGGTGTTTGCGTGTCTCAGCCGAAACCCCAGGTGCCAGATTTGAGCATCTGGACCCAGCGGATGGCGATCCACCAGGGGGCACTCTGAACCGCTTGGCCAGGCACAAGCGCCAGCTAGTCCCGCCAGGCACTCATCGGCAGTGGCCTGCAGCCAATCACAGGGCGCCATCGCGTACTCGCCATGCCCTGTTTTGGCCGCACTAGGGGCAGGGACTAATGAATATGAGTGGGTCCCCTTTCACGGTTTCCTGGGCCACAGATGACAACTGCCTTTCAATGTTGCCTGCACAGACTGGCTCACGGGCAGCCACCAATCTTTGCGACTTGGGCTGCTTCAGATTGAAAATACACTTTTTCACCACATGCAGCCAAACGTTGGCTTCAAGGCGCCAGTGGCTGGCCCATCCTGGCGGTGAAATTTTTTCTTTCTTGGCCCTCACGTGCCCTGCGCAGCGACAACCACACCATTGTTGACATTTGGCGGCCATCCAAAATATCCATCTGTAGAGCCTTGGACAGCTGAAATATGAAGCTCGTGCGAAGAGCATCAGTCGTCGCGGACTCAACCACGCGAATGGGTCACCAGGTGTTCAGGATCTTGATACCAAAAACATGAACTTGGAAGGAGCGACCCCAAAGCAGTGGTAACTCTGAGTAAAGGCTAGAGGCTCTTCCGCTGTCCTGAATTACAGCCCATCGCCACGCGACACTGAGGAAGAGCATCCAGAACCAACCATTCCTCGGCCACTTGCGGCGCTAAAGTCCACATGCAATCTTGTGGACACTTCGCTCAGGTACCCGTCTACCCGTCCAACAGTCCAACAGTCTAACGGCCTGGTCTAACGGTCCAAGTCAAGCTTCTTTCCTCTTCGGTATTGCCTACTACTCCGTAGTGCTCCAGCAATTCGCCCGCCAAGCTCGACACCGAATCCACGTGCTGGCTCCAAAAACAAGAAGCAAATAAAAATAATTTCGTCTCCTTTGCGTCTCCTTTCCATGAGAGGCCGCTTTTAGAAGACAGACAGACAGACAGCCTTTGGTGACCACCTCTGCGGCCTCTTTGTTGTTCGGCTCAGGTGCGATGATGGAACAAACAGCTCCGTACTACGTAGTCTGTCGGAGCGAGCCAACGCCGCCAAGTGTACGAGGTCAAATGAGTTCGTTTCAGGTCGTTTTGCCCGGGCCGGATACTGACTATCGCATTTTTTGCGAACTTTGTTTGCCGTTCTGTGGGTTCGGCCCCAGCTTCGCACGGAGTAGTTTATCTTGACTTAAACTTTGGTTTCACTGCGTCCTCCACAGAGCGTAAATATGACTCCGAGAGATCCAGCCAATTGAAACCGCACAGACACTCGGAAGGGTATCATACGCTGCGCGAGTTTCTTGGTCAATTTCGTTTCTTCTACCTCGTACTCCGTATGCTGGCCGGCGTTGGTGATTCTAGCATCCGGCCCGTGTCTGCCAAGTCCACCACATACACTGTCTTACAATGTCGCATCTTTACCTTGGCGATTGCCACTAAATACGGACGGACTACCGAGGGCACGAGAAATGAAGGGGGAAGTAAAACAATCTCCACCCTGTCTCCTAATAACGAATGCTGACAAGGACCTCACGATTGCTCCGGCCCTCGAATCAAAGGGATGCGCGACATTGCCTTTGAAGCGTGAAGGGCAGGACTCCGTAGTACTTATTTCAGATTTATTGTTGAAAGGGGTATTGCCGCGTAATTAAGAAACCGCGTAAAATACACGTTCGCCTGTGAGTTTCGTGGACGGCTCGCTGCAGCGATACGAGACTTGTCTTGGACACGGCGTCTCCCCTCGAAGTTTTTGCGTCCTTCTCGTCACCACTGCGTGGCTCATGCAGAAGTCCAGTTGTACCGTCTGCCATCACCCTTGGGCGAACAGACACCCCGGCAAGGGGGCAAGTCCAATTCGCAGCATCTAGAAACATTGCATCGCCTGCGTTGCGAGGAAATCAACCCCCTTTTCCTCACATCCCCGACACGACTTCAATTCATTTGGCAAGGCGACAGTGTGAATCCATGTTTCCGCCGTATGTATTTGCGTCCTCGGCCTCACTTCCTTTTCCCCAGGACAGACGAACATGAGTGTCCAGTCGAGTCCATATAGCCTCACTGCAGCTCACAACTCTATAATGACGTCAGCAGCTGCAATCGTGGGAGAGAATACCCCAAGACACCACAATACCCAGAACAATACTCACAAAAGTAACGGGAGAGAAACGGGCAGCAAAGACACCAAAATAAGCCTGTTATACACATGCATCTGTGATGCCACCACTAATACAATTTGCGTTCTCTCAGCCCGCCATTCCCCAGTCACCGTTGTTCCGACAAGTCCTGTCCCTCAACAACCACCCATTTACACGTCGACAGTTTCTGTATGCTCGCTGTTATAAAACCACGTCCACCACTCGCTTTTGCCCTTCCCGCTAGTGATATTACACATTTGCCCGTAGCACCTACCTTGCCGCGCCGCCAGACGAGAAGCCCGGGCGTGCCACTACTCGCCTTCTTCACCGCCCATCTTGGCGATCCATTTATTCATGTGGGAGAACTTGTCTTCAAACGTCTTTTGCAGCTTTTCTGCAGCCAGCCACATGGGGTCCCCCTTTTTCCAGTACGTGTAGCAGTTTTCAAAGATTTGCCGCATGTCGGTGACAAAGGCGTCCTCGGTGGCGTACTCGCGTCGGTCCATTTTGGCCTTGATGGTCGTGAGATCCATGGGCCGCTTGACTTTGTCAAAGTAGTCGGGGACGCCGTCCTCGGCCGGCTCAACGGGGTCCCTGAAGGGGCCGACCAGTCGTGTCCAGAAGCCTGCTCATTCGCGTTAGCACGTTACTTTTGTATTTGTGGGATGCCGTATACATGGCTGCTCTTGTTCCTGACCTGGTCCCGAGAGCATCCTGGTGAGCAAGTCGGCGCAGAATTCGAGTTTCTGACCCGTAGAAAAGTTGCGGCTGTCGACATAGGCCGCGCTGGTTCTGCGCTTCTGCGGTTTCGGCAGAGGCGTGCGGGATGCTTTGCGGCCCAGCGACTGGTCCGTCCTTGCTATGATGGTCGGCGGGCCGCTCAGGCGGCGGTTCTTCCTGATGTTGTTGAGGTCGTCCTCGCTCTGGTCCTCCAGGTAGTGCACGTTTTTCCTGGGCAACTCTGGCGCCGATACGACGGGGGAATGAGACGGTGCTGATGCTGGTGCAGGTGCTGGCGCGGGCGTGGGCGCGGCCAGCTCGAATGAGCTCATGGCTACCACGAGCTCACTGAGGACTTCCTGCGGCAGAGACTTTGCAAACTCGGCCCGGGAGTCGGACGATCTCATGTACTCGGCTGCCCAGGACAGGAGCAGCATCCGAATAGACGAGCCCTCGGGCGTGTCTCTCCAAACCTGCACCAGGAGCGGTGTCGAAGGAATCCGTTCAGTCAACCTCCGGCACTCGGTCATGGCTTCGAGTGTTTTGTCGCAGAGCCCGTTAACGCCGAGTTTGTGGCCCAGGTTCCAGAGGCCTACCAGCGAGTCGTACGATGGAACTCCTTCGTCACCTGACATGACTTTTCCGGTGAAGAGGAAGTTTTGCGCCAGCCCAAACACCTCGGGCGTTGCGTCTGCGAGTTTGACCACGTGTTCTACAGTGTCCTCAGTCTGATTCCCCGCAAAATACTTCCGGTAGAAGTCGGAGCGGTGGCAGAGAAAGTCCTTTTGTATGCCAAACGGTTGCTCTTCAGAGCCAACTAATATTATCACAAAGATGGGGTGTGGTCGTCTATACAATAGTTAGCTTGACTACACTTGCGTGTCGACAATGGGACTTTGCTTACAACCATGAGAACTTGGGCTTCTCTGCTTTGTCCGCCGTAGCGGCAACGCTGCCAGCATTCGCTTCACTAGACATTATGATCTTGTATGATGGTGATATCAGTCTTTGATGAAATAAGGCAGCGGTGCATTATGAGAGATGAGCATTATGAGCAGACGTAATAGAGATATTGTAGGTTGGGGATACCGATGGAAAAAGCTGGGTCGCTCCGATCCAACACTGTCCACCGCGGTACTCGGAGGTCGCAGTGTGTCAAACTCGTGAGAGACGGGGGGTGAAATGATGATTCAATGTTCTGTTAAAACAGTGACTAGGGAAAATCATTGCGTACCGAACGATCCAGTCGCCGGCGAGACTCGTGTGATCGTAACGGGTTACTCACCACCGCTTCTGCGACACAGGCGACTCTCTTTTCATTACTCAGGTGATAAAAACAAACACCGTCCCGGGTATAAGTATATTGAAGTGAAAGACTCACTCCCGCTGATGCCTAGTTGGCCATGCACTGAGAACGGTGAAGCACAACAGGATGATTTCTGAACCATCAGGTTGGAAGGGGTTGGCGGTTCGTCAT